ATGAATGACATGAACAAGAGAGGAGAGTTGTACCCTGCCTCAAAAAATGATGTTTTCCGAGAAAAGCGAAGTACTCCCATTCCATGAAACAATCATGTCAATGAATAAAACTGATGATTTGTTGTTTGGATGATCAGAACATCCATCCATATCAATTTCATGTAGTTCTGTAAAGTGCTTGTCTCGATCGTACTTTTCAGCTCTTCCATAGAGCCACCATCGCACTTCACATCACACAAAGTCATGAAATGACCATCACTTTGAACTGAATCAACGATCAATTCTATGGTTTCTGATCACTATAACAACATTCCGATCATCAGATTCATTCCATGATCATCACATCCAACGGGAGCAGTTCACTACACTTCCAATCAGTACTATTTGATGATTATCATTTCCATATGTATTCATACACACAAAATATTCCTCATAAATGTTGATCATGATGTGCACATTTGATGTGATCAATATAAATATGACATGATGATGAATGGAAACATGACCCGATGTTGATGATGATCACCTCAAAAATGCAGGGAGTTTTGGCTTCATTTTTTTTTAATTTTTTTTTGAAAAATTTTCGTGTCATTTTTGAACTCGTTGAAACTCCTTTAAACTTGATTTTCTCGAAAACTACCCTAAACCTGATCGAATGCTCTATCATGACCCCCATTATTTTCGTGAGATCTACAAAAATGGTGTCGCTTAAATTCTATCAAAAATTTGACACCTGTTACCATTTGTTGAACTACTCAACCAACTTAGCTCACTATCCAATGATGTCGCTAGCACGAATGTACTACTCTTCAAAATCTATCGAATGATGTACTTGGAACAAGGTCAACATCAAAGATGACGAAAAACCCGACCATGCACGAGAGGTCTATTTTAAGCGAGTACAGTTCAATAATTACCCATAATTAATGGATGAAAGTCATATCAACACATAGATATACCTCCATCCCCGACGATTTCATAAAAATTAAAAATCCAATGATTAAGCATGTCGAAAAATTAAGATTACAAGTCAAGCTGGGCACCTATCCAAACCCAACCCGTTTGCAAATTTCTGAATTGCACCCACAAGTTGCATCACATATTCTTCCAAGCTTGGCACAATTACAATTCAAACAATTTCCTTTTTTACATCTACATCCAACTTTCTTCTTTGCTTTGTGTTCATCATCATTACTGTCATTAATTTTCTCTCTTTTCCTTTTAAGTTGGTTGGTATTGAAGTACTCGATAGCTTTCAATGCATCGTCGAGATTTCCATAAAACTTGATCAAAATATTAAGCAATCAAATAGCATCATAAAATGCACAATGTGAATTGTTGACATTTCCTAAATTAAAGTGTTCAATTATCATCCTCAGCAAAAACTGGTTTAGATTTCCCTTTCTTTATCATTTTCCGAGGAAGACAATTGTGTAAAGTCGATTCTGATTTCATTAATCGGAGAGAATCAACAAAGACAATAATGATTAAATTCAGAAAACTTTCCGAAAAATTCTTTGGCAAAAACTTTAAAATCCAAACGCTCTCCATTATGAGCTATTAAGTAAGTTTTTCCTGAGAGTTATTGTTTAAAAATTGGATAATATCATTCACATGCCTTCAATAGGCAATTTTGATCTTAAACTATTCAAGTTAAGTCCTGTTATTGATTGTGCTTGGTTATGCTTTGGTTGCCGTTGAATTGCGAGAGTAATAGGTGATGATGTATCTATTGAATTGTTTTTAATATATTCAGTAATATATTTGTGGTGTGTTGCAAAGTAGAGGCTTCTTGTAATCCACTCCGAAAATTGTGATATTTTGTGGAGTACTTAATTTTGCATTGAGTAAACAGCAGCAACAGCGATTAGGCATGCCCATTTTTCTTTTTGAAGAACTCAAAAATTTCTGCCTTGCTCCTGTGATGTTTTGATACAAACTGAGAGTGTAAAATTCAACCAAATCTCATTCAAATCGACAAGTTTTCTCGGTAAATCTAAATCTAAACATGTATGAACAATTAGTATTTTGCAAAAGTTGTAATCGATAATGATGAGAATTGTGTTTAAATCAACTCTGACGAATGCACACTTTTTTCAAAGGCTCGTTCTCACTTTTTACTTCATATAACTTCACCAACAAAGAGTATGTATAACTAGAACGCATAGAGAATCTACTCTCAAGAAATCAGATTTATTGAAGGCTTATTTGTTGTGTTTAACTATCTCTGATAACAATTTTCGAAAATCGTCGGGGTTGAAAAATGAGCTGAAACACCTTGTCCGCTCGCTAAGAATCTTGTCTCGAATCTTGGTCATTTTTACTGAAGGAGTTGGCCATCCGTGATAAATGACAGAGGGAAAAACACCTGTGAGCGTCTTCAACAACGATCAACACAGTTGGTGCAACCAGTTGTCCCTAGGCTTCTTCACTTCAATAAATACGTTGCAGCTGCCTGACAGCACTTTGCAAGTGAATGAAACAGTCTACATCCGTAACCACCATTTCAGTTGTTTTTGAGTGCTGTTGTTGAGGTGGATGATGTATCGTTTGAAGATGATGCTGGTTTAGCGTTGCGATTTCTCTTTTTCCGAGCCACGAATATTGTGTGTTTTCGTAATTTTACAATCAATTGTGATATCCTGACGGCCATCACAATAATTTATTGCAATAGAAACGTAATGATGATATTCCAAATAGCAATATGTATTGTTATCGTCTCTCCGAGCCGATATCAATAAATTTATTCAATAAATGATGCGCTTGCGTTGGCCCTCTTGCCTCTAAATCAAGTCTAATGATATTTTTAGATTGTCCAAAACCTAAACATTTTTTCAAGTTGATATTTCTCGATAACTACTTCACAGATGTAAAAGATAACAATTCCAAGACATAGAGGACATCGATCCCCTAAACATTGTGGAGAAAGAAGTTTCAATCTGTAATACTTCATCTTATACATCAACAAACAAGAGTGGCTGTAAAACCAAACCCTACGTTCAGAACAAATCATAGGTGGAGCAAACCCTATTCAGAAAATCAGTATCTACAAAACTGGTAAAAAAGAAATGGAATTGTTTGCAAAAGAATTAAGAACGATTGCAAAAGAAAGAAAGAAAGAAGAAACGGAAAAGAAGCAACAATAAATAATAGGCATTCGTTTTTACTTAAATGAAACTTGAATATTGAACTGTTTTTGTAATTTCAATGATTGAGTTAAATATTTGTCTTTCTTTTCTTTGGTCTTTGAAGGTAATATTAGTTGAGAAATGGAATGCTTGTTGGTTGTTAGTAGATGATGTATGAATTCGAAATCAACATAACGACTTAGAGTGCCTCCCCATTCAGAAAGATCCAAAGTAACTATTCTGGAATTCCGTAAAATTTTCTCAATATCAAAACGAGTGGGACGACTGGATTTAAAAAATGTCAATTTTGGTATGTTAATACAATCCTCGGTCGAATTAGTTTCTCTAGAACTTGGAGAAAATTCAAAATTTTCCAGTGAAATTAATGACCCGCAGAAAAAAGTATCGAAAGCGGATCCTAAGAGTCTAGGGTAACAAAGAACAAAGGTTTTCAGTTGGGTCATATGCGCTAAGCTGGAATATCCATTGTCAACAAAACTGCAACAAATGATGCTTAGTTCCTTGATATTAGAGGAACTGATGGCAGCACAATCTAAATCTCGTAATACACAGTGGGATAAATCTAATACTTGAAGCATTGACTGAAATCTAAAATTGAGTAATGGCGACTGAATCAGAGACGGATCCTTTTCTATGTCTACCATATTAATTCTAATCAGTCGTACATTGGTATTTGCAGTTAAAATAGGCATCAAGCGAGATGGTATTTGTAAGGAAATTTCAGTTAAATATTTTAGCCCACTCATCAACAAAAGAAATACATCATCACTTATCCGTGTAGCACCACTACGAGCATATGAATGCAATTTAACAATACTTAATTTAGGATTTTTCAATAAAGATAAGGCTATTTTTTCTGATAGTGTTATGTGGGCGTTTACATAGAGCTCTTTAAGATCAAGCTGACTTTCTAAAATGTTTATAATAATAGCATCATCTATAAAAACGGTCGTAAAGCTAAACTTTTCTAAATGTGGAAAGTTGTTTCTATCTATTTTGGATATGTGTTGTATTGAGCAATGCTTAAATGATATAGATTTTAGAGTTTTAAAATTACTACTCATTAAAAAAATATTGGCACAATCAGTATCCAATTGATCGTCTCTGAAATATAAACTTTCTAAACATTTAAACTTCAACTTTAAAAATGATTCCATCAACTTCCAATTAAAACCGACATGCTTAAAAGACAAATGCTTAATGTTGTTGAACACATTTCCTATTTTGTTAATAGTAATGGCATTAATTGAAACACTTTCAAAAACAAGATTGGAAATTGTGGATGTGATATCAGAGAATGTTAATTGGGAATGTTTAAACACTAGCGTATCAACTTTGTTGGATGCTAAAAGGATCGCCATTTGATTTTTGGAAACAGATACTTTTGTGAAGGACAATTCGGTGAACAGTTTGTGGAAGGAAACTTTTTTAAAATTGAGTTGTCTCATCGCCAAGCAATCTGTATCTGTATTCTTAAGGTTAGAATCAAATGCTTTAGTTACCTCTGTTGATTGTATGAAATCACGGATGTAACTACAAACGCCAGCAAAAGATAGAAAGGTTTTTTGATCAAGGAAAGAAATTATGAGCGAAAGCGCTCCACCAAAAGGATCAACCGCAACAACGTTTCTAGCCGGAGTGGGTTTCCGTTGAAAGAAGAAGTTAAACATTTTTTTCGATGGCAAACGGACGCTGTTGACCGATAACTCCCATGTCAACCAACAAAAAAACACAAATCATCATACATACTAGTAACCTATGTCCAAATCAGAATTAAAGACTTACTTGAATATGGAATCATCGAACAATATTTAGTGATAGTACACACCATAGCAACAACATCTATCATGGTCGGAGACGGATTTAATCATTTCATTGAATGGGACTTGTTTGGCGTTGAAAACTTTGATGAGCGTTCTGAGTATTGCTTTCATTAACTCGTGCAACATTCCTTTCCAGCTTCCAATTTGACGCTCTTTAGCAACCTCCAACTTCATGAGTAGAGTATAAATTCTTTGTTCTTCGGAGGACCATTCAAACACCATTCCATCATCACTACCATCATCAACAAGTTTTGGTTGTCATGGAATATTGTGTGTATTTGAAAGATAGATTCTACAAGCTCTTGGAAAACTAATTGTACCATTGGAGAATTTTCTTTACCTGCTGCAGTAGCTCGTTCTAATCCGAGAATATGACCAGCATGAATATTTTCACTTCCTTCGTTTGCATATCTCCACAATGGACGAATAGAAATATTAATTCAGGAATTTGAACAATAAGAATATGAAAATAGAAAGCAAATTTTGAGGCTGGATATTTCTCAATCAACAATTTGCCAAGCCATTTACATAATATTTCTAATCTACTCTAAGCTTGCACATTTCCTTTGAGTGTATCTACTCCTTCAACATATTGGAACAAAATAACTCTTGTCAACAACCAAATCATGATTTCCATATAATCAAAAATTCCATCAAACACAGTTTCAAAATTGAATAAGATGACATTTGCTTGATTCCCAGTTAAATATGGCAGTTGTGGAAGAAATTGATCTCCTTTGCATTCATCATCTTCTTCAGCCTCAGTATTTCTAAATTGAAATTAAGAGCAATGATATAACTTGCTAATTCTAGTCTCAATTATTTCCCATAATGAAGGCGAGTTAATACGAAGAAGCACTTGGGAAATCAAATTCGAAACAATTCTAAGTTTCATATGAAGGGCGCAAATAATGGTATGAATTGTCACTTTTTGATCAATGCAATATTTAAGAGTATGAGTTGTATGTTTTTCATCCAGAAACGTCTACGTTCTTTACAATACATGCAATAGAGACAAAAGCAAGATAGTAGTGTTGTTCATTTCACAGTAAGCAATTCCGTTTCTGATCTCCAATGATTCCAATACGTTGATTAGACAGCAAATATTTTTTTAGAATTTTCCTTATTTTCATCATCATGAAAAAAAGGACTGTCTTGACTGAGGTGCCAATTCATCATTGCTGTGGTGTTTAAAATTACAACCTACTCATTTTTCTTTCTGTTGGTAGAGTATATACTCAACACTCAACCTCACAAGAAAAAGTCACAAGTTTGGAAGATTTTCATCAACACTCTTCAAGTTTATTAGATATGGTTCGATAGACGCTTTCTCAGTTATTGATTTACACCAAATAGAATTCATCACTTTGGACGTTACTACTGGTTTATTCGGATCTGAAGGAGCAAAAAACATCTTTGGAATGCAAAGTCTCACATATTTGAATGTATCTTCTTGCAAGATTGGTCATGATGGCCATATATATTTTTCAAATGGAGAGCTTATTAATCTCAAGACATAGACATACATAATATTGATGAGAGTATTTTCAAACAATACAAGTGTTTATGTTTTATTTTAATGGAGTTGAGATTCTTTCAAAAGGACAATTATGTACTCAAGTATTGATCATTGCCTTGCAGAATAAGCAACAATGCACTCCAATTTCCAAAATTCATCGTTCAGCAATGATGACAATGTTGAAGGACAGGAGGATTGTGGAGCAAGAAAACGTATGTCAATGAAGACATTTCTGATGATGACAAATATGCCTCCCTTTCTTGGAACATTGTTGTCTCGCGTCTACTGGTTCATATCTCCGTTTCACATCTTTCGAAAACACTTCCATATTTTAAAAGAGCGGGTAATATGCTAAGTTACTAAGGATAAATAAGTAGTATCTCTCAATGATCAACTGTCTTTGGTTTTTCATATCCATACTTTAACAACAGCAGGAACGACATGCAAATTCCAGTGTTCATACATAGAATATTGTGGTGGAAGAACAATGTTTTTTCAGAGAATATATCCCAATCATGACATGGTCAACATTGAGGTTAAACCTACCATTAGACATCCATGACATGTTCGTACCTCTCTGTTTTACAATTTTCAAACAGAAAAGAGTTTTCAGAAAGTTTTATCCCAAACCTTCAACGGTTGTTGTTTTAAAAGAGATATCAAGACAAATCAGAAAAGATCTTTCTGCATTTATTCACTAATAGCTCTGTAATGCAATTCAAATCTTGTCAATGATGAAAGAGACAAAGATAAGGAGATGTTTTTCGAAATCAAATCAATCTTGTAGCAACCGCAACTGAACCAAAAAAACTAAAGAATTTCAATTCAAGGCCAAATGACTGAGTCATATAATTTCCTTCCCATTACTCTCTTCCAAACCATCAACGCCACTCAAGGTAAAATTTCCGAAGCCCCTGAAAACATTAGCTCTCTCAGTAATTCTGCGTTCTATGTCATTGTATTGAGCATCTTGTTGGGAGTGCTTATTGGTTATGCCATCAAATTACGAGATGAAATGAAAAGAAAGCAAAAGATTCTCTTTTTACTAACTGGATTATTGGTTGGAGTGGATATTGTTGCTTTGTGTTTCCGAATTGTGTACAATGGAACATCTCTCTATATGAATGGAAGGAAATGGATTATGCTTCCCAATTTGCTCGATTTTCGAATTGTGTTATGGGTATTTGCAGTACTGGAAAATGCCTTTTCTTTTGCTACCATAATGACCATTACGATCATCATTGGATTTCTTCAAGATATGTTGTAAGTAGATTGTACTTTGGATAAAATTCGAAAGGTGACTCATTTATTATGTCCGCCAAATTACTCTTGTCTTGCAAACATTGTTGACAACCTCTTACAGCTTGACAACAGCTGCAGCAGCTAGAGCCATATCAAGGAAAGTATATCCCTACATTAAGTGGTCACTCTTCACCGTAAACATGGTCACGGGTGGTACTTTGGGGCTAGTGATTGTTCTTAATGCCATTTTGAACTTGTTGGTGAAAATGACACTTCTTAACAAAGCCCTAGCAGTCCCGTTTCAAATCGTGCTTTTATGCTTCTACTTTATTGCCAATGTCATTAATTTAGTGACTTTCACGGTTGTCAGTACTCGACTGCTTCATGTTGTCAACAAAACAAGTTCTCATGTATCCACAACAAAGGAGAAAGTTCCATTCATGAATCGCCCGTTCACCAAAATAGTTGGATTAATGTCTGGAATGATTTTGAGCGCCTTTTTACAGATAGTAGCAGCTATTATTGGTTTTTTAACAAGTACCTTTGCAAGTCATTTGCATATGTTGGATTACTTTTTGCATTCTTTGGGAATTGTCATTTTTAGTGTTTTTGTATTGTTATTGTACAGCCCATTGTGGAATGAAAAGTGTGAAAAAGAGGCTGAGGATCATGTGAGAAAAACAGGAACAAAAAAGGGCCCTATTCAACATCAAGACAAGAAGGAGCCAGGCACCTTCAATATTCAATCCATGAATAACTCTGAAAAGCAAGAGGAAGTATCCACAAAAGTGTAATCTGTAGGGGGAAATTGTGTAAGGTGTAAATATTAAAGATTAAAAGTTTCTGTATGGTACTATGGCAACGCAAAGAAAACATACATCTCCAATATGGTGCATAACTCAAGGTACAGCTTGAATGAATTATGGTAAACACCTCCTTCTTGTTTAGATTATTCTGTTGCTTGTTCATCAACAAAGAATGGCCTTCGAGATTTGTTTACTACTGGAATCAACAGGTATGCTGTTTCTTGAAGCAGCTGCTTTAGAGGAGGAGCTCGGAATGTTATTCATTCGTGATGATGTTGAAGGGTTCATGATGCATGACGACAGCAAGATTCTTGATGATGTTACCTGAGGTTCGAAAAAGCGAGAGTTTGCTAGAACCCAGAGGTTATTGTGTTGTTTTTTTTGTGGGTGTGGCGTCCTACAACTGGGAGGTGTCATTGTTTCAGAAGAAGATTTGATGTCAATATGAAGAAGCCTTGATCAAGTCAAAAGACCTCAAAACAACATTCAATTCTAAAATTTAAAAAATGCATTCTGAAACTGCTCGTGTGGTTTTATAATCAGGTTTGAATCAAGCCGCGGAATACCACTGCCAACAACAAAAAATTATGTTAAAATCTAGCCAGGGGATTTACAACCGGAGTAATAGTGTTGTTCAATATGACGATGATGATCCTGTAAAATTAATTTTAAAAAATTGTGTTGGATCATCACCCGAAATATACATACGTGATGATGACCGTTATGGATATATCTTGTTTGAAAAATTAAAGACCAAGATGAGGAGTAAATGGAAAAAAGGGTTCGCAGTACACAGTTGTAGATTGAGAGCAATATTGGGAAAACATGATGACCATCATACAACAATGACCAATATTGAATTAGTTAACGCTCCTTTATCCCAGCCCTTTGATGTAAAAATTTCGTACAATCACGAGTACATAATTTGCACTGATTGCGGAGATCCCGGCAGAATACTATTTTTCGACCTGAACTCTAAGCAATTCCAGTTTTCAATACCCACCCCATCTTATGGTCCCATGTTTTTATGTATTGAAGAAGGCTATAGAAACGCATTTTCAGATGCTTTGTTCTTTGACTGCAAAGGAGATAAAAGTCTCCACAAGTATGATTTACAAAGTTTTGTGTTCAATAAGCAACGTGATCAAGAGTATAGCGACTGTGATGAAGAGTCACCACTCCAAGGGAAAATTTGGACTTCTGTTTGTGTTCAAGGAGCTACTGGAATATCAATAATGCAATCTCAATCAAAACTGTTCGTCGGATGCTTCGATAGAACAGTCAAGATATTGGACTCAAACACTGGAACATTGATTGATGTGGTAGCGTTGATGAATACATTACCGTTAGGGATTAATTTTTTTGAAATGGGCAAAAATCATTATCTAATCGTTGGAGGATGGAAGAAAATTGAATTTTTTGTTAAACAAGTTGATGTGTGCCAGGAAACATGGAGTTGCTTGCAAAATAATGCTGGCCTGATCCATTCATCTGGTTCTAATACATACGGCACCGTATTTGATCCTATTTCTCGCTGCCTAATTGTTCCAACACAAGACACAGTCCTTTGTTATCGTCTATTTGAAAGTACACATCTGGAGTGGACATTGATTAACAAGGTTGATGTTCACAATTTTGCACGTCCTCAAGGCTTATGTTTAAACGATCGTAGTGGAGAATTATTGGTATGTGAACGAGGTGCTAACAGAATACGGATTTATCAGTAAAGGTTTCGTTATTGCAAACTTTAAAAACCTAACAAGCTCACCATTACACAGAGCAGTAATGTAAACACACACCACCAAAACGGAGTGGCCACGTTTGCCTGACTCACTCTCGCATATGTGACATTTGTGAAATTGAAAGCATAAACCCAGTCCAAAACAGTGTATTCCTTAGCAGTAGAGTTCTCAATTTGACCTCCAAAAACATACATAACCTCGCCGAAAATTTCTCCTGTTTGTCTAAATCGTACTGTTGGCAAAGAAACAAAATCACTCCATGACGAAGTACGCAAGTCAAACTTCTCAACATCAGCAACGGGAACAGAAAAGTTGCATGATTTATCCTTCGTCTCTCCACCTAGGACAAATAAATTTGCGTCAATCATGATTGCAGCACCATCTCCTCTAGCATGAGCCAAGGGTTTTTGGGTGGTCCACTTATTTTGTGAAGGGTCATACATTTCAACAATTCCAGTTGGATTGCAAAAATCGCCTTCTAAAAATCCTCCAATGACGTATCCCCTATTATTATACGTCAGAGTCATGGAATCTCCTCTCTTAGTATTAATATTTGATACCAATCCCCTTTGGAATGTTCCTTCATTATTGGTATTCCTAGTTTTCAAAATTAACACTTCATTTGAAGCGCTGTAATTAGCAAAGTATCCACCTGGAAGGTAAATATTATCAAGTCCAGTGGCAGTGTCTTTCAACACAAACGCAATTGAATCTGAGCAACATTCGGAAGTTAAGGAAGCATTTGGATGAGTTGTCCATTTGGATGTGACAGTATCAAAGATGTCCACAGGTTGAATGATATTATCCTGCAAATCTCTGCCACCAATGACGAACATGTATCGCTGAGCAACAGCAACAGTTGTGTGTCTGTATCGTGCTCTGGGCATCACTGGTCCAGACGAAAATGTTTTAGTTGTAGGGTTGTAAATTTCCATCGTATTGGTAATGCTGTAACAATGTTAAATAGTCTCACAAATCTCATATATGAACACATACCTTGGACATGAAGAATCCTTAGCAATGGATTGAGAGCTAACACAGCCTCCCGTTAAATAAATTAAATTTCCAATCGTTTGAGCAGATAAATCACTACGTTTTGTTATCATGTTAGCTTTTCGTTCCCAATTCTTCTTGTCAGCTTGAGCAATGACCATTGTACCACTAGTGGTGACCACTATCAACAGTATGAGTGCAATGACTCTTGTGAGAGGAGAAGGCGACAACATTGTTTTTTTTCAACACAACGACTCTTGTGCAAGAGTTTTTCTCCATTATTAATTTTCCACCATATCAACGACTCCTTGAAATGACCAATTCAATCAACAACTATATTATTCCCCATTAATTTTGAAATTGCCCTTTGAATTTGAGTCTTGAAATTTCCATCATCATGGTCTGACCAAAGCTTCATCTCATTACGATAATAAAAATCATCATTACGTCCACTCATTCGGATCGGATGTACGGATAAAATCCCAATAATTTAATGGTTGTAAACCGAACAAAAACAACGATTATTATTAAACGGTTGCAGAGTGGCCGCTCTTCGCACCTCTCTCATCGTCATCATCAACCGGAGTGGATGATTCATTTTTTCCTCATGATCTTTTCTGCTTGCATTGATGATGAGCTTTTCAATCTAGTTCTGTAAATTCTGTTAATACCATTCGATACCGTTTTTTAAGTGCTTTCATGACTTGATTCAACATGAGTTTCAATGGCAACTTGTAATTACAATTAAAATACATGTCAGGTGCTGGTCGAAAATTGCATTGGGCTTGATTTCCATTCAGTTCCATCATGTCCAACATTTGAATATTCGGTAATGAAGAGAGCACAAGCTTACCATGAGAAGTGAAACAGTGAATTTCTCGACCTAATCGATGGCACGTAGGTGGGAGAAACACAGTCGTGTCTTCACGAAAGAATAGAGAGTAGTAAGCTGCACTTCCTGGATCGGTAATGTAAACATCGACATTGGCAAAGTATTTGACTTGATCGGCAATACTTGGAAATTTAGAGAAATCAATGATATCGAATTTCAATGTTCGTCGTTGTAGTGTCTTGTTTTTCTGCATTAATTGTTGAATGAATGGTTGTTTTGGTAATTCTAGTTGCAAGTAATTGAGAAACTCTTCAGAATTGTGAAAAGATTGTCCGTGCCGACCTTTCTTATCCTTTTGATGCAACGCAATGACAATATCTTTTTCCAATAAATATCTTTTAAATTGCTTCTTTTTCTGGGAAATGCTGTACGTCTGATCAAATGGAAATATTCTCAAGTTTCGATAAATAAATTCTCGCAATTTCATAAACAGGCCTTCTTTTCCGTATGGATGTAATACTAAATTACTAATAGTGTGACCCATATAAATATTTGAAAAACATGAATCAAGTGTCATGGACGAAATAGATTCAGTCATTCGAGGATTTTCAAGTGTTGACATGATTCTACATGGAGCATTCTCAATTCTCCAAATACCATCTCTGCTACAGAGCTGTAACATTGGATTTTTAGTTATGAGTTGCATGGTCAGTAACGAATAATGTTCTGCTTTAGTGGAATCATAACGAAAAGCTCCTCTCCAATTTTCTCCAGACAAATCAAAGAGATCGTCTAAAAACAAGACATGATTTTCTCGTAATGTTTCCATTTCAACAAAAGGATGATTGAAATTCATCATTAATCCCATAATCATTGCCAAAGACTCTGCGAAAATATGACCTATATTTCCAGCAGCATATCGTTGCAGTGCGTATACTGGTTTTTCATAATAAGTAAAATTTGGAGAGAGTGCAATGGGATCATAATGATATTCTTCTTCAACTTGAGATTCACAAAAGTAATCTTGTTGACCACAGTCACTCTCTTTTTTCTTGATTCTTGCCACAAATGCCATGGTGTGATTGTGAGGATGTGACTTTGCAAAAACCAAATCTCCATTTATGTGTCGAATGTAGAAATTTCCTCGATTTGAATCGATAGTGGATCCCTGTACAAATACAAATGGACGTGAATTTAGTTCATTCATGTCATGATGAAGAATTCTGTTATGGGATTGAAATAACACAAACTCTCCGCTCTGGGTGAGACATAAATTTTCGAGTTTACAACTGGCCATTTGGGTATGAGGAGGTGTGTATTTGTTGGCGGAACTGTTGGGGACCAATACTTGTCGATCGATTGGGGAATATCTATTGCATTGATAATTTCCGAAATGAATTTTGTGTGAATTTTTTTGTGTGGTGTTTAAAGCACGAACAACGAATCGGTCAAGGTTCATTGATGAGTAGAGGAGCAGTGTCAAGAAGATAAAGCCAAGCACACTGACGGTTGACCTTCGTTGACAGTTCCGGCTCGTCATGATTCGCTTCATTTTTTTGGTGTTAACTCAATAACCGTTGACAACCGTAATTATTGCTATTTAATCACAAATTATAACCCGGTAACATTGAAAGTATTAATTCTTTTCAAAATCTCTTCTGAGTGGTTTCTGAGTGGTGTTTTCTATTACCAGTATTACTTTTGTTCAATTTTCTAACACACACCATCTCTTCAATTGAAATTATTAGAACTGTGTAACTCCGAAAAAATCTGTCAACAAAAAAAAAATGGTTCAACACCGAACTTGTGCATGTTTCGGCATCATTGTGATGAATTTATTTTTCATCATGATGATGACAGGAATAGCTCATCATGAATTAGCATTGGCACAACCATCATCAGCATTTAATTCTGTTCAAGCTTTTATGAGAAGAATGAGAGATCCTGCAGCCTATTCATCATCGCGAACATCGGAAAAGGTTCGATCATCTTCTCTGCCTCCATATATTACCAAATTCTTCCAACAAAAATTAGATCATTTTGATTTTACCAATGATAAAACCTTCCCACAACGATATTTGGTTTGTGATCAATTTGTTGGAAGTGGAGGAATCAAGCCTAATACTCCCGTATTTCTCTACACTGGAAATGAAGGAGATATTGTTAACTTTTATGAAAATACTGGTCTAATGTTTGATATCGCACCACAATTTAGAGCATTGATCATATTTATTGAGCACCGTTATTATGGTGTCAGCAATCCTTTTGGACCCGTGGATTCATTCAAACCTGATAAAATTAAATGGTTGACTAGCGAGCAAGCACTTGCGGATTATGCCTATTTCATTACTGAAACATTTGGATTGGATGAAAAGAGAACAAATCCTGTCATGTAAGTAGTATCATAAGTACTACCATTTATTTTTGTGCTTAAACCCACGTGTGTGTTTAACATATCATCATTCACAACCCAACATGAACGCATAGTGCATTTGGTGGTAAGTTCATATACTTTGTAAAATTTCTTTGATGAAATGACTCTTCAAAATAGGATCCTATGGTGGAATGTTAGCTTCTTGGATTCGCTTTAAATATCCACACATTGTCGATGGAGCAATAGCAGCAAGTGCTCCTATTTTCCAATTTACTGGTCTCACTCCTCCCAATGTTTACAATCAAATCTGTACTCAAGATTTCAATAAGGCCAGTAATTTAGCTGTCTACCGCGAGACTTGTGACTCTGTCATCAAAACAGCCTTCAATGCCTTGCAAAAGATATCTCAAGATAATACTCCAACCATGTTGCAAAAGCTTACCATGCAATTTAAGGTCTGTTCTCCAGGTATTAGAACTTCTAATGATGTCAATCAATTGATTGGATGGTTGAATCAAGCATATCAAACTTTACCAATGGTTGATTATCCTTATCCAAACAGCTTCTTACAACCTTTACCAGGTTTTCCAATCAATGAAATTTGTAATCGTATTGCTACGTTGATGAGTAAGGAATCTGTCATTACAACTGATAGCTACCTTAAAGCTATTCTTGAAGGTGCCTCAGTTTACTACAATTACAGTGGAAGTGCTGGCTTTTGTAATAATTTAACTCAACCAGATAGTCCATCACTTGGAGACAATGCATGGGAATATCAAACATGTACTGAAATGGTTATGCCAATTGGTCAATACCCTGCAACTGATATGTTCATCTCTTCACCATGGAATCTTGATGCATTTATTGCATACTGCCAACAAAAGTGGCAGACAACTCCAAGAACCAATTGGATACTTACAAATTATGGTGGTAAACGAGCAGTCCTAGATGCAACTAATATTGTATTTTCCAACGGAGATTTAGATCCTTGGCATGGAGGTATGTTATTGAATATTTATTGTGGATAACAATCACACAAAAATTGGCAATATTGATGGTATTGAAATGGTTTTTATCATTGATTTCTTAACTATTTGCTTTTTAAAATATGGTTGAAACATAACAACAGGAGGTGTACTAGCACCAACTAAAACAAATAGCAAAGTTAAATTGGTGTACATTGAGAAAGGAGCTCACCACTTGGATTTAAGAAGCTCCAATCCTTTGGATCCTCAAAGTGTTAAAATTGCCAGAGCCTTAGAAGTCAAGGAAATTGCCACATGGCTCAACGAGTTTGCACTCAAGAAAGGTTACGACATTAAGTATTAATTGACATGGTTGTATTAAACTGTCTCACACAATTTTTAATATTTTAAAATACCTGAATTTACAGTACTTACTCTACTCTACCCAAAGTGTTGCTTTCACAAGTAAGTTCAACAAGAGAAGATTGAGTACAGATTGATTCATGTGTGAGAAATGTCAAGGATTCGTTGTATCGTCCTGCTTGTATCACATTCAATATTCCAATGAACAACATCAATTTTAGTAGAGTTCAAAACAATACCTGCTGTCACCTGCCATCATCCTTTTTCACACAATTAATCGTCAATTTTCGACTTGTAAATTCAATCATGTCACATTTAACTACCCGAATACAACCTTCATCATGAACCCGCCGTGTCTCTTCCTGCTTTACTGCACCCTCATACAACAAGTATTTACACTCATCTCCCATCATCACTCCAATCACTTCTATAAATTCTCGCCACTTGTACTACAACTTTCAAAACATCAACAGAAAAAAACAAAACAACAACAACTTTTTCTCAACAATGAAGTTGTCCAAATCTGTATTGCTTTATACACTTCTCGCATTGTTACTCAGTGCTGCAATTGTATTCGCTGCTGCTGACACTGAAGCAGTGAAAGGAGGAAAACCTACTGTCAACAGCAAGAAATCTCCAAAACCAACCGGAGTGAAAATCACCGTTCCAAAACCATTGAAGAAATGGAGAGTGTTCAAGAGTAGTTCTCTCACCAAGAATTTCAACAAGACTTCAAGAAAGATCAAGAAGGCAGTCAAGAAGGCATCTAAAAAGGCAAAGAAGGCCATCAAGAAGGCTCAACGAAAAGCAACCAAGAAGGCCAAAAAGATCTTGAAAAAGCTCACTTCTAAATACTTGAAATGGAAGAGACTCTCCAAGAGATTCATGACCAAGTATAAGAAGGCATATAAGAAGGCTCGTCGTTTCACTCGTAAGGTTGGAGGAATCATTGCCAAGAAGTACAGAAGAACAGCAAGAGCATTGAAGAGAAAGGCCAAGAAGTGTCAACGAAAGGCTAGAAAATTGAAGAAACAAGTCAAGAAGGCAAAGAAGGCAGTGAAGAAGGCTGCCAAGAAGGCCATCAAGAAGATTCAAAAGAAGGCTGCTCGTCGATTGGGTCTCAAGAAGAAGCAAGTGAAGAAACTCAACAAGGTTGTGAAAAAGTTGTTGGTATTGAAGAAGAAATTAGGCAAGCAATGGTCTTTGAAATCCATTCCAGACAAGATTAAACTTTTGGCTGGCAAGTTGAAGATTGTGCGAGGAAAGTGCTCTATCAAGAGAAAGATTCAAAAGAAGAAGCAACAAAAGAAGGCCAGAAAGACTGCCAAGAAGGTCAAGAAGGTTGGAAAGAAGTGCACCAAGCAAGCTAAAAAGCAAGAAAAGAAGGCTAACAAGTCTGTCCGAAAGGCCAAGAACATTATCAAGAAGGCCAAGAAGTTGATCAAGAAGGGCAATAAGAAGATTGTCAAGAAGGTCATCAAGAAGGCAATTAAGAAGGCCAAGAAGGCAATCAAGAGAGCCAAGAAAGCTGTGAAGAGTGCAAAGAAGGCAGTGAAGAAGGTCAAGCAAATTAAGAGAAAGGTTGAAAAGAAACTCGATCGAGAGGTCAAGAAGGTCAGAAAGGCTATTCGTCGCAACAAGAGAGTTCTCATCAAAAAGTGCCAAAAGAAGATTAAGAAATTCAGAAAGTTTTTGAAGAAGTTGAACAAGAAGGTCAAGAAGGCTGTGAAGAGACTCAAGAAGATTACCAAGAAGGCAAAGAAGACCATTAAGAAGGCAAAGAAGGTTAAGAAGCAAGCTAAGAAGGTTCTCAGAAAGGTTTCCAAGAAGAATAAGGGAAGCGTTATTGTTAGACTCATCAGAAGATTGAACAAGCTTCAAAAATGCAAGAAGAATTAATTTTGTGTGTTACAAAATTGAAATCGACGTCAGCATGTGTGAGAAATCATGATCTAATGTAACCCTTAAACTTGTATAAAATTTATCTTAATGTACTCTGCAATTCACTTTATGAATCGAATTCGAAAATAAGTGCCAATGTAACAGTTGATCACAAAAATAAACAATGTCATAACATGAACAACATGGTTGGAGAATTCAAAGTGATCTAGGAAGAGTGCAGAGTCGTTGGTTAAGATTTGTGTGTTTAATCATTGCATTTGCAATACTGTGATTGGTAACATCGAACGAATTTCATTCCATTACAAACCAAAATCTTTCGAATTGATTTCTTGGACTTGCGTCTGTTTGGGACCTTATTGAATGAACATAATCACCAACTGCCTTGTCTAAATCTCTCAAAATAAAAGAAATCTTACTGTTCTCGCTAACATTCTGTTCTAGCTTAACATTTTTCAATTCTTTCAATATTTGGTTTTGTTGTTTAAATAGACGCCAATAATTCCATCCAACAAGCATCAGTATCAATATCACGATCAAATAGTATTCTGGAACTGTGAACAGTAAGGTAGCAGGAACGGCGAATAAAAATTTAGCAATTGTCACGAGTGTTTGTCCCGCTATTTCTCTTTCTTTCACAACAGCTGTTCGTTGTTCATTAATTTCTGTTGCTCTTTGCTTCATTTCTTTTTTCAAGTTATTCAAACCCTCCTCCAGTCGCTCGGCTCTGAGTGTTTTGTAGAAAGTTTCAACAATTTGTAAATCTGGTCCAGGTGACAACACTCTTTCAGTAACATCTTGCTCAATGGTTTCAGCGGAAGGACGTTTTAACACATCACTACTGGTCATTAGGCTTAAATACTCTCTCATGGGTCTGCTAAGGTGTGAATTAACTGTCAAATTCGAAATCATTTGTCCTAAACTATAAATGTCATTCACATATGGTTTGTCAACCTCAGGTGCCATGGTTTCTATGGTTCCTTCTCTCACCGAATCAACCTCCCTACATAAAGAGAAATCTGCAAGCACAACTTTAATTTGCTGAGAACGGGCATCAAACTCTTCAATTAAAACGTTATTTCCAGAAATATCATGATGAAGAAGAGAATGTTGGTGGACAATGCAAATAGCGTTTCCCATTTGGCAAAGTACTTGAACAGCAATAATTTGAGGCATATTCCTATCTGTCCCATACCTGTCGTTCAAAGTGCCCAAGTAGAGTTTCATCTTTAGACCAAGTACTTCATCATTTCCAATTCTTGTTTCAAACACGTCATAAATCGTAATAATGTTATCATGGTGAAGCTGCAATGGAATCTTTTCCTTCACATAATTATGTCCCGAGTTTTTTTGAATCATCTTCACAGCAAACTCCAAAGGTTCCTCTCCTGGTTGTTCAATTCGTACTTTAAACACCTTACCAAAGGCACCTTTATCCATGTATTCCAATCGTACAATGTTATCAGGAGTCTTGTACTTGTTCGTGAGATATTCCAGATAACTCTCAATGATATCTTGTTCGTTTCTTTGAGAGTTACCACCTCGGTAAAACTGAGAAGGAATTGAGGGTAAAGATCCGTTCGAATCGTTTCGTCTTGGATTTCCAACGTGACCATTATTGCTGGCTTGATTAGAGGAAATATGTTGTCTGACGGTTTGGGCAACAACGGCAACATTTGGAGGCTGCCTATTGTCCATCGTGTTTCGGTACGAATTTTGTGGGCTACGACTTGGAGAAGTGTTCATTTCTTCCTGACCTTGATAACCGTGTACGATCAATGGATCCTGTGGATTGTTTGTATGATCATTACTGCTCATACGAGTGATGGTAGACGGTTCTCGATGACGATTATAGATCATCGTTTGTGGGTTGCTGTGTATGTAATTCGAAGAATTGGAGGATCCTATGGTGGGTGGAAAGCCTTGATCACTCAAATTATTCGAAGAGACCCGACGAGAGTTGTTGTAAGAAGGGTGAGAAGCCGTATGGTTCAGTCCTGGCTGGTTATTGAAAGCATGAGAAGTGTTGTACGTAGAATGGCTTGAGTAATCACGTTCTTGAGGCTGTCCAGATGAATACATGTTTTGCCATCGATTTTCCATTTTTTTTACTTGACGAGTTCTCGAATGATGGACGAATTTGACACTTGATCAAGAAAAAAAAAATGTCAAGACAACACTCATCATCCTCTGGCAAAAACAAACCATCTCCCACTAGCCTGTCTCATCGTCATCTTGACTTATCGTGCGATGGGTCCACTGAAAGAGAACCTTCGAACAGGTTTCATCGTGTTCCTTCCAATCAACATTCCAAAAAGAGAACCAGTGAAGACAACGACGAAACAGAACCTGAAGATTGGGACCAAAGTAAAAAAAAGAAGAGTGATATCGGCCAAGTAGTTACACTAGAAACAGATGACGTTTATATTCGTCATCTTGAAGTGTATGCAACAAAGACTGGAAGGAAGATAGACAACATAGAATATTTGAGTAACGGAGGACAAGGTCGTGTGTTCAAAGTTACTTGGAAAACTCCACCAAACTGGAATCCTGAACTCTATAAGAAAACTGTTGCCGTGAAAGTTGTGTCCATTGCAACTAAAAGCAAAGAACCACAACTGAAAACCTTTCAACATGCCCATATTGCAAAATGTTACAGGTGCGAAGAAATTGATGGCAGACGTTTTTTGGAAATGAAGCTTTACAAACGCCATTTAGGTGAAAAAGCCATTGAAGAAACCGAGATTTACCGTGTACTCATTCAGATCAGCCAGGCGTTAATGTATTTATATAATGAGTGTGGTAAAGTTCTCCATAGGGATGTAAAAGTGCAAAACATTTTAGTTAAATACTCCGATGAATTCAAAGTAGTCTTGGCAGATTTAGGACTCGCTCGTGGAGAATTAACAATTACTGAAGGCAGATGTGCCATTGGGACTGAAGACTATAAAACTCCATGGCATGAAGACCCATCTCCCAAAACAGATATCTATGCTCTTGGTCGAACTATTGTAAAAGTTATTGAAGGTACACGATATGTTATGAAGGACAAAATTCTTTTTTCAGATCAGTTGCAGCAATTTGTTACTTCTGGATTGTGTAATAGAATTAAATCAAACAGACCAGACTATAAGACGATTCAGGAGCGGGCTCAATCAATGCTGAATGAATACTTAAACAAGCCTCACATGCTGACCTATAATTACGACGATGGTTATTTGAACGAGTATTTCGAAAATCTTAAAAACAAGTATTCCAATAAGAAAGATTCCCAAAAACCATTCAGTTATTCATTATAAGTCATAACATTGTGAAAGAACTATATGATGAACAGTTTATGTCTTGAGTTCATGTCATGTATTTCGACAATATCATCTTGTTCTATTTGAAATTGAACAACTCATTTGTAAACTTGGAAATTGAATAAACGTTCAAGTCATCCAATGACGCAATTTTGCCTTCATTTCCACTGTTAACAAGAAAATAACAAACAATCTGTCATGACTCAGCACTCCCCTTCATCATCAACCACTACTAACACCATCACGAAGCACAAAGAACCATCCTTCCAAGCACCCACCAGGAATGCCATCATTAAAACTGTGACTGGCAAATTTCCCATCACCATTTCCGATTCCACCTCGATCATGGAAATTAAACGAGCGTGGGCTCAACATCAAGGAAATTCATTGGATGATGAGACATTAAATTGCATGCTGAGAGTGGTGTTCAATCATCGAGTGTGGGAAGGAGATTATCATGTGAGTGATTTGCTGTTGAATTACTCTCCTCCTGATGATGAGAAGGAATTGGAATTTCAAGTAGTCGTTTCTTTGAGAGGAGGATAGTTTGATGACATGCATCCAACCGAGGACATCTAAGAACGTTTGAAGGAAGAGGAAAACAAACATAAGCTTTTATTGAATTTAACATAAACGTCATGTTAATATTTAAAATACTATACTTCTCATCAAGCAAGCGAACCAATCATTTGCCCTTCATTGAATTCATGTACATTACACCAGGACTGACTTTCCTTAATTTTGCAGTTCTGCATAGATGAAACGCATCAAGGTTCGCCTCAAAAAATGACAGAAAAACCTTTCAACAAAGCAGCACCAGTTCAATACCTTTCGGAGAAAGAACTACACAAGAGAAAGATAAGAGAGCTGGATTTACAGCTGAAATTTCTTGAAATGAAATTGCGAGTAGAAAAGAGGAAAATACAACAAAACGAAGATCAAAGAAAGGAAATAGAACATCAAAATGAAGAACAAAGAAAGAAAGAAAGGTACGATAAAGAGATGGCACAGGCAAGTGCAAGAGTAGTTGTTGTTTTTAGAGTTTAATTATGGTGGACAGACTATTACTTGCGACGAAATATTATCGTTTCTGTGGAGTCTTTACTAGTTAAAAAGAATTTTCATCTTTGAGTTTTTGAATCAATTGTTGCAAAGAAACAACCCATTCATCTCGATCTTCCTTGGATGGAGCCGACATGTAATAAATCTTTCCCGGTATTTCCACTTTGAATACAAATCTTCTCTTATTGCTCGATTTTTCTGGAGCAATTTCTGAAAGAGCCACTCGTAAATCAATAACACCTAAAGGTTTCGAGAGATCTTTGGCATCATGGAAATAATACAAGTGATGTCCATCCATTTTGAAAAATCTCTTTTTGAAAATGTTAATTTTGGGTCCCTTCTTGTAAAGATTTCCATTCTTGTCGAATTTGGGTTTTACATTTTCGGAAATGGTGCCTTCAGTCAGTTGTGGATTATAGTCTGAAGTTGCAGAATTTGTGGGCTCAGCAGCGTCATATTCCTCGTCATCTTCATCGACCACATGTTTGACATCTTCCATGGAATCCAATGAAGAGGTTGAAAGTGCTGGACTCTTGGATGGACTCTTCAACTGCTGTTGTTGTTGTGTACGATTTGATTCCAATTCAGAACGAACTTGTTGCATTGTATTCTTGTTAATTCTTACTGAAATTCTTTTTGAATTCATATTTTGCTGTTTTGGTATTTTGTCTTTTTTCTCTGAATTTTCATTCACTGTTTTAGGAGGTGTGACCACTGCTGTTTCATTATTGGTACTATTCAAGGTATCATTGGATTGAGTAGGTGAAATGGATTGAGATCTCATCAATGCAGAGCCAGTGTTAAATAAAATTCCTTGTTTCTTCAATTCACGTTCTAACATTTCAATTTTTTCTTTCGCTTGAACGAGTTCATTTCGTAAAATTCCATTATTACTTTCATGCACTTGTTGTAACACCATGACACTCTTTTTACGATTGGCATTTTCAGTCTTGATGGTTTGTTCGAGATCCTTCTTTTCCTTTTCGAGTTTTCTAGTTTCATTTCGAAGTTTTTGTTCATTTTCTTTGAGTGTGTTAATTTCCATATGAAGTTGGTCAATTTCTTCTTTGAGTGAATTTTCTTTGGATACAAATTTTTGTCGTAATTCTTCCATTTCATTTTCGAGATGAGTAATTTTTTGTTTAAATGTTTTTTCACCTTCTTGCCATTTCATTCTTGCAATTTCCATTTCTGTTGACTTCTTTCGAGCTGCACTGAGTTTGTTGGTGAGGTCAGTAACTTTTTCTTTCAATTTTTGCATGTTCAACTTTTCTTGTGGATTCAATGAAAGATCATCTTCTTCTGCATTGGATGAAGCTTGTTGTGAATCTGTAGCAGTGGTTGATTTGATGACTGTTTGTTCTATGGAAGGTGAGCCACTACTAAATTGTGACACCAATTGTTGAAATTCTGAAATTTTCACTTCGAGTGTTTTCATTGAAGTTTCAGAGGTCTTTTCACGTGCTTTCAAATTTTCTCTTTTAGCAGCATTGAGTTGTTCCAATAAGAGCTTGTTTTTGGATTTTAACTTTTCAATGAGTTGATGAGAAGGATCGTCCGCTTCGAGAGCTTTTTTCTCTGCTTCGACTAATTCTTCTTCGAGTTCAATGTTCTTCTTTTCAACTTGATCTAATTTGGAAGAGAGTTCTGCATTGATGGATTTCAATTCTTCGAATTGAGCTTTCAAGTGTGAAATAGTTTCCTGTTCGATTTCTTCTGATTTTTTATCGAGAGGAGTGGATACCGATGGTTTGGCTTTTTTAGAACTTTCTTTCAATTCTTGAACTTCCTTTTGAAGTTTTTGAATTTGTGACTTGTAATCTTCTTCAATGTTTTTGCCAAGTTGATTATTCTTTTCAAATTCTGCTAATTTTTCAGCAAGTTCATCCCTGTTCGATTCTTCATTGATCAACTTCTCCTTCAACTGTTGCAATTCTTCTTGCGATTCCTTAAATTGTTTTTCAAATCGATCTCTTTCTTTTTGAGCTTGCTCTAACAATGATTGACTTTCTTTCAATTGCTTTTTAGTTTCCTTGGATTGTGTCTCGTGTTTGAGAATCTTTCTTTCGAGTTGTGCCGTTTTCTCTTCTTCAAGTTCTAACTGTTCTTTCAGAGATGAAATTTTACTTTCTAATGAAGGAACCAAGAGTAATGCCTCATTCATTAATTTTTGATAATCGTCAGACGTTTTCACATCCACAACGCTCACGGAAGGAGTGATGACAACTTGTGGTTGAGGAATTTCTTTAATCTTCTCACTACTAGTTTGAGAAGATGCCTTGATTGTACCAGTATTTGAAGTTTCTAATGATTGGTTCAAGTCTTTGGGTGTTGCTTCTTTCAGAGTGGATGGTTGAGGATGAGACTCTTCTTTTGGAGCCGTTTCTTGAACAGAAGGAATTTTTTCATCTTCTACCACCACTGTTTGAGGTTTTTCTTGAATTGTTGAGGATGATAGTGGTTGTTCTTCAATGACTGGCTGAGTTTTTGGAATTTCTTGAATTTCTGGTTGTGAAATGGTTTGTTGAGCTTGTTGTTGTGGTACCAGTTCTTGTTGTGAAATTTCCTCTTCCGTCAACAATTCTTGTTCCTGAATATAATTCACAGTGACATCACTCGAAAGTTCATTAATCTTGGAAGCCAATTGCAAGAATGGAATAGTTTGTTCTTCCACAACATTGGTCATGGGTGACAAGGTCACAAATGCAAAACTCGCCGTGTTCACAAAAACTCTGGAAAAGAGTAAACATTTGAGAGTAGTTGAGAAGTAATCGTATTCATCCGATTCGGAATAGAGAGCTTCAGCAACATCTTGGAATACTTTACAACCGTTTTGACGAATGGTACGATGTGGATCGGAAGGTCTTTCTGCATCTAAATCAATGACAGTAAATCGACTTTCTTTGGTTAAATTAGTTTGAGTGTCGTGTTGTACAAATTTAATTTCAAAGAAGGCCGAACTATGTTCTGTGTGAAGTGTGTGAACGATTAGAAGGTGTATTTATCCAATTCAATAATCAACGTGAAATATATTGAAGACAAGGACCATGTGTTAAATTTGAATAAATTTACAAGTCACTTACTTTTGGATCGTTTCGCCAAAGCACCTGCCACGGATTCAAACAATTCAACGTCACTTGTCACAAACACTTCCGTCAGTCCAACAATTTCCACAACATTGGTTTCCTCCTCCACCAACACGTCCAACTTGCTTTCAACATTTGAATTTTTCAACAAATCATTCATCAAAGCATCCATTCCATTTTCCATTCCACAAATTTCAAAAGCATTCAACGACACTGAAAATTCAATATTCTCAGGCGACTCATTCATAATATAATTAAAAATTAATCGAATAAATCGAGGAACAATTCCATCAAACTTTTGAGGCTCACTCTCGGAGGCCCAATTCGAAGCTTTGGTTGTATTTCCGAAAAGTGTGAAAGTTTTACCTGTTTGATAAGCACCAAACGAAAACAAGGTACAATGTTGACCCTTCAACACTCGTTGCATCATTTCATGGCCACACGTTGCAAAGACATCTTCCTGAGTGTTGGTCGTTTTTAAAATTCTTTCAAATGTGAATTCGACACTATTGGAAACTCCGTGCTAATGTATTTGAGAAATGGGTATAAAGGAGAGAAGAGCGGGCATGTTGATGGGGTTGTGTCGATGGTGCAGAGATGATTACGACCGTGTTGATGATGGTGTTGAGTCAATTGCCAAAAATGGTTGATGTCAAAGATTTTTGATGAAAATCAAAACAGTATTGTAATTGAATCCAGTCGAATGTTGACGATGATGACGACCATGATGAGAATGGTGATTCCAAACAAAATCGAAGGAAAATAACAACTTACTTTGATCAAAATGTTTTTTCCGTTCTATTGAAAATGATGTGAGATTTTGTTGAAAAATGTAACACGAGTCACATACTTTGTGAAAAGCTGCACAACACTTTGGTTTTTCACTGCCACAGCTTTCGACTTCTGACTTGAGGAAGGGTCGAAACCTAACACCCACACGCATGGGACTCTCTTCCTTTTGAGCTGGTGGAATGACCTGTGATGACATTTTTTTTGAGAATGACGGCTGACAGTGTAAAGCGCAAATTTGGCGAACGGTGGCTTTTTTGATGTTGCGGAAGACTTTGTTCTATGATTAAAGAACCATCTAATCCTGGACCAAATTCATTGTATACCCCAGCTGGTGAATGTTGAACGGTCTCCAATTACTGAGTATTGTGAGCAAATCTTTCGTCAACAGAATGTAAAGCTGTGCCTTCTCATTCATGAGATGAATAATGTGTCTCAAATCTCACGCAGTCGTGCACTCTTTCCCGATAAGAAACTGCTCATTATGCTGAAATTCAAGAATATCGAATTGTTCTTTTCAAAACATGTTGTGTTAACTGTAAAATAAATGTGTTAACACTGTAAATATTTATGCTCCATATTTTGGACTCTTTCGTAACTTATAAGCTACTTCAGCTAGTATAAAATCAACAAGTATGGATGAATTTCCAGCATTTTCCAAGCATGATTTTTCTGTGAGATGTTCATTGTTGTCTCTTCTGGTTTCTTCTTCACAATATTGGACGCAAATCATCGATGGCTCATCAAAAACGAGGTGTGAAATATTTTGTCCATTCTTTTGTTGATAACTTTGTAATGGTTTGAAAAGAGATTTTGTATGCTGCGAGGTCATGGTCTCATTAAATGGGCAGCTAAAAAGTAGCACATGATAGACCTTCAAGGCAGGTGTTGTTTGTTGCATCTGTGAAAATTTTTCTGTAATTTTCTTGATCAATTGATCCGCATGTTCGATTCTTAGCACTTTTTGAGATGTTTCCAATTTCGATACATTATCATGCAATAACAAAATGTCATTTTCTAACATGGCTGAAGCAGCATTCTCCACTAATGCGTCCTCTTGATCGCTGCTGAATAGATCGCTAACTAATTTCACCTTGTCCTTTCTGTTACAAAAAATTTGTAAAACACTTGCGTTGGTGGTCCATGTTTGAACTTTCAATTTCTTGTATTTACAAAATAAACTTTGTTTTTCTAATCGGAGTTCGTTGTGTTTTTTCCAAGACTCCTCTTCCTCATCATCTTCGGGCTGTATAGGATCATAATAATCAAACAATTGCATCATGTAAGCTGTGTCTGTATTCATCAAACTATTGTTGAAATCGGAATGGGTTAATTTCCGAGTATGAATGAGTGTTGTGCCACCCAATCTACAAATACGATCCATTTCCTTGTGCTTGGATTGTTCCAACAAGAAACTTTCTGCAGACGATGGATTATGATAATTCATCAGCACTCCTTCCAGAAACACAAAAAGACACTTTGATGTTTGGGCCATTTTTATTTGATGGTTCTCTATTGATCGTCGTGTTCTTGCAAGTCTCATATTCTCTAGGGGCCTCCAGAAAGGCTTTTGTTCGGATTTCAATTCTTTGATAGCTAGCTTCAGAGGTTTTACAGGTGCAAAAGTTGAGAGTGTCATTTGGAAGATTGATTCACTCCTTCATCACCAAATCAAATTTTGAAATTAATCCTTGAACGGTTGCTGTGTTGTTGGCAATTGTCTTTAGGAGTTGTTTCTTTTCCTCAATGTCCTTTTCTCGTTTGGAGGCTGCTTCTGGTGTACATTCTTGAAGAGATCCAAACATGGCATTCAAATCGAATTTATCAAAGACAGAGGTCAAAGTGTAGAAATGTTTTTGTATTTTGGATAATTCGGAGAGGGCTTCCTCTTTTGAGAAGGGTTCATCGAGAGAGTTTTCTCTGGTGGTGAGTATAAGAAGTAGTTAATTATAGTGATGATGGAAATTTGAATTTTGAAATAATATTGAATACGTCAAATGGTGATGATTATATTTCATTTCTGATTCATCCAATTCAACCTACACTTTATCAAAATACTTTTCAAACATTTTCTCAAACATGTCTAGATTTTGGCTCAAGCCTTCCAACACTCGTTTCGGATGATGCGAAGTCATGATGATGAAATAAATTTTTAATTAAAAATGCTTCCCCTCACAGAACAACACACCAGAACCCCACAAAAGAGGTTCAATTTGGCTGAGAATTATGCTCTTCTAAACACAAATAATCACTCTTCAGATGAATATATTCCGATAGATGAAATGAAACCTCATCAAGATATTATGCAAATGTTTCGAGATGCCAAACAAAATAATACTTATTTGAAAGTACAAGCTCCGATGGTTCGCTATTCAAAATTAGCGTTTCGATTATTGTGTTTGGAGTATAATTGTGATGTCGTGTATACACCAATGATGATGGCCGATAGTTTCAGTAAATCACAAAAGGCTAGAGACTCAGATTTTGCAACACACGTTCACGATAAACCTCTCGTGGTACAATTTGCAGGTATGGTTTGGTTGTTTTAATTTTGACAAACTTTTTCATCAATTTATTTGACATTGATGAAATATTATTTTCAAATTATTGTTAACTATTGAATGTGTAAATTACCATCATTTAATATTATATCTCGCTCTTTCACCACTACAGCCAATAATCCAACAGATTTTAGTTTGGCTTGTCAATATATTGCACCTTTTTGTGATGGAATTGATATCAACTGTGGCTGTCCTCAACCCTATGTCATGAAAGAAAATTTAGGTGCAGCCTTAGTGACACAACCACAAAAGATTTTTGACATGGTCCATGAAGCGAACAACAAGTTTATATCTGGAACTTTTCGACCAATTGGTGTGAAAATTCGAATTCATCCAGACGATGATTCCTTAGAGTTTAGAAAAACTATTGATTTAGCAAGACAAATTGAAAAAGCTGGTGCTAGTTGGGTCACTGTTCACGGTCGAACTCACAAACAACGAACAAAAAACACAAAGGTCAATCCAGATGGTCCAAAAATTGTGAAACAAGCCTACAGATCCCTGTCATGCATAATGGAGACGTTTTTTCATTGAAAGACGCAAATGATTTAGCTTCATATACTGGCTGTGATGGAATCATGAGCGCACGAGGTCTGTTAAGCAATCCTGCACTTTTTGCTGGATTCAACCAAGTTCCTTTCGAATGCATTGAGCGATACCTTCAAATTTCAATTCAAGTCGGAGGTATTCCTTTCCAGTTGCTTCACCACCACGTAATGTTTATGCTGTACTCGCATCACCAATTTCTATCCAATGATATTATTGAGTTTAGTAATTGCACCAGTGTCGCCTCAATTTTAGACTTCTTTGAGGATAGAGGTCTTTCCATTTCACTGTAAAGCGGCATTGATTAATTAACATCAACTCGAATGGCGGTAAAGTATGCGTGATCCTCGGATATTGATAGTAATAGGTGTCGTAGTTTTCCACTTCACGAATCTCTCTGAGATTGTTGCACCCAGTTTTGTGAACTTGGTTTTTCTCCAATTTGGTTCCAGCGCTTTGGCTCAGGTCGAGTTTGGGTTCTAAAATTCTTTTGGAAGGTTTGGCAAAAAAATTCGGGCGAAGCGCATTTTGGCTCTCTGCAAACAAATGCGACTGCAAACCATGTCGTTAGTATGCAAGAAAAAAATGTCTGCCTCTTCATCACCCTCATTTCACAACACACCTACTTCTCCCATAGGCATGATCACGTTGGCAGGTGACAAGAATGGCAATTATAACGGTGCGACAAATGTTGCCAGTACGTCAACAATTCCACACCCCGAAAGGGCTAGCTATAAGCTCAAGCATAGTAGCAGTAGTAGTAATGGTAGCAACAAGTCATTGAGAAAGCACTCTTCATTTCCACCTCTTACCAAGCAAGAATTTAACTTTCATCAACTCAATGCAGAGCATCATGTACAGAATGATATTTTACCGAAAAAGCATCGTATAACCTTGATTTTTGTGAGAATTCTAGGCATTTTGACGCTAGGCATTCTCGATGTGGCTCTCAAGAACTGGGAAATATCGCTTATTGTGGATAGTTTAAGAATTGGAAATCGAAAAATTGTATATAATTCGACAGATGGTCATCGAGTGAAAATAACATACATGTGGAATCTTCTACTCTCAATATTAACATGTGGAATTTGGTATTTCATGGGTGGCATGCATACACACTTCTATAGCGTGATTGACATGAGACTATCATGGGGAGAGGTTGATAGACCTCGAAAAATACTTCTCAAGCATTCAAAAGCTGACATCTTTCCAATTCCGCTCAATGAGTTTGTCGTGTGGCAACCCCATCCACATGACTACAAGGGAGAACTTCGAATTTTCAACATTCACATGGGCTTTAAGAACGAACTCATTTATTTCCTGTTAAAACTCCTTTCCATACTCACGCTGGGTATCACAAGTCCTTTCGCTGATTACTTTTGGATGTACCACTCTCTAGGAAAAATGTATCTAGGAAAAGGTAGATTTATGGTACTTCCTCCAACATTGGCACAACCATTACTCAAACAGAATACTAGTAGAAACAGCTGCAACAACACGTCTGTGCAAGATGAGTCATCACAAGAACCAACACCCATTTACAAATGTGACTACCCAGTTCTAGGTCAAGATGTCATTCGATCGAATAGTAATAGCGATCCAAGTGGAGCAACAAAAACTAGCAATGACTCGTATTTACCTCTCTATGAAATGAAATTGGGCTTTTCAGGTTCACTCGCCAAGCTCTTCTACAAGCACTGTGTGGTGAATTGCTTCACGTTGGCGACATGTGGAATTTCCTTCTTTTTCTGCTTGAATTCACATCTCTTGAATGGTTATTATAACAAAAAGTGTGCAGTGCAGTTGGTGAGTTTGAGCTGATCGAATGGTAACATCTGACAAAGTGTTCGAGCATTGTTAGAAAATTGAAACATGAAGAACGGACAAGGTACGTCGAACATATGATGTGTGACGAAAAAGAATATTGTGCGTCATGCTTGCTCGAGCTCTTTAAATAAATGGTTACTAGAAATGAGAAACAATTATGAATTCATTAAGACAAACGATTATCTTCATTTTCATTTTTGTTGGATAGAAAAAGCGGCCCAGAACAGACATTTGAAAGTGTATGAACAAGGTGTAGTACCAGGAGTATGGCATGAGCAAGCAGCACTGCAAGGAAACAAGAATACGAGGCAAAGACTTGCTCAATTGCTTCAACAGCAATTTTCGAATTAGTGTGAATATGAAAGCTTGAGGATAAAGTTTCCGCTCAGTTTCATAATTCAAGTCGTCGCTCTTTGCGCACCACGTCACACAAAAAAAATGGACGCATCGCTGATTCACAACGACAAATATTTTTCATATTGGCTAACGTTTGTGGCTCTCTTCCGAGGCTTTTCTATTGTAACGGGATACATCCGACCACAAATTATTACCAAGAATGTGTATTCTAAAAAGAAGGAACCACTGGATCCGTTATTTGGAAGAATGTTTGCAAATTGGACCGGAGGAAGTATTTGTGCTTGTTTAATCTTGGCTTTATATCCACAATCACTTCCAATGCATTACATGAATTTATGTGCATTTGCTATTGCTTTAGGACATGCCTTGTTGGAATTTGGATATTTCAAAACCATGTCCTTCGTGAATGCTAGTCCAATGTTCTTCTTTGCAGGTTCATCTTTGGCTTGGGTGATGAGTAGAATCATGTCTGGAAAGTTGATGTAAACGTGATGAATCATTCAGCGCAAGAATTAAAATTTAACACATCATTACTTGCATTATTTGGAAGTAAAATGATATTTATTATTAATTAGATTTTATTTAAAAATGTATCGTGCATCCAAGATTGCCTCATATGTTTAGAGAGAATTTAGGAAATTAATCCAAGCAAGCGGCCATTTTGATCGTGCAGATATTAAGACCCTTAATTTTCGTTATGATGAGTGTTAAATTCTCTTCTGACAAATGTCAAATTCTTACAATTTCTGTGGCGAGGCCAGTAAGTTTTTCTTTACAGCAACTCTCTTCCGCCACCACAAGAATGCATAGGCAGGAACACTACCGAAAGCCACACTTGCCACATACGCGACAGCGATGGCTACAAACATGTTCATGTATAGCAATGCTACACATGCAGAAATGGCAAACACTGGAATACTTGTGGAGCCTAACATCATGGCAGAGGCAGCACGAACACTTGCTTGCTCTCCCTATGGAATTGTTTTTCAACCATTTCATTTGTCGTTTCATTTTGGGTAAAATATAGATCATAAACCATGATGTGTTCTTACTTACCTGAGTGAGCCAAAGTGTCACCATGGCAGTCAGAAAAATAGCAGGGAATGCTGTAAGTAGCCCAGAAATAATGGTTAATTTCAATCCACTCAAGATAACAGAAATTGCAATAATGATAAATGCAAAAATTCCTCTTGATAAAATCATCCACCATGCTGCTTTTTTGGGTGGTATGGGGTTTTTTGGAATGGTGATGGTCCAATTGAATGGAATGCTAATGATCAACAAGAGAACATAAAAAGAGCAACCCAATCCAATCAATACTTCATCAGACAATGTCACCGTTCGAGTAATGATAACAAAAACACTTGCAAGAACGAACCAAACCAACAGTGACAGAAATATCACAAGACACATTTTCAAAATAACATATCTCCTACTGTGGGGTTGTATCTGTACTTCTGCTTGTACTACTGTTTCTGAAGCTTCTGCCACACCATTGGCTACATCATGGTGTGAATTATCTTGGCTCATTCCTGAACTATGAATCACTTCTGAGGGTTGCAATAAATTTTCTTTCGTTGACTCGCGTGATAAATCGTCTTCGACTTCTTTCATCTCAGAGGGTACTGGTAATTCATCATTGTCGACTACCGTTGATTCGAAACTAGTTTCATCTTGAACAGACAATTCATGAGTTGTTTCAAGTGACTCTTTTGTGGGAGTTTCTTTCATTTTCTCAATTGATTCTATTGATTCTGTTGTTATTTTCTTATCTTTCCAAAGTAGTGATTTAAGCTTTTCAAACAGGTCAGGAAATACCTTCCACACAAGCAAGAACAAGCCGTTGCAAAAAAGAGCCCAAGGTATGACAAAAAATTGCTGAACCAATACATGCTTTTTCTCTTCCCACTCCAAATTTCGCTTATTTGCCTCAATAACAAACCCAATAGCAGCAGGTACAATGGTGGTTGGCAATGTTCCAATCACTCCACCGATTTGAGGTCCAAATTTTTCGATAATCACCGTCACAAGAATTGCAATAACTCCCGCAAATAATCCGCTCATGAATGAATTGAAATAGAGAGATTGAACAATGGGCCAGACCCATTCATCTAAAAAGGAATCTCTTGTTCCATTCACAATAGGAGATGAATTGTTATTTTCCAAAGTTGAAAAGGGAATGAAATCATTCCATGCTGTCTCGTAACGATCAGCCACAGATATCTGAAAATTGGAATTTAAGGTTGACGATGGAGAGTTCGTTTGTAATCCATCAGCATGATGTTTTGTTGCCAATGATGACGCCACAAATTCAATTTTTCCAAAAATTGCAATGATCATCAACGAAGCCAAAATTGCAATAGTTGAAATTCTGTTCGTGCAACGAAACGACGCCGGTATCATCTTTGCACTGTGAGAGGTTGTTGTTCAATTTGTTTAACAATACTTGGTGTTGAAATGGAGTTGCTGCAACGGAAAAGAATCATGCTCCGGTGTGCGTGATGAAGGTGCTCACAAATTTTTCCTTTCTAAATTTCCTTCTAAATGATTGAGAGTCCAATGATTATTAATAAATTTGAATTTGTACTTCAGGTAAATACCACAACACCTCTCTCGGAAAATGATGGAATTCAACCGTTTTCATCACGGACACGTGTAACCTTCTCCGAGAGGATCAAGTTTTTTAGAATTGAACTCTCAATTCTCATTCAGACGGAATCTGTCTTCAACAACGTAGACAGTCATTTGTGTTTTGCCAAGCCTTACTGAATGATAAAGCTCAATATTATTTTTTTTACATTTTGATGATGCAAACTTTGTAATCTAACATCAACGTCATTGCATTTCTCTTCGCGCTTTTTCATTTAAAAATGCAACGAGAAGACACTTTACTCTCAGCAACAAATGAAAATGAAACGAATCTAATTTTAATTGATTTTTTAACCCATGGTCAACTACTAGCAAATAATTCCTTGTTTATTAAACTCAAGAACAAGATGGAAGCAGGAACTCGATGGTTAGCACGAGGTTTTTCTACAAATTTTGAATGGGTTCATTCAATCGGGACAACAGTAGAATCATCACAGAACGATTTTCAAAATAATTGCGAAACGCATGTGTATCTAGAATTTCCGTATGATGTCAAAATCAGTTACAATCAGCAATGTATTTTAATCACTGACTTTCTCACTCATCAATTGCTCGTATGTGATTTAATGAATTACTCTCCTAAAGCATACATCGACGCTCCGAGCGATTTTCCTACTCATCAAAAGTTTGTGTCTCAATGAAATATCTGGAGAGCTTCTTGTATGCAATTCATCTGGTTGTCAAGTACAAATTTACAAATAGGAAATTAGCGAATACTACATTCAAGCCAGCTGTCCAATTAATTTAACAACAAATAGTTGTAACACTCAGAGATTTCCAACTTTGTCCTTGGTACAACAAGTTTGGCTGTGTGTGCTTCAGTAAGCCTTCCAAATTCCAAGGAAATGAGCAATCCATTTAATGATTTCTTCAATGTGTGTTACTACCCGCACTAGCGCTTTCTTGTTGGTTCGAAAAGTCCAAGCTCTCAATTTCTTTGGAAAACCTAGCACCAATCACCAATCAACTAGTTCTCGTTTAAGAAGCTTCAAGTCAGACACAGCTGTGAGATTCATCAAAAAAAAACCAATCCAATAGCAAATCAACATGAAAGTAGAGGTTATTCCCAACCTTTACATGTCATCGTTACTACTATCCATTGGCATGTGTGTCTTCATGCATGTCCTGTGGATGGCCAGTATGACCCATGCACAATCCTCGTGTCCTCACCTGGATTCAGGGCTTATCAAATTCTCAACTCTCCCCAATTACAATGTGCTGAATGCAGATTTGACTATTACTCAACGAACACTTGTGGACAAGTCTCCTGGTGTGAAATTGAGAGCCATTCAGGTCTTGAGCGGTGCTTCCCTTGTATTCAATGATGTGGCTGATATCGCTCTTGATGTTGAATGGATTCGAGTGGCGTCTGGTGCTTCCTTCATTATGGGTTCTCCTTCATGTCCAATCCAACACAAAATTGTGGTCACGTTTTATGGTAACCGAACAGCAGACGACGTGATTGGAGTGGATCCATATGATAACACACCTGGTGGTAAGTTGTACTTGTTGTTTCATGCTTTGTAACAACGAATGTTATGAATGGTCACATCATTGCATGACCACATTCCTAAATTGGTCACACACGACATTAATACTGGCGGATGTCCAAACTTCATGTATTGTGGATACGATCACCAATGAAACAGGTTCTAAGGGAATTGTCTTTCAAAGTGGATCTATGGTTCAAATCCATGGACAAGTTCCAACACCTACATGGACATTCCTGGCAAAGACTGTCAAGGACGGAGAGAATGTGATCAAGTTAACCGAAAAGACCTCATGGAAAGTAGGAGACTCTCTCGTGATCGCCAATACAGATTATGGAGAGTTGGTAGAGACTAGAAAGGTGCCATACTCTGAAGGTTTAGGTTGGATGAATGGCGTTCCTTTTCCTGCTCAAACTGAAGAGAGAACAGGTAAGTTTTTAAAGTCAAAACATGTTTGATTCACCACTGGTTTAAATATCACTGACATTTGTTACGCGATGATCATTGTTGATCTGAACATGTACAGTGGTGAGCGTTCTGGATGGTGGTTCAACGCTCGTGTTAAACAAACCTCTGAATTACACTCATTGGGGTAATGCTCACATGAAAGCTGAAGTTGGAGTTTTGAATCGAAATATTGTGTTTCAGGGAGATGTCAACTCGGTGAAAGATTCATTTGGTGGTCACATGATGATTCGTGTCGTTGAAAAAGCAACCTTAGAAGGTATTGAAATGACACGAATGGGTCAAAGAGGTTTCATGGGAAGATATGCCATCCATTGGCACATCCTTGGCGATAAAGCTCCAGAAAATGATTCGTATTATATCAAGCCGTCCGTAGTTCATCATGGTTTCCAGAGATGTGTGGTCATTCATGACTCGAATAATATTTTGATTCAAGGAAATGTATGCTACAAGAATGTGGGACATCAATTCTTTTTAGAAGATGGTGGTGAAATGGGAAACAAATTCATCAAGTACGTATAATGGTTCATGTAATGATTTTTCTGACCTATTCCATGCATCATAATTGGTACCATTTTCTTTTTTCCATGAAATCATTCAATCATTGTTGAAAAAACGATCATAATATAGAAATTTGGGTATTGATCCGATTGCTGTTGGTAATAACGATCCAACTCAGATCCTCCCCTCTGACGCAGATGTGAGCGTATTTTGGATTACTAATCCAAATAATACATGGATTGGAAATAGTGCCGTTGGTTCAAAGGTACGTTTTAGTTGTTATTTAGAAGATGATGTCATATTGAGATGAATAATAATTGATTAATTCTCTCATGTTATTCATTATCTTGGCAAAATAGTTCAATTATTGGTTTTCAATGCCATTAAAACCAACGGGATTGAGTTCCTCGAAATATGCCAATAATCCACTCATGACTCCAAGAACCATTCCTTTGAAAGTATTCGAAGATAACATTGCTCACAGCGGAAATCAAAATGGTAAGTCTTTTCATCAGCCAATTTTATTCATTTTGTATTCATGTTGAATGCATACGTGATTGGTCCTAAAAGGTATTCATATCGATGATATGGTCATGCCAAATGGTAAGACTGAAGCAGCCTTGTATCGACCTGCAGATCCCTTTGGAAAGCCGGTCGTGGCTTATTTCAAACGTGTAATTTCGTATAAGAATCGAAGATATGGAATTTGGTCCGAAGGAGGTCCAGTGTTGTTTTCAAACATTATAGCTAGTGATAATAGAATTCAAATGGGATGTCCACCAGTAGGTATTTGTGTATATTACATCATTATTGGTTTTTATTTCATGTTACGTTTTTTGTTAAAATCTTTAGGGACCTGTTGGAATTTTCGATTCAACCTTAATTGGCGATTCAGAAAATGTTGGAGATTTGAAATCCATGCGTCCAGGACTTGATACAGATGGTAGAACACGATCCATTCCATATGCCATGGCAGATCAAATCACCAAAGGATTTGAGACCTATGATAATGGTGGTCCACAAGTTCTCGACTCGATTACTTTTATCAATTTTACTTCGACTCCAAGCATGCCAGCTGGTGCTTTGGGTGCGTTATCGAATGCTCCTTTCAAACATGAATCAAGGTACGTGAATTTTCTTTAACATGCAGATTTATTTGAGTACTTTCATGCCACCTACGAATAGAAATCGTTATCAAAATTTAAAGTTCATCAATGCCAATGAATTTTTCTTACTGAATGGAGATTACGATGGTAATAAGGGTTCGGTCATTCTCGTGACTGATAATTCTATCAAATCTGTGGATCCTGTGAAATTCAAATCAGGTGGTTGGCTCATTAGTAATGATTCGGTTGTTGCTTTTAAAGAGTGTATTTTCAAACAGGAATGGCAAGGAGGAATGTGTCCTCTCTTTGCTGAAGGATACTCTCAAATTGTGACTGTGAATCCAAATATTACCGGAAGTGATACCACCGGTTCCAATGGTGTGCCTTATCCTGACGTTGCAGATCCATTGAAGAGAGTTCCTAGAATTCGATATATTGACATGGTGAGAAACAGAGAGACTGTTGGCAATGGTGCTTCGATCAGTCGCTCGAATGGAGTCATTGAGTTCATTATGGATGTAAATTTAATTAATAGAGGATTTTATACAGTGAGATGGGTCCATAATACACCAACTCCAAGAGCGCTCAAGTTTATTCATCAAGGAACAGCCCTCAATGACTGGCTGGTCATGTCCGTGCAATACGCAAAAGGAACAACTTTCACCATAACAAAATCAAGATTTGGTAACCCCACCACAATGCAAAAAGGAAATTCCATGGAAGAGATCATGAATGACCCAATGAAGTATTTCTTTGATGAAAAGTCAGAGCATTTATTCATCAAAATGCAAAATAGACCTGATTATGGAAAATATTATAGAGAAAATTGGAATTTCACAGGTATGTTTTGTGTTCATGATCCTTATAACTTTAGATCTAAATTGCAAAATTCGATCCAACCTCTATGAAAACAGATCCAATTTCTGATTTTTCACAAGTGACGATTGATGCCTCATGTCCCAATGATAAGTGTTCTCCATCCTCATTCGAGCTTCCACCAAATGCAAACCTCTTCCATAAGATGTACAACAAGGAAGAGCGTTATGCTGGAATTCTTCAAAGCTGTCAGCAATCATTAGTCTCTCCTGTGAAATTCGTACCAAAACAAGGAAGTGGTGTAGTCTTTGCCTTCACATCACCAGATCGATTACAAATGGATTTTGTCGTGCATCACGACTTGGTAGGAACTGCCACAGAAATTGAGGTTGGATTTGGAAATGAAGGTCAAGAAAAGCGCTTCCTTAAAGTCCCATACTACATCTCGCCTCATTCAGTGGCAAGATTCATTGTGGATTTGAGTTACAATGATTATTTAAGCTTGTTGAGAGGAGAAATGTTTGTTAAAGTGTCTTCTCTTGCAAATCCAAATGGCCATTTGAGAGCTCAGGTGTTGTGTAATAATGGAAAGACAAACGGATGTTCTCTTCCATCACCCATCGCTAAAGTAGATATGTGTGCTGCTGTATCGAGCCCAACCATTGATGTCTATACAGATTTTGAGAAAACAAAATCCCTTTGGACCTATTCTGTCTTTAGCCATGCTCTAGATTCGAGAACTGCGTATTTAAATTCTTCTCATGTCCATGCAGATGGTTGTGGAACTTCATCCTTACGAGTTGGATTCCAAAACGGTGCTGTTGCTATGAATCGTGTGGATAAGAATGCAGCACGAGTGGATTTAACACAGTACAAGTATTTGGAATTTTATGTGAAATCATTGACAGGGGCTGTCAAATTAGTGCTTTATCCATCAGAGACAGTGAACAATGCCGTTGTCGATTTACCCTCGTATCCAATTCAGCCAAGGCACATTGACAATTATGTGATTGATGACACTCGTTTTTCAAGAGTTCGAATTCCGCTTGCAGAACTTGCCACTACTTCCAAACTCGAAGCCAATATCACAAGATTGTTGTTCAAATTGGCATCGACTCATACCTCAAACTTTTACGAAATGATTTTCGAGAATATTCGTTTCATTAAGGAAGCTGGCTCCCCAGAACCTACCCACATTCCAATCACCTCAAATGAAATTGCATACTTGACTGATTCGACATTTTGTGGATCCAAAGTGTCTCAAGATCCAGACTATGATCCATTTGGAATGAGAACTGCTGTGTTACCTCCAGAATTGAGTTCTTCTTCACCTCTGCCACCTGTTGAACCTTCACGTAGTATGGCTCATAATAGAACTGTCTCGAGTGGAAATGCAAAACTTTCTCATGGATGGTCTGTGGTTGTTGTGTCCACCCTGCTATTGGTTTTGCTAAATTGGATCATGTAGACTGTGATTTTACATTTCCAACATGTGCTAATAAACAATAGAATGGTCAAATCACTCAACCACATCTTTTTCATCTCTCCTTTTAAAAATAGTGAAAAAATGGTCCTCTCATTTCACATCCATATTTATGTTTTGGATTATGAAGTGATATTGTGAATTATTGAATTTGTTCGATTTTGGTTTGTTTGCCAAATTCCATTTCGACACCAAAAAAAACTGAAAAAACAACAAGCAGCTGTTTGCGAAAGCTGTGTAAAAAATTTACCGTTACAAACAACCAACAGTCGGCAACGAACTTGCCCAACGGTAAGTATGTCCATTAAGCATCCGCGTCCTCATGATCATATCATCTCATTGTTTTAAAACAATGGTGGTGATGATACTTTTATCGTTTTGTTGTGTTGCAATGATGATGTACTTCATTCCGAATGGATGATGATTGACTATGAACAGCTAGCTCTCATTTAAAATATACAATTGAAGAGCCACCATCATCGGAGAGATATTTTCGATTTCATCGTCGTTGCTATTAATTTTGAGTGAAGGAGGTTGTCGAGCCTTTCGAAACCACTAATTATTTCTATATTTATTCATTGCACCTACACATTGAGACAAAAATAATTTATTGTGTTCAAATTCGATTCCATACAACACATCATCATCATCCAACAAACAAAAACCACCACAACTCGTGCCATCATCATGGACTTTCTACTTCACTTGAACGCTTACCACGCACTCAAGAATCAATCTCAAACTTCCGAAACGGAAAGTGTTTTAACTAAACGACAACTTCAGCGAACTGAAAAACAAGCTAGAAATGATCATCTAGAACTTGTCAAACAAAAACAGTCGCTTCAAAGTTATCAAGAAGAATTGCAAACTAGGTACAGAGTCTTGCAACAAAAATTGCAAACACAACAACGTGAGCATGAGCAAATGAAAATCGATTTAAACAGCAAAATTGAGAACCTCATTAAGGATGGCAAAACTATGGAACAAAATTTTGCATTGCTCACCAAGCAAAAAGATGGAGATATTGAAAATTTAAGATCTAGAATGGATATTGAGGCCAAGCAACATTCGATCTTGAAGAAAGATTTAGAGCAAACCATCGAAGAACTAAAAAGGCAAATATCTGAGAAGGAGAAGAAAATAGAGTCTCTCAGTTCTGAGATTCTTTCCCTACAAGAAAAGCTTCAAGAAACAATTACAACAAGCAAGCATGAAATTGAGACATTGGAGCACCAAACTGCCACACTTCATTCTGAGCTTGGAGAATTGAAATTATCGTTCGTGACTGAAAAAGAAAATTTGATGAAACAAATTTCAGATACCGAATCTCAATTAATTATGGCACAGCAAGAACATTCATCTCTTCAATCAACCTATAACTCTACTCTCCAAGATTTACACAATATCACGCAACAGTTAGAGGGAAAGAGTGAAGAAATCAGCGCCATTAACTCCCAACTGTCGACATCACAGTCGGAAGTATCTAGATTGCAAAATGAAGCTTTAACGACAAAGAACAAATTAGAAGCAACAGAAAAAACAGTGGCTTCACTCACAAAACAGTTGCGAGAAAATCAAGATCAGCTCAACGAAATTCAAAAATCACTTTCCAATAAGGAATCCGAGTTACAACGTTCAGAAAACTCTCTGTCAGAACTCAGAGAGACACTCCTTCAAAAAGAGAGCCAAATACAAAAGGAAGAAAGCGAATTTCGTGCTCTGGAAAATTCTCTCAGACAAGAGGCATCATCTCTTAACACACAAGTTTCTAACTTAAAGTCACAACTCGAAAGTCTCGAGAAAGCCAAGCAAAATCTGCAAGAGGAAAAAGAACAGGAAATTACTCTGCTTCAATCTAATATTTCTCAAAAACAAAAGAACATTGAAGAATTGGAAAGAGAGAAAGAACAAATCTTACACGATATGAAACAAACAACAGAGACATTGAACAGTCGTATTTCTGCACAGGAGCATGATCTCAAATTGCAAAAGGAGCAGAGCAACTTTTTGAAAGAAAATCTCGAACATACAATATCTGAATTACAAAATACCATAATGAAACGAGAAGAAGAGATTCAAAAGGCCAGCGAGGATCATCACGAAAAAGTGGAAGAACTTCAACTCTCTATTAACACCTTAACTCAAACTTTGTCACAGAAAGAGACAGAAATATCACGTCAACGTGTTTCATTTGAATCTCAAACTGATACACTGAATAACCAAATTGAAGAGTTAAAGAAGAATCTTGCCAAGAAGGAACTCGAGCTCTCTCGAAAAGAGCAAGAAAAAACACAAGAAATTGCAGAGCTCAATAACACTCTTGATCACATGAGAAACATTCTGAGCAAAAAGGAGGAAGGGCTTCATGAAAAAGAAGAGGAAGCTACCTCATATATCGAAGGGTTAAATAAGATTATTAATGACCTACGAAATACCATCACTAACAAGGACACAGAATACAAGAGACTTGAAGAGGAACACAAAAAGGAAGTGGATACACTCAATGATATCATCTCACAGCTCAGATCAGAAATATTGACTCTCAAAGAGAAAGATCTTCAACGAGAAGAGACCATTAATCAGTTGACAATGGAAATTTCCAAGCTCAACACTGAGAAAGAGAGCATGGCTACCAAGGAAGAAAACAAAAACAAAAAGGAGGAGAACTCATTGAAAGAAAAGCTCGACGAAGCCTCAAGAAATGTCACCAGATTGCAATCCTTGTTAGATAAGGAGCGTGAAGATAAGGTGAAGCTAAGCAATGAGAAGACTAAGCTTGAAAATGATGTCAAGAAGGCTATGTCACTACTCACGAGTAGCAACAATAATCATGCTCATGAAACAACTCTTAATTCTACAATCAACAACAAGATTCAAGCGTATGATGAAAAAATCAAGGAACTATCAAATACTCTTACAAAGGTTCAAAAATTGTACCAAGAAAAGGTCACGAGACTCGTCAAAGAGAAGCACACGATGCAAACCGAGCTCAACAAACAAACAGTCACAACAACCAATGGAACTGCAACAAAACCAAACGTTGTCACTCCTGAAGTACCTGCCGTACATATTTTCAATCCAATTGGAACTCCAATTTCCAAAACCAATGCATCAAGCCACGACGCTCCAGAAACACCTCCAAAGCAAATCTCCACTCCTGTCACTCCCAATGTAAACACTCCATCTACACCAAACTCTACCACAACATCCACACCTCCTGTTGCTCTCTCTCCAGCCATCCAATTCCTTCTCAGAATGAAGCAAGAAGGTTTCAAACTTGAGGAAAAGCCATACTATTCCGAACTCATGGAAACAATGAAAGGCAAGTCAGTAATGGCCCTATTCAGAAGAGCACAACAAGCTATGCCTGGTGATTTAGATCCAAAAGATTTGTATTACTACACTGAGAAGGCCATCGGTAAATGGATCTCAACAATTTGTAAAGAAGAATACGACACTACTTGGACATTATACGATAATTTGAAAGATGGTGGACTATTTTGTAAAATAGTGAATAATTACATCTTCCCAGAGTACTCTAGCCCATCCAACAACAACACTCCAGTGTGCCTTTTCAAGTTACCAGTGAACAAGCAAATTGAACAGGAAAACGTTGCACAATATATGAAGTTTTGTACAGTGTTGAACGTCAAGCCATTGTTCACTTATGAACAACTTGCAAAGACCTCAACAAGTTCCGCTGAGAAACAAGTGATTTTACAAAATTTGTGCATGTTATTCGAATTGAGTATGGTGTGTCAACAAAACAAGAAGAGAAAATTCGAATTTATTGAAATTTTGAAAAAGAACCTTTCCTCACGAACGAGCTTGGACCGAGTTTCGAGTACGACCACATCTTCGACCACTTCATCAACTGCATCTAATGGCACTCATGACCACCCAGAATCTGCCGAACACAACAAGAAAACGAGTCGATTCAGTCTAAGCCCTGGCGGTTTGACTGGAATTAAAGACACAATCAAAGATTCATTCTTCAAGAACCTTACTCACCTTAAGGCAGGAAAAGAGACCACCAAACCATTGATTGAGGGAGAAGAAAAACCTGCAGATGAATACTTTGACTAGGAGATTTGCATGTAAATAAAGCGAGTATATTGATCGATGTTGGGATCATCACTGTGATTCTTTTTCGGAGGATTTTAGTGTTGCATTGAAAAAATTGAACGAACATCCGATCATTTTCAACCTCCGCTTTGTTACTTCAATCAAAATTCGTGAGGTTGCCAAGTGTGAGAGCTCCTAGTAGTAGTAGATTGGAACTTAAAAACAAAACAAATTAATAGTCGTCGTGAACACTTGGGATTTCATTAGTTTTTTCCGTAATTTTGATTTCATTGTGAACCAACAACAAGAAGAAGAACAACACTGACATCTTTCAACAACATCCGAACAACAATTATTGCTGACTAATGAACGGAAATTTAAATAGTTATGTGATTGGAGTCGACCACGTTCGTTTCCATGTCGATAACGCTCTTCAATCCTCGGCCTATTATTGCTCTCATCTCGGATTCACTCCGATGGCCTATGAAGGTCTTGAAACTGGAAACAAGGATTTTTGTACTCATGTGGTAAGACAGAATGAAATTATACTGGCCTTTACATCGGCTCTTCATAAGGCTCCCTGTAGATTGGAATTGAACACCCAATTACATCCCTATTTATATACGAATTTGAGTCATTGCCGACATCATAGGATTGGCTCATCCACCAACCATCATCATCATCACGATAACAACTACAATACAATTCATAACAATTCAACCACCACCACGAGTGATTCTCCATACATACAGAATGATCCCATTTACAAATTCTATGAATCTATTCAATCCCACGGAAGTAATCATGCTCATGACTTGGCCTTGTTAGTAAGCAATGTTGAGAAGGCTTTTGAACAAGCTTGCAAACATCCAAAAACCATTCCACTTTCTCCTCCTACAAGAATTTACTGTAATCATTCCGATGATGAGGATTATATAGAGTTTGCTTGTGTGGCGACTCAGTTCGGAGAGAAGGCTTGGATTCATACACTCATCAATCGAGATCATCAAAAAGCTTCACCATTTTCGCATCAAGCTCATTGTAATGGACATTCCAATCATCAACATTATGAGGAGGAACAACAGGGTGTCTTTTTACCTTCCTTTAAGAATACTTGTAAACGAAACGTGTCGAGCATTGGTAATTATTTGGAATATTTGGATCATTTTGCAATTGCCATTCCTAAGGGAACTTTGGTTGAATTAATTGGATGGTATTCACAAGCTTTAGGATTTGAACGTTTCTACAATAATGATGATGAGGATCAACAAAAAGGAATTCAAATTAAGAGTTCAGAAAAAGATTTGGGTGGCTTAACAACCATGGTTGTGGCACCCTCATTACTTTCCTCTCTGAATAGACATATTGAGCTACACGGACTCGGAGAAGATGACAGAAACACCATCAGTGAGAAGGAATTACACGAAAGAAGAGAACTTATTGCTTCGAAGGTCATGAAGAAAATGATTAAATTTGTCTTGATTGAACCAGTGAACACCAAACACTCAAAGAGTCAAATTCAGGAATTTTTGGATTATCATGACGGACCAGGTGTGGCACATTTGGCTGTTCACACAGAAGATATTATCAATGCCGTGTCCAAATCAAGAAAGGTTGGAGTTGATTACATATCTGTACCTCCCACATATTACAAGACATGGAGAGAAGAGAAAGCAGAGCTCTATAACATGGTTGTTGAAGATTGGGCTCTCTTAGAAGAGAATACCATTCTTGTGGATGGCATTGTATTTCCAAAAGATCAAGATTTAGAAGACACTGCCGAGAATTCCTCTTCACACAGTAATAATTTCCGTTATCTTTTACAAACATTTACCAAACCAATCGAAGACAGACCAACCTTCTATTTTGAAATAATTTCACGAAGAGGAAACAGTGGCTTTGGTAAAGGAAACATCAAGGCACTCTTCGATGCCATTGAACGATTACAACTCGAACGAGGGAATTTGTTTATCGATTCAAATGGAAGTAAATAGGGATATCATTTCATGGTGACGACTTAATTGCCAACCTTTGACAACAAGAATTCTCGCATTTCGAAACACTTCTTTACGAAATTAAGAAACACCACTGAGTCACTTCTCTCCTACAATTGTAAGGTTCTAAGTGTATCTCTTGGATGCTAAATGGTAATGAAGTATTTTTTCGAAGAAAATGTCCGTGACATCAAAGAATTCGGAGTTGTTCGTTGTAAATTATTGTCTAAAGGTCGAACCAATGGAATAATAACAAGAATTCCTCACCATTCGACGGTGTTGTCAACACCTGTTAGTATTCGTAAACCTGACCATGAACGGCGCTCATTTGTGTTGTAGATCTACCTAGTTCATTCGATGTTTTGAACTCTCCCAAAAGCAACACAGCCGCCGAGATGGATGACAGCTTTCGCGGAAAAAACCTTTTTCCAATTCAACTCCTTCATGCAAACAGAAACATTCTAAAAAAACAAACTCGGTGTCATTGCAATCTCAACAACACGAATCATAATAACACAATCACACGAATCACAACAACACAATCACACGAATCATAGTTCTCAACAATGAACCCACCCAATCCTTGCAACAACAATCATCCCAACATGAATAATCCCAACATGAATAACAACAACAATATACTACCACTCATCCTCTCTTTGCTTCAATCCTCTTCCTCTCAATTGCAATCGTGGCTCTCATCCATAAGTGTTATTCTTGTTGTCATCTTTTCCAATCTTCTCTCAACATGTCATTTTGTATATTCCCAATTAAAATCCAAGCTTGTAACAAACTTTTCAAATCCTTCCATCACCTCCACTACAACAACCCTCCTCTCGAACGCATGTCCCAATACGACCACTTCCTTCATACATTCCTTTCGATTTCTGACATGCAAAATCTTGTGGATTGTATGGTTGGGAACGAGTGCATTGTTTTTGAACTTGTTCTTGTTGAAAAAGATTCAAAATCATCATGGATCATTTCCATCACAAATGTTCATTCATCATCATCAAAATCAAACACTTCTTGAACAAAATTCAACCAATGGCCATTGGAATGAAACTTCATGGCGAATACAAAAACATGTATTTTCTGGATTTTCTTTTTTAAAAGGATATCGACCACCGTCGGTTCTGGAAGTTTTCCAACCATTCATTCTCAAGGATATGGTATCAGTATCATCATCATCATTGAAAAAATCTTTGGAACAACAACACCTTCCTAAAAAGGTAATTGAGGAATTTGGTTTATTTGAAAATTTCACTTCGACCTTTCAAAGTTCTTATCGATGCATTCGATATCGACTCGATTTGGAACGAAAACATTTTGCTCATCTATTCACCACTTGTTTATTTGAAAATATTTGTTTCAATCGAAAAGGCGAATGGATTTTATTTTCAAAATCTCCACATGCGAAAGAGAAGAGTGAAAAAGTTTGGGTACAAACCAATTCGTATCATGCGTTGACTGGAGATATTCATCGAGTGAGAATCAAAGTGTTGGATCCTCCAAGTGCAGTGTTAGTTCGAGGAGTGAATGGAACTGTTCCTAATTTGGGAAATTCAAATGTCATGGAGTTGTCAAAAAATTTTAAATGGATTGAAAAACCAACATTTGGTACTTCGAGACATGCCACGAGTAATATTGGTCATGCAATTTTGGATAATTTTGCTCTCGTCTTCAACTCGATGATTAATTTTGATTATGTGAGTCCTGACAGTCATTTACTCTTTATGGATGACATGTATCCTAAAATTCCAGGAGACACTCGAACACCTGAACTTGTAAAATTACACGGAGATTTAGCAACGAATAGTTCTCTAGAATGGGCTCGAAGAATGACCAATTTAGAACCATTACAACAAGGTTCCAATCATGTCGAAGGATCTTTTATTAAGAACGCTCCATGTGAATTTCATGGAATGAATCCCAATGATGCACATGCACATGAAATGGATACTTGTTTTTCGAGTTTCATTGTTGGATCGACTGGTTCCATGTATAGCTTTATTGAGGGACGAGAATCTGTCATTACCTTATTTCGAAAGTACTTGTTGAGACAATTGAATGTAAAACCTCAGAAGAAGTTTTCAAAAGTGTTCAGAATTGCGATTCAGAACAAACCATTGCATTCGATCAATCGAGATGCTATTATTAATGTCGACAAGATTGTCAATTATTTAAGACAGAATGTCACGGAAAGTGAAATGTTGGAATTGGCCAATAGTGTTCGAGGGAAACATGAACCCAAATATGAACGTGTGGAAATTGTGAATTTGAAATTGGAGAGAATGTCGTTTGAGGAACAAGTACAATTTTTTGGAGATTTAGATGTTTATATTTCCACACAGGGAGCTGCTTCGTACATGTCACTCTTCATGACGAAACCAAATGCAGTCATGTTTTATGTACCCATGTGTTTTAGACACACTTTGACTTGTTCGGATTTGAACTTGAAAATTCATGAGACTTGGGCGACTGAGGTGAAAATTGTTTCCTTGATTCACTATACTCATTTGTTGGAGTGTGTGAAGGGAAATTCTGATGAAGAACCAGGATTTAAGGTGACCGCACGAGTTCACTCCGAACCATATGGAGATTGTCATGAAAGGATTGATCCTAAGGGTTTATATCATGAATTGATCTCAAAGGCATTACAGAGATTGCTGTAAATAAGCTCGGTCCTGTAGAAGAGAACCACAAAAGTAATTACTTCAGAGTTTATTCCATTGCATCAAAATTAAATCATTAAGAATTTCGAAAAAGACTTTTTTCACACTGAAGGATCATTTCTTTCAAAAAAACTTTCCCAAGTTGCATTTCCAAACAAGTAATCTTTCCACTTGAGATACGTCCTTCCTCTCGAAAGCGGGTCCCATACACGTCCCAAATCTAACCTTAGACTTACTTCTGGCACATCTAAAACTTGGATTGGCTCTTTTAACAAGTAAGATTCAGGAATGTCGCATCCACAATATTCCAATTCCAATCTCTTCTTTTTCAAATCCTTGAACAACGTTACCGCTTCATGGAACGTCAACTTTTGAACGAGTTGAACTTTATGACTCTTTTTAAGAAAGAGAGTGAGTTTTTCTGTGATTGTTCCACAATACTTCATACATTCTGTTACAATTTCAGAGGTTAACAAAACTTTAGCGGAGAGAATACGGTCAACTATGGTGGGATTTGCTTTCACACATTGCAAGATAAAGTCAGCATCCATTAATAAATGACCTGGTACATGCATGAAAACCTTTCCATTTCTCTTGATGATATCAATTATTCCTTCTCGATCACTCGGTTCAAAAAATCTTTGAAATATTTCGAGTGCATCACTCACATAACAAGCATTGTTTTCAATGGCTGCCCAAAAACAATCCCTATCGTCATGAAATTGTGTTGGAATGTCAGAAAATGAGCATGGGTTTCTACTTTGCAATGCTGTTAAAATGACTTGCTTGTCATTTAAAAAATGTTCCAAAACGTCATTCAATAGATTCCCATGCGCGTCAAGTACTTTTAAAACAAATTGTCTGTCGTTTTGGAATTTGGGCAAAATATGGTGAAAGAATAATCCGTGTGCCTTGACAGCTTGGATCGCAAAGTTTCTATCATTTCTCATCTCAAGTGGAGCAAATTGAAAAAACAGCTCCCAATCCTCTCGTCTCCAAAAACATTCTTCATCCAAAAAGTCTTCCGCAGCACAATCATACTTGTACATTCGTGTCAGTACTTGTTCCCATAACGTTTTCAAAGGATCGTTTTCGAGTACATTGTTCATTGAGGTTGCAAACCGACCTCTCCTCAATTGTTTTCGTTGTTGATAATTCGTGTGTACTCGATAATATTCGTCAGGTAATTCATACAGTATTTGTAAACCTTCTTTCCATACATCTTTAAGGCTCTGACACCAGACATCTTTGAGAAATGATTGTAGAAAAACATGCAACTTGACATTTACAGGTAGTTCATTGAGAATACTTGTTGGTAGCTTGTCTATGAGTTGAGGAACACATGATTGGATCATGTCTTCTTGAATATTCCCATACATGTCAGTGATTGGAGTATTCAGTAATTCAAGAATGAATTCTTTATCATTTTCCAATTCAATTGGCAACCATGAATCATTGTCTGCGTAAAATCGAAGTGATTGCATACTGAATCTTCGATCTTGTTTCAATCTTTCAGAAGCATATAACGTGCAGTTCTTTGAAGGATTACAACGGATTGCATGCATGACCATTTCTTCATTGTCTCTCAATCTTTCGGATAGCTGAGCTAATAAGCAACGACCATCTCCCAATGCTAACTTTGCTTGATCAAAATCATCCAAATCAAATAAAAAGTTGAAATCATAATATCTTGGAAAGATTATTGACAATTCTACTTTCCATTCAAGTAAAAGTGCTTTTGGAACGAATTTCAGGATTGTTAATCGCTCTGAAGCAACAAGTTGCAAGATTCCAATTTTAAAAGGTCTCCAAAATTCAATATTTCCAATAACTTCGGCTTGTTTTTGATTATTTTCAAACAATTCTGAAACGCCCATTCGTTGTGTCAACCATTGGACCTCATGCCCAAAACTAGAACGGGTCGCGCCATAATTTTCCACATACTCCCGATCGTTCATGAATTCAATGGGAATATCACGGTTTTGTTGTATCCACTGGTGTCTTGTCTGTAAATATTTACTGAAACCTTTCGATTGATTTTCAAATTTTGTTTTCAAACGTTGATATAAAAAATTAAGGAAAGCACAAGAAATGGTGTTCGGTGATGATTCCACAAGATGATGAAAATCAATTAAATTAATTGTAACCAAGTGATTGTTGAGTTTTGGAGATTTGTGTTTCAAGACCGAGTTGTAATGGCAAGGAGCTGCTCGTTTCATTTGTTTGTTGTTTATCACGAGCGTGATACTCAGTGCTTTTTGCGAGGTGACTTCCCATCTCACTCCATTCCCTACTCATGCTTGTCAAGTTCCTTTTTCGCTCAGTTTCGTCTCAATGTTCCGGTGGTAAGGAAGAACTAGATGATGACAGTGCAGAAGTACCGTTTCACCACACACAACTAGCGTCCATTCGACTTTTTATTCCATAACAACTGTGCATGCTCTTTCACATCCAACAACGGGAAAAAATGTGGATGTTCACAGGGCAATTGACCGTGTTCCTTAATGATTGTTTCCATACGTTCAATCATGTCAATACCTTTCATGGGAGAGGTGGCGTTCTTGGGGGACGTTGGTGGTGACGATGGCGTATTATTGCTTGTAAATCCATCCTCCGTCATGTAATAGTACAACAAGAGAAGAGCATAAATGTTTTTAGGATCCATGTCCACAGCATGAAGCGCTAATAAAAACGCTTCATGCCTTCGATCTTGATCGAATAAGTAGAGCAACATGGACTGCACAAGTGTCATGCAAGCATTGAGAGAAATTTCCACACCCGTTTCCCAATCCTTAAACGTTAAAATAATATTGTCGTTTGAACTTCCAAAAAAATCCTTGGCATGCAATCCTTTCTCAGCAATGCGAATACCTTCTTGATGGGAGAAAGAATCACCATTTCGATGGGTCATATTTTCGAACAGTCGAATACATTCCAGTAATTCTTCTGAGAAGGATTCCAAGTGATTAATATCTCTAGAGTAGAAGACATGTTCTACAAAGTAAAAAGCAAAAATGAAATAATCAATGCCCACAATATCAGGCCCTAGTCTTAGACATGCAACAAAACCTGTCTGTTTTAGATTTCTAAATATTGTGTTCAATATTTTCTCCCTCATTGTTTTATCTGGGGATGTGGCAAGTAGTTGAAAATTAATTATATTTGCCGATTCGAGAGGATTTTCTAAAAACTCCTCAGTTTGTTTTTTGATGTTGGTTGGAGCCAAGCATTCGTTGAAAATGTTCAATTCCAATCCAATATTAGACTCGTTTGAATTCGAAGCCACAAGATTGACAAAATTTTTCATCACTAGTCGCATCATTAGTTTTGTAATTCTCACCAAATTTAACCTCTCCATTTGTGCCTCATGATTTTCTCCACTCATATCGAGATTGGGATCCAGTAAACGATCATACAAAAACAAGTAGACGCCATAGGCTGAGAGAAATAGCTCTCGTTTCATTTCTCTCATGCTCTCGATTGAGGGAGCAATTTGTAAAATCGATTCAAATGCTTCTTCCATATGATGAATGTTAATTGAGATTTGAAATGACTCATCGTGCAGTTCATAGAGAGAGGACTTGACTGGAGAACAGGCCATCTCAGCAGCGATCGTGAGAGATCGAGGCTGTGACGAAGATGATAAGGGTGGCGATTGCATCTTCTTTGAACTCTTTCTTCTCCTTTTCGTCTTTTGTTTGCATTTTAACTTATTGGATGACGACGAAGTAAATAGTTGCGTCTCATCAATGGAATTTCTTCGTCGTGACACAATTTCTGAGAGAGCAGGGCTACTGTCTTCCTCAAGAGGATCCCCACTACTATTAGTCGCCAAGAATGAATTCTTGGAATGTGTGGTCAACGATTGAGATTTGTGCAATGGCGTCATTGTGGTCATTGGGGATGATAAGGAACACATTCGGTGGTGTCGTGTGTGAGTCTTCAAACCAGCAGTTGTTGTTGTAGTACTAGTTGTGCCAGCACCAGCTGAAGCAGAAGTGTTTCTTTTGTTGTTGAGATTATTTTGTGAATGCTGCTGTTGATGACCCTTGTCATTTCTGTTGTTATTATCTCGCTCAGAGATACTAGATGCCAAATCGGGAGAATGTTCATCATCCATTTCATCAAACAAGAAGTTGTCGGCAGTAGAGCTTGAAGTACTTGAAGTGAATGTTTCTTCATCGGCATGCTCACTCTCGCTACTGCTAATACTATATTCATTATTGAACCAAAGAGCCTTATATGATGGCGGTTCCTCATCATCATGAATGTGTTGTGGATGAAAATTAACACGTTGTTTCTCTACGGGTCGGTTTAAACTAGGGGATGGAACTGTTGGATGAGCTCTTTCTGAGATTGGGATTGTTGTGTGTTTCTGTACATTCTTCATCCAGCCATTGTGTGTTTCTTCTTTGGGTTTTATCGGAACAGGCTTGTGCTTGGTTTCGGTTGAAAGGTTTACTTCTTCCTTCTCATTCATTACGCGTTCCGTAGAGAGATGATGGACGAATTATTGCTGTTGTTGTTATTCTCGAATAGCTCTTGTGAAGACTGTGCAACGTGTGTTCTTTCTCGGAAATTATTTCAACAAACTCAGAATTGCAGTAGCAGAAATTGAGCCAACCCGTACTTGTTATGATGTCTATTACTATTATGATTATTATTAATACTATTGCACAAAAGTTATGAACTCTACACGGAATGTGCTTGTGGTGGTTCAAACTTTTGAACGGAAATTTTCAGCAGTAGGTGCAAGCGAGGTTGGTTCTGTTTTTTCGTATGATGTGTGTTAATTGGTGCACCAACAGCAACCACGAACAACAAAAGAAGTCTTTTTGTGTTGGAGGAAAATACCCGAGATTGGCTCAAGAGTTGATGAAAAATAAGCGCAACACGAAATTTTGCGTTAGTTCAACTGCTGCTGTTCTATTGTTGCCTTTCAAAATGTTTTGAATTGAGGGAATAAATATTTAGTTGAAAGTATATCCCTTAATCTCACAGAAACTATTTTATTAATTTTCGTAACGAAGACACATGTAAGAAGAAATACTCTCTTTACCCAGTTTCTCAGAGTATTTTCGAAGCAGTTCAATTTCTTCAAGAGTTGGTGCATCCACCGAACGGTAAAATGATTTTCCGTCATCGTCAGCAAACTCATTGTACAAAACATTTCCATCCTTAAAATCAAAATTAATTTTCTTCCACATTTCAATGTGAATCCTTCTAAGGATTAAATGGAGTTCCTTATCACCGGCGTCGTAGACGAACATGAATTTCTTTGAATCAATGTTCAATAGTTCTAATAGATGATTCTGTTGCCCCTTCTCCAAGAGCTCCTCATAAATTTCATCGTCATCAAATTTTATTGGTCTCCATTTCTTTCTCTGTTTTTCAAAATCAAAATCATCATTAAAAGCAATACCAAGCTTGGTATGAACCAAGTCTCTTGGAATGAATCTCTTGATCCTTTGAATGAATTCAGGTCTTTGCCATCCACGTACGCAACCATAGACAAGTACCATGTCATAACAAAAGCTCATTTTTTGAATCATGTTCTGGGGTTGAATTCGTCCTCAATGAAAGTGATTGACTTTGTGATTGCGAGCTAATGAGTTTTGCACCGAAATGAAAGGGCAAATCAATTGTTCAAGTGCCATTCAAAGAAGATTAGCATGTCATGTTCACTGATGCAACATGTAGTAGTACTTTTATTATCAACAAGAGCTGCAACTCTTGACGTTCTTGAATTAAGCTGAAGTACAAGAGCAAAATGTGAAGAGGGATATAAACTTCCACAAAGGATTCCACACCGATCTCGAAGATGCTGTACTCAGATTAGAAGTATCTTTGGATTCTTTGGGTGTTTGATAGGTTGTCCATCGCAAAGAAAACTCGGTTGGTATTTCTAAAATGTGTCTCTGAATAACAATCTTGTCTGTGTTGACAGGATGTTGAGGAAAGTCGGAAGCAATCGAATGGTGTGCAATTTTCTCATTAAAGAGAACATCGAAATAAATATGAAAAACAGAGAAGGGCATTTCTGGAGAGGCATTCATGGCACCCAGTAATTGAAGTTCCTCAAAATCAATAAAGTTTGCAAGATATCGCGAGAATGGAAGTGCATGTTGATCGTCTCTCATGCGACATGTTCTATTCATGACCTGAACATGGAAAGGTTTTTCTGTTGTGAGCGATGGAAGTCCAGAAAATGAACTGCTCATGAATAGTTGATCGCTCGTTGCAAGAAAATCGTTTGGGTTCACATGATTGAGAAGAAAAGTTCTCAAAATAGCTTCTCTCTGTTGCAAGCTCAATCTATTGTAATTCACGTAGGGCATCAGTTTGGTAAGATTTCTCACCAGTGAAATACAATTATCTTTAACCGTGTGCTGTTTAGCCACTCGGTGCGTATGTCGCTTGACCATCTTATTTCTATAGCTCTTGAGTTGGTTCTTGTTGATTGTTAAAAAGTCCATTGCAAGCTCGGAGTCTGTTTTTTCGTAATTGTCCATCAAATGTTGCAATTTTGCTTGCTGTGTTTTGGATTCCAATGCGGCAATCTTTGGAGAAAAGTAATCAGAAAAGAATCTTGGAGTGAAATCATGCAAAATGAAATAGAGTAACATTCGAGAAACCTTTGAAACATCATAATCAAAGTGCTGCGAGGTTTCATAAGAGTTCATAATAATTTGAGCAATCTCATTCCTCATTTCCAAATCTCTTTTGCGATTGTCGATGGAATGTGTGGGGTTACTATTCGTGACACTTGTAGCGCTTTGATTATTGTTGGGGGTTGAAGATTTCAAAGACCAACGCAGGAGGGACGACTTTCGATTGCTGGCTGGTGGTGATGGTGCAGACCTCTGAGGATTAGAATTACTTAGATTATTGGAAGTATTGGCAGGAGAGGAAGAGGTGACAGTTGTGTGGGAAATGGTAGTGGTGGAATGAAGAGATGCTGAGGATGGTTTGTTGTTGTTGTTAGGCGCGTTATTGTTGGAATAACGAGATTTGGGGGAATGAATCGATCGGTTATGAATTGAGGCGTGACTAGTCGACAACGACGACTGATTTTTGCATTCGAGAGGAGTGGCAGAATGTTGATGAGTGGGTGAAGATGATGACTCTTTCGAAGCATCAAATTGGTAGACCTTTCCATTCACACCGTCTTTGAAAACAGAGCCTGACGAGATCTCAATAAGGTCCTTTCTTGGATTACCATCGAGTGATCTAAAGTTGTGATAATAGAGAGTAATTTCAGGCATTTCCACAAAGCTGAAATTGCGTTCATGAGTGGGAAACTGAAAGTCAATATGAAGTGTAAACTTGTCAAAGGCTTTCCAATGATTGACTACAATGAGATGGCGAGTACTATTATTGAGAACATTTCTCTGTGTATCTGTGGCATCTATCTCATTGGCATCTGTAAACTTGTTGCTCACAGTTTGATACTTGAAGAGTGGTGCAGAATTTCTGACCTCAAGAATTGTCTTTAAACGTTCGAGAAGAATATTTGCAGTGTTGTTTGTTTGTGTGGTGTTTGACTTGTTGCTGTCGTCACTACTAACAGTACGTTGTTGCACCTGTTGACTTCCTCTTCTTCCCCTTGACAATGTTTGAGAAGGTTCCATAACGTTCACAAATGGTTTGGAATTGGCCGTGTTGCGAGCACCACCAAAACTGCTACTACCAGTACTGTTCTCAATGGTCTCAATAATGACCGTAGATTCTTGTTGTTTTTGAGCAGATAGCGATTCTTGAGGTCTGTTAATGATCTTTTCCAATTCATCAAGCCAAGGAATAGGTTTGGAAAGATCCACATCGACCTCGACCTCAGCATCATTTAAACGTCTAAAGCCATACTCTTTCACCCAATAATCAATAATTGCGTCCTTAAAGAGAGTGTATGCATTAAATTGCATGCATCGAAGTGGAACAAATATCACTGGATGATACATTTGGCGTAGAACTTGTTTCAGGAAAGGGCTTACATGTGTCAGGTCTGAAGGTATAGATGAAACATTTCTCCTCGAAGGTTTTGTCACTTTTGTGAAAACATCTTGAAACATGTAGCTCAGAGAAAATTTGTGGTAAAACAATCGGCATGTCGATGCCAAACTCTCAAATTGAGAAATATCGCAGTAGGTGAGTATCAATCCCAGCATGTCATCTTCGAGTTGTGTCAATTTTGTCCTCGACTTGGTCTGAATGAATCGAGGAAGATCTTCGAATAAACTAGTTGTGAATGGAGAAGTGTTGGTTACGGGTGTTGTCTCTTCTGAAAAGACTAGAGGTGACAATTCACTGTTTTCGTGAATGGTCGTTTTGTGATCCATGTTGGCGCTAGTAGAAGAACTGTTGCATGAAGCTTCTACCAATGTTGTTGTTGTTGAGTTGTGATTGGAAAGAAGAGTGGATGAAAGTGTTGTGTTTAACAAAGTTTGAGTAGCTACGGATGAATCATCATGTAGTGGCGACGTTGTATGGCGCTGATTGGGAGTTTCATCATGCATTCGATTGGTTTCCAGACAAGTTCCCATGGAAACTGCGCAGAGATCAGTATTATCATCATTATGGGATGATGGCATCAATGCAACAAGAGAGGATGTGGAATGAGAAGGAACTCTGGTGTGAGGTTTTGTCGTCGTGGCCGTACTCGCAGTCAATTCGGGCTCTCGTTCAATCGTGGTGGTCGTTTCGAGTGGTGTCCTGGTTGCTGCTTGGTTTGTTTCCATCATGATGGACATTGTGGTGTGTGCTTCTTCTTCTGTACTGCTGAGCTGCTGATCAAGACAGGGTGGAGAGGACATGGAAGATGTGTTGGAAAGGGATTCCAAGGACTGATGCGTGGTGGTGGGTGAAGTCGTTGTTGCTGTTATGAGGGTGGTCGTACAGGAAGAAGATGTTATGGAAGAAATGTTCTTCGCATGATGATGATGATGATGAGAATGATTTGATTGTTTGTCATCATGTGGATGATCAGAAGGTAGAGTGGAATGGAGTGATTCTTCTCGAGAAAGAAGAAGAGAATCCACACGATCAAAAGCTGGGGAATGTTGGAACATGAAGAAGAAGAGGCTTGATGAGAGTTGGACGGCCGTTTGTTCTCCAAATCTCCCAATGTCGTTAAAATTGGTAAATCAACTTGATGATTCAAACTAGGCGTTAAAGAGTTGTTGTTGTTGTTGTTTTTATGATGATTCAGGTTAGAGGAGTGATTGGACATCTCGGTCGTTGTTGTTATGGTTGTGGTTATTATAGATGATGAGGTTGCTAACGAACAGGAAGAAGCCCCGGCTTGGTCCTCTTCGTCCGTCATTTTCCCAATAGTCTCCTGTGTATGAAGAGTTGTTGTTATTGAAGATGAATTAAAACTTTCAAATATATCCTTCAAAGAGAATTGATTCTTCTCGGATTTTTACAAGGTCTTCTTGTTTCTAATAACTTGTTATTGTTCTGGTAATAAAAAAACACAATGCACAGAGGAATCTCTTTGGTTCAAAGCTCCTGTTGTTGATGATGATGCTGCGGCACTGTTGTAGGATGATTGTTTCTCTCAAGTTCAGAAAAACAAAGGCTTTGTCGCTAAATTTCAGGCTTGCTGAATGTGTCTTGAAATCGTTTTTTGTTGCTGAAAAATTGACTGTTGACACCTTCGTTCAAAAATATAAATAGTAGACAAGGACCTTTGTGTCAGCCGTCTCGGCTTTTGGCTTTAAAAATCCCCAGATACAGCAATTTATTTGAGTCTGTCGAACAAGATTTCAGTTGAATTCACAACCGTTCAAAACCCTTAACTCTGTCTTTGAGTGAAACTTTATCGTCTTCTCTTTCCTCTTTGCATGAAAGATATGGCTCGAGTATGATGATACTAGTTTTTGTACATTTTTAACTATTTATTTAGTGAAAAGGAAGTCTTTGCTAAAACAGCAAAAAATGATTGTTGTTGCGGGTTCGCTTTGGTTATTTGAGGAAATGTGAGAAATTCATTGTGATTTGGTTTCAACTCATGCCACAACAAGGGCAAGGTTGTAGGTTTCGCTGTGTTGGCAGTGCCTGGATTTCATGGTCGCCAGACATCTGACACGAAGGGACTACGTTCAAAACCTCTAAAAATGATTAGTCCTTGGAAAAGAAATCAGAAAAGGATCAGCGACAAGAAATATGCTAATTCTACATTGTTTGAATAACTAAATAACTGAGAGTATTGTGATAATCTGTCTTGTCTGCTCTATTTACAACACCAAGTTCTTCTGAGTGACATACTTTGTGAATCGCTTCTTTAAAGCTCGGACAATAGTTTTCAACACAAGTCAGGGGGGAACACCACGTCGCAGTTAATCTGGCTCAATACACCAGGTCTTGGAATGCATGGAGGAGGCACACCGTTGTTCAATTCCAACAAATCAGCAATTTGAACATTGGGAAGAGCTTGCAACACATGCACCCCATGAGATGTTTTGCATTTCGATGGGTTCTCGCAAGTTGGGGGTAAAATAACAGTGGTCTCATCTCGCATAAACATTGCATAATAAGCTGCACTACCTGGATCTGAAATGTAAACGTCCACGTCTGAGAAATATTTCACTTGTGATGGAATGCCTGGGAATTTGTACAAATCAATATCTTCAATGATGAGTTTTCGTGTTGAGCCGTCCTTATTACGAAGCAGTTGCTGAACGAATGGATCCTGAGGTAAGTGTTTTCGTAAATAGTCAGCCAATTGGTCCACGTTGAAAATGGCTTGAAGGAAGCGGTCTGACATTTCTTTTCGATTAATAGCAATGAGAAGATCTTTCTTCATGGTGTAAGCACGAAGTCTTTGTTTTTGCTGAGCTTTGGAAAACTCTCCATCGAATGGAAGTATTTGTAAGTTTTGGTAGGTCAGTTCTCGAATTTTCATATAAGTATATTCCTTTCCGTATGGGTAGATCACTAAATTATTGGTGGTGTGACCAGCATAAAAATTGGTGAAACAAGTTTGCAACTCCATTCGTTTTGAACCAACAACTGAAGCTGCAGAGGAATCATTTCGACATGGTGCTGGCATAATTCTCCATTGTCCACCCACAAAACATCTCTGCAGAACTGGATTTTGACTCAACAACTCTCCACCTGTTAATGAAAACTTATTTCCCAACTCGAGATCATATCCAAATAGACCCATCCAATCAAATCCTTCCTTACTTTCCAAATCATCCAAATACAAAATATGATTGTCTTGTAATTGAGAACTAGATTGGGAAGCATCTGGCGTTTGAAAATTCATCATCAAGCCCATAATCATACCCAACGATTGCGAGAGAAAATGTCCAGCATTTCCAGCAGCATAACGTTTCAATGCATACACTGGCTTTTCATAAATTTGAAAATCCTTTGAGAGGGCGACTGGAGCATAAAAATTCTCATTACAAAGTGCATCGGGATTTGAGGCCACACGGGATTTTAATTCCTCAATCGCTTCATTTTCTCGAGCTTGTTCAGTAAGACTTTTCTGAGCTCGTTCCTTTCCGTTATAGACCCTACTCTCAGTCTCACCTGGTTTTCCACTACTACTCTCAACCGCAGGGGTACCATAGCTCAAAGTTCGATTCACCAACAAACTACGACATGGAACTTGTCTTGTTTTTTTCACGAACACATTCTCCACTCGGGACTCATCATGCTTATTCATTTGCAGCACCAAATCACCATCGACGAGAGCGCCAAAAAAATTACCACGATCGGAATGAACGGTTGAGCCTTGCGTGTAGACCCAGGGTCGAGTGTTCATGGTTTCAACAATACGATCTCCAGAGACGCGTTGAGAGGGTTCAAAGAGAACAAATTCACCACTCGTGGTCATGCAGAGATTTTCAATTTTACAGGAAGCCATGTAGGTATCGGTGCTGTAAACATTTGGGAAACCATCGGGAATGAGGATCCGAGGTTCTTCCAAGTTTCCGTATCGATTGCATCGGTGATGTCCGAGGAGAGGTTTCAATGTTGGAGAGTATTTGCTAAGCTTGGTATGCGAGATGGCTTTGTTTTGAGTTAATTGTTGCATGAGTGAGCTGCTCCATAATTCGGAAGCTGACACTTTTTCAAAATCGCGTTCTTCAAACACAACTGAGGATGGTAATGAGGAGACTCGGGAGTGCAATTCTTCTTGGATGTATCGAGAACGGAGACCCCTCAATGAAAAGGATTTAAATTTGTTTGCCGACGACAAGGTTAATACAAGAACAGTGAGGCAAGTAGTGATCATGGCAGTACCGATCAAAAACCAGAATGCTTTAAATGGAGGAAGAGAAGGCAACTTCATCGTAGTTGAGGTTGTTGCAAACATCTTTTTGAGCATTTGCTCTTGTGATGGCGTTGTTACAGGTGGGCTAGCAGTCGCGGCTTTGATATCTCGCGAAACTTGGGCCAAGTGCATTTTAAATGGACAATTTGCAGAAGTGAAATATTGCTGTCTTGGAAAAAATAGAGAAATGTATTGTGATGAGGAAAGAATCGATTGCTACCAGTGTTGCAAAGTGTGGGTGTTGTTATGATCGTTATCCTTGGTCTTTTTTTTGAATGAAAATTTTGTATTCAGTAACAATGACCGTTGACATTATCCAAGCACATTTAGTTCACTAACAATCGAATTTGTATGTGAAGGAATTGTAGAACAATGAGCATACAATTTGGCGGCAACAACAAACACTCAAAATCATGATGGGGATTGAAAGGTTCATGTGAATGTGTCACTTGTAAAGGAAGGAATAAACAATTGGTGCAAACTGGAATTAATTTGGTACACTGAACTCCGTGAAATATGAGCTCACCCATTGTCATACAACGTTGACCAAAACACTTGCACACCTCAGACCCACATCAATCGAGATATTGCGCTTTCAACGTTCTACTTTACATCACTTTCTTAAGGATCACTTGGGTTCAACATACAACAAAGCGCGATAATGATCCTGTACAAAGTAAACAACTTTTTATTACTTTCTCATCATTTCACTTATTGAAATGAATCTGCAATTCTCTTCAACACATCTGCATAAATGGTTTTATAATTCTCAATTCCCCACACAAAATCAATATGCCCATAATCATCCAAATACATGACATTCTTCACATGATGTGCAGGTAATTCACTCAACAATCGTTGCACATCTCTCACATCGGCCAACACATCCAATCCACCATGATACACAGCAATATCCACATGGAGATTTCTCAACTCAATTTGAGGTGCACTGAATTGATGATAATGTGCATAATTTTCCACAGTTCCATAATCAAACATTTGGAATTTTCCTGAACGCACTAATTGAGCCCAATGTCCTGCATTTAATGTTGAAGTACCGGCAGGTAAGCGATCCATATAGAGTGGGAGTCTTGTTTCATTGGCTTTTGATTTCAATCCATGACATCCACTCATCAAACAATAGGTATTCATGCAAATTTCCTTTTCAAGAATACTATTGGAACAAATATGAGGTTCCCATTTCTGTAATTGTTTGGTCGATGGTAAAAATTCATCCATACCAAGACTTTCCAATACTTCATCAATGTGAAGACGAGCCAAAATTTTCACCATTTCACTTCCTGGATGATTCAAATACGAGACTGGAGCCAAAGCGATAAAAATGGAAATTTTATCCGTGAAATCTTGTGGACACGCGGCATATTTCACGCTTTTAGAGGCCGTACTTGTGAAACATTCCAATGCCATGGTACATCCTTGCGAGTGTCCAACATAGGCCAATTTTGACTGTCCACTCACTTTGAGAGCATGTTCGACCATGGTTGGTAAATCCAATGCAGCCATCTCATCCCAAGTGAATTGCCAAAATTGTTTCGAGTCCTGTGAAAAGTAAATGTTACGATTGGAATATTCATTTCCACGAACATTTCCAAGCCAGACATCTTTATGAACAAAGTGTCCACACCACATAAACAACAACAATATAATGATCCAACTTACCATAACCAGCATCTGCTAAAATAAATCCCAAAGATTGATAGGGTAAATTATTGACCCATGTCGAACTGCAATCTAAAAAGCCATGTTGTAAAAAGACAACTTTTCTTGGAGTGGTGGCTGCAGCATTGGAGAAGCGACCACGAGGAATTCTTTGACTATGATGTGAGATGTGAAATCGTCATCGTGTTAACGTTGTTGTATATCATTAATGTCAACAACAGTACGGATTAAAAAACATGATATGTTGTTGTTCATTCAAACAAATACGTACAGGGATAAAATATAGCCATCGGGTGTTGTGGCATAATGTTGTTCAACTGGATAACCCCAATATTGAATCAATTGTGTAACGTTGGAACGAACATTTTGAGCGTTCACAATATTGTCGTTACTCAATGAAGTCATCGTCGTCATGGTCAAGCATAGAACCACAAAGATGACACGGAATGTCAGAAAGGATGACATTTTGGTGTTGTCAGACAGAAGGATTGTTTTTTTTTCAGAGTTCAGCATGAGAATCTCTCTCTGACGAATAGTGTGTGCTGTGTTAACATAAATATTCATGACACCACCTTCCAACAAGAACTGTGCGCTGAAAATTGTGCGTATTTGGAAAGTGAAATTTTCGATTCGATGACTCGAATCACTCCAGCTCTTTAGGCTGAAATCTTGTCATGTGCTGCTCAGAGTGCAGTTCGATTGAAATTTTCTTCTCGTTCAGTTCGGTACCCGCCCAACGTTCGGGTCCTTTAGGAAAGTTTCTGCATTCAAATATTGTTATTGATTGCGTTCATAATGAAGATAATTCATTCTTGGTGATGTTCTACAAAACAAAGTCAGGAAAATACATAAAATAGTTCTCCTAAATTCAATGCAAAGCTGGTGTCACAACTTAAATAATTATTACATTTTGGAGAGTTGATGTTTGGCAAGATTAATCATGTGTACTTCATCAGGACCATCTGCGATTTGTAATTGACGAGCGCCAATCCAAACTCGAGCAATGGAAAACGCAACTTCGTGAAGTGGTGACTTGATGTCTGAGGGTGATGTCAATAATCCTTCAGCTCCAAATATCTGAATGGCACGATCGGCAACATTTTTACATGCTCTTGGAACAGCAATTTTGATCATGGCAATTTCGGAGCGAGCATGTTTGGCACCTACTTGATCTAACATGTAAGCAGCCTTGAGAACAAGTAATCTTGCTTGTTCGATTTCAATTCTTGATTCTGCAATGTACTGTTGAATGATGGCATGTTGTGACAAATTTTTGCCAAATGTCTTTCTTTGTTTTGCTCTTGAGACCATGAGGTCAAAAACTCGTTCAGATAATCCAATTAATCTCATACAATGATGAACACGTCCTGGGCCTAAACGAGCTTGTGCAATGTTAAAACCTTGTCCTTCTTCAAATATTAAATTAGAAATTGGAACTTTAACATTGGTGAATGAAATGGCCATATGTCCCGATGGTGCGTCGTCGAGTCCAAACGTTGAGGCAGGTTTTTCCAATTTCACACCAGGTGCATCCATAGGAATTAACACCATGGATTGTCTGTGGTGTAGACTTGGATGATTTGGATTGGTTGCTCCCATAAAGATGGTAAATTTACATCTTGGATCGCCTGCTCCAGTGATAAACCATTTCACACCATTAATAATATAGTGTTTGCCATCTTCTGATTTTCTAATGGTTGAGCTTACATTGGTGGCATCACTTGACGAAATTCCATATTCAGTCATTGAAAAACACGATCGAATGTCACCATTGAGGAGAGGTTTTAGATATTGTTCCTTTTGTTCAGGAGTCCCAAATTTCATCAAAACTTCCATATTTCCAGTGTCAGGTGCATTACAATTAAATACTGTATATAATTAAAGGTAGGATTGAGTGTTGCCGTTCAGAATCATCCGTTTAAAGAACAATATGAAGTCAATCACATCATCATTTAAAAGTTCACATACCTTCTGATGCAATAAAGCTTCTTCCCATAATTTCTGCAAGAATGGCATACTCCACAGTGGTGATGGGTTCCCTCTCATTATGTTGACACAAGAAAAAGTTCCATAGTCCTTGTTCCTTGGCCTTTCGTTTCAATTCTTCAATAATGGGAGGTACTTGCCATCGATCTGTTTGTTTATGGTGCTGTTCTTGGAATATTTCTTCTGCAGGATATACATGCTCTTTCATGAAATTTTCAACTTTAGTTTTAAGTGTGAGTGCTTTTGGAGAAAGTCCAAATTGAATACCTCCTTCACAAACAGTAAGATGGTCGCCTTCAGCGTTGACAATAAGCTCCCAAGCAACATCTGATAATGTACCAGCAAGCATTCCAATATGTAATGCATAATCGCTGCTTGCATTTCCTTGTTTGTATCTCTTGTAAACTCCTTGAGTGATACCAACAAGTCTAAAGATGGAGAATGACAAATAAAAGTGCCACTTGTCAATCTTGGATCGTTGTGTGAATGAAGTGTATAATTCAAGACATTCGTTCTCTGTCAACACGCCCGATTGTTGAAAGTTTGTTCCTCTTAAACCAGAAAATCCAGGAATTCTTGGGAAATGATAATACATGCATGAATATGACAAATCTGCAATTGGATGCCCTAATGTTGCTAGCTCCCAATCTAACCTGCAAGTAATTTTTCAAAATTGAATCATATGAAAATCTATAACTTGCACTTACACTGCAATAATTCGATTCTCAGTAGGATGGTAAATAACGTTATCAAATTTGTAATCACCATGCACAAGTGTTAATTGATCACTTTCAGTCTCTTTGGGTATATTCTTTGGTAGCCATTTCATGAGACGATTCATTGAATCATTTTCATGAGTTTCAGAAGCAAGATATTGACGAGTCCATGTTGTAATTTGTCTTTCATAATACGTGTTTTTTGTTGAAGAATCTCTCTCTTGCTGAGATTTCTTTTGTGACTGGTGTGAACCCTCTGCTACTGATGAGCTTGCATTTGTTTGTTGTTCCTTTGTCTTATTCTTTTGATTTGATGCAAATAAAGGTCTCAACAATTCAAATTGCATAAAATCCACTCGATGCAGTCGTGCCAAAGTTCTAATAAAATCAGTCATCATTTCTCTTCGATCTTGTGGCTTCAATTTTTCTGGACCATTCAATGTCGCCTCATGATTCTTTAACAATTCCAATGATGATTTGTGCATTTCTGCAAAAGTTCCATCCTTAAAGATTCTTCCTTGAATAAATTCCATCACATAGAATTCAGTGCCAATAATTTTCTCATCTCTACAATAAAAATAGGGATAAGGAACTGGAAATTGAATGGAATGGAGAGACTAGTGATATGGTATTAATCAATGACATTCAATGATTCGTGATCATATTGAACGTGAGTGAAAACCAATATTAATGGTTGCATTATATTCAATGACATTTTTAAAAAAGACATTTGATCACCCTACCTTCATAATAGCATATTCCCGATAAATATCATGAGCTGATGGTAAGAGCTTTCCAGGAGGCTTCTTTCTCAACACCAATTCCTTGGTGAGGAGTGATGATGATGATGAAAACCGAATCGTACACACCACCTTGAACGATGGATTCGATTGTCCATCGGAAAATTGTTGAATACTTTTCAATGCGAGTTGGACTCCACTTGTTGAAGGATGAGAATGATCGTTCGTGTGGATCAACAATTCTGAAGCGTGTTCCTGTAGATATTTAGCAAAGGCTTCTACAGGAAAGAGATGCTGGGGTCGGATGTGAATGATTGGTGGTTGGGCTGAGGATGATGGATTTGATATCATTTTTTTTTTCCTGAAGATTAAAACCGTATGAGAAGTCAATCAGACTTTTATGATTCAATAGAAACCCAGTTTTAATAGGCGATCCTTCAATATTTTGAGAGCAAATTCCTTGTTGCAAAGCGATCCAAGGCGGAAATTTATTTTGAATTTTCTCAAGCTTGTCTTATGGTTAACTTAACGAATTCTAATGTTGTAGCTTTCTAATAATGGAATGAGATCGTTCTTGAATTTCTTTTCAAGATACACACTCATTTGAAGATTTTGTTTGCTGACATGTTTTCGTCGTTGCACAAGGCCTTCCTTCAACAGTTCAGCAAGTTGAGACAATCGTTCTTTGTAAATTGCAATGAGATATTTGTTTTCTTCATACAGAGTTTCTAACGCAGTTGGTGACAGGTACTTTTCCACTTCAACATAAATTCCTCCATGAATTCTTGGGTCAATGAGACCAGTAAGCTCAGAATCGAGCGAAGCAGTCAATAAATTGCTTTCATTCAATTTATGACTAATAACTAGTTCTTGAAGGAAGTGAATCTTTTGTTCGAGATAATAAATAGCCACTTCCAAAGTATTCAACTTGATCACCTTCTTTTCAAGAACTTCTTGAATGGTATACATGTTGGGGAATGGATGCTTAATTGTGAAAAAGGAGATGGTTCCATCAGCATCTTCCAAATTGATAGATATGCATGTTTTTGCTTCTGAAGACTGTTGAGGAGTTAGGCTTGTTTCAGCACTCGTGTGATTCTCCTCCTTTTTTTCTTCGCGTTTCACTTTGACACGCTTGAAAATGTTCACATTGTGACTCTTGTGATATTGTTGAATTTTAGGCGAAATTTTTGAATCCAGTAATTGGAAACAATTCTTCTCAAAATTCCTCTCTGATGAATAGGATTCCATTTCATTCATGCATGACGGCTCAAGAGGAGCCAAAAATATGACTTGCTGTTCACTCGTTCTGAATTTGGTTTCATCGAATGATGTTGGTATTTCTCTCTTAATGACCGCACCCTTAAATTTCATTTTGATAAAATTCACAAAATCTGCTAATTTTTGATGATGAGCATTGAAAATATAGTTCGTATTGGACAATGCCTTTCCATAAAAGCCAACAAAATAATATTTGTTATATTCTCGAATAGAGGAAATTATTTTCTTGTAGAGTTTGCTCTCCTCTAAATGAATAGATGATAGCTCTAGATAATTCATATTCTTCTTGTAGTGTTCTCTCAACTCTTCATTCAGCTGGATAGCTCTTTCCCAATCTTTACCCTTCTCGAATAGATCAATAATTTCCATATAGAGCTTGACCTTTCTCTTTCTTTCTAATTCTTCCGGATAAGTATCAGAAAAGTATGGTAATTCATTTTGGCTATTCAGGTCTAACTTGGATGCATGTACGTAGAGAGCCAATCCAGCTTCAATGTATCGCTTTCTACTCTTTTGCATACTCGCAAGTAAATGGAGATACTTGAAATAGAGTTGCATGTTGTTGTTCTTTTTAAATGATTTAAGAGCATTCTTGAAAGAATTTTCTTGAGATTGAAAGTTCATGGTATTTGGATCATTGGTACTAGCTGCTTCAATTTCACGGATTTGACTGAGTAAGTGATGTAGAGAATTTAAAAGTTGCTCGACATGTACGGGGAATTGATCATTCACTTGCTCCTCAACGCTGGATGACAACTCTTGTGACAGTTGCTTGTACTTGTGCAATTTGGATTCAATACAATTAATGAGCATATGTCTGACACCTTCAAGACCTGTCACTTCGCTGAAAAATCTCTCGGAAGCAGCCTCGCAGAACGAAACTGAATGTCTACTTTCGTATTCAATCTTAAGTAAGTCAAAGAACAAATTTTTGGCGACGTCAATAACCTCTGAAACATTAATTTTGAATAATTTGATCGATTTGTCAACGAGCTCCAAGGAACAACTCTCCTGCAACTGCAATGGACAAAACGACCAAATATCTTCATAGAAGACGGTCAAAATTTTAGCTCGTTGATCATGTTGGCTTAAAAATTGTTTTCTATCAAATGTTCGCATTTTCTCTGGTTCAAATGAGAAGACTGTATCAAATAAATACTTGATGAGTAATTGAGATACTTTCGTGATTCTATTCACATTAACATCCACAATGGGCTTGTTGAGAATAACTGCCTCTCTCGAGAAACTTCCAGAGAAGGTACTAATGGTTGTAATGGATGGACCTTCAAGTAACACCATGTATTTCTTAACTTTCATGGCGCTCATAAGAATAATCGTTGAAATGGTTCCATATTGATAAATATTCATCTGAGTCCAATTTTTTGGAAGTGGATTTTTCTTAGAGAGCAACATTGAAATGAGGTCTAGAATGAGTTCAATAGTATCTAGTTCAGCACACGATGAATATTCAGATAACATTGAGAGTAAGCAATCTAACACATCTTTGTATGTCAACACATCTAAAAAGTTAATAATTGTTATAACAACATCACAACTGACACGTTTCGATTGATTAATATCTGATTCGTATTTGCTCATGAGGTCGGAGGCACTTTGTCTTGATGAATGATTTGCACTTTGAGAGTTGTTGGTGCCTGAAGTACCTTCTTGCTCGATTCGTTCTCGAGCGGCAGCATACTCGGCTTCTAGTTCCTCCGTTCGTTCGAGTGAAGTCTCAAATGCCTCCTTTAACAATCCTATAAGACCTAACAGTTCTTTCAGACATGAAACACAATAGGTACAGGTATCATTTTCAGCGATAACAAGCCCTTCTGCATCTTCAATGGATAATACCGGAGCTCTTCTCTCTTCTAAAGAATCAGTGGAGCATGATTTGGTCATACCTGGAGTTAATTTAGGTTTGTTGGGAGAAAGTTTTTTCTTCAAACATTGAATGAGTTTGTTCATAATCGATATCGATTTCTTTTCCAAAAAACATTCACCAAAGTTTTCCATAACGTCCACAAATTTTGGTAAAAGGTATGAATTAACAGTATGCATCTCAAAAACATTGGATGAAACAACAGTATCAATGTGTGTTAATTTTCTGTGTACCTCTTCTTCAGGCAGAGAGATCATGAGGGATTCGATTTGTCTGCTAATTGTTTCTTCATTAAAAATAGACAACAAAGTGTCATAGTAACTCGGATTGAGAGATTCAAAAAAGGCAGATTTGATGTTTTTGAACGTAGTATGGGTCGCATCTGATTTTTGAGATAATATTTTAAGCTTGGTATAAAGCACAGTCAACTCGTTTTGAACAAAAGTGAGTTCTTCTTGATAAAAATCGTATAACTTTGTCTTACAAGATGACAGAGATTTTTCAATAATTTTGACAAAGAATCCAAAAGATACTAGGGCTCTAACAAGCTTTTCTTTCGTACCAATAGTCATATCTTCAGCTTTAAACAAGTCGAAATACTTGTTTAAATAATGGAGAATGAATCTGTGGCTACTATGATACGGAAACGATTTGCTGTAGTCGTCAACAACAGAGTTGAATCTTTCAGAATCTTCTGCTAACGTTGACACGATAGTACAAATCTTCTCAAATCTGATCCTAGTTAGAAACATGTGCAGTATCAAGAAAACTTACACTTTTTGTAAGAGTTGACTTTCGACAAAGTCAATGTTGTTTCTTGCCTTTCCATATTTGCTGGCAATACCAAACAGAGAGCTCATAATTTCTCTAAAACATATTGCAGTATCTACAGTTTTAAAGTCTATATCCTTGATTACAGACTGTAAGTTCGTTTCATCCATAGAATCCCACTTTAAGAAATCTCTTAAGTTTGGATTTATAGCAATCGAAGTAGAAACAACGTTCAAGGATAGGGTTAGCTTGGACTTTTTCGCAAATTTGGTCCTTATCGATTCATTATTCATAAAGTCTTGGAATGTATAACCTTTAGAAATCTTATAACATGTGAGAGGTTCAATGTACGTTTCTACTCCCAAAGTGAGCGTTCGTGTTGCATCATCAATTGGTAAATACGCAAAAAACTCGTGGGTGACCTCATAGCTATTCTTCTTACTATTGATTGTGTAAAAGTCAAAAGTAATGATAGCCGACTGTAGTTGATGTGAATTGACGTTCACAAGAACAATCTCATCCCATGTAGGATTTTTCATTCTCAAAATTGGAGATCTGTACACTCTCTGTTTTCGATTAATGTCACACTGGATGATGTGTCCCTCCTTGTCTTTTATGTACATCTTAGCTTCGACGTAGAGGGTATCAATGCTCTTGTTTAGCAAAGAATGAATAGAAATATAAATATCATTTCTAATGTCATCAGAAAGTATGGAACTACTGAAGCGAGTCATTGGAACTAGTGGTAGATGAGTGAGTTGAGGGTACTGTTTGAAGGCTTTGTGGTAATCGCCAGTTATCATGCTTAGTGAAAGTTCAACACCCACTAGCTCTTCTCGTTCCAAATCTTGCTTATCGTTTAAAATGTCATCCACAATTAATTCGAGGCTGTCATTACTTTTAAGATTAAAGAAATTCAGCTCGCACTTTAAGTAGCCACTATTGAGTAATTCTGTTACTACTGAGTGTGACAATTTTGGAGAGAGAGCAATTGCCAAAGGAACTCGACAATCCAAAGTATGCTTATGGTTGATAGGCGGATCGACCTTAATTTTTTCAAGCCTGTATGCTCTCACAAGAACCACCAGTTGTTCTCCTTCTAAATATGTTTTCGAGATATCTTTAAATACAGCATATATATCTTGACGTCTCATTTCGGTTGGATCATCTTCTCTTGTGTAGTGATATCTTCTTGTGACTCATCTAAATTGTTTTCGGGTGAGGTCACACTCACACGATATTCATTCTTTCTTGTAGTAACAATGACTAGGTCTTCAGACATGATGGACTTTGATCCAACGTCAAAAAGGCAAAACCTCCATTCAACCTTGTCAAAGTAGGAGCAACCAGAAATCTCCATCAAGAGTTGAGAGTTGCCTTCAGGTAATCTGTCGAAAGGATTTTGCATTTGCAACGACCCTATTACTTGACTCTTTTCCTTATCTATAGCCTCCCAATACATTTGATACAAGTCAAATAGCAGAGTATTCATTGGTGTTAGTTTTTCTCCATTTTTCTTAATTACCACATCTTCATTAAATAAGGATGCTCCTTCGTCCAATAAATATGCTTGATTTTTAAGAATTTCTTTCATTCTTGGCTTATAATTTTCACTATCGTTACTGTGTTGATAAGAATAATAATCAATCATTGAATTGATCATTTTGCACTCAATTTCAAAAACTCTCATCAGCCGTTCTCTGTTATCTTCATGTGTGGTTAGAGATTTGAAGTGTTTCATATTCCAATCAAAAACTGTCTCGATAATTGTTTTACAGATTGGTATGTTTAGAAAGGGTGTAAACCAATCCATTTCCAAAAATGGAAGTATTTCTCTCTGAAAATGTTGTGCAACGTTTGAAAATATTTCTACCGTTCCTCCAAGATAGCTAGATTGAGCATAGATTTGTTCTGGATATACATTGCCAATCGCTGTAAGAGCTGTTGAAATGATTGCGTTTGTGTTTTTGGAAGAAGTAAGAAAGGCAGTATTAGCAGAAATACTTTGACTTCTTTTCCTTTCGTGAGATTTTGAAGAGGATGGAGAGAGAATTTTTTCATTGTCTGTAAAGAAAGTATCTGACAGAGATATTGCTCGTTGATTCGTTGCAAAGTCGTCACGGCTAGTACTGAAAATATTTGATAAATTCATACCAGTAAGATTTAAGCTTGTCCTTTTTGATTTTTGTGATTCATTCAGAATGCTCTGTCTCTTTTCGCTGTTGGGTGTCATATTCTTTTTTGGTTCTGGTTTGTTAATCATGTGCTCAATTTTTTGTTTTGTGGCATGAAAGCTGTTGAGAACCCCTCTACGAAAAGATTTTGTTCTATTCACACTTGTTTGAGAGCTGTTGGTAACTGGATTGGTGTTCCTTTTCACCTCCGTTAAAGCCGAAGGAGATGAACCTAGAATACTATTATCAGAGATGCTGTACATGTTGTTTTTCAGAGAAGATTGAGGATTGAGAACGCCAGTGTTGGAGGTGGTTACTGATCCAATAATACTGCTCAGAGCTGGAGATGCAGATGCTGGTGTAGTCGTGATATAATCATTTTGCTCATTTGGAGAGCTGTTACTAATTTCTCCACTGTGATCCATGGGCTGTAAGGATGAATTTGATGATGACGAGACTGTAATGGGAGGAGTTTCAAGGACGTTTGAATTCAGAGCTGGTTGTGACATGAAAGACCCTTGCTCATCATTATTTTGAAAAGTCCCAAATTTCATATCTGATGCGTTGGATTTCCTTGGTGAGAGTAAAACTAGAGAAGGATTTCCTGCAACGTTGGAATTATTGGCAGAAATAACAGCAATTTGCTGCTGCGAGCCATTGTTGGCAGGTGAAGCTTCATTTAGTTGTGAGTTGTTACGATGTTGATGCTCACTAACACCAGTTGCAAGTTGATAATTCAATGAAAATGGATTATTAGGGCTACCATCAAATCGTATGATATGTGTTGCTGGGAAAAAGCCCTTTGAAGACACAATGACTTTTTCAATTTCGTTTTCAGAATATTTCTTGGATGATCTGGAATGAGTGGTTGAGAGTGATCCCGATTCTGGCATTCCCATGGTCGTTGGAGAAGTCGGAGGTGATCCCAAACCACTCGAATAACTCGTTACTACTCCCGTTAATGCATTTGTTGTTAGAATTGGTAAATGTTGTTCCGAATCTCCATTCGATGACGACTGCAAAAACTTTTTCATTCCCGAAGGCTTTGATTTAAATCCTTGAGGAGAATTTGAAACTGCTGTTGAAAGTATAGAGGTCGTGGAAGGAAACCGTTCTCCCTTATACCATCCCTCAAATTCTCCCCTAATAATGACCAAGTCTCCAACAGAGAGGCGAATACAATAATCCGATACATGTGAGGGAGGATCAAAGGATTGAATTGCTAATATTGTTTCAATATTTCAATATTTCCATATCAAATAATCATTATTGAGGGTAAAATATAATCACATGATGATACAATAATTATATTAATCACAAAATTTTTCATCATCATTTCCGAATCAATTTTTTTTGCGAAAGATGAAAAAAGTTACCGTTACGACCATTTTTGATTATTTCGAGGTAGAGAAACGAATCGTCATCGTCATCATTGAGATCATCATTGTATTAATACAATTCAATATATGCATTATTATATATTATTTCAATTTTCATATTCGTTTGATTGATTCCAGTACATGATGATGGTCATCCATTTACAATGAAAGAGAGCCATCATTATAGCGTGTTGGTTTGGATGAGGATGACACTAATACATACCAATTCCGAAAGTATGTTCATAATTTGGCCAATAACTCTTATTGGATGATGAATTGTTGAAGAAGAGGCTCCCTCCTCCACTGAATATGTCACCAAAACTAGAGATGTGCGGCATTATTTTTTTCTTTGATGATGTCTGACAGGACTTTCGTTTTGTATGTGAGTGTTGTTCAACAGGGCCAATCCTTGTACCAGATGGATTTGGGAGGTGCATTGTTTGCAGAGTGTGAATACAAATGAAGTCTTTTATTTCAATGACGTTCCCAATTGAGGGGATGGTTCTGATTCAGCTAAAATTTCCAAGAAAAGAGTGTCAAGAGCATTGACAATCGGTTGCTCATCGTGTGTGAAGCATTCTCGAAGTTGATTGGCAACAATTTCAAGACGTGCCAATTCGTACTGAATCCATGAATCAATGCGCTTTCCAGAAAGCATGGAAGACAAAGGGGTTGAAGGAGCTTGTTGCCTCAAAGCTACCAGTTCTTCAATTTCTTTTTCAATTTCTAGTGTTCTCCATCTCCTCAATTTACTAAATATGTCATGAAAATTAACTCCTGCTAAATCGTCGAGTGGATGAACTACATTCGTCTGAGTGGAATTGATTAGATACATCCATTCTAGAATATTCACATTCATTATGAGATGAATGATCATGAGGGTTTTCTTGACATCCAAACTTTTGCTGTCATTTGCTTGAGTCAATGTCAAATAGTTCTTTTTTGCGGTTGAGAGCTTGGAATAGGCGAATGGGTGAGGTCGGTTGTGAATCACTTGAGCAGCAATAGACTTCCATTTATCAAGCAAGGATGTTTGAACGGCAAGAACCTTGTTTGATGCTAACACATCTATTATTGATGGATTTGCTTTTCGTGTCATGACTAGTGCCTTTCTAAGTTCCCATCCAACAATATCTATACTCCTCACAGAATTCGAATTGCATCTGAATATATGCTGCAACGCCTCTGGTATTCGTTCGTTTTTACTGGATCGAAATTCTGGAAAATTATTTCTCAATTTTAAATAATCGAGAGTCCTACCCACAAAAATTAGTCTAATATCAAAATCCGATGTTGCATCACAATTGTACCCATAACTTCTGCTCCCTGTTTCAACACAATGTATAATCTTTACATCATGTTTTCTTTGATAGGAATTGAGTTTGTATAAAATTGCGTTTGCAATATCTGCTGGAAGATTGTATTGTTCCGATATGTGCAAAGGTAAATCAATGAGGGGATACGGAGTTTGAGTACGAGACTTTGTGTCCTTTGAAGATGTTGCGGAATAATCATTATTTGGTCGAATTTTCGAGGTGTCCACAGAAATAGTTGGCGTTGGTTTTGATTGATGAATTTCTTGATGAAAATTTCTATTCCTACAAGTACTTTTCATACACTCTCCTGCCATGATGATGACATGATTCAAATTACTTTTTGATGAGATGAAAACTTCGGAACATGATTTATGCTTGAATAGACCAAAAGTCTTGGACAGCATTTTTTTTCTCCTTTTTTAAACTCCAAAGAGGATGAAAGAATATCTTCATAAAAACAATGAATGGATGAGGAGGAGGACATTCAAGATGATATTGTTCTCTAAAGACAATATAAATAATATTTAAGAAATTATATTTAATTTAAAACTACTGTTACCAAACGAGTAAGAATTAAAAAACAAAAAAAATGTTCTCTTTGCCTCCTTCGTTTTCATCGGACCCACATGCTCATCAACAACAAAATACTGAAAGCCCCAATTTCATGACGAGTATGGTAGAGCGAGAATGGTTTGATCTCTGCTCTCAAATTGGTATTCGTGAATTTTCAACCATTTCCAAATGGTGGCAATACATTCGGAATGAATATGATCAGCCTAACTCTCGTTTCTATCATACGACCACACATTTATTTCATTTACTCACCCAATGCAGAGATTTGTTTGAAAAAGATTCCCGATTTGGTGGCTCCAAACTATTATCCATGACAGATTTCATCATTATACGACTTGCAATTTTCTTTCATGATGTTATTTATGATTCCACTCGAAAAGATAACGAAGAAGCGAGCGCTCGTGTTTTCATGAAATTTGTAAACGAAGCAAAACCAGAAATGTTGAGAAACGAGGACGTGAAGCGAGTGGGCATGTTTATTGAATGCACGGCCAACCATTTATCTCACAAAGATAAGAAGGATCAATTGCTGTTTGCTTTTTTAGATTTTGATTTGGCTGTGTTGGCAATGAATACACCAAAAGAAGAAATTCAGTTTTTCAAAGACATTCTGGTCGAATGGAGAAATAAGGAAGAATTTTTGCAGAGTAGTTATATGAAACATTATGTTGAAAATGTGAGAAAAGAATATGGTCATTTAAGTGACCAAGAATTTGCAAAAGGACGAAGTGCATTCATTCGAAAAATGTTGGAAAATCCTGACCAACTCTTCTACACCTCAGAAGCAAAAGAAAAATTAGAGAAACAAGCTCTTGTGAATCTCAACATGGAGCTCTCTCTGTATACAGAGCAAGAAGAAGAAGAAGCGATGATTGCATCTGTACCTTCCAACTCTGAATAATCACATGATGGTGAGTTGAAAGAGACCTTCTCTCATTATATCTCCTTATAAAAAATGTCATTATCAACAACCAGTAAGTAAATATTGATTGGATGGATCATGACCCACTCGGAATGGCAATCATCACAAAGACAAATTTAAAATTCTCATTCTGGGAGGTTATGGCGTTTTCGGACAAAGATTAACTTCGGAATTGATGAAACCATTTCAACAGCATTTCTTATCCAAGCATCCAGACACTACTGCGAACCAACAACCATCACATGTGAACAATGGGCCCATCACAAATTTTGATATTATTATTGGAGGAAGAAATTTACAGCATGCTCAAGAATTTGCTCGTTCTTTGAATACCAAATCCAAGAATCGAGAGGATTTTAATGCTTTTGCTTCTGGCATATCTGTTGACATTCAAAATGAACAAAATTTCAAACAAACGTTACAGGAATTGCAGCCAAACCTCGTCATTCATACCTGTGGACCATTTCAGGGACAAGATTATCATGTCGCTGAAGAATGCATTGAGAATGGAATTCATTATTTAGATTTAGCAGATTCCAGACTATTTGTATCTCAATTTTCAAAACATTTGAATGAAAAAGCATTGAAACACAATGTTGTAGCCATCTCTGGAGTAAGCACAGTTCCTGGACTTTCCTCCGCAGTGATTAAGTATTGTTCACGTGAAAACAATGAATTTGGTTTCAAAGAAATTCACAACGTAGAATGCAATGTTAGTCCTGGAAATAGAGCTCCACGAGGGAATCTACCATGAGAGCTGTGTTAAGTTATTGTGGAAAAGAAATTCCCATGATTGAAAATTATAAGAAAATCAATGTGATTGGATGGCAGGGCTTAAAGAAAATTCAATTGAAAGGAACTTCATCCACACGTCATGTCTCTTATTGTGACGTTCCTGATATTGATCTCTTTCCAGAATATTTTCCTCAACTGAAAGAATACAAGTTCAGAGCTGGATTAGAATTGGGAATTTTTCAATTTGGTTTGCTAGGAATGTCGTATTTAACACGAATGGGAATGGTGAAAAATTGGGCAAATTATGCTCCATACCTTAAAAGAATTAGTGAATGGTTTTATAATATGGGGACAGATTCTGGAGGAATGCAAATGATATTGAAAGGAATTGATCATCAACACAATTTGAAAATTGTTCAATACGATTTAATCGCACTGAAAGGAGATGGACCACAAATTCCTTCGACGCCAGCAGTCATTCTAGCTAGAAAAATTGCACAAAATCAGTTGCAAATAGGAGCTCAACCATGTGTTGGACAATTTACATTGGACGAGTTGATGGAAGCTTTGAAAGAGTTTAACATTTCCCATTCATTTTCGATTGTGAAGTAATCGGGTGTTCAGGGACTTTATTCGACACGTAATTAATTCGGTTTTAACATCTTAAAGGTGAGAAGTAGACACAAATGAAAAACGAATCATTACATTCAGTATAAATAGTACACGTTATCACATTCAGTTTATGGTCGAGGTTGATTGTTAGTTGGTTGAGGATTGTTAGTTGTTCGAATCTTTCGTGGTGATTTTTTGATTTTTCCTGCCAAACCACGACCAATGGAGAATGACAAACTAAAGTCCTCAGCGGGCAATGAATAGTACTTCATGACAAAGGATTTGATCACAGCTCTTGCAGTGGATGGATGTGTTTGAATGTACTTGACACGATCTGAGAAGACCTTTCTCTTCTTGAATGCAGGAGAGGCAGGTTTCTTCAATTGCTTGTAACCCTTCTTTTGAACCACTAATTTACCCTTCTTATTGAGATAAAGTCTCATATTTTGTCGAATCCATGTCGAATGATATTTCGAAATGAAAATAGTGTCTTGTCCAATCTTGTAAGTAACCTTCACACGGATTTTAGATTGGTGGAAACAAATGAGTGGTTTAAATAACACATCCTTGGTAATTGAAACACCATCAAGCAATTCCTTTGGATCTGGTTTTTCATTGGTCGTACACACGTATGGCTTGTTATTCTTCTTGAGTGGTAAAATAAAGTAATCCTTGGATGAGTAATCGATAGGTTTTGGTAAGGCAGCATTAAGTTCGTCCTTGTTCACAGCAGCCTCATTGATGGCTCTTTTCTTGTCCACTACAGCTTGTTCAGCGTTGTACTTGTCTTGCAATAATTTTCTCAAATCTTTAGGAAGATCCACTTTACGAGACGATAACACTTTGCTTGCTTCCTTCAACTTGTTAGCAATACTTGTGAGGGCCTTTTGCGCTCTCTTAATTAAAATGGTGCAAGTGGCCACGTGCTTCTTGTATTGAACGAGTTTGAGTTTGTTCACTTCGATTTGTCCCTTGATTTTGGCCTTTTCGACCTCACTCTTGGTTGCATCGAGTTGTTTTTCCAACTTTTCATTATCCTCCTTCACTTGTTGTGACTTTAAGGCGAAGAGTTTAGCACGACCATTCTCAAAAGTGAGCAAATTCAACACTTTAGAACGGTGATGAATTAAATGGTTCAATACAAAGAGTTGTCTCTTGAATAAAAAGTAGAGAGCATTAAAGTACTTCTTATTTGCAATCAACACGTCCAATTTGGCATAATTGACAAGATAGGGTGGAATAAATTTCTTCTTTCCAAACTTTTCCTTTTGTGCCTTTCGAACTTTAACAGCGCTCATCTTTCTACTGAGAGCACTCTTGTATCGTTTCAACAATTTTGCAATATGAAGAGTGATCGCCTTCTTCAAAACCAAGTAAGCCTTTGCCTTACGAGCTTTGAGTTTTTTAAGATTATTGAGGGCATTCTTCAATTTCTCATTATTCATCTTTTTCAATCGTAATAAACGAGAAATTTCTCTCTCTGTCTTGATCTTGTTGTGTTGAGCCTCTGCTTGTTGTTCTGGATCTTTGGTTTCCTCCAAAGTTCTTCTTGCCTTGATTTGGAGTTGTTGCAAAGGATACAACTTCTTGTTGATCAAGGATCTTCTCTTTCTCAACAATTTAATCAATGCTCGTGTTCGGGATGTCTTTTTCACAAGTCCAATAAATCCTTTTCGTTTCAAACACAATGGATTGCAATTAAATTCATTCATCTTGGCATGTTGTTGGGAACGAGTCAGAAAGCGTTGATGTTCCAATTGTTGCTCACTCTTGGTTGAGAGCGTAGAGACTCCACTCGAATCCAACACTTCATCCAATGTAAAGCCTTCATGGGCGTTACTGGCCGCTTGTTCAATTTCAGCGTCCATAAGTCCAGTTTCTTGTTGTAAATTTTCCATCATTTCATTCATCTCGGAATCATTCAGAGATCCACTTTCCAATTCAGCAATGGCTTCTTCCTCTGCTTCTTCTCCAAGATTAAGAGTCGATGATGATGTTGATTCCATATCCTCTTCCATCAAATGGCTCAACATGTTGGAAACATCCAATGTAGTTGTTGTTGTAGTAGTACTAGCTCCATGATTTAAAGTATTCTTCATAGATTCCTCTTCGCTCAGTACCGATCCAAAATTCATCAAATTCATCATCACCGAGGTATCATCCTCCATCATCATGGTGTCATGAGAGGTACCTCTACCACCACCGCTACTCATCACTAACGCATCGTCTTCTTCTTTTGCTTGAAAAACCGTCGTAGCAGAATCTACAACGCGGGAATTTAAAGCAGCGGGAGTGAGTCCGTTTTGTAAGACTTTTTCGTCCATGCCACCTGCCAAGGCGAATCCTAGGGTGGCTAGGAATACGAGGATGATGAGGAGTGATGATGATTGAATGTTGTTTGAGATGCTCCTCCTATTGATCCACTTGTTGTTTCTCATTTTTTATCTTGATGGTTGGTGCAGTGACTTTTTGGATTGACCCTGACAGGTGACGTTTTGGTGGTATGAAAAAAAATTGGTGGAATGAAAAAAATCCTTATTACAGAACTTGCCTCCTTCCCATACATTGGTTGGAGTTTCAATCTTATATTCTGATTCATTCTTTTGAACACCGTTTTTCTTGAGTCTCAAAAAGTTGTTCAATTGTTTTCAAACTTTTTTGAAAATTGTGTTTTTCATACAATTTTTTCACTTCGAGAGCTCACACGAACAATTTTTCAGCTCAAAGCTTCAACCGCCATAACCGTCCAGAAAAAATTTCAAAAAAAAAAGAAAATTCATCCTTTCATCGCTACTCTCTAACGCTGTGGGTGTATTTGTAATCTGGTTTTCTGAAGAATTTGAAAATCATCCAAAGGTTGAACACAATACTCGGATTGATAAGAACGATCGGATTGAGTGATTTTCTAATTATTGAGTGTAATTTCAGAATTCGGATCGTGCGCACGATGGCTTCCAATGATGAGGATATTAAAATCATTCCCGGTACTGAATTTGTTGTGGATGGATTTAAATATAAACATAAATATAGTACCTTCTTTCTCACTCACTTTCACTCGGACCATGTAAGTATACTGGTGGTGATTTGATGAAAATTTTGATGAAACATTGTATCTACGGTTAACAACCATTTTGAATTTCCACTCATGTCGAAAACGAACGATGGAATAATAGTATGCTGGTCTTATTAAAACTTGGTCGCATGGAATAATCTTTTGTACCATTCCAACATGTAATTTGGTAAAGAAACAATTTACCATTGCTGACAAGTATCTTCGTCCTTGTGAATTTAACAAAACGTATGAACATAAAAACGTCAAGTTCACTTTCTTGGATGCAAATCACTGTCCAGGAAGTAGCCTCATTCTGTTCCAAGTACAAAAAACTGGAAAAGCTTTCTTGCATACTGGTGATATGCGTTTTGATCGATCCAAAATGTTGGATTGTGAAGAATTACGACCTTACATGAGAGATGATATTCTAGACATGATCGAAGAAAACAATGGTGGAGCTAGCTCTTCAACAAGACCTCCAAAAAAGTTTCTGGACTCGATATTTATTGACACTACCTATTGTGACCCATACTATACATTTCCAAAACAAATGGAAGCTATTGACTTTATTTCTGATCTCATTACAATGAAATTGAACAACAAGTCAAAATCTTATCTCATTTTAATTGGAACCTATTTAATTGGAAAAGAAAGAATTGCAGAAGGAATAAGTAAGAAAACAGGGAAGAAAGTATTTGTAACATTTGAAAAGTACAAGACACTAGAATGCCTAGCTCTACCTTACATGAACATTTTTACGATGGACATTTCTCAAACCAATATTCACATTGTAAATATGAAAGATATTGCATGGAAGCGACTTTTTCAAATACGAGCTTCCAATAAGAATGTTGACGAGTAAGTAATTAGTGATCTGATATGATTTATTTATCAATACCTTCATTCACACATGAATGAAACTTGTAATCTACTAACTACATCTATATTTTTCACATGTGAACCCAAACTTGACACTTGTTGATGAACAATGCTTTATTTTCAAATGTACAGAATTATTGCCATCAAGCCCAGTGCATGGTGTTTCAAAGAAATGGATATTCCAACCTCCATGCCTCTCGACGGATCCATTCCAGAGGTTCCAGTGAAGGCCACTCGAAATAGCAACATTACACTCATCGAAGTACCCTATAGCGAGCATTCCAGTTTTACAGAGCTGCGAGATTGTGTTGGAACTTTCAACTTTACCAACTTGGTTCCTACTGTCTACAAGGATCCACATCATAAGGCAAGAATTATTGAAATGTTAGCGGATGATTTTCAATATACTCCAATCACTGTGAAATTTACATTACCAGAAGTAGTGCTCACTGAGAAAAATGTTGCTTCTTCATCATCCAAATCTTCAACACCAAAAAGAGCTAAAAAGAAAGAAGCTCCCAAGAGGGATGACAAACAGAAACCAATTTCACTCTTTTTCAGAGCGAAAAAAGAAGTGAAACCTATCAGCACAGAAGGTCTAGATGTTGTTTCCACACCTTCATCCTCGAGCACGCCTTCAAAACAAGAAACACCCACTCTCGATCTTGATGATATTGATTTTGACGATTTGGAAGAAATCATGAATGATGATGATATTGTGACAGAGAGCTCGACGGATGGAGTCTCTGCTCAAAAACTTTCTGTCTCGGATTCTCCAATGACTCTCTCTGTGACTCCACTCTCGAATACGAGTAGGAGTGTACCATCGCTGGATATTGAACCGATTGATGTTGACGATGATTTTAGAGATGGAAGTCAATTTGCCATGCTGTTGGAAAGTTCGCCCATGACTATGGATTTTTCACCTATTTGCATTGATAGCCAAGGAGATGATGACGTTGTACTCAATCCAATACCCAAGTCTTCAAACCCTTTCCTTAAAAACTTGAAAAACTCATCACAACTGTCGTCGAAAACATCATCTGCCTCAACCACTCCCTCCCTTAATAACCAAAAGACAAAACTCAAGCTAAAAAGGAAATCAACACCCTCTGGCTCATCAAGCGAGACGAAAAAGTCCAAACCTTCTCCGAATTCATCCTCTTCGACGTCACCACAATCAAGTATTCTTTCTTTCTTTGCTCCTTCTTCTTCAAAGCCAATCACAATCAATGAGGTTGTAGATGAATCAGGAAATATCATCTTGTCCATTGAAGACGATGACGATGTGCTGTAATGGATAAAAAACACAATGCATTTCCTATTTGTGACTATGTTTCAATTATTAATAATTTATTATTATTGTGGCATTTTCACAGCAATGTTTAATTCGAAGGAGTTTCCTCATCGGAAACATCTTCTGCTTCTGGCTCGCCTTCTGAATTCAGCTCAGCTTCGCTCAAAGGAGCGTTAAGTGTGGTCTGAACTTCGTGTTGATGTGTCGCTGTGGAGGTGCCTGCTGGAATTTCTGTTTTTGGTCCGTCATCCATTTCCGAATTGAATGAAAGATATTCTGACTTGGTTCGTGAATGGCGAACGTTGCTTCCTCTTCGTCTCATATTGATCATTGCCGTTCGAGGTGTAGGTCTTGGAGAATTTGGTAATAACTTCAATCGATCGTTCGTCTTTAAATGAGGAGGTGGTGATGCAATTTTAGAGATTGGAATAGCCACTGGATTGATCACTGCTGTTGCAGAGTTGCTGTCCGAAGATGAATCGACAATATTTGGTGTCACAAACTGTTCATACTCAACAGCATTAAGATCTTGAGCTTGTCGACCGAGTGGTCCTTCGTTCCATGTAGAGCCATTATCAATGTCATCGTCCTTACTACTGTTCGAAGAGGATCCACCTTGAGGCATTAAGGCAGTGGCCGAGTTTGGTGTTGGGACATTTTCTCCCTTCTTACCATTACTACTACTATTCACAAATGTGCGCAGTGGAATTGGCTTAATATTGATCAATGGTTCTCCACTCTCTAAAGTTCCATTATTTAAAGAGCTTGAACTAGTTGTTGGAAAGAGAGAAGATGGACTCTGTACATTCACCATATTCAAGAATGAAAGATCCACATTAGGGAAGTTAATTGGGAAAATTGGACCAAACATGACGTCTTTGGTGGAAGGAGGAAGTACCAATACTCTTCCCTTATTCTCCATTCCATAGTAAGATCTTTGAATGACCGATGATAGACTCACTTCAGCTCCAGTTGAAATTGATTTTCGAATAATATCCACTGTTGGAAGTGACACGTGACCACTCGATGAAGGAATGAGTGTCACTTCAGCACGTACTGGTTTCGTCCAATTACGGTTGAGAGTAATTCTATTGGAACCAGAGATGACCCAATGATCTGGATTGGCAGAAATGTCCAACATGAGAATGGTGTCCTTACTGTCCAATGTGGAATTGCTACTATAGGTGTTCAATTTATCGACTTCGAGTTCCATTATACAAGATCGACCAACAACGATCTGAGTGGTTGAACTTGTGGATTTCTTTGTAGAAATGAGTTCAATGGCTTCTTCATCGTCATCGTCTCTGTCAAGCTTTGGAGAAAGAGATTCATTCTTATAATGAGGGAAACATCGAATGTCAATAGAATATTCTGGTTCAATTTCATCTTCAATGCTAAAACATGGAACAATATAATGATACAAAGCAGTAGCATCTTGCGTTGGAATACTAAAAGTAATATCCATGGTTGGAGGTGTATAAGATTTGAGATTTTTCACTTCCACTTTAAATGTGAATGATACTGTATCCTCGCAAAATACTTCCATTGGTTTGCTAGGAGAGAACAAGTGCTCATTGTAATCTTTCAATATCTTGAATGAATCTGTAGGAATGATGGAATATTTGGAAATTTGGAGAGGTTTTGGTGTAATACAGGTTGCCACAAGTTGCAACATGTATATACCAGAAGCAAGCTTGGTGGTATGGCATTTACAAATGAATGGTTGGAAAAAGTTGATTTCAAAAGTTTTGGAAAGTGTGAACGTCTCATTGGTGACTTGTTTCTCATATTTAGCTTGGAAGCTCATGTTAAACACTTCTGGTGCCTTTGATTGAATATTTGTGTGACTGGAGCTTTGTGCCTTAATAGGAATTTTGTATGTGATACGACGACCGTAACCTAGTTGAGGAATTAAAATGGAGCAATCATTGATGTTGATTTCTTGCTCTGGCTGATTGTCTACAATGATTAATCCTTTCTTGTCGGGACAAACTGTTAAATTTGGAGAAAGAGAATGGATGGCCATGTAACCTTTTTCTACAAGATCAGTTTTAGTGTCAACGGTAATGGAAAAGTAATGGTTGGAATTGAGAAGGAAGAGTTGTTCTTTCAGTGTTTCGATTGTGAGAGCCGGTCTTGAATCTAGAACGAGAAGAAGGAAAGCTGATTTCAAGCTATCTTTCTTTGTAATGATGGTAGTGGTTGTGAAGGAAGAGGTTTCATCATCCATCAACTGATCCATTTGATCACCAACATCAGAAGCAGTATCTGTATTGCTGGATTTTGTTGATTTTGATGATGTTAGCTCTTTTTTTCGTTTTGTCTTTTCTGACGAGAGGGTGACAAACGGTCTATTATAGACAAGCTCTTCTTCCTTTTTCTTTGGAAGAAGTATTAGATCTAGCTTGTCTCCAATTCTTAATTTGATATTTTCCAATCTGTAAGTACCTAACTTGAGCATTAATTCTTCAATTTCAAAAATGTTTTTACCTCTTTTGATAGGAACATTTTCAATATCTCTTGAAATGATCAGCCTGTGAGAAGTTTCCTCCACTAAGGCAAATGTCAGAGTGAGTTTTTGAGCAATAAATCCATCAATGAGAGACTCATTGACAATAGTCACTGTCAGGTTTAACATTTTTCCCAACTCCAAGTACGCTTCGTTTTGCCCATTCTGTGTTAAACAGGTGTAGTACAAAGAAGCTTGAGAGTCGTCCAACCTCTTGATAACATTATCGGGTGAAGAATTTAGAGTCTCGATCATTTCATTCCAATAGAATTTCTTTTGTTCTGTAGTTGTGTAACATGATGATATGAGGTCAATACATGAGGAGACATAGGATTGATGTGATTGCATTTGTTTAGAACATTCAGCCATCTTAATCAATACGTCCGTCGCAATTCCTAACCAGCCATCACTCAAATACATGGAAAATTGGCCTTGCAAATAATTTAAAGCTTCCATGTATCGTCCTTGTCTAAAATGGATAGCAGCAATGTCACCATTCAGCTTTTGGTAGAAACGATTTCTCAAACCATTATTGTAGCAATCGGCAACCAGTGTCGTGATCTCTAAAAATCTATCATCAAAATCTTTTTGAGACAGCAAAGACGTTTTTAAAATAATGGCAGGTAAATAGTTGGATTTGTAACGAAGAATAAATTTTTCTGATTCGACTGCTTTCGCTTCCTCATCAACAAGTCCAGATTGACCAAGTGCCAATTTTGAATACTCTAAGCTTGAAATGATAGGAAATCCCGCAAAAAGATCATCAGTGGAATCAATATGTTTGAGGCTTAGGTCAAAATGCTTTCCTTCTCCTGATACGAAAAGATTATCCCACAACAAGTCTACATTAAACACAGTCCCCAACAACTGAAATTCATATCTGCAGTACAAATAAATGTCACCACATAGTCGGTAGAGATTTCTCTTTGCTTCATCTTTCATGTCATTGGTATTTAAATACTTGCTGCATTCTTCAGCGATGCAAAACGCGCTACAATAAGCCCATGCATGCATGTACATGTAGTAATATAATTGCTCATTGGTCCACTTTTTGACTTCGTTATCTGTATTTCCCAGTAATTCTTGTTCGAGTCGTCTCAGCATGGAGGTGACGTGAATGGCGCCAAGGCGAGCAACTTGATCGGGAGAATTCAGTTTCAAGTACAGGTGCATTTGTCGCGAAAATACATAATTTAAAAATTCAAATTCAGAAATTCTTGAGGATCTCATATCTTCTCTAAAGCTTTCATAAAGATCATCCAATATATTCGTAATTTTCAGGGTTGATGAGTTCAAAAAGTTTGAATAATTAATTAATTTACGCTCTGATGAAGCAAATCCAAGGATCTGGTTGTAAATTCCTAGTGAGTTGACGAATAATCCAAATTGTTCAAGGAGGAAAGAAAGTCCTTCTTTCTGAATAAAGTATTGAGAAAATTGCCAACCAGGCAGATTCATGTTTTGTTCCGATTTTTTGATTTCATCCTCGTACTTGGCACATCGTCTTGAAAACTCGTTTAGAATGCCCTCATGAATTCTTTGATACATTTCCTTTACTGCAGCGCTAGCGGATCCTGTTGAAACCACGCTGTCATCTTGAGAGCTCTTATTATTACCTGACATGGCGTGTTGCAGTCCGAGTTTGATAACTCTACTTCCTACTGAAGAAGTAATGACACTAGAAGTTGTTGCCCCTGTTGACAGGGTTGGTTTAGCAAAGTCACTCTTCAACTTGTCATAGACTTTTCCAAAGAGCGAAAATTTTTTGAATAAATCTCCTGATGATGTTGAGCTTGACACATAACAAATAAGATATTCGTACTCTCTTTCGATCATGTAATCAACCCACTTTCTGAGCTTTGGCTTGATGTGGTTTTTGTAAATGTCCAAGTCTTCCGCTTGCACAATAAATAGGTGAAAATAGGGATTGCGATACCAAGCAGACCAATGTCTACTATTACAGTCTTTGATTCTGGAATCATTTGATGTGTAGAAATCAACCCGATACTGGTTAATGATTGGAATATAGAGGTTCATGTTGGTAGGAACTGTTGGTTCAGAAGATACACCTCCTGTTGTTGGCTTTGGTTTGGTTAACAGCTTTTGCAGCTTTCCTTTCTGTATTTGTAACGTAGAAAGTGCTGTTGATTGAAATTGTTGATTATTAACACACAATCGCTTGATTTGACGATTCCATATCGCATATTTCCCATTGACAATGGATGATTGTTGTTGTTGTTGTTGTTGTAAATTTACATTGGTCAAAGAATTTGATGAGATGGATCTCTTCACCCGAGTAAGTTGAGAAGACGAAACCGATGATGATGATGTTCCAGGTGATGATGATGACGATGATGGTTGTACACTCAAATTTGATCCACTCATAGTAGACGACTAAACTCGAACCACCTCCCGAAAGATTTAACGTTATGGACGGAGAGCCAACCAATCCACCACCGCTACCACCCGAAGAGGCATAATACACTGGATTGGGATCTTCCGTATAGTTATCTTCAGACAATTCCCATACAATGACGTAGGGATTCAGAAAGTAATAGGGATTGTGATTCTGGTTTTGGCTCATTTTTATTCTCTGCAGGAACAGTGATCAAACAGATGTTCCATCATGATTGTCATTCTGGGAGAGGCACGTTGGGTTTCAGGCTCAAGAAGCTCTTGCAATTCATAATAAATATTGTTGGACAACATTTCCCAACCTTTTAGGATCAATGGGAAGCATTGTTCTGGGTATCTCGTTGACTTATCTTGTCAATAGAAATAGAACAAAGAACTCTTTCAAAAAAAATGTCCACAATTCTTTCTGGTAGGTGTCAGTCTGTGTCTGAAGGGTTTTAAAATCCTTCTTTAAACATTCCAAATGTCCATGAACATCATCGTGAAACCATCTCTCAAACGATCCTCAACATGTGTTTGAATACATACACCTATTTCAATAGTTGGCTTTGGAGGCTTCGGAAATTTGTCTCTAAATCAACTCTCGACTCAACAGGAACCAAAAGAGTCTACAGCGTTATCCTTGCTAAATGTCAAACACATCTCAGTGGGATTATGGCATTCCATGATTGTAACGAGTCATGGAAAGTTGTACGGAGGTAGGTTTGAAAAATTTGACTCATCATTGAATGCATTCGAACAAATTTGGAAACTTGATCACATGTTGTAACCTGTTGATGTGCATCCTTCATTGAAACGTGAAACACAATAGTGGGAAGAAACAGATATGGAGCTTTAGGAATTGGAGAACCTGAATCTTTGGATCAATTGAATTATTTGTTGCCAGTTGAGGTGCCACTGTCGAGTGGAGTGAAGATCATGAAAGCTTGTGCAGGAAAGACACACTCCATTGCGTTGACCGATGATGGAACCTTATTTTCTTTTGGATTTGGTATTGCTTGTGGTCATGGTCACACGACTTTGACCGGAGTTCCAGAACCTGTGCAATATTTATTTTCATATCGAGTAGTGGATTGCTCTGCTGGTGAAGGTTAGTTAATATTGAGATTGAATATTTCAAATTAATATCGATATCGATTGAAATGTCTCAAAATATGAATATTTTGTTCAATAATTAATCTTTTTCAAATATGTATTTTCCAAAACAGGACACAGTGCTGCTGCCACAGAAGATGGCAAGCTTTTTACTTGGGGTCTTGCCAACCGAATCAAACCTGTCATGGTCAAAAACAAAGAAATTGATGATGAATTATTTGTTCAGGTTGTGTGTGGAGCTTATCATGCCATTGCATTGACAGCCACTGGAAAATTATTTGGTTATGGAAGGTTAGTTTTTACAATTTTTCGCAAATTTCTAAACTATTCACATTTGCTTTGAACAACAAGAAATGATGACGGTCAAGTAAACGGTGAGACCTCATGTTTCATTAGTGAGGAATGTATCGTTGAAATTAAGCACCCTCTTGGTGAAGGACATTATTGGACTCAAGTCAGTTGTGGCCTCAAACAAACCATCGCGCTCGATAATAAGGGAAAGGTATACATTTGGGGTCTCATTAAAGACGGGCTCACTTCAGTATCAGGATCTGTGAAAGCACCCACCCTTGTTGATTTATCAAATTTGAGTTCCAAGGTAAAGAAAGTCATGTCAGGATACAGTTCGTTCGGCATTCTCACACAAGATGGAAAATTGCAAACCTGGGGTTATAATTTGCATTACAATTGTTGCCATGGTCATAACAAATTTGTTCAAAAACCAACAATGGTCGAGTCTTTGAGTCCTATGGCAATTAATGATGTATTTATGGGTGCTTATAATGTTTTCATTTCATGTGGATTGTCTGCAACGTCTGATTATTCTCGGTTGTTGCATGAAACATGTTATTTTGCAGATTGTAAATTAAGGGCTAGTAATGGGGATGAGCAAGTATGTCACTCGTGCATTTTGAGCGCCAGAAGTCCTTACATTGCTGCATTGCTGTTCAAAAGTTATGTTACCAATCAACTCTCAACCTCATGTGCCAAATTCACCTCTACCAGTGAGAAACTCAAAGCGGAAATTGAAAATATTTTAACCTTGGATTTTATTGAAGATGGAAATCAATTATCGCAAGTATTAGATTTGCTCTACACAAACATTTCTAACAACATTAAGAATCCAAAGAAGTTTGATGACATTTTTAACTCGTATTTATTTAATACTGAGAAGAGTATTGAATTGTTGCAATCACTTGGAAATGCTGATGAGGCAAAAAAGATCAAGCGAATCTGTTGATTGATTTTATGAAGCACCAAATGACTCATGAGCCATTGAAAACATTTTCCAAATGCGCTTCAGGATCCATCCAGAATATTCGAGAGATCTTGTCAACTTGTATTCCACCACAGAGCTTGAGGATTGCAAACAATTGTCCTTATTCACAACCATGAGCGACGTGTTATTCCATTTTGATGATGATACCTCCATCAATTCACACAAAGCTATTCTTTGTTGCCGATCTGAATACTTTAGAGCCATGTTCTCGATCGGTCAATTCATGGAAAGTTCACAAAAAGTAATTCATCTCGATAACACACCTAAAGACGTGTTTGAAATTTTACTGCGATTTATTTATGCAGGTGAGGAAATTTCAGATGAGAGTATTACAGCAGAACAAAGTGTTCCCTTATTAGAGTTGGCCACACGATTCAATGTTGAAACTGTGAAATTGGCAGCAGAACGAAAGATTATTCGATTTTTAACTCCTTCCAACGTGGTGCCCATGTGCAGTGTGGCAGACATGTGTCAAGCTCTCAATGTTAAAAAGTGTTGCATGCACTTGATTGCCAAACATTTCAAAGCTTACACAAGAGAAGATCTCGAAAAGGAATTGGACTCAACTCTCATGGGAGAAATTGAAACTCTTCACATTGAATATGTCAAAGCCGCAGAAAATCAATCAGCCAATGAGCAAGCAGTATTTACTTACATGCGTGAACAACAAGAAGCAGCTGACAGTTTACTCGATGATGAACATCGTCAACATTTAGTCAATGAATACGACGATGACGACATGGATATGATTCAGACCATTCTGCATGGAACTCACAACCCTCAAAATCCTGTACATGCTCCTTCCCATAGACATACTACACAAAACAATCGTGGCAGTGGTACCACCTCACACAAGAAGAATTGTTTATTCATGTAGAGAAAACACAACAACAATTTTGCTGAAACCAAAAAGCAAGAAAATAAAGGAACAGTAGAAACCGCCAGTTTTTTTAAACAAAAAAAATGTCATCACAAAAAACCGATATTTCCCCTCCTCCTGCTAAAGAAGCTCTCGTAGTGATTTTTGATGTGGGTAAATCATTGGGAACCCGACCTAGGGAAGATTTTGAGAGAGCAAAACGTGCTGTTTCCTTGTTAATCAAAATGAAGGTATGTGATTCCGATTACTTCTTGTTCGTCCGTTGTTAATACGTTTTGATGATGATCAATTTTATGACACTACGTAGATGAGATATAATCCAAAAGATGAAGTCGGGTTGATTCTAGTCGGAACCAAGCACACTAAAAATCACTTGAACGAAGAGCACGAAGATGAATACAAGCACATTACTGTGGAACAACCAATTGATACGGTCTCATTGGATCTTTTCAAAATTGTGGATAGTTTAAACATTGATACAATTGGAATGTCTGCACAGGGAGATCTTTTGGATGCAATTATTGTTGCAACCGATATGATTAAAGTGAGATGTGGAAAGAAAAAATACATGAAAAGAATTTTTGTTGTGACTGACGCTGGTGGATTGGAAATTTCAGTGGATGATGACACAAAAGATGGAATTTTTGCAGGTCTAAAAACCAATAATGTTCTTGTCAGCGTGATTGGTATTGATTTCACCAAAACTAGTGTCAGTGTTAAAGACGAAGATAGCAAGGTTGGTTCCACAAGCAATGCAATCAAAAATACTCCCAAATACAGAAACGAGTCATTCCTTTGTGATTTATGTCAAACGGCAGGTGGAATGGTTCTTCCAATCGAACAAGCCATTGATACATTGCTCCTTTTCAAAAGTAAGAAAGTTCTCTCTAGAACAGCATTCAGAGGTGTTTTGGACATTGGTGATACCATCAAAATTCCAATCTGGGTTTACAAAAAAACTGAAAAGACGTCTCTTCCAACAGCAAAAAGGTTGTCACTTGTTTCTAGAAGAAATAATACTGGTGGTGACGGAGAAGTCAATATTGAAAAATGTTACTATCAATATGATGATCCAGACAACCAAGTTGATAAGGAAAAAACAGTTAGAGCTTACAAATACGGCAAAAACTTTGTTCCATTTAACGTGGTGAACGAAAAGGCTTTAAAATACAAGTCTGTGAAAGGTATTTCAGTTCTGGGATTCACAGACGAAAAGAATGTACCAAGACATCACTTTATGGCAGAAGTTTACTCATTCATTGCAAAGCCTGATGATCCTTTTGCCCAAACCGCTCTCTCTGCTTTTATTAGGGCACTCTCTGAACTGCAGCAAGTCATGATCATCACATATGTATTCCGTGACGATTCAGAACCAAAATTAGGTCTTCTCTATCCCTACATTAGTGCCAATTATGAATGCTTTTATTTCACTTCTCTTCCTTATGCTGAAGATTTAAGATCATATCCATTCAAATCATTTAGCACTGTCAAGCATACAGAAGAACAACTTCAAGCTGCAGAAGATTTGATCAATTCTATGGATTTAATGGAGGCTGACGAAGAGGGAGAAGACGGAAAGAAGGAAGCCCTAAGACCAACAAAAACCTTTAACCCACTTGTACAACATTTTTATGATTGTCTTCACACGAGAGCACTCAAACCAAATGACCCATTACCGCCAGTAGATCCACTAATTACTAAATATTGCTATCCAGAAATGAATGAAGACTCATTCTACAGAAAATTAATTAGAAAGACAAGAGACAAGAGAGTTAAATTCAAGTCACTCTTCCCTGCCAAAGAAGTTGAGCAAGACACCAAGCTAGGAAAAAGAAAATACTGGTTTGCCATGCAAAATAACAATGAGATTACCCTAGAGTCATATAACCTTGAGCCTACGGTTGAAAATGCTAATGAATTGGTTGCCGAAGACCACATTGGTCAAACCGTGAAACGTCTTAAAGACGGAATGGGAGATGAGCAGTTCGATGAAATTCAACAACGTGTTGGTCTTAACAATTTATTCGCTGAGCAAGCTAATAGTGTTAAAACTACCAATCCAACGAAAGACTTTAACGACATGCTCAACAGAAAAGATGTTGATTTGGTTGACAAGGCAATTAAGGAAATGCAAAATGTTGTCTTTAAATTAATCAATGACTCTATTGAAGACCAATATTACGAGAAAGTATTGAGCTGTATTCGAGTTCTTCGTGAAGGTTGTATCAGAGAATCTGAACCAGAATTATTTAACCATTTTATGAAAAAACTCAAACAACAATATTCTAAAGGAAAGAGAGAAGATTTCTGGAAGAATTATATTGTCGGTAACAAGATTTCACTCATCACCCAAGACGAGAGCGACGAAAGTGAAGTGACCGAGGAAGAAGCCAAGAATTTCCTTACTCAAGCCGTTGTTGCTGCACCTGTACAAGAAGAAGTTGAAGACGAGAAAATGGGAGACAATGATCTCTTTGATGAATTGGAATAAATGTCCATTTCACTCAACAACCCAAATAATTGTGTATTACGCGTAATTCTTTACGAACCACCATTACAAAAAAAATGTTTAACGCGTACAATGGCAATAGTTTTAATCCGTTTATTGGTCCTCCGAACAATACAAGCAACTCACATCAAGGCTTGTTGCGAGGAATGGTACCATACCGAAACAACAACAACATCAAATGCATCATCAACAAACCATGCTGTTGTTAGGAGATGAAGACGATGATAATAACTCTTTGTTCGGTTTGCAAAGTGGATCATCATTTAACAGATCAAACGCTTCCATCAACAATAGTGGCGGAAATAGTGGTGCTTTTAATAGTAATAATAATAATAACAACAAATCCAATTTCGGACTAATAGGGAGTGGTATCAATACTCCTGTAGTAGGATCTCATCAACATAGTGTTGGTAATAATTTCAATTCATCATTTTCAACGAGGATTCAAAATAATGTATTTACAAGTTCAAATCAAAGTAATAGCGACGTGAACAAAGGCTTTCCGATGAATCAGGGGAGCAATAGAGCACCCGGATCGTCGTTAACTGCGAATCCTTTGATGCAACATCCCATCAGCAGTGAGACTTCTACAAGTCGAAGCATTCAAGATGGATTAAATAATAGCACAGTACCAATTAATTCAATGAACAGCTGGGGTTCGGGCTCGTCCTTTTATTCTCCCTTCTCCATTCAGCAAACATCATCTTCAAATGAATTCTTTTCAAGTACAGCTGCTCAACATCCGTTTAAAACCTCAAACTCCTCTAACTTTCAGCAGCAACATGCATCACTATTCCCTAGTAATGTGACTACAAGAAATAGCAAAATTAATAGTACAACATCATCAAGACTGTCTTACCTCTCATCAACTCTTTCATTGGCTGAAGACGATGACGACAAGTTCATGGGAACCACAAATCCGCTTTATGAGGACTCGACACAACAGCAATCACAGCAATATTTAGGACGGAATACAGTGACATCACATGGCTCATCAACCTCTACATTATTTTCTACTTCAGGTTTGTCGAATCAACATCAACACACACCTCTAACACACGCCTCCTCTCCCTCTACTTCGAGCACTTCCGAGAGAACATCTCCTGGAAACAGCATCAGCTACAGTAATGAAAATACTACAACCCCATCCCCTCCACCGCCTCAATTTTTGTCATCCACTCCAGAATATCATAATCGAGTAATGGGATCATCAATACCAATAATTGGAAATGGAAACACGTCACAACTACCATTCAACAATATCGGAGGACAGATGAATTTTATACCTACTAGTTCTGCATTTCCTCCTAATGCATTTCATCAACAAGCCATGTTTGGGAATGTCATGTTTATGAACGCCAGCAATGCAATGCCAACTCCAACAAATTTGGGACCACAAATGATGCCCAATATTGGAATGGGTCCTTTTATTCTCACTAATCAACCAATGGGATTTGTTCCAATGAGTGGAAACAGTGGATTTGTAAATAACTCCCAGCAGTCATCTTTGAATGTCAAGCAGTCAAGTACTGCATCATCAGACGAGAAAAATCCAAAACCTACACAAACAAATAATTTGGAGAAATCTCACTTGACATCTCAACCATCCACTACTAATACAGCTGTACCTCCTCAGCAGAATGTACCTCAAATTTCACCCATTCCTCCAACAGATGAAATTATAAAACAACAAAACATCAACGGAACCAAAAATATTGAGGAACCAAAAAACACAGGCATCGCAAAACAATCAAAACCTACCACTTCTAACTCAAGCACAAACCTCAAAGAAGAGAAGATTCCTTCAAAGTCCGCCACTAAACAATCTAAAAAGCAGAAACACAAAAACGAAGAGACCACTTCACAACCAACAATTACTGCGGCCAAAGACACAGAGAAAACTGAACAAGAAAAGCTCGACGAAGAGCTAGCTAAAAAATTGCAACGAGAATTTGAAATGGAATATTTAAAGAGTTTGGATGCTGGCTCAAATCGAAACAAGGGATTTATTTCTACATCGAAAAAAAAGAAAGGAGGAGAATCTACTGCAGATACAATTGAAGATACGAAACCATCTGCTGCTTCTTCGACATCATCAAGCAATTTTTTCAGTATTTTAGAAAGCACCTCTACCACAGATACTCATCTAGATGCCAGTAAGACTGCAAAAAAATCGACACAACCACCACAACAACCATCTGCATCTAAATCTTCCAAAAAATCAAAGAAAAAGAAAAAGGCTGCTTTAAACGAGGCGAAAGAAGCCGCAGCGAGCAATGCAGTGGCAACAACAACGAACATCAATAGAGAGTTACAAATTCAAGAGGCTATAGAAAATAATTTACCCAAAGGAGACGCTTCAAATACTACACCAACATCTCCTCAGGAAAGCATTGAAACAACTCAAACAAATGTCACAGTAACAACCGATACCAACCTATCATCAACGAAAAAAACAAGTTCTGAAAACTATAACAAACCATGCAAGGATCATTTTAAAGGAAAGTGTAAATTTGGATCTGGAATTTGTCCATACTCTCATGACCGATCATTCTACGTCAAATATCAACAAGAACATCCTGACGAATTTCCTCCTCTTCCACAACCAAAGTCAAAGAAAAAAGATACGTCTCATGAAATGGTAGATCACACTCCTCAAAAAAAGGTCGAAGTATGTGTGAAACATAGCTCTGTACAAGCATGTCCAAATGGCAAGAATTGCAAGTACATTCATTTTTCAGACATTTCCCAGCATGACCTCTACAGAAAATGCTGCACAGGACACTCCGACAGAATTTGTAAATGTGCTCCTCAAAATGCTTCTCCAGTGTTGTATGTCGAAGGGGTGACCAAATTATCCAAAAAACAAATGCAAGAAATTGCAGAAAAATCTTTCATGAAACCAGTTGGAGTGTTTAAAATGACAGAACAGGAACTAGTCTCAAATTTGCCAGAACTCAAAACGTTATCACCCAACGAGAAGAAGCAACGAAGATTTTGCTATATTTTCCCAGACACTTGTGTGAAATTTGTCATTTCAAAGATTGAAAGATCAGAAGCCAATCGCGTGAAAAAACTATTTAACGAAACAGAGGAAGAGGAAAATCGAAAACGAAAAGCAGAAATGCAAGGCCAAAAGTACGATCAAGAAAAGGACGATGAAGCAAATCCTACCTGGCAAATTCTAGGTCTTAGCAGCCATCAACATTGCATTTTGCGCTTTATTGAAGAACGACTACCACTGTGCTTTGTGACTCCAGATTGTGACCGTTACAATGAAGGAGAACCATTCGATGATGCTCTTTATGGACATCACATCACTTTCAAACAGCGTCAATCCTATCCAACCATTATTGAGCGGATCTTTGAAATGGTGGAACCCGATGATGAGCCTGAGGAAGATATTTCTAAGGAGTTGCTCATGATGATGTTGGGTAAGGTTGCTGACGCAAAGAAAAACTCTACAACAGGATTTTTCACAATGGGATGTATTGGTCCATTTCAAATGTAAAGACGTTTGATGTTAAATAAACGACAACTGGTTGTCTTTTATTGTCAAATTAATTCTTCAAGAAAGCTGTAAGAGTAGTTTGCTTTCTCTTCTTCTTGGTTGTGGAAACGGATTCTGTTGGTTTTTTGTCATCTTCATTCTTCTTTCGTTTTTTCTTGGATGAATCCGTAGATGATTTCTTGACAACCTTAACTTTAGAGGATCTTGCTTTGTTTTCTTCGATTTCCTCAGTTGCTGTAGTGGTTTTATCGTCCTTTTCTTCAACCACGCCTGTTGATTCCTCACTATCTGAAGACTTATGTTCTTCTGCTACGGTATCGTCTGTCATCTTTTGTGACTCATCTTTTTTCGTTACAAACGGTGACTTGATTTTAAATTTCACTTTTGGAGGTGACACTGGTGATGCTTCTTGATTTTTCAACGTTTTTTTGAATTGTCTAAATATTTTCTTAGCCACTTCAGAAATACCTTGAGATTCTCTTGCTGCTTGATCAAACCATTTCCATTGATCAGCAATAGAATCAGAATTTCCCTTAGATTGTAAATCCTTAATCAGGTGCTTACTACTGCAACTGTAAATGTGATTCGTTTGATTGATATGTGAGAAGACGTGATTCACAGTAGAGTGATACTCTAACGGTATCGAAGATGAATGTTTGGCGTCAATGAAACCTTCATCAATAAGAAATTGTTGTAATTTGCTTAAATGTGAATCAGATTCTGTGGAGGCTGATTTTCCTGAGCTGCCGATGTTCTTTTTTGATTTTTGAGAGGCATTCGAGTTCTTTTTCTTCTTTGACTTCACTTGTGTTTCTTCCTCTTCTTGTGAATTTTCTGCTTCATCTTCAACATTCTTCTCATCAAAAACAACCACAAGTGGAAAATGCCACGTTCCTCCTAGCAGCTGTTCGTGCCGTTTTTCATAGAGACACACTTCATTGTCGTCGTCTTTGTAAAATATACAGCAAGATACAATTTGAGCTCGTTTCTTGGTCTTCTTTTTTTTGACAGGGTAAATTTCAACTGAATTAATCTCATTGTTCTCCACAGCTTTAAATGCGGAGCATACATCTGCAATAGGACATTCACCACATTTTGGATTTCTACAGAGTCAATAACCAAGGTGTGACGAATGATTGATACAATCGTATAATCGCGCAATTAATTGATAATAAATTATTATTACAATCACTAACCTTGGAATGCAAATAGTTCTTCCTAGCTCCATAATTGCCTGATTCAAATCTCCATATCTAGTTTTCATAGGAGTGGTATCTTCATTGTCGTCACACAAGTCTTCAATGTCTTTAAAGTGAGAAATTAAATTATCGGCCATTGGCCAAAATATTGAAGTTGCTGTTTTTTGAACCGCAATATCTTCCTCAATTTGTTTTAAACGAGCAAACACACGAAACACGTTTCCGTCAACAATGCTGGCACACCTTCCGAATGCAATGCTAGCTACCGCTCCAGCAGTATATTTTCCAACTCCTTTTAGGTTCATCAAGTCTTTCACATTGTCAGGTAATTTGTAAATGACATTATGCGTTAAACTCTTATCCTTGTAATGAATAGGTTTGTTATACTCTTGAACTACATATTTTGCAGCAGCATGTAAATTTCTTGCTCTTTTATAATAACCTTGAATTATTTCAAATTCGAACAGTTGATGAATCAATGCAAAGAATTAAATAATCAAACGGAATTCAATAACATGCACACACATACCCAATCCAGACCAAGCACCATGAACATCATCATCGGATGCATCACTCAAATCCTTGATCGTCGGAAATCTCTTCATCCATTTCACGAAATATTTCTTTACAGTTTCCACTTGTGTTTGTTGCAACATTAATTCACTCACTAACACTTCATAGGCTCGTTGATGAATTTTCATTTCTTTTAATAATTCATCATCATTACTTTCATCATCGGACGAGTCAGATGAATTTCCTTTCGGTTCAATGTGAGTACTTGGTTTTCTCCATGGTAAATCCTTCTTATTCAAATCATACCACGACAATAATTCTCTCCAAATTGTTTCTCTCTCCTCATAAGAAAAAAGAAAATTCTTTGCAACGGTTACTTTGCGAGGGAGCGAAGTCATTTTTTGTGTTAAAAAAACATTAAAAAAAACAACGAGTGAGAATAATTGTTTGTGGGATGGTCATGCTTTCGTTGTTATTACCAATTTTCTTTTAAAGTTCAGAATGATTGAGCAATGATGATGATACGAAAAGAATTAATTCTTTCGGATTGAATATCGGAAATTTTATGATCCGAAATTCATGAATTTAAAAAAGCTCAGAGGAAATTAATCATGATCATGACAAATTTTAAATATTAGGATTGGATGAAGTTACAGTTTCTATGGCTGCTTCTCCAGCAGGAGGTGGTGTTCGTGTACTTTCCATTCGTTGTCCATATTGATCCTCACTCGAATTCTTCTCTCCAAATACATGGCTCCTTAAACGCTCCTTGACGAAATCTCGAGCTCCTCCACCTTCACCACTCTCACTCAACATACGATCGGTATTGAGTTGATCATTCCGTTCATAGAAGATGTTATTTTCGGAAGTGTTTGCATTCTGTAAGGTTTGGGAAAGATGTGATTCATCATTCATAATATTCCCAGAGTTAGTCAGGCGAAGAACCTCTTCTGCTTTTTGAGACATTTTCTAATGATTGCTCTTACATGATAATTGAATAGGAAACTCGTTGTTTTGGAAATTACAAGTTGACTGATCTAAATCAAGCTATTTTCCATATTTAATTCTATGATCTCAAGCTGAACTGCAACATTTGTTTGCTTTACTAATCAAAACGATGTTTTATTCATTGAAATTCTACAAGCTTCATTATGAATTAGAGCAATTTCACTCTCATTTAGAATGCTTAAAGGTCTTCATCTCTTCCACCTCCTTCGTTATAACCTTGTTCATCCTCACCGAAATCTCTTCTTCCTTCATTGTATCGATCACCAAAAACTTTACTCTTAATCTTCTCCTTCACATAATCTTTGATACCACCAACACCTCCTTCCTCACCAGCGCCTCCATAACCGCCTTCATCCATGGCTGATCTGTCCAGACTACCTGGAGAGTTGTAATTAGGATTGAATTGATCATCATTGAAATCACGGCCAACATTTCCCTGGTAAGACCCTTCTTGTTGTCTTGGATCCATGATTTGATCATCACCTCTAAAATCTTGATACTTGTCCATGTTGATAATTATTAGTTTTGTGAATTGTGTGTGCTTTTGTTTTAAAAAGGTGTAAGATGAAATCATGCTCGTGAGTTAGACCATGGTCATGTTTCTATAATTGAATGCATAGTTTAAAGATTAATTCCATGTTTAGAAATGAAAATTATGATATCAAGGTTGTAGCGGTCATTCAAATGGTTGAACACTGTTGTTATTGAGTGAAGGGTGACATGTCAATCCGAGAGCAAATTTTGGGGTCACACGACATCAACAGAAAAGCCCTTGTGTCAAGCGCTCCAAGGTGATTCCTTCTGTCATTACGAACCGACACTTAAAAAATAGATTCTCCCCATCCAGTCCTAGATGTTCCTTCAAGCATGGCTTTTGGTTGTTACCACGGTGGCATATTTCACATTTTTCATGCCTGCCTCTTCATACCAACAAGAACCAACATCAACAAGCGCCGAATCCAACCACATTCAATATTCGACTCTTGATGTCTTTATGAACAGATTCTCGCAAGCGTCTCCACAACAGTTCACCATTCTATCCTCCAATTCCTCCCTCATAGCCATCACACTCAATTACACTAGATTATTTGCACAACGTGATGAATCTCGGTCCCGTCTCAAGCTCTTTGAAACATCTAATCTCCAAGACATCTCTTCACTGAATCATTCGGTCATTCACATCTACGTGGAAGATACCAACGAAAAGTTCATTGGAGCCGACAAGGACCACATGAAATCTGTGATTTCACACGCATTCAACGTTCTTTCCATTCATCCTTCGAGAGTGATCTTTGCTCGAAGATGGTATTTTGATTGTATGGCTGGAAATCCTTTCCTTGACACACCACAGCAAGCACTTGTGAAATATTTAATCACCACCGATTATGAATTACCAAAAGTTATTCGGAGAGTTCGTGAGAGTTATTTGTTGGCACATGATAGATGGTTGGAATTGAGTGATTTTACAATGCTGCCTCTATTTCCATATGAATTACAATATCAAATTTCGAATCAAGGTAATGACAACGTGTCAAGCTTGCATAAAGAAGAAGAAACTTTGGGAGTTTTGCTGAATATACAATTGACGAACTGTTTACAAAGTATGACTTGGTGTGCACAATTCGATGGTACTAACAGAACTAGTTCGAAGTGCTATCGGTCACACGATTATTGTTGGTTGCGATTGATGTCACAAGAACCTTCTCAATATGGCAGGTCGATGTTTTCATTACATCCTCAATTTATGAAAGCTCTTAATGATCATTGGGTTCGACTGAATTTCTCTTCCAAAACGAGTTCGGTTCTCAAATTTAATGATACCATTGCCTCAAGTGTTTTCACACAGTTTGAACAATTGAATCAGCAAGCATTTCGAAGGTTATGGATCTCCAAGTTTGACCAACAAGACTCAAGTTTGAATTGGTATGCTTTGAATACTTCAACTGAACTATTACATTCGTCACTCACAAACATCAAGACGGACATCTTTTTACCCTCTATTATTTTTGAATGTAAAAGTTCAGTTTGCCTACTCGAACCTCCTACCGCCGACATTTTCTTTTTGATTCCAGCTGCTATTTTTTGCGTATTGCACTTTGTAGGATTGGCTTTCTTTTTCAACAGACGATCTATCAAGGTTCGATTATTATTTCCATATTGGGGACCCTTAGCTTGTCTCACTGCTTTCATTGGTCATACAGATTTTGTTGTTTCAGCCTGTGCAACGTTGGGACATACCATCCTTGTGGTCGTAGCTTGGTCTACCATTGCCGTATATTGTGTGACTTTATTGAGATACTTGTTTTTAAGAAATATTTATTCCATCTTGTCATTAACAGATCAACCTGCTCAGGCTGGAAAAAGAAACAAAGAACATGAAAACAAAGGTAGTTTTCTGTGCTTGAATTGTGTACATGGAGGTTTTCTTCAACGACTGTTCACTGTTGAACGAGTGAAAAAATTGGCTTCTAAAAGGGTTGGAATTTTCACAAGCCTAGTGTTAGCTCTTCTGGTGGCGTTGTGTATGTGGGCGCTGATACCGTTCTTTGTCACATTCTATTTAACATCAAGCGCCAATCTATTGAGGAACATTTTATTGGCATGCTTTGTAGTGATGGGAATTTGTGTGGCTTTGCTCTATATAGGTGTGGACATGTATTTGAATCGAGACAAGATTCGAAAACAGGGAGTCCTTCATTTTCTATTGCATGATGATCCATTTTATATTCATGTGGATATGATTTTGTTGTTTATTATGATTGTTGCACTAATATTTGTCATTGTTTTTGATATTATAGCAATTTCCTTGATTGGAAAAGTTTTATGGATGTTGCTGCCCTTTCTAGCTGCTGGTGGCATGATCATGATTTTTGAGATAATCGTCTTGGTGAAATCCAAATTCTTTAAGAGTGTAAAACAGGCTCAATATGAGAGCGATTTAGAAAGGATGATTTACGGTGACAACAATTTATTTCAACATTTAAAATCCTATGCAGAGAAAGAACTTTCCTTGGAAAATATTTTGTTTTTGCAGAAAATGATGGACCTGTCTGCTTTGAATCGACCAATAATGAAGAATAGTCATTTAGCCAGCAGTGGCAGTTCTTTGGGAGTCAGTCGTGAAAGTTTGAGTAGCAATACCACCTCGAATAGTGGACAATCACCGCTGGTAATCGAGCGAGGAAGCGACGTGTCCAATAGTGCTGCATTGATGGTCACACTAATGCCATGGGAAGAAGTAACGACCATCGAAGAAGAGTTTTTAAGGCCATATTCTAAATACGAGTTGAACATTCCAAGTTCGACAAGGAAAGGATTTTATGAATGGTTCAACAATGAAAAAAAGAAATTTCTGGAAGATTCAAGTCACCATCGAGTGAGTTTAGATGAAGTGAAAGAATTATTGATGCAGGATGTCATGATGAATGTGAAAGACACCTTTTTGAGGTTTCAAAACACACCAGAATATGCCAAATGGGAAAGTTTGATGGAATTGCAAAAATCCAATGCCGTGATTTGAGCTTGCATCAATGGAATCAACCATGATCAATTTCGTTTTTTAAAAAACTGTTAGATCTATATTTAAGGAAGAAAAAAATATAACGATGGAAGCAACACGACTCACTTCGAATGATCTACCTCTTGATTCAGGTTCGGAGCTGTTAGAGGAAAGAAACAGCCATGAACAGGTGTTCCTGGTGGCGACTAGTGATATGTATCAACAACAAGAACAACCAGCATCCATACACTCTCATGAAGATCTGATGGATGATGTATTAAGGGAACGAATGAAACAATATGTAGAACAGAATGAAGGCTCCTCGGAAAGGCCTTTGAGTGAGGATGATCATTTCGACCATCATGATGAAGAAGAGCTCGCTATTGCCTCGCCCATGAGAAGAAAACATCTCACTGCAACCATGATGAGTCCGCTAGGAATTAAAAAGAATCATCAAAAAGTATTCCTTGAAATGTTTCATCATACACTTCCAGAGAGTATTCATACAGTAGAGGAAACTGAAAAGAAGGAATCCATGGCGGCAACCATCCTGCAAAAGGCAGTGAAAGGCTTCATCGTGAGACGAAGATACATGAAACGACGGATGGAAGAAGCAAAGAATAAGGCAGAATATGAAGCAAACAAAAGTGAATTAAGCAACCTCAAGAAGAAGAGCCAATCTCAAGCAATGTCCACGCATGAGATGCAAGAACAATCACTCAAACTGAAAAAGTCCATTCAAGCGAGTATCAATAGAATTAAAAGTCGCGAACAAGCAAGACAAGAGAGTGCCACAATCATCCAGAGAGCATGGCGAAGAAAGAAAGAGCAGAATCCATCTCGCTTGGACATTCAAGAGCCAAGCGAGAAATTATTAAGTGCATTGGAAAATTCTGAGTATTTTGGATCAAGAATATCTATTGAAGATTTGATGGTCTTGCTAACAACCACAACGACAACCAAGAACACAGTTGTAACGAGACCAGATTATTCCTACAGAATGACACTGATTTAATTTGTACAGGGTGGATGTTCGAGCAAACCCAAGAACAGTGTTGCAACAAGTTTTTGAATGCACCAATTTTCTCATTATTTCACCATCTTCACGTAAAAAGCGCATGTACTTTTATTTTCACATAAAATCAATTTCGGTTCTAACGTTTGCACGAACAAAAAAAAATTGCATCAAAATCCTTCATCGCTGTCACACACATGCCAAAGAAATCATCAAAATCCTCCGAAGACACAGATTACACAGAACCATCATCCCGAAAATCCAACACTAAATCGAAAGGCATTCAAAAACAACACAAAATGAAAAAAGCTGTCAAATCCCTTGTTGAAACCTTCCATGCCAAAACTCAATCCGAATGGCGAGAATGGCTCACCACTCATTCCCAAACCAAAAACAACATTTGGCTTCTCTTTTACAAAAAAGATTCAGGCACGCCATGCATCACTTACGAACAAGCGTTGGATGAAGCCCTCTGCTTTGGTTGGATCGACAGTACAGTTCGAAAGGTGGATGAACAGTGTCGAATGCAATACTTTTCGAAACGACGTGGCTCCCAAAGCAAATGGAGTAACAAGAATAAGAATCGTGTCGCAGAACTCATTCGAGAAGGAAAAATGACTCCGCACGGGTTGGCAGCCATCGAATTGGCCAAAGAAAATGGCATGTGGGATTTACATACAGATGCACATAATTTAGTGTGTCCACAAGATTTACTGGATGCATTCGAAGAAGAGGGTGAAAATGCAAAATCGAATTTTGAAGCATTTCCACCGTATGTGAGAAGAGGAATTTTGAGTTGGCTTTGTGAAGCGAAACGGCAAGAAACGAGAGAGAAGAGAATTCGAGAAATTGCTGAAAAAGCAGAACGAAATGAACGAGCGAAATTGTAAGAAAGAAATGTAACTGTCAAATGTCATTGAATTTTTTTAATGTTACAAAGTCTCAAGAGTCATTACTTGTTGTTTTTCATTTGTTCCTTAATTTCTTCAATATGGTCATACCAAGCATCCACACCATTACTTAAATCTTCGAGTTGATAATTTCTTCCAGGCTGCATGTCATGTAATTGCAATCATAAAAATTTCAAATGTTCAATGACAAATTTCACACACACACACACGAGTTGATCATATTCCAATCAATTAATTATTCATTTTCAACACTATGAACGCGACTACTTACTGTCTGAATGGTAAATTCTCTCGAATTCTTCTTCACCACATACAATTCATTACTCCACGGTATAATTCCTTTCAGTAACATCTTCTCAGGATCAATATATAAAATTCTTGGTTTATCCGTAAGTATTAATTGTCTCTTTTTTGCAGTAAATCTTCGTCTCTTAATGACCAATGCTGTATAAACGACATTTTCATTCTTCATTAAGAATTTACTCCATCGATCATTGAGAGATTCTGTTAATTCGGATCCACCAGAAACGGTACGTCTCAAATTTCCATCAATGACAATTTGTCCCGAAGAAGAAGATGCTGTCGAAGATGAAGAAGAAGTTTCCGATGAGGAGCTTAATGAACGAATGTGACCATTGGGTTTGAAACTTCTCACAGGTGAAGAAGGAGTAGAGGGCGATCCATTGTTATGATGTTGACCATTATTACTACTGTGGTGGATATAAAGACCATTCGTACTGGTCGAACCACCATTCAAAATCGATGACAAATTAGGACCTGGATATTTGGCATTCATCGTGGGAGGTGTCATTTGTCCCAATTGTGAAAAATCAATTCCTTTAAAGAAGGGATGTTTTTTGAGTTCACTCATTCCACCTCGTTGTCGACTTCCTAGTCTCTTCTCTGCATCGAATTGACACACTTGTCGAATGAAATCAATAGCATCAGGATCCATCAATGGAGTAGAAGATGTCTCATCGTCGTCCTCATCACGTTCCTCATCTTCTTCAATCACAAGTCCTTCTTCTTGAACTGCTGTAATTTTTTGAAATATTAAATATTGCGATTCTCCATCAAATAATTGTCGACCAGTGAGAAAATTATAAAGAATGCAACCGAGAGCCCACAAATCTGAACTTTCCGATTGGGGTAAATCTTTGAGAATTTCAGGAGAGACGTAATGAGCAGTGCCGACAAAGGTTCCTTTCACATAGAGAACTGGCTCATCGAATTCTTCACCATCGGAAGTGAGTGGTTTTGTGGTTTTGAGGATTTTGGCAGTACCGAAATCGGTGATTTTTAAATGTAATGTTTCTGTGAGAATTAAATTTTCGGGCTATTGTTGAATGAATGTATTTGAAATTTTCATGTCGAGTTCCAAAGAGATGGTCATCATTTCGGTGATGATGATTGTTATTATTGTTGGTATAATAGATGGTTATTATTGTTATTGGTATTGTTATTATTATTGGTATTGTTATATTCATGTAAATGTCAAGTGTCATCAACATGTTGAACAATAATAAAAACGGTTCATCCATGATCCGACACATAAAAGTATTTCTTACCTTCAAATCTCTGTGAAGAATGCCCTTACTGTGAATAAATTCCAATCCATTGACAAGTTCTGCCATATAGAAACGAGCAGCTTCCAACGTCAGAGGTCCATACTTTTCAATGATGGAACCTAATTCTCCACCAGGTGCCAATTCGAGTACAAAATCTGTTGTTCATGATGTGTGTGAATGATGTTCCATATAGTTTTTATAATATTCAAGAGAAATCATCATCGTCATGGGGATGAAGGTTGTCATCATGATGGTTATTCAGAGACGATGAACGTTACAACAGTACATATAAAATTGAAAAACCAAATAAACAAGATGAGAGGTGTGATGTCATGATGATTGGACATTTTCCGTTTTGACATTTTAATTCATAATAACAATTTTCACACGACGAATGACATTTCAAAGAACACTCCTACTTACATAAATGATCCTTATCTTGAAAAGTACAAAATAATGAAATAATATTCGGATGGTCCAACATGTTTAACACTTCCTTTTCCATTTTCACAGTATTGATTTTCTTTTCCTTGATCACAAAATCCTTCTTGATGACTTTGGTGGCGTAAAAGGTATTCGTTTTCTTGAATTTAGTGAGAAAGACTTCAGAGTAGGCTCCTTTGCCTAGCTCTTTGATAAAATCAAAGTCCTCTCGAGTGTATTTGGACATTTTTTTGTTGCGGTTTTGCTGTTGGAGAATTCGGCAAGGTTTTTTTAAATTGCGAAATTTTTGGCAGGTGACAAGTGAGGTTCAGAACGTAATTGAAAAACCAGTTCCAAGAAAGGTCCGCTGTTCTGTTGACCAACGTTCCTCTTGGTTGTATCACAATTGGGCAGAAATGCATTTTCTTTCAATAATTATATTGTCATTGGTTAGTCCTCTTCTTATTTCTTTTTACTCTTTGTTGATTTGTTTGCACTTGTGGTTTCTGTGGTCACTACAATCTCATCTTGTTTCCCACACTCCAATTTATGTCGTGGCCAATCCTTTCGTTGACATTCTACACTGCAATATTTAGCTTCTCTACAACCTCCACATCTCTTTAAGGTTTCACTGTTGTGAGTACTTTCCTTTCCACAACATGAACATTTAGGTAGTGGTTTTTTGGCATCCTTTAAAGCAATTTTTAGGAGCGGATATTTAGATTTCACAAGTGTTTCTGCTTCTTCTCCAAATTGTGAACCAATCAAATCGTAAAAGAGGCCTGTAACTAATTGTGGTGGCATTCTGTTGGAAAAGGTGATTCTAGAGCAAAGCTCATCTCTGAATCAATGAATTTGAGAAGAGCATTTACATTGAGCTTGTTCTTGACCTCTTCATCTCTCAAGATGGCTTGTAAAATTCTGCAACAGGCGTTTTTGATATCCTTAAATAAGTGACTCGTTCTAGACTTTAAAAAGTCCATTAACATTTCAACAAAATTCGTGTCTCTGACCAGATATTTACGGAATGAGTCATGCAACACCATGGAACAAACACAGAAAGAGGTTCTTCCCCAAATAAATTGTTGGGCTTGTGTGAGCTCTGTCCTGGAGTCTTTAAATAGTTTCAGCATTTCAACCATCCAATAGAAACACATGTCCTCTAATTTTTGACCCTTTTTAGAGGTTCGATTCACTGGATCTGAGAAAAATCTCTCTCTCTGCTCTGGATCAAATAATAAATGATTAATGATAGATAGATAATTGATGAAACCATAACACACTGGTGTGTTGGCTGCTGGCAAGTTCTTTGCACCAAATCCGCTCAGAGTATCACTCAAAGGAAAAACGATTTCTTTCAAAATAAATTCTGAATACTTAAAGTTGTCCTTATAAAAATACTCTCTTAATGAAGGTTGCCTGGAACAATTGGAAAAAAGAGTTGCAAGTGAAGGTATCCAATCGTGGTAATACTTTCGTTCCTGAGAAAGTTTCCATGAAAATAGCTCTTCAATCAAATACTTCTTTTGCTCCATAACTGCTAAAAGATCATCCAAAATTGTACATTCTTCTATGGCACTCAATAATTTTCGTTGTTTTTTTGGGAAAATACCTGTAGCAGCATTAATTTCAGTTGGAATGGAAACACGGTAAAGTAAACTGGACACACTTCGAGTAAGTGTGGTGAAATCTGGCTTATCCTCTTCTCTGTCAGGTAAGGTTTTTGCGACGCTTAACATGTCAATAAGGAGTGCTAAGAATTGTTTTTTAAAAACCAAGTTCATGGGAACAATCTCACTGCTTTCAATGATGTCTTCAAAACACTGTGAAAAACCTTCACAAATCATTAACTCGTCTTTGGCATGCATCCAACAGTGGATCATGGATTCTATCAGCTTGGTCTCCGTGAGAAGGTATTTGATACGAGCAACTTCTGAGTGGCGGGTCATGGCTAAAAACATTTGTTGAATAAGGTAAATACAATCGTGAGCAACTTGCAACCTCATCTCTTTCTCTACTGGTGTTTCAGTGCCAAGTCCAACCACATGGTCGAATAATAATTGTTGAATTCGTGAAATAAAGCCATCTTGATCAATAAGGAAGGTATACACTGGTTTCATTGAAAAAGTTTGGTGTGAAAATTTTTCTACAATCATAATATTTTCTTCGTTACATTGTGCCAAGAAAAATAGAGCATCATCCAGACGTAAACTGTTATCGTTTTGAATATAGTCCATGAAAACTTGAATATCTGGTTGAATGAATTCAACAAAATCCGTCTTGGCACAATACTCGGTTAAGGTTTCTCGAATATGATCCTTGACATCGTCAATTTTCATAATTTCATGAGTTTTGTGATGTTGGGAGAGCGGTCTGGTATGTCTAAGAGATAGAATGTTGAACTGAAATCATGTTGAAATAATCAAGTATTAAACAAATACCTACACGGTTCACTAATGAAACAAAACGGATTAACTCCTGTTTTTGAATTTCTTCAAATTTGTCCCCATGCACCTTTTCCAATGATGCCCAACGGTTCTTTGGTTCAATAGCTGGAAGTGAATTTTGTAACTTTTGTTTCAAGTCTGATATACTGTAAATCTCAGAGTTGATAGCAAATTCGTTTTTGGTGCTTGGATACTTTCCAACTGGCATTTCAGTTCCTTGACGCACGACACGCAAAATATTTAGTCTTCTTTCATGTTCGAGATTTCTCTTCTTCTTATATTCCTCTTTTGAGTCTTTGCCAAGAAGATGGGGCTTGGTGACAAATTCTTCAGTTTCAGTGGCCTTGCAGAATTGGTAAAAAGTACCTGCAACTTCTTCCAATACAGAACCATTCTCATAAACTTTTTCAACAATCTTAAAAGTAGATTTTGAATTCACTTTCATTTCTTTAAGGTCTAGTATAATAATCGAATGTAGATATTCATCTTCACAGGTTGTGAGAACCTCTTTGTAAATTTGAACCAGAGATTTCATATACGATTCTTGACCGGTTTTTTGGCAAAAAGTGGAAAGGAACTCTATACATCTGATTTCAAACAAGTACTGTGCTCCTTGTTTCTTCTTTTCCTTAGCACTCAGCTTTCGTTTTGATTTTCTCAATTCGTCCATGAGTAATGTTTCCAATACGTTCCACGAGAGTCCTAGATGACTGAACAAAAATTTTGAAGACTAAAATTGCACACATTCTCAAAACTCTCTTCATGCATGATAAAGTTGCAAATTCTAATGATATGTCTTCTACGAATGTTTGTCTTCACACAGTCATTATTTGTGAGAATGTGCAACAAATAAATGAGCTTTGATGCTGTTGGTTCAGGCCAAAGCTCGATCATGAAGTCAATAAATTTGTCAATATGTATATCGGATTGGAAAGCTTTCTGCAACAATGTCATTTGGCCATCCCACAAATTATTCTTTTTCAAAATTTCCTCAACAAATTGCTGTTGAGCTTCCATGTTTTCGATTTTATCATTCGGAATCTCGGGTAAACTGTTTTTAATCAACTTTAACAACTTGGCTCCATAATCATATAGTCTCTTGATTCTATTTTGTTCCTCCTCACGTACTTTTGCCTCTTCTCCTGCCCAATAATAATTCGATAAATCAATGGTTTTCATTGGTCCTCTCTCGGAATTCATAAACTCTCTGTAAACCATTTCTGGTGAGCCTAATTTCCCAATTTCTGTTTGTCCAGAAACATTCCAACGAGGAATTTGGACTTTGGTCTGGTCTGATGCCCAGAGCATCTTGCTGGAAGAAAGTGGGTTGACTGGAAGAGGGTTCAAAGAGGATGCTTTTTGCTTGGGAGGCATTTTTTTTAATCGGGTAACAAGTTGAATGATTGTCATCTAACAACTTTAAATATAACAAGATTGTTGAAGACCAAAACATCAACAAGATTGCTGCATTCCTGATCCATGTTCATCATTAAAAGAGCTGTTTTCCAACTCTATTGCACTAAAAATCTACTGTTCCAAGCAGCGAACAAATTTCAGTTTCACTGAAAAAAATGTTCGGTAAAGAGTTTCGGCTGGGACTCAACAACGGTTGGAACAACAGACGGATTTGTTGAAACGGCTCTCTATGAGCTCTGAATAAACGACCAACAAAAAACAAAATGAAATTAACAGGTCCTCTGATGTTATTGAATCCTCTTCTTTCTCCTCGAACATCGTTATTGAAAAAAGAAAATTCCATGATGAGGATGACTGAAACACAGAGCCCAGCAATGACTGCTAAATCCAGTCCTACCCACTCCGAACATGATCCTCGTGAGAATGGCATGTTGTTCGCTCACAGTGCTCGTTTTGAACAAGTGCTTGTTGATGAAGAGAGTCGAAAATTGTTTCTTGAATTTCTGAAATTTCATCAAACAGAAGAATCGCTGCTCTTTCTCAATGATTTGGAGGTGTATCAACATGAATATGAACAGATGATTTTTCATTCGTTTTGCGATTCGACGTCAAGAGACTTGAATCAGGTCAAGTCAAGAATAAGATCCTCCTCGCTAAAGGCGACAAGAAATTCGATAAGATTGCATCGATTGTCCATTTCATCGAACTCATCGGTTGACTCGCTGTCAAGCTCTTGTAGCAAAAGCAGTCACAGCACTACCTCGAGTACACTATTCACAGATAGTGTTCAAAGTAGCCAAAGCGTTAATACACATAGCTCTGCCTTTCTTGAAGCTGATACTATTACTAGTATTGATATTCAAGTTCCTCCAACAAATTTCTCACCAATTACACAGAATAAGCGAAAGTCTATCAAAAGACAGTCTAAGAGGATTTTCAAAGAGGTAAAGCATCTTTTCGAAAGATTACAAAAGCTCATTGAGAATTACATCAACACTGGCTCTAGATATGAATTGAATATAGGATCGCATCAATTGGTAGTTTTGGAATTATTTTCGAAAGTATGCGAAAGTTTTACGGATTTATCTCATGAAATGAATCTCATCGAATGTACGAGTAGCATTCTCCTACAACAGATGGACCCACAGCTGCTATTTGGCAAACTTGTACAAATTGTCCATCAGGATTTGAAATCTGAGCTATTTCCTCGCTTTGTAAGAAGCGAATTATTTTTTAACTTTGTGCAAGAAAAAGGTCACGAATACTTTGCCAGACATGTTTCACATCCATACTCTACAACCACCCTACCATTGTTTGTGGATGCAAGAAGTGATGTCATTTCTGAAGAAGTGTTAGATTTTGGGCTTCGAATGGCACAAGAAGATCAAACTCTTTGGAAATTGATTCACGAGAAAGAGATGAAGAATGATCGTGTAAGGATGAGTCTTTTTACATCCAAGAGAGCATCGTCAATGATAGAAATGCAAGGTTCAACAACACGTGCTACGAAACGATCAATGAAATTTCTAAAATGTGATCTTTATATTCCTCAACCCTTTGAATCGGTTGTGAGAACATGGACTTCATTTATGGATCGAGACGAAGAAATCATTTTAAGAGATTATATTCGACCAATGAATGCCGATCTTAAATTTCAAAGAGAAGAAGATATGGACATTCTTTCACCGGGTTCTCCTATTTTACCATCGACGAGTGGTTGTATTTCTCCATTGTGCATTCAACAATGTCATATCAATATGGACGTTCACATTCCATGTGTGAAAAACAGAAGCTTTCCAGTGGTTGCAACGTCAATAGGTGATGGCCAAACGATAGCCATGTTTGCCTTTCGATCTAAGGATTGTAGCGATCAGTTGTCTTCTTGTTTCATGCCATGTTTAGGGTTTTTCATATTTTACAAAATGGGTGAAAATATAACACGAGTGTGTCATTTACTAAGTGCTGACTTTTCCTTACCATTCATGAATTCAGATTTGTTATATGAAGCGTTTTGGAAAGCTAGATGTTCAAAATTAGCCAGAGAGCTGTTGAGTGAGTCTGAAAACAATTCCCAGCAAGACTCTTTGCGATTTTTACAAACGATGAGGGAAAATGCAAAAACATTTCCCAACATGCCACTACCATCTACTATCTTTGCTTGTTCTGATCATAAATAAGACTTTTATTATTATTATTTAAACTATTTACAATAACTTGTTATCACTAATTTTGTCACACTATTCAACTTGTTACTCAAATTCACCAGTATCCATAACATCCATATTGACTTTTTCATTCTCTTTGTCATCACTGGACTTGAGATGCAATTCTCTTTCCAACAAAGACAACGGTGGATTTGAAGAATCTAAATGAGAAGCTTCCACACGAGCTTCCCATTCCAATTTTTCATGTTCTCTCTTTAAATCCTCTTCCACAAGAGCAACACCTCTTTCATCGTACTCAACAGCTCCGATCAATAACAACTGCAAACCTTCATGACTCAAAATAGAGGGTGGGTTAATTTTCAGAAAGGTTTTTCCTTGGAATAGATCAATGACTTTTTGAGGTATTTCCTTGTGTCCTTTTTTCGTTTGAGTTGATGAAGAAGCACTTGGTCCTTCACTAGCAGTTGAGAAGGAGGTTGTATAGGTTTGAGGATTTTTGGCACTCAAAATCAAAGTATCTTCTTTTTGAATTCCAAACTCTGCTTGAACACTATTGGGTTCCCATGTTTTTGGAAATTCCAACACATACGACAAGTGAGTATGATTCTCTCGGTGTTCTATGAGTTCATAGAGTCCCTCTCCTAATAACCGACAAGCTCCCAATTCTCGTTCTCCTCTTGTGAATGTTTGATAATGCTCTTCCGACAAACTCTTCTTTACAATTTGATCAATGTCGGAATCCACTTGAGTAACAATGGCCAAACGTTTCTCACCCTTACTTGGAAGAGTTTTCTTGGGAACCATCAAGACTCGAGCTGGTTCTTGTTCCGTGGACATGGAGGATACTGGCTGTTGAGCATACAAACGTTGAGGCTTTAAAACAATGACGAGTTTTTGAACCTCATTGAAATCATGAACTTGTTCTTTCATCACTTTGGGACGATACAGGAAGAAGATGTGTCCCCTCTCGAGGACGTTTAAATTGTTGAATTCTTTGAGAGTTGCTGGTTGGAGGAGTGAAGACTTGTGCGCTTCTGGCATTTTGTTTTTTCTGGAAATCAATCGGTTAGGATTTATTTGCATCGTTCCATGCAAACCAACAGACGCGAACGAGAATGGAAATTGCTCAAAAAGATGAAAAGAGATAATTCATAGGAATATAAAATTTGCTTACAAGGATCAATATTCAACGAATGGATTGAAAGACTTGTAAAAATGTGTCTTCAAGAAACACTTTGTGGATCATCACCATGCTTTCCAAAATCGATAAAAAAAAGTTCAAAAAAAAATGTTTAGGTTTTCATCATTCAATTTATTGAAATACAACGGAAGATGGTCTTCCTCTGCTCTTGCTGTTAGAAAATCATCCTCCTTGTGGATGAGTGGTGGTTTGAATAAATTCTCAATTTCCGGAGGAGAAAACCAAGAACGATTGAAATCATTTTCTTCATCAAGCGATAAGGAGCCTTCATCGAAAAGAAAAGAAAACGACCGATGGGATAGGTCCAAGAATATTGCTGGTTCCAAATCTGCTCCATCATCCTCGGATAAAAAGCCTTCTTCTTTCAGAGAAGATAGATTTGAACGAAAGCCATCCTTCAACAGAGAAAGAGGAGATGACTTCAGAGGAAGGGAAAGATTTGAAAAGAAGCCTTCATCGTTCAATCGGGAAGAACGATCCATGAATGATAGAAAGCCATTCCGAAGGGAAGACTCCAAGTTTGAGCCTTCATTTGACAGAAAGCCAGAGAGAAGAAGCTCATTCCGTGATTCTAGACGAGATGATTGGGGTGAAGAATTTTCTTCCCGTAGAGGTTCTCGTACTTTTGAGGACGCAAAACCATCAAGTAGATTTGAAGAAAAACCTGCTTTTGGCAGAAGAGCCTCTTTCAGTGGAGGTGAAAGTGTGAAAGATTCCAGCAAGTCACGCTCAAGATTTGACGAGGATCGATTCGAACGAAGGCCATTCTCCGACAGAAAACCTTCATTCATCACTGGCAGCAGAGAAGACAGATTTGAACGAAAGCCATCCTTCAACAGAGAGGAGAGATTTAGAGAAGATAGAAACGAATTTAGGGGAAGAGACAGATTTGACAGAAGCAGAACACCATCCAAGCCAAGATTCGAAGATGATTCATTTAAAGGAGGTGTTAGATCTGGCAAGAATGAGAGGTTCAACAGCAGTCGAGATTTTGATGCTCCAAAGAAACGAACATTTGGTGAAGAGTCTCGAATGGAAAGTAGAAGTCCACGTGGATCAATGACTGAGAACAAGCAGCCACCATCACGTAGCAAAGATGTCACAAAGGAGTTGTCAAGCTCAAAATCAAAACGACGTGCTGTCATCGAAGACGATGTCGATGATTGGGAAGATTTCCAAGATTTGACTCCATCCAAGAAGACCAGCTCCAAAAAGAAGGCCGAAAAAGTTGAAGAGCCCGCAAAAGTTCCAGAACGAAATCCACGCGAGATTGAGAGAAGAGCAATGATGGCCAATACTGGCAAGCATGCAGCTTCTGCAGGAGTTGCGCACGTGCTCAGTCAGTCCAGAGGTGGACAATCAAACACAAAGGCAACTAACCAATCACTTCCTAACGTGACATTTATTTCTAATCCTTCACAACGCAATTATGATATGGACCAAGCATATGATTTCTATGACAATGGTTTGAATGAGAATGGAGACGAATATTTAGACGAGTTCGATAATGACGACTATTACTTTGGAAATATGAGAGAATGGGAACTCGAAAACATTTTGAGCCAGTTAAAAAAGTAAAAGGAATGACATGCCAACTACTTCAGCATGAAACATTTTATTCAACCTTTGGTCTGGCATAATCACCTGATACGAGATTCTTAACAGTCAACACCCATGTCACAAGTGTTAAAGGTGTAAGGATGGTATGTTCCAAGTCTGGCACAATTCGAGTACCCAAATTTGGCAGCACACGCCAACTATTTCCAAACATCAAATCATACTTTTTAAAACCTTCCTCTCCTTGTCGATGCCATACTGAACAACAGTCAAAGAAATAGGGCACCCACCAATACAATGTTTGCATCAACAAAAACACACTCAAAAACAAGACATAAATCACACGCCAAATTTTCGAGCGATGCACAAACAAGGCTGCAAACAAATGTGGTATGGAATTGATCCATCCCGATAGAATATAAGCATTATGAGTGGCAATTCCCAGCGCTACACTTTTAGAGTGTTGACAGAAAGGAGGAAGCTCTAATTGCCAAACAAGGAATTCATACAGAAAGAGACTGAATTGAAAGTATTGGGAGAGAGTCAAGAACATGTGATTTTAAAGAATTTTTTTGTGTGAAAATTTGAAAGGAGGTGAAGCTGGTATTTTAAAGACATTGTCTCACAAGATTTTGATTTGATTAATGATAACGAATGAGGCACTGATGGCAAATAAAACATAGTTCACCATGGCGTTTCATGTTGTTGACCACTCATTGATTTACTAGAATTTTCTTGATGAGCAGCGTTTTATTCGTTTTACACGTTTTTTGAATGCTCATTGGCGTTCTGTTGCATCTTCCCAACTATGAGATGATCCGTTCAAAACATTAAAGGAATATAATACAAAAAAAATGTTGAAATGGTTGGCTAACAATATTCCGAATTGTGTTCAAAGAAACTACACATTGGCAATTCCGATCACCTACAAAATGAATCGGAATGGAAATGTTCAATTCTTGCAGCAACAACAACAAGAATGGCGATGGAAATCTTCATCAGCAAAATCATCATTGGATAGTAGTAATAATAATCATGCTTTCAAAACAAAAAATCAAGAAACCTATCGGGATGCAAATAACAAGAGAGAAAATCAACTAAATAACTCCTCCAGTAAATTGAATACGAATAACCGAAATACCAACAATAATTCAAACAGAGTGCAGAAAGCCTCATCTTCAAAGTTTACTAAACAGGTAACAGAATCCCAAGCTCCAAAACATAAAATCAATCACAATGAAGAACAAGCCGAAATGAAGAGAAAAATTGTAAGCAACAATCAAAACCTTAAAGGTGAACAACAAGCGTCATTATTGCCCATGAAGCAAAACAAGAGTAGCACCAAATCCTTTACAAAATCATTGCCAAATGTTTCCTTCTCTATGAATTCGACTCAATCACCAAAGAAAGGACCCCTAAAACAGAAAGAAAGCCACTTCAACGAGAATGACGACGACGATTATGAAATTGGAGATTATGATGAAGAATTGGATGATTTGGAAGATGAAAACCCAAAAAGCAAGGGAAAAAACACTTCACACAAATATAAGCAAGAACAACAATCCGAAGTGGTCGATATTGTTTCCAAAGAAAAGCTAGACGAATATGTAACAATGTTTAACAAGCCAGGTGTGTCGAGTAATAAGAAATTCAGGTCATTACCTGTGGTCGACTCGATACTTAAAGAAATATTTCTTTGTGGTCTTGCACGAAAGGGTATAAAGCAGTTTGATTACTTAACATATTTAATTGGAGGCAAAGACGCCAAATCAGAAATTTCTGAATCCTCAAAAAAGGAGCTTGAAGAAATGGTAAATCAAAACCGAGTCATTGAAGCTCAACTCAAACGTCAACAAATTTCCAAAAGAACAAACAAAACTAATGTCATTTACAATCAAGCTGAATTTAGAGCAGATATGCAGGTTAATGAAGAATGCGTAAATTGGATATTTAAAAATAACAGAATGAAATATATGGGCTCGGTTGGACTCTCTGAAGAAGATGAACAACGAATCATGGAAGAATTTGAGAAAAATGAATTGGAACTAGAGGAAGACGAAGAAGAAAAGAAAGCAGATTCTCAGTTAACGTCACAAGATTTAGAGTCCATGCCAAAAGAAGAATTGAATGCTCTTCTTGAAAAACAAGAAAATATTTATGAGCTCTATAAGAAATATTATGAAGAGTCAAACGTTGAAGACGACGAAGAGGCAGACAGTGAAAGTACAAAGAAATCAACCAAAGAGAAGGAATCAGAAAATGCAACGAATACCTATAATCGAAAACTCTATCCAATGGAGGGAATAATCCAAAAAACAAAAGGAATCCCTCAAGTTGCATTTATTGGAAGATCTAACGTGGGAAAGAGTTCACTCATCAATGCCATAACAGGACGAAATAATTTAAAGGCCTCAGAGCGTCCTGGTGAAACTAAGGATTTGAATTTTCATCGATTCGGAAAGGCTTTTTGCTTGGTTGACATGCCTGGTTATGGATTTGCCTTTACGAAAGAAAGTTTTGTCACACAAAAATGGTTAGAACTGATGAAATCATATTTTGTGAAAAGTGGATCCGATTTGAAAATGGTTTTCATGCTCATTGATTCTCGTCTTGGCCTGAAGAGAAGGGATGTCGATATGATTAACTTTTTGGACCAGAACAAGGTTCCCTTTCAAATTGTTCTGACCAAGTGTGATTTAACATTTGTTGATGACTTGGCGAGAATGGCATTCAAGATTTTCAAATTAGACCCAATTAGAAAAGGTTTCACACTCAATTATCATGCTAAGGATGAGAACACTAAGGACTATCGAATGATATTTGTGAGCGCTCGATCGAAAACTGGCGTTGCTAGACTAAAGGAAGATATTGTGCTGAAATATTCCAGTTTTGACAAGGAGCAATGGAAGAGGAATGTCAAGAAAAATGTTGTGTTATTTGTTTGAGGAAGCAGTAAGCAGTAGTACATAAATTCTTTATTTTTGAAGTTTACTGCACATTTTGAGAGCATGATTTTCCAATATACCCCCAATTTGATTGAGCGAAACATGTTGATCATCTCTCAGCATCCTTATTTGAGCAAGCAAAGGAATAATAAAATCAAACAAAATTCTCTCAAGTGCTTCCTTAGTCGATTCATACTTTTGGTTCTTGCTTGAAACAACTGTTTGCTTGTTGGATTTTTGGTCGGCACCCATATGTGTAGCATGTGAAGCCACTGAAAAGTTTGCAAGAAGAGAATACATGCGTGACATTAGACTATGTTCAGTGCTTGACTCGAGTTGTTTGTTTTTAAAGGAAGTAGCAAGTCCATGAATGAGTAAACGTAAATCCAAATTTGATGTTTCAACACAAGTTCTACTGTTTTTTCTCAACAATGTATCATGTGCATGTTGGAATGCAAACACATCTCCAACACCAAGAATGAGTGAAATACTTGATAAGAATAACAATGCTCGCTGCAAGTTCTCCAAAGCAAATGGAATTTGGCTAGAAGAAGCATACGAGCTAAAATATACAGACTCTAAATCGTTAAACACAAAGGAAAGCATGTCAATGGTGTCTTGTACAAATTTTCTTCTGTTGGCATTTGAAATGTGTGAGGCCAACACTTCAGAAGTGAGCCAAGTGAGAATGGCGGTAAGCATGTTATTCACAGGTTGTTGTGACTCTGTTGGATAACCTTTCACTGCTGTTTGTCTTAAAAGTTTCAGTGGAGAAATGTCATCGGTTAATTTGGCATATTGACATCTCAATAGCAAGTTAACAAGTAATTGGTCACAATTCTCATAGATGTTCGAATGAGTTAGGAGAGTATGATTTGTTAACTTGTTGCAAATCAAGACTAGAGCAAACTCTTCAATCATTTTCATTGCTCTGTCTCCAATTTGGATTGTTATGGAAATTGAAAATGGATTTTTCAGATTATTGGATGGATTGTTTTTGACATTCAATAATTCCAAAGATCGATCAGATACCAAATTGGCAATTTTTTCCTCAATCACAGCAAGTACTTCATCCTCAACATATTTTCTCACACTAGATAGGTTACTTTTCACTTCACACTGATGTAATTTCTTCAATGCAGTGAAAATAATAATTTCATCGATTTGTTTGGTCACAAAAGTAAGCTTAATCCAGTCATCAATTAATGAGCAAGTTCTAGAGGGTGGAAACATGGCAATAAGTTGTGGGAAAAGCTCTGCAATTTCAACCTGCACAGAATTAGATAATGAAAGGAAAGATTGAGCTTCACACAAACTTGACATTGCTGAAATACTATTGGAAGAGGACGTGGTGCCTTGTGCGTCCTTACAGAAGAATCGAATGCAATTCTTTTGTATGTTTTGCGAAATTTGATCAGAGTTGGATGAAGTGGATCTTCTGAAAACATCCATGATTACTTTCGACCATGTAAGCTTGGGAAGTTTTTCCGTCAATAATAAATTATGAAGAGCTGCATTTTCTTGAAGTTTGTCTAACAACGACTCTTCTTTCTCTAACAAGGTCAATTTTTGAACAAAGTACACAACCAAACCGCTCTCGCTTAAATATTTGACAGGAATTCTATCTGCATTTTCTAAAACATTATCCTCAGTCTTGTAAATGCTAGAGAATATTCCAGAAAAGAGTGACGAATATTTTCTAACCTTAATGGAAAGTTTTGGTTCGGTACTTGAGCTTCTGAAAATATCGATGGCCCTACCAGCTAATTTCTTGATAGAGTTCTTTGGTAATAAAATCTTACTAAAGAAGATACTCCTGTATGTGGAAATAGAGAGTGGTCTCTTCTCTGCAGATTGTAATCCAAATACATCGCTGTCATCTGTTTTTGACTTGGAAATTGGTGAGAATAAATCAACACCAAGCATGCATGCTAGGAATAGTAAGCTACCAATTTGATAATGTGATGAATCTCCTTGTGAATATACTTCTTCATATTGTGCAATGGCATTTGTAAATTTTTCTAGATACAATCTTCTGAAATGCTTTCCAGAGTCTTGATCTTCTTCACCTTTTCTGAGAGATTCACACAAGGCACCGAAAAGCAATGACCCATAACCAGCACTTGCATACATGTAGAGTCGGAGATAGGATGATAAATTCTTGCCCTCGAGTTTTTGAAGTAAGCTGTCGTACATGTCAAGATATTCCCTTACTTGTCCCGAGTTAATCTCGTTGCAATGATACAGAGAAAGTACAATTTGTGAGAGTACCATACAGCTTGGAATGCAAATTTCCAATAAATTGGAATCGACACTCTTTGGATCTGCTATAAAGTTTTCAACAACTTGTTGTTCTTTTTTCAACTCATTCAGAATGGTGTTTGCTGCGTCAACTTGTCCAACACGGATGAGAGTATCTGTTACTTGTGCAATTCCGAACAATAAATTTGATTTTTGCTTCCAGTTAAAGTTGAAATGTTTGACATTTTTAAACGCATTGATGTGTTTCAGCTTATCGTCCTCTGATTGAAGTTCAAATAATTGTCTATCGTCACCAAAGCATAAACTATACAAGTTATTTGCAATGTAGTGTAAGAGATGCAATCCTTTTTCATAATTATCTGACTTGGATAAGCAAAGATTTTTAGCAATAATACCCAATGCTATAGCAGGCGATGCTGATGAAATGTCTTGACTGGAGTTTTCATTCACCATTCCATGAAGTTGAGATACCAAAATTTTGGTCAAATCATACAACTGAGAAAATATGTGAATTTCAAATGAAGCACTTGCGAGTACCATGTTGCAAGCATACTTGATGTCTTCTTGGGTTTCGCTCGAAGACGATAACTTCTTTCTGACAATCTCAATAATCTTCAACACGTGATGGTGAGCATTGATTGGAAGCGCCAAACATAATCCTGCAAGTGCCAAAATATAATTTCCAGTCGTAGAAGGTACTGTACTCTGATCAATACTGGTTTTGAGGTTTGAAAAGACAGCTGTAAAAGCGTCATCAAAATGAGTGTGTGAATCTTTGTCTTTGAAAGATTCAACAGCAGTAAAGAAATAGTCACGAGACATGGAGAAGAAACCTTGAGTAAGAATCAACTGGGAAAAGAAGTCCTCTGGGCTGCTACCAACAACAATGTCCATAGCAAGCTCGTTCAGCAGTCTTTTAAATGCTTCAGTCTCTGGAATTGGAGGTTTTGCCTTTGCTAAATTTCCTTGCCATAACACAGCAGGAGCTGTGACTTGCATATTCTTCTTACTTTCATATTGCTTCAGCACAAAGTCAGCTAATGCATCAAATTTCTCAAATGATGTGAGACCAATAGACTGAGTGCTGGCCTTTTTATCCTTTGAAACGATAGAAGTGTTTCTTGGTTTTCGTAATTCTGCCTTTAGGACATGTTGAATCATTGGTGTAGCAGCGAGCAAGACATCGTTCGAAGTCTCTACTTGCAGTCTCTCTATTAAAACAGCACATAGATTCAGCAACCATCCACGTCTAATTTCTTGTTTTGCAAAGATATTTTCTTCTCGTTGCTCTAGAACTTCAGATCCTATTTGTTGAGGTACGTCTTCATCGTCACTCTCCTCAGTTTTCATGGCATAAAGCATTACATGCAAAGGATACATGCTCAAAGTTGTAAATGCAGCCAATCTAACTTGTTCGTTTTCATCTCGTGTATGATTCCATAATGTATCAATCACTTCTTTGACTTCATGTTTATGTGGAGAGTCATAGTCAACAAATAAATTGTACTCATCATCTTCTCTAGCCTTTTTTTGATTTTCCGTCATGTTATCAAAAGAAATAGGTTCAACTGAGCATTGGAAGAATTGGCACATTTCCTTCCTCACTTCGAAACTGTGCTCTGCATTTGCCAATATGTTTTGTTGAATGACTTTATACCAAACCGTGTAAAAGTCTACCACATGGCTCTTGCAAAGAATTGTAATTGCTTTAAGTGCGTACCCAAGAACGGTAGCGTTATTTTCTTGGCATAACATTCGAGTAATTAATGGCAACAATTCAGCTCCCTTATCAATCTTCAGAGTGCAAATTTCGTAAGTAGAGCAGGCTAAGGCCAATCGGGTTTCAATGTCAAAGTTTGATAAATGGTCATAATTTTCAATCTGTACGATCTGGTTATTAGAATCACTTTGAATGTACTTGGAAAAGGAGAATAAAAAACCTTTCAGTTTTGTGAAAAACTTCTCATTTTGTTTCCACAATTCGGTGAATAGTCTGATGACTGTGGGCAATAAATCCTTGTTATACATCATATTACTAAGAATTTTCACGATTGGGGTGACATTAACGTCATTTTTGGCTCCCAGTTTTGGTAATGCCTTCATAAGAGCAATTTTGGATGATACGTTGGTTTCTTTTGGTAATTCATAAAATATTAATGGTTGTAACAGTATACCTCCCTTCAACGTTATGATTTCAGTTGTTAGAGATTCAATGGTTTTTACAACTTGAATTCTAATCCTCTCCATATTGCAAAATTCGTGCCTTGATAACAAGAAAAGAAGTCCAATAGTACTGCACACATATGTAGCGTTGTCAATCGCTTCAGAATCTCGTGGAATGAGGCTAATCACAGAATCTAGCCACTGAGAAATAAAATTTTCGTTGACATAAACCTGCTCATTGCTTTGGTGTATCATTTTGGCCATTAACCTGTAGTGGCAAGATAACATGGATGCTTCATATCGTTGAAAAACTGGTAAAATGTCACAAAGTTTGGATAGAATGCTATCGGCTTGAGCTTCTTGCTCGTCCTCGGCATTTTGGTTTTCATCGCGAGTTACATCTAGAGTGAATTTTCCTTTGATGAAAGACTCAATTTTCTGTATCGATCTAAAAGCAACGGACCTATTTTCTTCAGTTCCGCTTGTTGCTGTATGCAATAATACGACCATAGGGTATAATAAATTGGTAATAACGACCACCATAAAAGAGCAACCTCCAAATGAGCTATTTCGGTGATTACTGTCTAAGCTGTTGAAAAATTCTTCAAAGTCTTCTAAATTTTCTGTGAGTAAATTTACAAGCTCTTTCAGTATCCTCATCCATGAATCAATTTCTATTTCGGTTTCAGAATTAACAATCGAGTTGCATATCATGGGTATAAATTCGACAAAGTGTTCCAAACTATCCTTGCAAATATCAAATAAATAATTAAAATACATTTCTATGTCCACCTGGTGATGATTCATCTCGACATACAAAGACATAAAGTGTCGATACACCATGGATCTAACAAAAGAAATCTGTTCGAATTCATTACCAAGCGCGCTCAAATATGATTCACAAAAGTCTGAATCTTCTTCCTCTAGTGTAGCAAAAATCGAATCAAACTGTAACACTAGATCAAGCACAGTTTTTAGCGGTGACAGACATGCTGTTACAACATCAGAATTAACATCAACTCCAAACGAAGGCAAAAAGTGAACTATATATAATACCATTGAATACGCTTGCTTCAACAAGCTGGCTTTGAGTTTTTGCTCTTCATCTGTTACTGCGTCAAGGGATAGTGCTTTCTGAGTTTTGAAAAGAATGACCGCTCTCAACTCATTCAAAAGCTTCAGCTTTAAGTGGGTTGAGCTCATCGTATCTGTTCGCAATATTGTTCCACTGCCATTGATATTACTCGAAATGGGCTTATCAGAGAGCAAGCCATCATCTTCTTCCTGTTGTTGATACCTAATTTCATTGGTCTCAACAGTGTGAAATAAGTGTCTATTGGTGAGAATATGACAAAACAGAGGAGAGAAAAACCTAAACAATTTAGCAAATTGGTATTCCGAGTTGGTCAAGTATGAGAATAGTTGATTCAAAATTTCAACAAGACATTCGTTGCGATTCTGAATTAGCATTATCAACGGTGAACCAGCTGTTCCCGATGTTAAATTCATACAGAGCCGTGTGACTTCCTTTGATCCCTTTGGTTGGTGATGGCTGTCATTATGATGATCTGACATGAATTTACCTAGATAAATTGCAACAACCGATCGTGTTAAATGTGGAATTAAAGCAGGATGAATTTGAATAGCAAACTTCAAGAGCTGCTCAACAACATTTTGAACTGGAATATCCTTAATTTGATGATGACTCTTTACATCCAATTCCGTAAATATTTGTACCAAAACATCAAGCGAACAAGTAGCCACAGCCCGATTTGATTTTTTACTCTTAACATAAGAAACCAACAATTGAACAATATCATTTGCCATCGATGGAGGTGTATTTGGATTTTTAATCTCATTGTACAATCCAAGAATCGCTTGTCTCTGAACAATGATTTCCCGAGAAGCAAGTTTTTCTTTGACGGCGTTCGCGAGAGCAAGGCTTTGCTTGTTTGCTGCGTTTTGCATTTTTTCAATTCAGAGTTGCCGGAGTGTGGCTTAGGAGTGAAACCTCTGGTGAGTGTTCTACGCTCTGATCCTGGAGTTCCGCAAAGTCTAATATTTAAATTCAGAAAAAATACTTTTATCATTACAACCGTGATGAAATAATTGAACATCATCACAGCCATAGAAGCTATCTTTTTTGAACATCATCATATAATTACCATATTCCAATTACAACACAATCATCATGAAAGAAAGACAGTATTTCTTGAATGATCTTCCTCAAGAGATGATGGTTGAAATTTGTGAGTTTTTGTCGTTGCGAGTCTTGCTAAGCGATACGTGGATGATATTGCTGAGACATGCTTTTATGAATCTTGAAAATAATGATAACCATTCCTCTTCATCGGATTTCATAGAATTACATTTAAGAAATATTGTGATCAAACATTTTGCAGCTTGTTCTTTGGAGAAGCCTGTCTCACTGATTACTATTTTGTTGACAATATTTCGCTCTACATCTCAAGATCTTGGTCATTTGGGACTTCAGATTCCAACACCCACCTCAAGTCTTATTTACAGAAAAATGGGTGAGGATGTGTGTCAATTTTTGCAATTTCCAACAGATACATTTATTGGAATCGAATCTTTATATGAATCTGAAACACAAGTCTTACCTGCTATTGCTAAATTACCTTGTTTAAGGTTACAGAAAATATTTAAATTTATTACACAGAACAATTATATTTATTTACTTAACTCAGCGCAACCATACAAGCTGCAAACATCTGTAAAGAATCAACTATCAAAAGTGTATTTACCTTTCGAAGTGGACTGGTGTTTCTACAATGATTCCACATTATCTGAAACAAGTTTATTTAGAATTTTGAATTTAAACACAAATCGCTATGCAACTCCAAAACGAATACGAGGACAACTTTCAATGAATAATCACAATTTAACGATTAAACACCTTCACAAAAAGGATGTTGAAAGCACAACACAGAGTGTCAATCTCCCATCCATAGCCTTTTACCAATTTATGGGTCTCATTCAAACATCAGTAGGATGTTCTTCTTTATCAATGAACGAATCACTGTTGCAACACTACTGGTTTCCATGCCATCACCCAAACTCCACAATTATTTGTGATTTAGAAAGAAAGTCTTACCTGATGTCCAATGTTATGGAGCTCACAGAAGATACACCCTCCCATAAGTGGTTTTCTTTCAGTTCTACAACCTTACTCAAACCATTTGCAAAATTATTTTCAGTTGTGAACAGTTATTTCGGATTCGTTCATGTGCTAGATCATATGAGTTCCATTGATAACATTATTTGTTCCTGCACTCCGTTCACAAACAAAATTACTGCAAGAATTTTTCCATCGACCTTCATTTTCCCTTCTATTAATTTAATTTTAATTTCTGCTCTATGTTACTTGTTGTATTCCTGGAATTTATTGTTGAACTGGTCCTTTAGCAGAGATTTCTATCAACGAAATAATTTTTCCATCCTTTCCATAATTCTCTTTTCTGTATTGGATTTATTTTCTACTTATGGATATCCTTTCAAGAGTATTATAGCTTGGTATTGGGGTTATTTTGGTGAGCAACACATCACCTTTGTTGAAACCTATTGTAATTTTTATATCATTTCACACCTCGTCAAGACCTTTGTAAATTTACTTTTTCGACATTACCGTCAAAAAGATTACGTCTTTACCCTATCAAAGGCACCTAATTCTAGAGGAGCTTTTTCACCTCGAAATTCAAACAATCTTCAACACTGACTCTGTTTATTCAAACAACTCGAGTCTTGTCTTCCATTAAACAACACATTAAATTCAATTTTTAATTTAAAAAAAATGAATGTTCGCCGAGCCAACATCACCGATTTGTTTTTAATGCAAAATTGCAACCTGAGTTGCCTTCCCGAAAATTACCAAATGAAATATTACTTGTATCATGCTCTTTCATGGCCTCAATGTGAGTTTATTGCAGAGGATCGTCCAGGTCATTTGGTCGGATATGTTCTTTCTAAAATGGAAGAAGAATATGATGAACAAACAGATTATCCTCATGGACATATTACTAGTCTTTCCGTGCTCCGATCGCATAGAAAGCTTGGTATGGCTAAACGCTTGATGAATCTTGCTCAGTCATCCATGCAAGAGAGTTTTGATGCTGCCTATGCAAGTCTACACGTACGAAAGAGTAACAGTGCAGCCATATCGCTATATCACAATACTCTAGGATTTGAAGAACACGATATTGAGAAGGAATATTATGCAGATAAAGAGGATGCTTTGGATATGAGGAAAAAGTTTAGGCCCGATGTTGATTTCAACAAGAAAAAACAAGTCCCGAAGAAAAAGAAAAAGTAGATGTGATGATGTGGAAGACCTTGTTGTTGTCATTGCTTTGGTGATGATATTTATTGCTTTAATGCCAGAAATTTGGAGGAAATAAAGAAGGACAACAACAAGTTTTTAACTGAAATTTAGAGGGAAACTCTTGTTAATACATTATTGATGTGTGACAATGTAAGAATATCACCTCATGCAAAATCTTGATCTTTGGTTAGCTCACCATCATGCATGACATTTTCTCATTCATCAACACTACTACTCGATCGCATGGTCACAATTGCACAATCACTAAAACCTTCAGGATGTGAAACTGTTTTCAATAACAATGCTCGAAATCTAAAAATTGACTTGAATGGATCATTTCGATTGTCTTTGTGATAAATTGTGTATTGCCATCCTGCGCTTGCAATATCATTTGGAGGATGCCTGAAATTCTTGAATTGAGATTTGTAATTAAATTTGTAAATTTTTGGGTTGGTATGAATACAAAGGCTGGGTGTGAACGCTTCAACGACTTCCCCCACCATGAAAACGTCATCATTGTCTTTGTTGACATTAATAATAGCAAGGTTGTTTAAGATACTTGGAACAACTTAAAACGTATGAAACCACTTACTGTTTCGGACCCATGAGCCACGAGAGGAGCATCCAATTTCAACAGCAAAACCAAAATCGAACGCTATTTTAGAAAGAACACTTCCTGTATCTGTGGTATTAAAAGTAGTCTAAATTCCCAACAATGGAAAATTAACAACGTCACAAATTATTGAACCAATTCCATTTCTCTCAAAATGACTTACCTGATTTAGTACATTATATCCACAACTGTACACAGTTCCATTACTTAACAGGACGAGCGTATGATAAAATCCACATTTCACATCCACAATGGATGCTTCAAATTTAAATGGAATCTTATCAAAAGTATCAAACGAATGTCCTCCAAAAACATTAAAAGTATCTGCTCCTCGACAATACAAGGTAGAACGTGAGGCCAATATCACTCCACTACCACAACAAGCTCCACAAACAATAGTATCTTCAATTGGATCTTTCAATTCTTCTCCATTCACAAAAATTTTTCCTTTTTGAGAAAGTACAACATAATGAGTCGATAATGGACCTGTGATAAAAGTTTTGATAAAATCCTTCTCTGAATCTGTGAAAAATTGTTTCACCTTAATTTCAGTACTATTCAAATTTTGATACTCAAAAATTGCAATTTCCGTTCTCTTTGAATTCACAGCATAGATTCGATCAATATTCATATAAAATTCAGAAATAGCTCCAATTTTCTTTGAAAGATCATATTCAAAGATTGTGGCATTCAATTCAGATAATGGTTTGGGTTGTGATTCTTCAGAAAGATCAGAAGCATAACCTAAAATATTTGTAGGACCTTTGCTTTTAGCAAGTGATGGCACAGAAGCATGAGCACATACTTCTGCCAATGCATGATCGGGAGTGACAAAGAAGAAAAATCGATCACCCGCGAGTACTTGATTGTATCGAAGTTTAGGAATGACGTAACGAGTGAATTGAGAAGTACTTGCTACTTGAAAATCTTGATGATCCAAGGAAACAGAGTTGTTGTATGGATGATGATGCACCGATTCGGAACCAATAATTATTAATATGAGATCATCCTCATGGTATACTTACTGGTGGCCGAGAAATTTGTGGCCAGAAATACTGTGCTCGCATCCTCCTCTAACGATGGATGATTGTAGTACGTGATGGGACTTGGCTGATTTTGAACCATTTTTTTTGTAAGAGAGATTTGCTCAACAATGGGATCGTTGGTCATTATTATCTGAGGTCAGTGACTGTAACCATATAACAATCACTTAGAGAGGTATTAGTCAAAGCAGTGTGATACAAGGTCGTGTGAAATTCTAATTTCACAGAAGGCAATCTTCCATGACCTGGTAAAAAACAGACAAATGCATCATTCAGTAAGGTGCATGATTTTCCTCCAAAGATGATCATGTGGTAATCTTTAGTGACGATGCATGACGTCCCAGCTCGACTGATAGGTGTCTCATTGTAATCCACAAATAAGATTGAACCTTTGCTTTGAAATTTTCCTCCGACTGTGTAGTTACGATTTTGCAATCGAATCCATGTTTTGGTACTAAGGCAAAACTGATAGATGTAATCGAGATAGGAATGTCGAAAGTTGTATCCTCCATAAATAAATAAATAATCCGAGAGATCGTTCAACATGAATGAAATGTGCTCAAATCTTTCAACAGGTACAAAACCATGCATGTCGACAGCAATCCAAATCCTGTGTGAAATATCAAATTTCCACAATTCTTGAAATAATTTGGCTCTTGAATTGTCAACATTTTAAATTCGTGATTCCTTATTTATGGAGATTATAAAAAACCTACCCTCTCCTTATTCCTCCAAACATGTATAACGAATTCTCTTTTCTTGAATATACACAAGAATGAAAGCATCTAGGTTCTGGATAATCCTGTGCTTCCTCACGCGAACTTGTGTAATCACTACCAGATTGGTCTTCATTTCGATCTTGCCACAAGCAAGTCATGGTTTGAGTATCAATATCATACTCCCACACATCCATCAAACAATGTGAAAGGAATGTCATTCCACCCACTATGTATAATTTCTCGTCACCTGCTGAGGCGACCATGGTATGCCGTGAACGTTCTTTCACATATTCAACTCGTTTCACATTCAAGTAAAATAATTGTTGGGTCACTTGGTAATTAATTTTAAAGAACTTGCTATGGGTGAAATCAAAGCAATAGAGTTCATTGTTGAATTGCGTGTTCTGGGAACTATAGCCTCCAAATATGTACATTTGATTGTGGAGATATGTGGTTTCATTATTTTCTTGAGAGGGTATGAAATCGTTTTGTCCCATAATATTTTCAAAACGTTTAAATCGTCTTGGAGTAAGGCTAACCATGACAGAACAATGTTCCATTCGAGGAGATGGCCAAACCTGATTTGAATTGGTTGGATAAATCTCGGTCCATGAACGTGACGGAATGTCAAACCTCCAAAAATCATTTTGTGATTCATTTCCCTCTTCCACAAATCCTCCAAACACATACATGGCTATTTTCCACATTTCATAACCGTTAACAAATTATTAAAATTCACAGAGAATAATATTATGTTCATTATTTCCAATAATTAATTCTCTAGCTTCTTGAAAGCCTTTCCATTCAAACATACCATCTTCTTTAGCACTATACACAGCGGTATGTCTAAACCTTCGATCAGGGCGAGTTGCAAATCCCGATTCATCAAAAACGTCCTCTACATCATCTTGTAATTTATTCCAAAAACAAATTTCAATTTCTTCATTCTTTTTCGTTTCCGATTCATTGGTTTTTACTTTCCGAGAATTTAAATAAAATTCATACAATGAATAACTAGGTTCTTCCTCCTCTTCATGGTTTTCTTGATCGTTTGTATGTTCATAAATTGAAGACATTTTTTCTTATATTCTGTTTTCTTGTCCAACAAGGCAAAAGTCTCAACATGGAATATGGAGCATTGGATTCAACATAACTTTTCCAGGTCATTAAGCAAATATATAAGAAATCAAACATTTTCTAATTCAATTGTCTTGACAATATAACGGATTGCTCTCTGAAAAGGGTTCAATCACATCCAACTGCACTCCTTCAATCCTTACCTGTACCTCCGTTTCTCCTCCTTCTACACTTCTCCCTTGAACGATTCTTCTTCATTCCCTTTCGTCCAATTTTCAAAAAACAAAGTCCACCAAAGTCCTCCTTACCAACGTGGTGAACACTGTAGAAAGCGAACTTGCTGCAAGTTTCTGTCGTTTTTTTTCTCAACCAAACTAAAAAAAAAATCCCATCCTTGTTTCGGTGTTTGAACTTTATCATCGTCATCATCGGGATTCTATTCGTTCGTTAGTACCAAGTTCCTTCCCCCTCCCAAAAGAAAGCTAACTGTACCAGTAGAAGAAGGGTAGCAGTAGTGAAAAACAACTAGACACTCCTTTTACCGATCATCACCCTCCCTCCTAGTCATCCACCACATCCCGATGAATAACATTTCAAGCATGAAAGGCTATCATCATCAACATAACCATGAAGGTAATCATAACAATCAACAACACCCATCATCTGCTGTACAATCTTTATTGAATTCTTCCCAAATATCTCACGCTGATTTTGAATGTCCATTATGCTTACAATTATTATATGATCCTATCGGATTTCATTGTGGACATTCCTTTTGTAAATTCTGTATAGAACGTTTATTGGCATCGAATGGAGCAATGAGTGCCTGTCCATGTTGCAGAGCTCCATTTTGTGATTCATCAAATGACACTCAATTAGTGACATTGAATAATATTAGGCCGCTTTTGGCATTGAAGAAGGTTTTACCTCTTCTTTTTGGTGATGAATACAAGAACAGAGGAGAGGAAGTGGAACGAGAGCGACAGCACTTTTTACAAACTGTCACAATACGTAAGAAGATTTATATTGGTAATTTACATGCATTAATGAACCATAGAAGTGATCAAAATATTCACAAGTGGACGTTTTTCGTTCGAATGGACGAGCAAGACAAGATTGAAAATTACATTGAATCAGTAGAAGTGAAATTACATCCAACTTTTAAACCCTCTAGGTTATTACTTAAAACTCCGCCTTTTGAATTGACTAGGTATGGCTGGGGATATTTCACAATCGGTGTAAAAATAACATTTAAGGATTATTTAAACAAGCCTCCTTTCATAACGAGTCACACGCTATCTTTTGACGGCAATGGTGACATGGCATCAGTGGAAATGGACTTTTTAATAAGTCGAAGTAACATGGATGGATTAACGTCTGCATTACCAGCGACATCCACAAACACCACTGATATGAATGACGAGGAGGATTAAGCCTTAACTAATTTCACACCTTTTCATCCGCGTTCATGTCATCAATAAAATCACTTGATTACATTCAACCGTACACAATCTCATACGCAATCAAAATCATTGGAACCAAATAAGTTCGAGTAGCTACAAGAACTAAATCAGTGTGCCATGCTGCTTGTTAAAATCCATTTTAGAACACTCTCGTTTGTTTGTTGCCACTGACAAAGCAGTCTCACAAAAAATGTCATCACACACCCAAACCACCACGAAAATCGATATTCCATCACCCACTCTCGTGACCCTTCCCCAAAAATTCTTCCTTGGCATCAAGAGAAACCATGTGAGTTTGGTGAGTGGAAATTTCGGAGAGTGGATTCAAGAAACCTACCGTCAAGCCATTGAAGCCATTCCTCAACTTGAGTACAAAGCACAAACCTCCATTCCGATCGCATTCTATCATCGTTTTGGCAGTCATGAAGATGTGGATTTGGAGAATGCCATCTTTGTAGATTTGAATGAATTGGGAGTGAGTGTACAACAAGTAAAAGAAAAACTCAAAGAATTGAACCACAATGCCAAGAACAAGATGGAAATTAATTCCATTGAAAATGGTGAATACTTGACATTGAGATTTGTAGGTCCTTACGACATGTTGGAACAAGTTTGGTCCAAGTTTATGAAAAGCATGGAAGAGTTGCAATATGAAATGGCTGGTCCTTGTTGGGAAGAGTATTGGAATTCTCCAACAGAGGTGAAGAGTCCAAATGAATTGATTACTGTGTTGTATCAAAAGGTGGCACCAAAGAAAAAGTAAATCATGATTACACTTGTGGCTTTACTATATCGTTGTGTTTGGATTCTCATACAAGCACGTTCATGAAGTGTCAGATCTGTGTCAACAAACACTCAGCTTCTTGGCATACTGTAAATACACATTTCAAAAAATCTTCAATGATCGTTGGCCTTTTCTTGCAAGACAGTTCTGAGCAGAGTCTAGAGAATTCACCCATCACGTCGTCCTTAATAGTTCCTACTTTGTTCTTCTCAATTTCCTTACGTAATAACTCATCTTTTTCAATGATTGATATAGATATTTCGAAAATAGAAACAATCCATGTCAAACATTGATACTTCTAAATAAATTTATCAAGGTAACTCTGAAAAAGTATCTTTAGCTCTTGATTAAAAGGAAATAATTTTTGCCATGTATTCACAAGACGAAGCTAAAATACATGGCAAAAATTATATACAAAATATCTTGGATTGGAGGAGAGGAAAATAGCTGTCCTCATCGCAACATTCTGTTTTATAAGACATTTGTTTGAATGGTGAGCAAACAAAACTCCGTTCCTTTTGCAATACTCTTGCACAATCACGGGTCTCGTAACAAATACCCCACAATGGGCATAACAAAAGCAAGCTCAAGGGTTTCCCTTATTTGATTCCCTCAAGTCAAAAGAGAAACAAGCGACAATCTCATTATAATAAATCCAATCTTCTTACTTTTGCTTTTGCTTCATCATGTCTTTCAAACGGGCCAGAAATAACCACCCCTTAAAGGAACGAAGAAACTTAAAAAAAAAATTCACTGCCTATGACTTGCAAAATGGCTCAAACACATGTAACCACTGATTCGTTGGAAAACGGATTTAATTTTTCATCTGTTCATCAACTAAGTTCTGTATATTCTTGCAAGGGGACATGTAATACATTGTTTATTAATATTACCTCTTTCCTTTATCGAGGCTTCTTACGGTGTTGTTTGAAACAAGATCCGTCCCTTGGAGCTCTGTATCGCAGAGCTTTTGTTGCATCTCTTGCTTGTGTTGCCCTTACATGGAGTTTTCCTCTTTCCGTTTTGACCCAGTTTTGGTATGGAGGTGAAAGATGTACTCCATTAATATCCTCAAGAAATGTTTCCTCTACCTCAACAGTCTACATTAGAACACCTCAACAAGTCTTCGTTTCATGTACATTACACCAGTTTGTCTTTTTTGGAGCTTCCTTCTTGGCATCCTCTGCTTTTGTTTACTTATTCTTTATTCCTTCTGATAACACATGTTTCCTCCTACCCTCGTTGAACGAGTATCTTAAACAAGCCATCAGAAATGGAACTAGTCCTGGCCAATGGAACACAGTGCTCTTGCACAATTTTGTGTTTGAGGAGAGATTTTACAAGTACCTCCTCTTCGTGATAGGTGTCTGTTTTTGTATCTGTGGAATGAACGGTGCAATGATCGTTTCAATTATTGCTTTGAAAATTTTCCAATTTTCTAATAGTGCATGGTGTGTCTCCGTTTATGGAAGCCTGTTGTGTATTGTAATAGCATTCTTATTCTCTTGTATTGCGAGACGAAAGTTGTTGAATGAGTATGGAAACCCAAGAAATTTGAGGAACGAATTGATGTCAATGGTTAATCAAGGTACTGAGGAATATGACGACGCTGCTGTAACTAAAAGCAGTTATGATGAGTTTATAACAGAAAAAGACAATTCCGTATTAGTTGCATGGAAAGCTGAAGATGGGATGAATGAACTTCGTTTTGTTCCTGTTTTTGTATCAGAAATTTGTACGTACCTTAAAGGCACCACTTTTCAAACAAGGGGGAATATTAACAACGGGGTAGAGGAATAATAAAGTTGGATCAAATGGTTTCAGCACAGTTTTCGAAAATATGGAAATAAACACCAACAACCTGCAAGGTCTTCGTTCAAGGCGTTGTAATGTTTCAAAGTGGAAGAGAACCAAGCCTTTGGTCTGTGCTCACACGTTGAAGGTCGTGAGTAAAATTCATTTGAGTGAGAAAGGTGGGTCAGTATTAACATTGACGTATCTCTTGGAAGATTGATGTTACGTTCACCATTCTCATCGTCATTACGATTATTGCTAAAAAGCAACATTGGGAAATAATATCAAATTTGTTGTTGTATCGAGTTTGGAAAGACTGTGCTCGGGTGAGGTAACGCCATGCAAATCAAGAGAGAAGGTAAACTTGTTTGGATTCACTTTGGAAGGGTGATGAGGATACAACAATTATTACATCTTTCTTGTTTTGTCGCTATGGGTGATGACGGATTGATGCATCATTATCAATAAATAATTTGGAGGAGCCTTGAAAACAACCAATCTTGGGAATCAACATTTTCAAACTGTGCGTTCTCAAGAATTTTGTGAGTTCAATTCTGATCTTTGCTCTTGTTTCATCACTTGATCCATTTCATACATGAAGACACTTGCCCGGTGTCTAAAAGTTTAATTAATTGCTTACGAGGTGCTTTATACATCTTGAAGGGGTGATTGAATAATCATTCATTTAATAGTACAAAATATTAACAACGAACAAGGTAAACAACATCAAACCATGTTCCTACTTGTTAAGTCCATCCTTTAAAAGTAATTTCTCCATCTTTTCATCAAATTCTTTTAGGAGATTATCTTTGGCTTGTTTCTCTTTTCTAGTTGAGATGTATCCATTGACTCCTTCACGAATGATCAGTTCAGTTTCCAAGGAAATGGTTTGATCCACACTGGATTGAATGAATTTGGATTTGAATTGGATAGAACTTCTGTTATGTTGTAACATATCGTCGTCCACAGCTTCAAAAATTAACAATGAATCTAATAAAACAGTTCCAGACTCTGTTTGAATAACCATCTTGATATTCTTACATTCTATATTTGAAATAATTGACAATTCTGAACAGAAATTGGCCAAATATTCAACATTTGAGTTTTCATTGGCAATGTTAAAAACAATTTCACAATTGTTCAAATTATCGAGTTGTAATATGGTAATTTTGTGAGCACAATTAGCTCCGACCACAATTTTGGTATGATCACATTTCATGACTTCTACAAATCCTGTAGTGATAGAATTCACATTAAAAGTGAGTGTGGAATTATTATTTCCATCAAGAATAATTTTCATGCATCGGTCTCCCGTCAATGTGATGTTGGCATGATTGCTGTTGGTGACATAGAGCAAGTCGTTGGATTGGAAAGAGTTTTCTTCAACGGTGGAATTGTTGTGGGTGATGAGTTGTTGAGTTCTTCTTGAAAATGGTGATTGTGGAATGAATGTCATTTTTTTTAAAGTGACAGGTGTGAGAAAAATAATCAAAATGAGATACAGCGAACGGGAATCGAACCCATGACCTTAAGCGTGTTAGGCTTACGATCTAACCAACTGATCTACCGCTGCTTACAATAACTAAAACTGAACTCTATTTAACTACATATTGAATTTTCATAGCTACGGCGGCCATCAAAATTTCCTAGGATTCCCAAGAACCCTTCATGACCAGGTTTCCCTTGCTTTGGTTGTGCTTGCGTACTTGGTTGTTTTTTCACAATTTTTTTATAAATAATAAAAACAAAAATGAGAAAGTCCATCATCACTGCTTCACGAACATTCACTTCATCACTCAGAGCATCCACAACAACAATCCAATGCTCTCTCTTTCATACATCAAACAGATCCAACTCCTTCAATTTTGCGGATGAGGACGTAAAAATTCAAACAGTGTTCAAACCCGAACACGCACAAAAGATCGTTAATTGGGCGTATGATGGTGCTTGGGATAAAATTGCTGACTTTAAAAAGGAATTAGAAGGAAAGAAGTCATATGGCAATGAAGCTTTGGAATGTGCTGAAACCAAAGACTACAAGAGACTAGTTTCTCTCAAACAATACTTTGATGCCAATGATTTATTGGAAATTGATGATGTTGTTAAATTCATTGTGGCTTTCGGAAAGCTTGGTAGTGTACCTGATGCTGAAGTTGTCTATGAGTATTATCTCCAAAAGAAGGCAGGAACTGATAGAGAGGTCGTTTGTTTACGAAACGCCATGTTGTTTGCATATCTCGAAAATGGAGAAGAAGAGAGGGCTCAAAACTTTTTTGTCAATTATCCTGTTGCACCAACAGTGGCTACCTATGATTTAGTTATGAAACATTCTTGGAAGAATTATCCAACCAAAGTGTACGATCACCTCAGAGTGCTTACAGGAATTGCTGGTGCCTCGTCCTCATCACAATAGATGGTTCAATTCAAAGAAATTGATACCAATATTTAAGATACATTTATCTTCAACTTACTCCACGCTGATACTCGGAATTAATTCCACTTTTTAGACAACCATTAATTGGCATTTTGTGTGGTTGTGCTTAATAAATGCTGTGTACTGTGACTCCAGGTATTGGATGTTTTTAACATAAGTGATGCAAGAAAACTTTTCAAAGAGCAGCTCTATGTGTTTTCGAATGAATTGAAAAAAAAAGGGTGTGACAAAAATAAATTACAAAAAAAAAAAAGCGCAGAACCTTGCAGGAGAACCAGAAGAACATCTGCGCAATTTTTTTGAAAGCACCATCAGGATTAATCTTCTTTTCATCAAAAGATACTATTGATTTCAAAAGTTTTGGAGATCTCTTTCTGTCGACTTGTATTATTGTTCGGACAGTAATTTGAATCGACAAAGATTTTGTTTTTTTTTCAATCATAACCACAGCATCCCCATCGACACACCACCAACGACACTTCATCATCATCATGTCCGCCTTGAGCAATCACGAAAAACTGGTCGCTGAAGTCTATCGCTCCATAGTCAATGAAGTTACTCAAAATATTCAAGATATTTTCATTGAGGAAGGCTACAGCACCGACATCATTGCCGAATTAAAAAAGTTGTGGATTCAGAACATTGAGGAGAGTGGTGCTGTTCCAGCTTGGAATAACAATGGAACCACCACAACTTTGGGAAGTAGCAGCAGTGGTGGTGGAGGAGGAGTCTCCTCACGAGCCACTGGTAGTACTTCATCAAGAAGAGCCACAGCTTCCACCGGAGAAGGAGGAACAAGAAGAGGAGCCAGACAACAACAAACCTCAACAGCAGCGGCAGCCTCCTCTTCTACCATGGCCTCCCAACCCAGTGCTACACAAGACAACAACATTCCTACATTACCTATTTCATCCCATCAACAACCTCAATTACCAACAGCAAGTAGTAGTAGTAGCTCCAGCAACATGACCATTCCTCGGTTTATGAATGATCATGGTTCTCAACAGCCACCTCAACTTCCACCTCCCTTGCTTCCAACAACCACGATGCACGGAGGTACCAATACATCATCCTCGTATCTCCCTCCACCTCTCATGCATGAGATGGGCACTCCAGTTTTACCTCCGCCTGCTTCAACTCCTTTATTTATGGGACCACCTTCAGCCACAACACCATTACAGCATCAATATCCACCTCAAACACCTACACTTCCAACCATTAGTCCCTATACTACTGGAAGTAGTGTTAGTAGCAGCAATTTTCAAACACTTCCATCTTCTGCCTACTCGCCAAGCCCTGTAATGCCTCCTCTCGTATTCAAACCTCAACAAAGCCTTACTTCACCTCCAGGTTTGCCAATTCATACACCAACATTACCATCACCAGCCTCAACCACCACAGGGCTACCTTCCACACCACTTTCATCGCTTTCGGGAATGACTCGTCCTCATTCAACTGCTAATTCTTCCTCTGCAACGTCCACAACCACACCAGGAGGAGTATCTTCTAACTATTATGCATTACCTGAAACAACGACAACAACCCCTTTATCATCCACTTCAGGAAGATCTGGACCACCTCCTTCACAGTATTATCATCAAACCTCAAACTTTTTACTGAATCAACCTCCACCCTCTCTTCCTTCATTGGATTCTCTTGGAAGACCGGAAAGTTTCATGCCACCTGTGAATTATGGAAATAGATCATCTCAGACCAATCTCGCTCGACCTCCACTTCCATTTCACAGTAATCCTCTTCATGTCAATTCTCAACCACCTCAAATGCCTCCCCTTAATTTTAATCCAATGATGACGCTTCCACCAGTGAGTGCCTTGCAAAACTTTACTCCTCCTCCAAGCATATCTGCATCAACTTCACAGGAAGGGACCAAAAGAATTAGATTGGAGCAAGGCGATCATACTGGGTCCTCCTCGACAACTAATATTAGGCAATATGATGGAGCTGGCGATGATGAAGACGATGACGACGATGATGGAGACGACGATGAAGAAGAGGAAGATGGAGACGATGAATCAGGCGATAAGCATGCAAATGGAGACGACCAAGAATTGGGCTCTGAAGACGATGTCGAAGAAGAGAAGGTTCCTGAAGACATTCCTAACATCATCTTAGCTCAGTACGAAAAAGTTACCAGACATAAAAGTAGATGGAAATGCACGTTGAAGAGCGGTGTCGTCCACATGAAAGGTAAAGACTTTTTATTCAACAGGCTCACTGGAGATTTTGAATGGAAATAAATTTACACTTCTTTGAATGATCGTCATCCTCAATTTATGCAATTGGCTCCTTAATTTGAAAATACGGATAATAATTTACTTTAAAATTTCATGAAATCTTCTTGACTGGTTGTGATGTTAATGTACTCTCTTACTATGTCGAATACTTGTTTACCGGTAAATCGACCCAATCCTCCTTTGGCATACACTTCGTCAAAAGACTGCACAGTGTCAGCAAGCTCTGGATGCTTTTCCAAATTCAAATAGTTCGCAGAAATAATTAATGGGACAGGTTCAAAACTGTGATCCAAATAGTAGCAGGGTGTTGTGTGATCTCCTGTCACGATAAAAACAGCTCTTTGTTTTCGTTTCTCAAACTCTTGCATTAACATTCCAATCATTTGATCTGATTTTTCAATAAATTCTTTTTTAAGGTTGAAATTTCCATCATGGCCAGTATCATCAACTGCCTTAATGTGGCAAAATCCAAAATTATACTTGTTTTCATTTCCTGGCTCGTCCTCTCCCAGTAAATACTTCAAAAATCCAGAACCTTTCTTTTGGAGATTAGTTCTGTAATCACCTGTAGCTCCTTCTACCTTTTTAAGATCCATTCCAATACTCTTGCCAAGACCAGCGATAATAGCAGTTGGAGCAACCATAACAGGTCGTAAACCTGGATGTCTCACAGAAAAAGGTGGAACGTCAATGCAAACGCCACATCCTCTCAATAAAATAATGTTGGCCTCATTCTTTCCTTCTTTTTTTCGTTGCTTGTTAATATCATGATGTACAAGTTGTTCATAAATAAAATGTGACAAATCATTCACCAAGTTGCTTGTTCTTTGGGCATTTTCCAATTCTTTTCCTTTCAGACCTTTGACAGGTTCGCATTTTACAAGTTCCAAATTATCAACAAGTGGATCTGTACCTGTAATATCTCCACTCAAGTTTTTACCAGAAACTTTCACACCACATCGATGCTCGGTGGCATATTTCACAGAGACAATACAATCATGATTGGCATTAAATCCTCCTTCTTCACATCTTTTTTCAATGTAATCACAAAGTATTGGGCCAATATCTTCAAAATGACGGTCTGCTCTTCTCAATTCAACAATGTTTGTTTGTGGGTTCCAAGTAGCAAAATTAGATTTAAAAGCAATATCTCCAGGGCTCATGTCTAAACCTGCTCCAATGGTTTCGAAACTTCCTCTTCCTTTGTAGTGACTTTGAAAAGGTTTGCAAAGTCGAGATTGGCAAAAAAGTTCACGAAAATATGTAACCAGCAAGGGGTTTTAAACAATATTGAAGTTGATCTTCAATACTTACAGTCGTGGTTCATAACCGAAAATGCTCATATGTGCTGTATCAGATCCACATGCTAAGCCTGGTTGGACAGGATCCATAAGGCCATTCATTCCCGTTTCTTCAAATGACATCATTATTGGTTATTAATTAATATTGTGTGGTCATTGTGGTATTTACGAATTATTGTACGGAAACATGATGATCACAATGAAATATTGCAAAACAGAGTTCCGAAGAAAATATATTCATAATATCAATAACATTTTAATCCTTCATTGTCGAGCTGTTGATCCAAGACACACTTACTGGCTAATAAATCCATATTCGGAGTATGGGCACTTTGCAATGTCGTCTTTCCATCCAAACGCTTGGAATTAACCTCTCCGATACCATCAATCATTACAAAACATATTTTAATCTTCTTCTCGTCCACTGCATAGAAATTGTCATTGGGTGGTTGTGTACTGTTGTTGTTGTTGTGTATTGGTGATAATGATGAGTCCTCACAAGAAAACATTTTTTCTTAATTTTATTATCAAAAATAAATGATCAAAGCCCTCTCCATTTCTAGTTTGGACTTCAAACATGAAGACGAGTGTTTAATATCACAGAAAACAACCCCAAACATCAAACCTCAGACCTATCAATATTCGCTTAAAGAAGAAGACCCTTTAGATTTGAGAGCTACATTTGAAACGTTTGGCATTATTAAGCAAAAAACAACATTAGTCTTTCTTGCCCGAGAAATCCCGAAATTTAATGTACGCATCAAGAACTTCTCCAAGAATTAATTGAGGAGCATGCTGTCATTGAAATTGTCCTATGATGAAATGACATTGCTGTTTTTAATTTTAAAACCCATACCTACAAACGAGCAAACAATAACTGGCATGAAGTTGGGTAAAAAAGTGATACCAGCTCTTTACTTCAAAAATTTATTTGCTCGTGGTTGCCTCCAAGAATAGTCAGCAACAGAATGAGGAATTTTCCAATGGCATTTGGGATTACACTTCATGAATAGGAGAAAGAAGACATATTCAGCGTTCATGCCTTCAACCCAAACAAACTCCCCATAAAAAATTTCATTGTAAACTTCTAGTCAACTTGAATTTTTGAAAGAAAAACAATTTTCGTTGTTGAAAAAAATATGCAAATCTTCGTCAAAACTTTAACCGGTAAGACGATCACTCTCGAAGTGGGTAAGTTTGGAAATTGCTGTTGTGTTGGTATTAACGAAAGATACTTGCTGCTAATCAGAGTCTAACGACACCATCGAGAACGTGAAGTCAAAGATCCAAGACAAGGAAGGCATCCCTCCAGACCAACAAAGATTGATCTTTGCTGGTAAGCAATTGGAGGACGGCAGAACATTGTCTGACTACAATATTCAAAAGGAATCCACTCTTCACTTGGTCTTGAGATTGAGAGGTGGTAAGAAGAAGAAGAGAAAAAAGAAGAACTATAAGTCACCAAAGAAGGCTGCTCACAAGCACAAGAACGTTCCTCTCCTTCCTATTGAAAAGAAGTACTACGAAGTTACCAACGACGGAAAGGTTGTCTGTAACAGAAGAACCTGTCCAAAGTGTGGTCCAGGTGTTTTGATGGCTGCCCACGAAGATAGACAATACTGCGGAAAGTGCCACATTGTCTTCTTGATCCAAAAGAAGAAGTAAATGTTTTTGACTCCTAAATAAAAACTTATAAATTCAAAAAACGTTTTCTCTTGTAATTCAATGTGCCTGGCTTGAAGACGCAGTTATGATCCAAAAAATGTTGAGCAATGAAGATGATAGGCTCATGATTGTGGAAGCTATTTGGGACTACAATGAATTCTTTCAACAACGATTTCATGGAGCAATCACCCACAAGAGGACCGACTTGGAAACAATGAACTGTCCACGTTCTTGTTTGCACGATCAGACTATGGAGCTAAATAGCAATGATGAAAACGCTGATGACAAACAAGCAAGACAACAACAAAATTTGGCAATTTCGGAATTGTTTTTCTATGCATATTCCCACAAGTACATACGCACCCAGCTCAAAGAATCATTATCTACAATTTCATCTTTTGGAGATAATCCTATTTGTAACAGTTGTGCTGATGATAATGAAACTTCCAATGCTTCAAAACAAGAAATAGAAAGAGAGGTCCATCGAATTTTTACGCATCAAGATTCATTTACATTGCCTCTTCTCGAAAAGGTGGTGAAATCGAACAAAATTGTATGCATGTTTCTTCCTATTTTCAATACGAATAGCGTTCTATTTAATGAATGCTTCATTGAAAGATTGAAAGCGAATTACTCGACAATATTTGATATTTATTGTACAAGGGAGACAGGAATGGTTTATATGATGAAAGATTCAAATTTGATCGAAAGAAACAACCAGAATCAACAAGAAATGTTGCATGATTGCAATTCGTTTTACAGACAACAATTGAAAATGATGAAAGAGAACTATGAATGGAGAGTTATTGAGGATCACAATGTTTCTGCCTCTGTCTGTAACAACGACAAAAAAACAACAAATTTTAGAGTTTTTGCACAAATTTCTCCTCAACTAATTCTAAAGACAGCCACAGACTCGTTCAATGATTTTTGTCACTTTTATTCAATTGCTGCAGAGTTTGCTACAGGAATGTATTTAACAGAGAGTAGTATAAAAGCATTAAGCAGAGTGTATTCAAATCAAATTGAGAAGGAGAGACGAGGGGAATTTCCAGTAATATCGGATCATGTGATTATTATTGAGAATGGAAAAGCAGCAAGTATTGGAATGATTGTATATTCTAAAGCACTAAATGAACGATTACAAAACAATGGGATTGCGACATCAAACGACCACCATGATTATGCGAGTATATATTCAATAGCAACCAGGGAAAAATTCAGAGGAAAAGGTTATGCCACCATGATTGTCATCACATTGCTGGAACTTGCAAAAAGGAGGGGATACACCAAAGTTATTTTGCACGCATCAGAGCAAGGGTGTGGGCTTTATTCAAAGCTTGGATTTGAAAAGAAAATGCAAATAGATGTTTGTTCTGTTGCCTTACTGTCCACAGAAAAGTAGCATACTCGAAATGAAACTGGGGCAATGTATACATGTTACTTGTCGTTAATTGAATTCGTTGTGACGTTGGTGGACGAAGATACTGAAGACAAACTGGAATTATTATTATCTTTCGGTAAATGCAGAGATTTCAGGGTCTCCAGTTCAGATTTTAAGCTTTCCAATAGAATCGGTTTGTACATCACTGAGTCAAACCCAGATTTACAAAGCATTTCCTTAGTTTCCCAAGTATTAGCTGTGACTGCCAAGATTAAGGTATTGGATTTTACCGAATGATTCCTTATCATTTCACACGACTCTTTTCCTGATACATATGGCATAAGCAAGTCCATAAATATGATATCATATCTATCAATATTTTGCTTATATTTTTCAAAGGCTTCTAGTCCGTTCTCCGCTTGATCAATCTCTTCAAAGCCTACCATTTTCAATAACTTTGACAACACTTTTCTATTGATAGTGTTGTCATCCACCACTAGTGCAGTCTTAAAGTTCAAACTCTTTTTTCCTTCCTTAATCGAAACGTGTTTTTTAGTCGAAGATCGTTGCTGAAAGACAAAGCTGTCATCTTTCTCCAAGAACTTCATGTCTCTGCTAATCATTTCATTGAGTGCTTGTATGAGCACATCCAGCAAATCTCCCACTCTGAGTGGTCTGGTTAGATATCTTAGTGAGGAAGAACGCTTAGAAAAACCTCTGTTCGATATGGGTACATACACAGTTTTCTTACGGAGAGACCGGAAGGTTTGGTGAAGAGTTTCATGCATTTCATCCTCATAGAAAACTAAAATTATATTTCCAGATGTGTTACTGGAGTCTAGAGTAATAGATGGGCTATCAAATTGATACAAAGAAGCATAAGGGAAAATCATTTTGAGGTAATCGTGTAAGACCTTCTTTGAAGTGATATTTTGATCCACTATGAAAATATTCAATCGTTCCACTTTAAGATCTGCAATTGTTTGAAGTTGGTCCTTGATGCTCTGATTTGAAAAAGCAGCGGTAATATCATCAGATTTCACCAATGGTAACACAACCGAGATTGAGGTGCCTTTGTTAAGTTGGCTTTGAACACCAATTTTTCCATGCATTGCGTCTACAAAGCTCTTTGAAATACTTAGCCCTAGTCCGTTTCGATCAGAGAAAGTTGAAGAGGCAATTTCGTTCTTTTTAGATTGTGACGCGGAATATTTCGAATAGTACTGTTCAAAATTAGGGCAATTGGAAACTTGTTCGATCGTTTGGAATGGCTTGAATAAGGTCTTCATGTTTTCTTCTGAAATGCCAACTCCAGAGTCATGGCACTGTAAGTGAAGAAAGTATACTTCATCGAGCTTGTCTCCTAGTGTGATTTTTTTCTTGATTTCTTCGATTGCTTTTGAATCCAAATTAAAGTTTTTCAAATCCTCGTCCGAACATAGATCGCATGTGACAAGAACATATCCTTTCTTTGTGTACTTGATTCCGTTTGAGATTATATTCATTAGTACTTGAGAATTTTAACATTGTCTCCCTTAAAAGTAGTTGGAACTTTCATAAAATTGAAAAATGATTGAAGTGAAATTTGTTTGTCATTGGCAAGAGTGTAAAACACAGAGGTCATGGATTCCAACAGTTCAAGAAAGTTGAAGCTTTGAATGCTTAATTTAAGCTTTCCTAATTCTAAATTAGAGAGTTGAAGAGATCTTGAGAAAATATTCAATAGTAATATCGAATTGTTGTAAATATCATCTATGAGCTCCATTGAGGATTGGTTAGAGGCTATGATCATATTTTCTTCGGCCTCTGCTCCTCCATCTTCGTTATTAAACGTTTCCTTTGGATCTAGTTGACAAGTAGGTAAAGAGTTTTTTCTCCTTCTTGCTCTTGAGACGTTTTTCTTGCCTACGCTAGTTGCATATCGATTCAGCCTCTCTGCTTCATGTCTTAAAATTTGTATTGAACCCACCTGAAAAAATGGTTCAATTGTCATAAAAGTCATACAGTACTTACAACACCATGTAAGGGATTTCTCACCTCGTGCGACAAGTTTCCTATGAATTTTGTCTTAGATTGATTAAGTACCTTTTCTTTCATGATTTCCATTTGTTGTTCAAAAATTTTCTCATATTGTTTTTCTGAAACGTCCGAAAATAGAAAGCCAGACATGGTGACCACAATCTGCATGACACAAATTTCTGCCATTTTGATAAACTTTCTCTTATTCAAGCATTGAAATCCAAGAAGGATTGGAGATTGGCGTTCCAATGATTTTGAAAATAATTCTCCTTCATCAGCTCTAAATTCCATCAATATATAAGAAAAGTATAATGAGACTTGTGTGGTAGTGAGTATGAGAATACAATTGAGCAATGTTGTCCACTTTTTGAAGTACAGTGAGTTTGACGTGATAACAATCAAATACGTGTTAATGATCCATGTGGGAAAGCTAGGACCGTAATAAACCTTGAGAAACAGAAACGAATATTGGTCCAAAATCAGCTAAATTCAAGAATTGACATACCTGTAACACCACTCGATTTGCGCAAGAAAATAAGGTCATGAATAAATTCAACGCCTCTTTTTTTGCCATGGTAGCATTGCCTTGAATTAACTTAATTACAAATACATTAACAAGAGTTTCCAAGCTAACAAGTGTGTAAAATACTAATCGTCCTTGTGTGGGTTGGTCAATGTACAAATAACCTAAGAATCCAACCATGGTCAAATAGAACATATAGATGAATTTCAGTCGATCTCCGATGCTTCTTCTCCTGTATTCAAATTTGTCATCTTCATTATTAAAGTATGTCCCTAATCTATCCAATATCGTTAAAGAAGGAGTATTAAGATTGATGTTATTAGTAGTAGTGTTTGAGGAAGAAGAGTTTTTTTGAGGTGTTTCAGGAAGAGATGATGATACTGTGGTTGAATTGTGGTTGTATTCGGAGGAATCATTTGGAACTATATACATGCTACTACTATTGCAATTTGATATTGTGGTAGGGGTGGATGTACAGGAAATGGGTGATGATGCTCGGTCTTGCTGCATCATTGATGAAGAAGTATGATTCACGGTTTCCAGATTGAGCCTTTTCATTGAGGTTCGTAGGGATGAGTGGATGGGAGGTGAAGCCTGAGCTGCTGATTCCGCAGAAGTGTCGTCGCTATTATTCTCTGATGAGAAAACGGTGAGTGGTTGTTCTATCATGTCGGTGATGATGTGGTCCACAGTATACTCTCGTTGTTGTTTTATTTACTGATGAAGAGGTATGGTATTATCTCTCCGAAATTAGCATTCATTGGCTGTGTTGTTGATGAAACAGCAGCTCTCAACGACAAATCTCCAAATCAATTAAAAATTAGAGCCACACTCTCACTACTTGGAATGTGGAAGTAGTACAAAGGGAGTGCGAGGTTGTTGTGGTTGTTTTTTCTTTTGGAGAATCCACCTAAACGCTTTAACATTTCTTTGTTAGAGGTTTGAAAGACGACATAATTGAGTATCGGCACTCCTGTTTTGACCTTTTTCGATCCATGCCAGGCAACACCATCGCAAGGCCATGAGATACTTGGTGTCCATTGAGGACATTGGAGGCTGACTGTCATCTATCGAACACAAGTCCTTAATGATGAAGGGATGCAGCTCTTGAACACAAATTTGCTATTCATACCTTTTACATATTCAAAACTGGTTTTAATGTGCGATTGAAATTCTCTTATTAAATGATGAGCCATAGTTCTCAATCATTGCATCATTTGTCAACTCTATCCATTTACTTTTTAATTTCCCACTTGTAGGATTGAGATGCCTTTGCAACGAGAACACTAATTTCATCTTGTGTAATTTCATTCACATTGGTTGCAAACAATGTCACATGGTAGGGTTGTAACAAGGCCTCTACTTGACCCTTATGAGTAGAAACACGAGCTTTCAACATCATGGGTGTGGAATCTCCCAACATGTGAACCAACACAAATTTCACAGTCTCTGATTCATCAATAATTTCCACGACACGAACCAATCCGAAATAAACTCCATTCGAACTCCATTGAGACTTCATTTCTTCAACGCCACCATTTCCAGATCCCAATAAATGCATCTTGGTCTTTGAATTGGGTACATAGGTCACTGCCATCCAATTGGTTTCGGTTTGATCCGATCTCACATCACGAATGGCTTGTTGAATTTCTTCGACATTTTCAAATTCAAGTTCACCTCCAGTACTACTTGGTGAGGAATTGGAACGAGGAGCTGAGCTTTGAATGGTACTTTGAGATCTCACTGGTTTTGGTGAACTTGTAGTAGTAGTACTTGTTGTTGTTGTTGTTGAAGGAGTAGTAGTAGAAGAAGCAGTCGATGTTGTTGTTGTTGTAGTAGAAGCAGAGACTGATGATGGTACATTTCTTCTGGCTTGTCTCTCTTCATTATCACGTTGAATCTTTTCTCCTTCGTGTTTTTCCATAACTTTGGTACGAGACATGGAGGCCTTTCCAACTAAATCTTCAACAATCTCTTGTGAAATTTCATCAACTTCGGTAATGTACATATCGACGTGATAGGGTTTGAAACGAGTTGTGATTTCTCCAACTTGAGGTGTGATACCGGCACGTAACATGGGTTTCATTTCATTTCCAACAAATTTAACAAATGCAAATTTAATGGTGAGAGAGGAATCGATCATTTCTTCGATACGAGCCAATCCATAATAACCATTGTTGGCTTGGAATTGCTCACGCATTTCATTGACGCCTCCTTCTCCCTTTCCTTTAAGCTCGAGTTCTTTGATTCCTCCATTGACATAACCACAAACCATCCAATTGGTTGAAGTTTGATCGGATCGAACATCATTGATGGCTTCTTGAATAGAGTCCCATTGAGAGAAGAGTTGGTTCATTTTGTAATAGTTGGCTTTTGTTCCACTATTGCGAGTGTGATCGGGGGAGAGATTTGTGTGAAATTTTTTTTATAATTTTATTTTGACAAGTGAGAGTCACTTGACCAATCAATCACCAACAGTCATTGCAGTGAAAGAAGGAAAGGACATGAACTTTTTTGGATATTAAGGAATTTTGCATTGCTGAACAAAATCGATAACTGGTGCCTTAGATTATTTGGTCACCTTATTATTATTCGTACTTTCCTCTTGTCATGGTGATTTATTGCCTTGGAATAAAATCAATCAAGTAGGGGTCTAATACGGTACGAGTCACAATATAAGTTTCAGGTATGCTATCCTGTTGTTCTTCCAATCCTTTTGGCACTTGTAGTTGAAATTTCAGCAATAACATGACAAGAATTAGCTTCATCTCAAGTAGTGCCATTCTTTTTCCAATACAATCTCTTGGACCAATACTGAATGGAAGAATTTCATCCGTATTGAAATCAATATTCAAATAGTCGGGAGTAACTGCAGCATCTGTTTTGGTTGGCATGAATCGATCTGGTTTAAAGTCGTCTTCTCCATTCTTTGCAAAATAGTGCATACTATAATAGGACGCAAGAAATTGTGTTCCTGCTGGATACTTGACTCCACCCAATGTCTCACCACCTTTCTTCATGACAATTCTGGCACCACCTCCTACTGGAGTTTTCACACGAAGAACTTCTTTCATAAATGACGATAAGAAATGAAGTTTTTCTGTAATGACCTCATAGGTAATTTCTTCTTGAGACGAAATTTCGCTTCTAATTTCTTCATAAATTCGTTGTTGAACTTCAGGATATTTGGCAAGCTGTCGAAGCATAAAGTTGAGTGAAACGGATGACGTTTCAAATCCAGCAAAGAAGATAATAAAGAGGGCAGAAAGTAATTCATCCTTGGACAACTTTTGATCCTCCTTAGCCGCTTCTGAGGAGCTCAACAGCAAACTCAGTAAATCTTCATCATCCTTAATTTCGTTACTCTTCTCTTTTTCAGCTTGTTTTCTCTCAATCATGGTCAAGGCTGCTTCTCTAAATCTTTCTTTTGACTCTCTGAATCGTTTAAAAATTCCAAATGGAAGATATTCAAATGCCCATTTAGGAAAGACAAAGTTGTACAATAAACCCGCTAACAAATTATTAACCCATTCATGCAACTCGTCTCTGTGCTTGACATCATTATCAAAGATATGAATGTCATAATCAAATGCAACTCTATTAATGACCGACAAGGTTACTGATTTGAATTCATTTGTGACATTCACCTTTTCAATAGCTCCATTCTTTTCATTGACTCCATAGATTCGCTTCCAAAAATCGAGCATTTTGTTTGTTTCTTCAATCGTGACTCTAAACACGTTTCTCAAGTGAGCAGCACCCGTGAAAATTGGATTACTCATAGTACGATGCTTCTTCCACAAAGGATCGGAACTATCGGCAGAAAACATGTTATTTCCAAACAATCCAACTGGAGCCAAAACATCTCCCTTACTAATGCTCTTGTAGTTTTTCACGAGCAGTTCTTTCAATAGTGCTTTATCTCGGGCAACGATCAAAGTACAGACCGAACCGAATTGTAATTTAATGACAGAGGCTTCGGGATATCGTTTATAGGCATCCAATGTGCAAACATATTGATGGTAAATGTATATGCGTTTATGAAGCATGGAATCAATCACAGCTGGTAGGAAGCTCACATGTCCTGGGATGTGTCTGTACCTGAAATAAGTAATTAGGAAATTGATGAGATGCCAAACAAACCATGCTCCAAACAAGGATCCCACTACTAGTGGAACAAACGAGATGTATTCCAAGAGTTGAAGAGATGATGGCATGTGTGTGAGGGTCGTGTTGTGTTTCTTTGATTTTTTTGTTTGAACTTGTGCCGCAGTTTGAGGACATGCGAATTTTTTAAATCCCTAAGTCGTTCATGCATTTCCTTGAAAGTATGTCCATCACGGTCGCAGTAATTGGTGCGACCACTGCGAAGCATTTAAATGAGGTACCTCAAAGCATTGTGTTCAACCTTGGGAGAAACCTATTGGAACACAAGACGAATTATTTACAACTTGATATTTATCGAGCAACATTTATTGTACACTCTTGGTATTCTTGTTCAAAATCTTGGCAGCAGCAGAAATAACCAAAGGACGTTCATAAACGACTTGATTGGACACAGCAGTTGGGATCCATCCATTAGGATTGGCTTGACCCATGAAAGTGACTTTCAAATCTCCATTCTCCAATTCAACAAGCTCGTACAGAGTGAAGATGTTGGTTCCACGGACTCCTGATGCCTTATCACATGTATAAGAACCATCAACACTGGTAGTTAACAAGACGAGCTTGTTACCTTCTTGGAATTCACGTTCACAATAGAGAAAATCTCGATCGCTCACCATCATGCCTAAAAAAGTTCATTGATTTTCATGTGGATTCGCCGGATGAAATAATTCATGATGAATTCAATAGTTTTTGAATTCATTATTTCGAAATTTTACAATATTTAAATTCATAAACGAAATAAGATTAAAGAAAATATCGATCCGAATATTTAAATGATCGTTTGATATCGGAGGCCACAAATAAAAACAACCTACTTGGAGAAGCAACAAGATAGTATCTAATAGACCAACGTCCATCTTCGTCTTCAAAAGTTTCCAACTCAGAAAAGGCCTTTGTCTTTGGATCCAGCTTGAGTCTTGTTGGCATATCGGTTGAGCAAACAACATTCATGTACTCTCTTGCCTTGCAATTTTCAACAATAATTTCTCCCTTCACAACTGTACCTTCGGAAGCTTCAGCTGAGCTGATCGTTACTTTTTCATTGTTACCATAGAATTTGAATTTGTCTGTGGTGTAGGTTTTGGTGAGAGCGAGAGCCTTTTCCCACTTTTGTTTGATTTCTTGCTTATTCATGACGAGAGAGCAGAATTAATGACGATCTTGTTTTTTTAATGAATGTCAATAACTGTCATGATGTGAGACTCTTTTGGAATGAGAATCGAATGATTTTTATTATCCTCGTGATGCCCGCTTCTGGTTTGCGATCGGACGCCCTGCGTTAACAGGCGAGGCAAATTTTCCATACTTTTTCCGAGTATTGAGGGTTGCATCAATCCAAATGCTTTGTTGTGACATGTGTTTCCTTAATCGTGAGCTAAATTTATTGGTGGAACGGTAAAGAACTTGACTACATTCTTTCAAAAACCAATAATTTCATGAGCCTACAATATTTATTGAGCTCTATCAAAAAGCAACTAATCAAATTTGATGCCCTGTGCAAGAGGAAGAGTGTTTCCATAGTTGAGTGTGACAGTAGATCTTCTCATGTACAGTTTCCAGGAATCAGATCCACTCTCTCGTCCTCCACCAGTAGCTTTGTTACCACCAAAGGCTCCACCAATTTCTGCTCCATTGGTTGGGATGTTGACGTTGACAATACCACAATCAGAACCATTTGGACCAAGCCATGTGAAAATATTTGTTGGATTTCTAGAGAACAAACTACTGCTCAAACCTTGTTCAACAGAATTGTTAATCATGATAGCTTCCTCCAAATTCTTGAACTTCATGACATAAACAATTGGAACAAATGTCTCATGTTGAACAATTGGAGCATCGTAGGCAATTTCAACAATAGTTGGCTCAACATAGTTACCACTTCTATTGAGAACATTACCACCATAGAGAATCTTTCCTCCTTGCTTTTTAGCTTGCTCCAAAGCATTCTTATATTGCTCAACAGCGTTCTTGGTGTGAAGAGGACCACACAATACACCACTTTCTCTCAAAGGATCTCCAATCTTGACATTGGCATAACCCTTCTTCAACTTGTTAATAAATTGATCATACACACTTTCATGAATAATGAGACGACGAGTGGTGGTGCAACGTTGACCTGCTGTTCCCACACATGCAAACAAAACGCTTCTGAAAGCGATTTCCAAATCAGCATCTTCACAAACAATGATAGCATTGTTACCACCCAATTCCAATAAACAATTGCCCCATCGATCATTGACAATTTCTCTCACTCTCTTTCCAACCTTGGTGCTTCCAGTGAATGAGACAAGACCAATTCTTTTGTCCTTTGCAATTGCTTCACCAATATCAGCACCACCAGTCATGGATGTACAAATTGCAGGATTTAACTTGTTATCCTTCAACACTTGTTGAATAATCTTTCCGGTAGCAATAGTTGACAAGGAGGTTGTTGGTGCTCCTTTCCAAACCATTGTGTTACCACAAACAAGACCCAAAGCAGCATTCCATCCATAGACAGCAACAGGGCTAACCATCAAGTGGAAACGCAATCGAGAATGTGATTATTGATTTTAATTTCCGATAAATATTGAAATACGCAATTAATTTTCACATTTGAAATCATCAAAACACTTACAAATTGAATGCAGAAATGACACCAACGGTACCAATTGGATTCCACATTTCATACATCATGTGATTGGGTCTCTCGCTTGGCAAAACGCTTCCATTGATCATTCTTGATAAGCCAGTGGCATAATCGCAAATATCTACGAATTCTTGTACTTCACCGACACCCTCGGGAAGGATTTTGCCCATTTCCAAACTCACTAATTTACCCAAATCTTGAATCTTTTCACGTAAAGCTACTCCAATTTGTCTAACGATTTCTCCTCTGTATGGAGCAGGCTTATTACGCCATTCAATTTCAGCTTGTTTTGCAAGATGAACAGCTTGCTCGTACTCTGCAAGGGTTGGAGTAACAGTGCTTGCAATAACGGAATTATCAGATGGATTAATGGACTGAACAATCTGGCCAGACCCTTTCCATTCGGAACCAATAGAAATACCAGGATTGCCTTCTTCTACAAGTCCGAGTCTTGATAAAAAGTCATTATCAGCAAAGGTAGATTTCTTGTTGGTTGAATAACTTCTCACTGCTGTGGATGACTTGATTTGTTTAATTGCTCTTGACGATGAAATTGATTTGAGTGATTTTTGTAGGAGTTGTTGTTGCATTTTTTGTTTTGGCTGTTGCCCGTGATAGTTAGTGTTGGCACAATTTCTGCCGAAGGTCCTGACCTCGTGTTTACAAAATCTTAGATTCGCCTTTTCTCATTGAAAACAATTCGGACCGAAGGGTCTAATAATTTATTGTGGTGAAAGGTTGGTTATCGAACCTTTTCTCTGGTTGGTTTGGTTTGCTTTGGGTTTTTTCGTTTCGTTGTTTGATATGTCACAGTTGAATTTGCAATAGAAGGGGAAGAGAGATCTGCTCGTCTTATACCTTGATCATTGGAATATTGCTCCATTCTGTTAATATTTACATCGGGGTTGAAAATATTGGCAAGGGAAGGATTTTTCTTTGAAAATTGAGACTGCGTTTGTGGTCTGCTTCCGTTAGGTGGATTGGTTTGTGTGAGAGAGACCAAGCTATTAAGCTTGATAGAGGAGTTGTTGATTTTGTTGTCATTTTCGAGAATAATTAGTTTGTTGAAGGAGGAAGGCATGGCTGACTGAGCTCGGTCACCATTGGAAATTGGATCTGGTTTAAGGGAATGCTTAATACTGTTATGCGGAAGAGGAGGTTTTGGAGTTATGGATTGGTTGGTTGTATGATTTGGACGAAATCCACCAGTAAAATGCTGATGGTGTCGCACTGGAAATTGTTTTTGGTTTGCCTCAATATTGCGCTGGCTATTTTCTCTGGACATTTTTGGAATTTCATGATTTCCAATATATTTTTCATTGCCTTTGATAATAGATAATAGTCCAAAGCTACTATTTCTTCTTGGTTTTGGAAGTAACGAGCTGATCAAAACAGCATTATTGAGATCAGATTTGTTCTTATCCGTTCGCTCTTTTGATCCAGGTGAAAACTTTAAATTTTTTGATGAAGACGCAGAGCTGATGGTCGTCATGGCTGAAAAAGGAGTCATAGATCGATCAAATGAATCATCATCCTCAATGTTCTCTAGCTCTTCAATAAACTTGGTACTATAATTATCGTTGATGTAAATAACGTCCACAGTATTACTTGGTGAATTATCTTTTGTTTCTAGAGTTTTCTTCTTTGGAGAAGACTCGTTGAGGTGCATTTTAAAACACTCTACTATTTTGGGAACTACTCTTTTCCAAATGTTATCAAAAACTTCCCACTGAGCTTCATAAAACAATGCAGAATGAGGTTCCAATGGAGGAAAGCCTCTATTGAGCTGAACTCTAATTCTTTCTGAAAACTGGGTGGATAAAGGACTTTGAGGTGATTCTTTTGGTTTTCTTTGGTGGGCAGTAAAATTAGGTGTGGATCTATTAAGAAAGGAATCAGCGTCAAGAGGAGTTGGTACTGATCTCTTATTTCCTTGATCCATTACTATGAGTTCTTCATATTCTCCATCTTCTGCAATTGTTTCCTCAACGACACCTCCGAAAGGACTGATAGGTATAAATTTTTGTGACTCCCCATTTACTTCGTCGTATTCAAATGAGCGAGATACATCTACGCTTGTATGTAAAGAGTCCTGATCTTTAATTTCTCCAAAAGAAACTGCAGTAACTGCTAAATGGGGAAATGTTGATGACCATTGAGATGCTATTTTTTCTAGAGTTTTCTTTTCTGTTTTTACGTTTTCTTGGAACCGTTTTGATTTTCGTTTTGTAGATTTTAGTGGTGAATGCTGCCGTGTTGGCTCATGTTTTAATCCATATAGTTTTGCATCCAATTGATTTATCAATCCTTTTAATCGCTCCTCAGCATCGGTTTCCAGATCCTAACAAAAATTTTCAATTTTTCGAAAATTCAAAGTTTGTTGACGACAATCCATAGATATGTAGGTAATCAATTTTCTATAATTTCAGTCCAAACTTACAAAAGTAAAATCCATCAATGAAGAATGTTCAGATCCTGCGCTGTAATCGTGAAAGTTGGTATTGAACGATGAAAACTCAGATGATGCCATTGATTTTAAGCCTGTTGTAAAGTGTGTGCCTGAGGTTGGAGCATTTGTGGATGGAGAAAACGTTGAATCAACTTGATGTTCTGTTGACGGTGATGATGCTGTGCTTTCGGAATCCTCTCCAATTAAAGACAAGTCAATTACCAGCGAATCTGTCGATTTGTATTTGCCAACTGAATGTCTCAACCTCGACGATGGATCTTCTTGACTCTCCATAAATCGAACTTCTCGTTGCTGACCACGAGTTGCTATCCGTTTAATACTTTCCACTGAACCTCGAAGTGTTGATGTGTGGTCATTTTGTTTGCTGGCAGCTGTTGAAATTTTTACATTCCGAGAGGGCAACGGCAGCTCTGGATGAGTGCTTTCTCGATATTGAGGTTGATGATAATTATTGTACTGATGATTCATTGAGCGAGGTGGTGGTTGAAAATGGGCCATGTGCATTCCTCCCGTATGTATTGACGATGATGGTACATTGATCATTCCAACTGCTGTCGTCGTCGTCGGGGAAAAAACCATCATTATTTTTTGTAGATTTGCACAGAGAAATTTGAGCGCCAGAAAATCGGCTCTGCGTGACACCACGTGATGGAAATAGGGCTGAGCATACTAAAAAATTGCCTCAATCTCCTTTATTGGCCAAAACAAGAACATCACTTAATTGGCCTTGCAGACTGGATTTGAGAAGTCGAGTGAAGAACAATGATCTCTTCCTTTTACCATGCTCCAATAAAAGATATTCAAACAAACATCGCAATAGATCCTTGCTAAATTGTGAATCTTGTTCTGAAAAGCCATAGAAATGAGGAAACATTACTTTGTAGGTCTTGTGTACTAAAATACTGCGTCCAACATGATCATGCTCACCTTTTCCATATCCAAATGTTATCCAATCATTTTCTTTTTCCATTTTGGAAAAGGATTGTCCACAAATATAGCTTCCATTAAGGTCTAACTTGAAAAAACTATCATAAATTGTTGCAGTGAGTTCCTTAAGTGTCTTGACTCCATTTTCATCGATATCGATTAGTTTTTCTCTGTTTGCTGCAAACTTGAGAGTTAATGATTGATACTTTCTCAAAAATCGATCTAAATGTTGACTGTCTACTTTTCGAATATTATCAATATCAAGAGAGAATGATGAGCTATTTCCCCAATCGACGTATGGTACATTGACATAGTGCAACATGTATGGTGCACTGTTACCGTCAATACCTCGGAAAAAAGCAAGTGCCAACTCTCCTCTTTCAACTCGATCATTGATGAGTGAAACATAGCATTCTTTTATGGTCGAATAGGGATCAAAACAAATGAGGTCAGCATCTAAAATTTCCATTCTCATCAAAGTTTCATCATTTTGATCAAAACTACTAGCATCTCTTACGATCAATAGATCAGTGTATTGTTGTAATCGGTTCAATGTTACTGTATGAAAGGCATCGGAAGCACTTGTAGAGAACAATAATGTCTTAAATTTTCGTCCTTCATATTTAAACAAAGGTGTATAGGATGCTTTTTGTTCCGTACTTTCCGATGGCTCTGTAGTTGATTCTTCATTCATTGCCAGTTCTGATAATTTTTCAAATGAAAAATGATCATCGTCTTCTCTTTCAGCCATAATTTGTTGGTTGATCAAGAAATTAATTTTTTTAATTGTTTTTGGATTTCTAAAAATATTTCAAGTTCAATTTTTAATGATTGAATAAATTTTCCTTTTGTCATGATGTACTTTTAACAATGTTATTCATTGTCTTGACACAAGTGTTGTTTGACCCATTGAACAATGAGTTTTGCAACAAAATATTCATGATTGAGAGATTTGGACATTTCTTGAATGGCAAATGATTCATCATGTTCTTTCAAATCCATCATGATCATGTCCAACATGTTTCCATAAATTTTCATGTTCGATTTCAATTGTTGAGGATGCAATCCAATTCCTCCCTTCTTCTTTGGTGTGATTAACAATTGATGAATCACTTCCAATGGCCAATCACAAACTTCACTCTTTTGCAACACCAAACTTTGATCCACAACAATCAAACCTCTGCTTGGAACTCTGTGGTATGGTGTTTCAACATCGTTGCTTAAAAAGTTAGGATCAGCTATTGAATGATTGAATTATTACACCAATGGTCACTTTCGAACACTACTTACGTCTCCAAATATCCCCATTATCCAGATAGATGGGCTTGAACGCTGTTGTATTTCCTCTTAAAGCGTTATATATGAAATCGGTGTTTGCATTCCAATAAAACACCATGTAAAGTAAGAGGGTGCGGTTTGTGAATCCAAAAAACATGATTACAAATCTTCCATCATTTCTGTTTTTACATTTGAGACAAGGCACGTCATAAGTGAATAAGTATTTATCCCAAATCTTTCCAGAGGACTCTGTCCAATAATCTGGTACAAGCGCATCCTTTCCTGTGACTGGATTTCTCAATAAGAGTTGTCCTGTTTCAGAATCCTGCCGGAAGTAATTAAATGAAATATCCTTATATGGCGTTTCAATACCTGGTTCAGCGTTGAAAGAGTAAGTAGAATGAGCATAACTAATGGTATTTAGGTATCCGGTGGATCTGTCCAATTCGCTCAGCTTGACAACAATGGCATAAACTTTATTGTCACTCACCAAGTTATTGAAACGGCAAGTTCTATCGGATATTTCAATGTTACAAAATTCCCGTCAAAAACCAAACAAACAACACTTACGGTACGATCAAGCTAATTCTTGTATTGGGATCTGTTTTACTTCCATCCCATAGAAAAAATCTTCTAATACAATTATTGGAGGTATTCTTATGATATCCCCATTGAAACAATCCTTCCAAACGTTCACCTGTGGAGGCTGTCAAGTAAAACACACTATCGTATTCATTATTTTCATATGAGACGGTAAACATCTTGTTATCGCTGTTTCGTTTGAAAGTACCAGATGCTACTTTCATACCATAGATTTTCTCCATTTTTTTGTTGTGAGGATGGTTTTTTGATTCATGAATCAAGAAGGATCCATGAGCTGTTGAAAAATTTTTGACACTTTTGAAAAAGAAATCTGAACAAGGATGACTCTCTTTTTTGGTGAGCCATCTTTTTTATGATTGCCTGTGCCTGTCTCGTGGACTAAATGACGTTCAATGTATCCTTTTCATGATACAAACCTCAACAGAAAAAATGACTGACTATTATCCTCTCATTCCCACTGTTTTTAACGGATTTTTCTATCGAAGCACAGATTACGCCTATTTCTGGATGACTCCTATGAGCACTTCCATGTTCAAAATGAGCCCTAACAGTGGATCTGAAACCAAGATATTTGGAGTCAACAGCTTGGGATTTGTTTCAGCCAATTCTGGGGTCGTGACCAAGTCTGTCATGTTATATGACACGAGTGTTGCTGATCCTTTCGCTAGAGTCGTTGCAATCTCCAGTTTGTAAGTTTCTCTGATGGAAATGGATTACCTAAAAATTATTGTTAACAATGAGTGGATTACAGTGATGTCACACAAGGAACGCAAAACACATATTCTTATTATTGCGATCGAATGGTTACCATGAATGGTGTGTGGTTTGTAAGTATCAATATCACTCATCTTGTTCAACAATTCGCATTGTTATTGGTATGGTATTCAAACATGATTAGATATCAGAGGATGGAGAACCATCTCAAACCAACATTCCTTATACACCAGCTCTTACACTTCCCATCTATTTTCGAGAAAATTCAGGAGCCTTATGGAGAGTCGATGAGTCGAATCCTTATTATGGTTATTTCAAGTTGACGAATTTGAGTGATAGCAGAGCGGCAACAGCAATTTGTGGATATGATCCTGTACAAAGTACTTTTCATATTCTTTTCCAATTCTACGATTCAGCTACAAGATCCGTCGTTCAAACAAGATTACATGGAGCGACGTCAAATTCGTTTGCAACAATTGTACTGGATAACGGAGATACTTTTACAGGTACCAATTAGTAACATTAAAAAATCAATGTTTATAATACAATGAAATAGATCAATTGTCCATTCCTAGAAAAACGTCTCCTTTGTCTAAATAAATGTTCAAACAAGAATCTGTACTTTTTCCTTACAATCGTGTTGTCTTTCTCACTTGGTCGCGTCTTACTTATACAGATCCTTCCATTTAGCTCCAGACTGTTCTAGATACTATTGTTTAATGGTAGAAGCAGGACCAGAAGGAAAAGGTTCCACATTCAAAAGACGTGTCGTATATATCTGAAAGTTAAAATATTATCTTCGTGTGGAGTAGTTACATACCATAGATTGTTTGCTGTCCCATTCGTTCACAAGATAATTTAGGCCCAAAATCATTGTACAAATATCAATATTTTCGAAACAACATTGGCAGTAGTGATATTGGTGGGAATGGTAATACGAAATAATTTTCTTAAACAGATATTGAGAACCTGAAATGGAGTATACTTTTCAATAAATGCACTCTAAAAATGGTGGGTGATTTTTGCCATTTTGAAGCTCCAAACAGCTGAATTTTAGTGAGGTTTAAGAAACTCCTTAACAAAAGTTAGAGCTTTTTTCTTACAAAAAAATGGTCGTTGAGGGCTGGATCGACACCCTTATAAATACTATCACGGAGAGGCTTACTTTATCATCATCAACGACCAAAGAAGATGCAAGCACTATTGAAGAGGTCGAAAAGGAATGGGAAGGGATTGGTGAGGATCAATACAAGAGGGCTCAGCAATTTCTAAACTCCATCGGCGTGGTTATTTCAGGACCGTTATTGAAAGAGATGATGAAGCAAAAGTTAGAAGACAGGATATATTACAATGAGATTGGTGCTTGTTTCTCTATTGACATGAATGGAAACAAAGAAGGGAAACCCTTGAACTTGCTTTTGTTATGCCCGTTGTACATATCTTGTGGGGGTGTTTGTTACGAGACCCGTGATTTATTGCCATTCTTAAATATTGAGATCGTTAACGAGGAGAGAAAAAGGGAAAGGTTTTTTGTTTGCTCACCATTCCAACAAATGTCGTATGAAACAGAATGCTGCGATGAGGAGAGCATTGCAGAATATTTGATAGAGAACATAATATATAAGAATCCAATCGAAACCAGCGATGTGGGACAACACTGGCTTGTGGTCAGTTTAAAGACACCGAATGGAGGCTATTTGACATCCAAGAAATACAGAATTAATATTTCGTATGATAATCCAATGCTCACCGGCAAATACGGGTCTATATGGAACAAAATTATGCGAGTTCTGATGGCGTTGCGCAATATAGAAGACCGTTCGTTACATTTGAAAGTGTGGTACTTTTTTGCATCCATAGAAAATGCGACTTGTATTTCAGAATGGGAGAAGCTATCACGGTTACATATGCTTAATGCAGACAGATCCGTATATGTTGAATTGACCAGACAATACTTTGAAAGCATCGAGCTTGGAGAGTCACCATATTTTCTTCTCACCCAATCCAAGATATTTTGTATAATTTTTGCCATGTATTCTCAAGACGACACTAGTTTATTTCCTTTCAGTCAAGAGCTCAAGATACTTTTTCAGAGTTATTTTGACAAATTTATTAAGAAGTATCAATGTTTGACAAGGATTGTTTCTATCTTCAAAATATCGATTTCAATCATTGAAAAAGATGAGTTATTACGAAAAGAAATTGAAAAGAACAAAGTAAGAATGCTATTAACTATTAAGAACGACGTGATGGGTGAACTCTCCAGACTCTGCTCAGAACTGTCTTATAAGATAAGACCAATGATCATTGCAGATTTTTTGAAATGTGTATTTACAGTATGCCAAGAAGCTGAGTGTTTGTTGACACAGATCTGACACATCATGAACGTGCTTGTATGAGAATCCAAACACAACGATATAGTAAAGACACAAGTGTAATCAAGATTTACTTTGTTCTTTGGTGCAACCTTTTGATACAACACAGTAATCAATTCATTTGGACTCAGGAATCTTTGACCATCCTCAGATCCCTATTCATGTTTAAATACCATTTAAATTGACGAACACAATGAGTGATATTAACGCTTACAAACCTCTCTCCATTCATGGTTACGGTTCGATCGCGATAATAAGTGTTGTAGTTACCAAAAGATTTTAGAGTAATCCATTTCAAACCAGCCAACTGATCATGTCAAGCCTTTATATACTAAAAGGATTCAGCACATTTGTAAAAGATAACGTTTGCTCATCTTTATAAATATTACCAATATTCACCAATATTCATTTGAGGAATAGTGTTTACTAGTTTTTGTAAATAATTTTACATCATTGTATCTCTTAATTGTTTCATGAGTTCGTCGAGATCTTGATTTTCCACATTGACAAGCTCATGATCATGCACAACTTTCTTCTCCTTTTCATATTGATATTCTAATCCCTCAGAAAGATGTTCATGTTTGTGAGAGTGAGAATGATAATCAACATTGTCTTGTTCGTCATCAACAACTTCAATGCCCCATGTATTGTCAGTGTGAACGACTTTGGTTTCCTCCACTTGTTCCTTCTCATCTTGATCAAGATCCAAATCCAGAGCTCCTTGTTCTTTCAACTTTTTAACTTCCTCTTGCCTTTTCACACACATTGGATTGGAACATGTGGGATTTGGACGAACTTTCATGGTTGGGAAATAATCATTCATGGCACTGTATCCCAAATAATATGAAATTTTACCAAATCTCAATAAATATTTCAAAACTCCTTGAACTAACAATCCAGCAGTGATACCCATAGTGGTTGGTAAACTTGCTGCACAAACACCTTCACGTTTGACTTGTTTGACACCACTTGCAACGACCAAGGGAGGAGCACATTCATAACACTGGTTTAGAAATGATCAAACAATGAATATAAGTGTGAGTGTATAAAGGAAGAAGAAGATGTGAATAGGATTCATGACCCGTTGTTAAAGTAGATCAATTACTTACTGCAGTCAATCCAGGAACCATGAATTGAATATGACCACTCACAGCGTCCTCACTGACACCACTTTCCATCCATCTAATATTTAATTCATTACAAGCTCTATTGATGGCTACTCTTGCTTCAAAATTATCAACACATGACAATACCAAATCAACCTTTCCATTATTCAATAAATTTCCAGTATTGATTGTGTTCATGAATTGATCAAAATTTTCAATGGACGTAATATTATAGGAACATGTTTCAAAAACAACATCGGGATTAATTTTAGAGAGAGTCTCTTTAGATGCATCAACTTTTGTCATTCCTACTTGTTCTGGTGTAAAGAATAATCGATTCATATTGGCCAAAGAAACAATATCAAAATCAAACAGAATTAATTTGCCAATACCACATCGGGTTAACATCTCGCAAACGACTGCTCCAACTCCTCCGAGTCCAACAACTGCAACGGTAAAATCTCGGATTCTTTCATAATTCTTAACGATGCCCATTGATGAAAGAGCCATAAGTCTTGAGTATGGATTATCATCCTTTACTTCGGAAGAAATTTTTGCAATTTTCTCTCGAACCACTTTGGTACCACTTGATGATTGTTCATTCAACTGTTTCCGTAATTGAGCAATTTCTTCTTCTAATTGTTTAATTTTCTCCTCTTGATTTTGGGACATTTTTTTGTAACAGACGGTGACGTCAACAACAGTTCTTTACAAAATTAAAAAGTCACACGGCCTGCAAATTTTAGATGGAGTTAACGCCCTATGTGTCACTCTTGATTTCTGAAAGAGTTATACATTAAAAGGGTTTTAATTTACAATGTGAAAAGGACTTGTTCAAAAAACAAGCTCTTATCTTTCTGGAAATTCTGGAGTATAAGCTCCCGTAAATAAATAAGTGTTGTGGATAGTGTGATCGATAAGCTTTCCGTTCTTGTCAACTTGTGAAAATGGACAATTGGTTTCTCCTCTCTCGTTGTCCAACGGTTTGGTTAAATCCTTGTTATGTGACGAGGCCTCATTTCTAAGCCAAAAAGCTCTGTCAAAGGCCTTCAATAACATGTGATCGGTTTGTTCGTGAATATTTTGATCAAAATACATAATACCAGCTTCCTTTTCTATGACGTACACAAATTCATCAAGTAATCTGTGTGAAGGAAAAGAAATGTCTCCTTTTTGCTTTACGAGCTCTTTCAGCTCCTTACTTGCAATTTTGGAATTTAAGATTATTTTTCGTTTCTTGTCATCTACTGTGTAGTTCATCTCGCAAACACCATCGTTTCTTAATCTATCCAAATACCTTTTAACTGATCCAGAAATTTTATCGAAAAATGGCTCCAAAATTTCTAATCTTCCCAAAATGTCCAAAGCAAAATGTTGACAGTTTGCCTTCCTGTTATCATACATTTTGGTTCCGTTCCACTCACAAATTACTTCAGAAATTACCTTGAAGGCATTGTTAATTTCCTGTTGATTCTTGTATGTGTGCACGTCAACAACAAAGACAGCCTTGCTACTACTCTTTTTTCTTACAGTGGCAATACTACTGTCACAAAATTCCACATAAAACTCTCCAATAATTAGAGCAGAGTGGTACATTCCGAATTGTTGGTTCTTAAGAGCTCCAACTGAGCTTCCAAGCTTTCTTAAAATCCTGTGAGCAGTTGAAGTACTCATCTCTGTAATGACCAACTTAATTTTCAGGTTGAGCTTGCTGGGGTGAACAGGTCTGTCAACTCTATCTGGATTGAAATACTTGTATCGAAATCTTTCTGGAATTACACAATCCTGTGCAACCAATTCATGTAATTTCGGAGCAATTGGAGATCGTAGTTGTTGAATTTTTTTCAGACAAAAGTCTCTTCTTTCTCGTTCTTCAATTGTGAGCTTCTTGTCTGGGAAAGGAGAGCATCTTCTTGGTTTTCTCTTTTTCCTTTTGTCGTCGTCCATTGAGGCAGATGTGCTTGTAGGCATCATTGAAATAGATTTAAAATCATCTCCTTTGGAAGCAAAATATCTATCTGTTCCAGATTGGTTGGGTACAGATCCAAAACTTATTTTAGTGAACATTGGATCATAGGATGTGGCCAGATAACTCGTTGGTTGCAAGCTAGCATCTGTTTGCATATAAAAACTAAGTTTTGGGTTTGGAATGTCAATACCAGCACCAGCACCACTACTACTGGTGCTCATCATTGCCTTGTAGTGAATATCCATGTTATTCATCTCGAGATTGTTGCCAGATTGTAAAGTTCTATATCTTGCTTCCTCTTCCTCCTCTCCCGTCGTATACAGCAGATCCATGGCTAGCTCGATATCATCTCGAGAAGGTCTTCTTTCATCATCGTTCATGCCACCCACCACATGTGAATGAATATTTGGAGATTCAATTGGTGTAGTTGTGTTGGCTGTTTGTCCTGAACACGCCGAAGAAGCCACAGTCGTGGATGTAGATCCAGCGATGCGAGGTGATGATAGATCAGACGATGAGTTCTGAAGCGTTGAATCCGAGCCAATTATAATCGTGGTTGATGTTCTGTTATTTCGATTCGGACTCGCTCCTCCACCAATATCAATGCTGTTAGAAGGTGAGAAGTTGATTTCAGTGATGTTGTTGTTGTTGGGATTACTATTGGGTGATGATGGTTCCTTGTTGCTATTTGCCGATTCACTCAAATCTTTCATGATGGAATTGGCACGATTGGGTGCTCTCAACACGTATGGATTCTGAATGGTTCCTATCTGAGTTGGTAATTGTTTGAGAACAGGAGGTTCTTCTCCTCCGAGCTTATCAGCAGGAGGCTCTCCATGTTCCAATACGTTATCAATTCTCAATTTATCCACGAATAACATAAAGACACTGGCTTGTCGCTCCTTAATTTTGAATTCATTGATACATTTATCCAATGTGAGTGTATATAATTGAATTCCTCCAAAATCAGTCCTCTTTTCAATAGCTATTGTTGATGATGTTGGAATTTCATCATCGTCCATAATAATAATTATTCATCATCAACGACATGAATCACCATCATTACCATGAAGCAATCACATCAAAACCATCATTCATCATCACCATATTGAAATGTCATGGTAATTGATGATTGTTATCACAAGAAGGATCATCATGATGAACCGAGACCCAGAGCCTCTGCTGTCAACTAAAAAATCGTTCAATGAAATCAAACCTACCCTTTACAACATCCGAATGAATACAGGAAGCTTTCATCCATTGCATGACCATCTTGTGGTTCCACTCACAGAGAGGAAAGCTCTCCACAGTTGGACTCACACTCGAGCCACTGGCCGCAGAATTCTTCTTCACGAAACTAATCATGAATGATGCTGCAACCACTGTCTTTAATGTTCAAAAATTTTTCTCAATGTAATTCTTCCCAATTTTGCTCCACACAGAGAATTTTATCATAATCACAAATCTCATCATCCAACCCACCGAGAAACGGAGTGCATCAAGGAGGAATAAGACGAATCCTGCCATGCCTACACTTCCATGGATGCCAAGTGTGGAGAAACAACAGGCACAGGTGGGAAGATAATGAGGTCATTACTTCTCAAATCGAAGGTTGTAAGGCTTTTCGTATGAGAAGCTCGTCGGATAAACATTTTCAGCTCACAATTTTATGAAAAAACAGAGTAAACTCTCTATGAATTGTTTAACAATGGATCTCAAAGTAACCACTCATTCGTTTGGTTGAAATAAAGACAAAAAGTATTCAATTATTTTAAAAAAATGTTGTCCCGCCTGCCTGCTTCTGTTGCTTCCGTTGTGCAAAATTTGCCACCAAGACGTGCTCTTCTTTATTCTGCCTTTATCGCTGCATCAATAACACTCTTCGCAAAAGGCGGTCCTTCTACAAAAGTTGAAAAGAATCAAGCAAAAAGTAGCAACGTTATTACCGTTGAAGAACGTAAGTTGATATGATCATCATCGGATTGGATGAATATTTGATGAAATTTTACATTTTGACATTATGATAAATGACTTCCGAAACAACATGTTATCATTCTAAATTTTATTTTCTTGCGAATAATTAACTAGTCAATGAGAGAATCAAAGAGCATGAAAGAAAGTAAAAAATTTACCATCAGTGTGGTCTAATGCCAACAGTAACTTATTATTTGGAGGAGAATAAATTAAATTAGATGTATTTATTACTATTGAAACAGTTTAAGGCTTTTTTAAGTGGAATTCTTTTTAATATTACGGAGTTTGTTTACCTCAATTTTTACATGTAAGGCATCCACCAAATGAACATTCCTATAAGGTTGGCTTCGTTGGTCGCTTCTTTGATGAGATGATCAACTTGACCCTGCACACTCAAAGGTAGTACGTTGTCTCCGATTAAGCCCTTCAATTTCTTCTCAATATTTCTATAATTACCTTCCATATCCTCTTCACAACGACTGATCTTGGCAGCTTCTTTTTTCTGTGCTAATTGTTTCCAATCCAGCAATGGGTCGTGAATGAATGAGTCAAGGACATTCATGAGTGTCTGGTGATTCTTTCTGAGAATTTCAAGTGTAGCTTCGCAAGTAAAGCGAAAAACACCTTCATGACCAGTCACTCCCATACCATCAACCACGTTTCGGGTGAGTCTAAATGGAACTTTTTCAGGAATTGCCAAATATTTTCCTGTCTCGAAAAGCATTGCTAGATCAACATGAATAACATCACCACATTTCAAATCAATAAGAATGTTTTCACAATGTCTGTCTCCAAGTCCAACTATATACCCTACCATACTCCAAACAGCAGTCGTTCTAACAAAGTTAAGTCTTGATTGATACCATTGATTTGGCTCCAGAAATTGATGAAGGAAAAAGTTATGAAGCACTGGAGGTACTTGTGTAGTAATAGTTTTGTAAACTTGTTCTGCAAAATCTTGAGCATTGCTTTTAGTTCCTTTCAAAAAAGTATTGGAAATATAGGCTTGAATATTGTTTGTGAATCCTATATTATTTATCTCGTTGTCCAAAATATTTCTCAAAACATTGGTATTTTCAACCCATTCTACAAGGCCTGTATTGACTGAAAGTGGAATAACGGAGAATACTCTCAAATACAGCCTTTTGTTTCTTGTCAATTCGTCACGCTTCAGTAATCTGTTAATAACACTATTGAAATCCATCATTCTATTATCCTTTCTCAAATCATCGTTGGATTTGAATAAAAAGTTGTATAAATTACCATCATTTCCATAAATTCCAATCTTTTTCGGTTTCTGCATAGATGTCATTATGCTAACTTCATCTTTAAAGCTTGTTATATAAACTTTTGAAGACGAGTAAGGTGAATAGTCTGATTTAAGTTCTCCATCTTCAGTAAATAGGTTTGCTTTTTGCAATTCAACAGTAGTGAGACGTTGAAGTGGTACTATAAAATTGGTACTGGGCTTGTTAATAAGTTTGGCTAATTGTGGAAGTGGTTGCAATTTTTCTTCGTTTCTACCATTCACTTTGATCAAAATTTTGGTTTCGCTTCCTTTCTTTTTTGCAGCTGAGCTCAAAGAATATTTTCCATTATTTCCAAAAAAAACCATACACATTTGCCTTAACCCTTCCAATGTAGATTCTTGTTGATCTAGGATGCTCTTGACTACTTTGGTAGTAGGACTATCAGAGCTTGCAATTTGATTTTTAGCCGTTTCAATAATATTATCGATGACATTTTGTCGCTCTTTGTGATCACTTTTACATCCAATACTCCAAATACTTTCTTCTGGAAACGTTATCAGAATTTTTACGAGAATGCGGGTAATGCTATCAGTGATAGTGTCATTCTTGTTAACCATTCTAGAGACGAGCTGGGGCATTGCTATTGTCCATTCAAATACAGGCAGATCATTAATCAGCTTATCAATAATGGGTTGAACCTTCTTATAAACGCTATTCTTCTTGTCATCTGCTCCTGAAAAGTCTAACCAGAGTGTGATTAATCGGGGAAGAGAATTATAAATGTTTTTCACACCATATTGCAATGAAGTACCATAATTTTGGATAATCATTGGAAGCTCTGATTTTACATGTTGAGTATCTCGCTCTTTCTCTCTTCTAGCAATAAAAATATTATCAAGATAGGATGCTAAATAAAAGTAGCCTTCTTCCCAATTGCGATCTAGTTTTATCACTTGGTTATATCCTTCAATAACCACATCTTTTGACTTGTGTTCTTTCTCCCAGTTGACACTCATGAGTTTGATCTTTGCCTTCATGAGAGAATCTCTCTTGGTTTGTGTAAGGCTCATATTTGGAGTGTCAAAAGTAAATGTGGAGAGTAAAGAAAGAGCACTTTGTGACTCTCCCATCTCATACAACAATTTGGCTTGCTCAATTTTCTTTTGAGGAACATGGTAATTGATTGCGTGAGTAATAGCATGCAATGCCATTCCATACTGTTTTTCTTTTCTTGCTTGTTTTGATATGTGAACCCAAGTCTTGTAAACTTGATCGTTGAGGTTGTGAATTGTAAACAAACATCTTCTCATCGCAAAAAGAAGTTCCTTATTAGCAGAAGAACTGGTCGTAATTTTCAAATTTTTGTCCAAAATTCCAACAAACTCACTTATGTCAGTGGCAATGTTCTTATTTCCGTCATCATTCAAGAAAATTTTGAAACCTCTCTCCAATTCTGAAAGTGCTTGAAGTTTGATGATATCAGGATAGCATCTGAGATAACTTTCAGTGGATGCTGCAGATAGAGATGGAAGTATTTCTTTTCTTGCAAGTTGTATGCACGTTTCAAATTGCTCTTTTTCTTTTCTTACGTATGAGGATAGTGCTTTTGCAAGATACGCTTCAAAAGATTGATTAGCGTCTTCGAATACACTATCAACGCTACTCCACGAGCATAACCTCCAATATGCTTGAATAGCAAAAGAAGCCTTTGAGTTCTTGTCTAACGAGCTTCCTTGAATAATGTGCAATAGTGTCGTATACTGTGACAAGTTAATATAGCATTTCATCAGATTAGATAGAATGTCTACATTGTCTAAATTTTGTTCTAACATGATTCCATACAAATCTCTAGCTTCTTCCCATCTACCTTCTACTTCTTTGTCCAAAATACTTTCGTTAATATTTGTCTCAGTTCTTAAGGCAGCAATACCAGCCATACTATCTCTTTCTTTGAGTTCAGAATAAATTCGTTGTAGATTATGTAACACCTCCGATGGAAGTTCACTGATGGGCTTATTCATTTTCCTAATGAATGATTCAAAATACATTAATGATCTGGAAAATGCAGAATGATTGTAAGCTGTAGATGCTAATGAATCAAGTGGAATGTCATTAATAATAGTCTCTGCTTTCTTTGCCATTTCTTTAAAATAAGCTGAAAAGTGTTTGTTGGATTCAAACCATCGTTTGAGATCGTCAATTAAGCAAAAGATTGTTTGTGCATGCTCAGATGTTCTATATTGTTCTCCGATGTGTGATTTGGAAACGTCGTAGCTAATTACGCTCATAATTTCTTGCTTGATATCCTCTCTATCTTTGTCAGTTCCAGTCATTAGAACATTGTGCACCAAATAGGGAAATACAATTTTCACAAGTTCTTTGTCGCTGTTAAAAAGTGGTCTTACAGCTTGAAAAGTTCTACCCCTAATTGACCTTGTTTCTGATCTTGTAACTAAATACTTCGACCAATTTTTTAGCCAAGTATGATGTTGCATATTTTCCTTAAATATCGGGAGTGAGTTTGCCTTTTTAACGTTTGGCTGAACTTTTTGATGTTTCAAAGAAAGACCTTGCTCTTTTAGAGACAAATAATCCTTAAAGTTATCTTTCAAATATTTTGAATCAGCATCGAAAAGGACTTTCATAAGCTCTTGTCTTGCATAGTTTGCATGGTTGGAAGTGGCAGGACAATTTTCGATATATCTAATTAAAAAATCTAAAAGCTCAACGTCACCTTTTTCCGGATTACCAATATTTGCGGATTCAATATTCAATACAGAGGGATCTATGGCTCCAAGCTCACTAAGAGCAATGGCACTAAGTGTCTTGATCTTGTCGTCAATGTGACTGCAGTTAGTAAGTAGTGATGTTACCATTCTGTTGATAATATTTGAGCTATTGTATTCTTGGTCAAACATGGAAAGAACAATCTTCTGAATCTTGGATTTGTTTTCGCTTAGAACTTTTGTTAGAGAAAGTAAAGAGTTTCTTTTGATTGTTACTTCAGATTGTTCAATTCCCTTAATTAGAGCTTCTATTCTCTTCTCAAAAGAGCCACCTAGTGCTTTGTTAATTATGTCATGTAATTCAGAAAGTAGTGGTGAGCTGGGTATTTGTACCTTTGTAGGATCTACTGTTTTAGTTGTCAACATTCGAACAAGATTGTCTTTCAACTGTTTTCCAAAGTTAGAGTCATCCACTAACTCGCATAAATGAGAAAAAGCGGTTAGGAGAGTGTCTGGACAATGTTTTTCTAACTTTGCTGTCAATTCATCAAAAACTGGGAAAATTTCTTCTTTGAAGGAGCATGTAAACAACACATTATAAAAAAGTTCAAGTAATGCCTTTTGACATACAATAATTTCCTTATCTAACAGCTTCAATAAACTTGGAATTATAGAAACTCTTCTCTTCTGTTTTTCAACATTGGATTTCTTGAAGCATTTTGCAACCATAATGGTAATGCCGGAAATACTCGATGACAGTACCGAAGGTACCGGTTTGTTTTGCATTTCAGCCAATTGCTTTATGCAGTTAATAACTTTAGCATCTGTTTCTTTGTTAAATCCAAGTTCCATAACTAAATGCTTAATAGCTCCAAGAGAAAATTTACCCCAATGATGCTCTAATGGTACGCTCCATTCTTTGGTTAAGATGCCGAGTTCTTTGATGGGATTAAAACTACATTTCAAATAAGCAGATAAAATCTTCTCCATGTGATCCACAAGTAAGTCTCTTATTTGGCTATTCGTCATGGACATCAATTTTGTTGATTTTGAACGTAATTCTCCGGAAACAACAATTTCAGGAAGAACTTTTCTCAATATCCTTTTCGATATTGTTGAGAAATTTAAATCGAATAGAGAGGGTGCTACAGCTTGCAAATAAGATGAGGTCGTAGGACTGTCCCACTTTTGGAACAAAATATTGAAGAATTCGTCTCCGATTTTGTTTTTCATAAACTTCATCACACTCATCTCTTCTTTTGCTGAAAGTTTTTTAACTGCAATGTAAACGTGAGGACATTGCTGAAAATCAATCGCTAAATCCAGAAAAAACTTTGCGATGTCTGATATTAATGCAGTGTGAGTACTGTGGCTTTCAAATATCATCCTAAGCACAGGAATTAAATATCTTGAGTGAGTAGATGCATGCGCTTTTAGAAACTCCTTAATATTATTAACAAGGAGCGAAATAGAGTTTTCTCCATAAAGGACATCTATCGGAATAATTCCATGAGAGTTTGGATATATCCAGTTCGAAAATTTCGAAGCTGCATAGGAGACCATCTCTACATTTTCATCAAAAGCAAACAAACAAAAATCCAAACGCTTTCCATAAGTTTCAAGGTCTTCTTTTGTCATCAAGTTAAAAAAAAGAAGAATAGAGTCCAAGGACAGCTTCCTTGACTCTGTACTTGACGACTTATGGCCATGTAAGAAAAAATCCCAGTGTGACATTTCAAGCCTATATCCACTCTTCATCAATTCTTCGATGGTGAGTGGTAAAATTCTATAGATGCATTCCTGGAAACTCTTTGACTCATCATTAAACAAAGCTCTGATGGATGAATGGACCTCCTCAAAAGTGGCCTGTTTAAGTTTGATCATAAACGGTAAGTTATTGACGAACGCACGTTTACATTTTTCCTCTCTTGCGAGTAATTCCTTCAAAATCAACGATACCTCCTTACGATCTGTCACGGAAGAAAGTCTACTTAAATTTTTTACAGTCAAGTCTAAAATATCCTGATCCATTTGCTTTGCGTAGAGTTCAAGCATAGTAATTGAAAATGAGGTGATATCATTGACAATTTCAATTGACACACCGCTTAGTGCTTCGTTTTCAAGTAATGTGTCAATAATTCTAATACATTTTTCAGAATACTGATATGAAATGTAAGAAGGCATGTTGATGTTCAAATACATACCTCTAATGTATTTTTCAAATGAGTGGAAAAAAGGGTAATCAATTCACCAAGAATTACGTTATCCTTATTATGATTGAAAGGAGCAATACTCATTATTAGTATATACAAAGAGTGAATGTCGTTGTGAGATAAATGGGATACTGCTCTTTTCAATGTTTCAAAGAACTGATCGCTTTGTTCTAAGTATTCCAACACAAAAAATCTTGATCCTAACTCAGCAGAATGCGGAGAGTAGGTTATGCTGATGTTTGTAGGGTCTTCACTGATTTGAGTCTCTTCTCCATTTTCTCCCTTTCTTTTTTTTGCAGAGCTATCTTCTGAAGCGTCTATTTGTGATTCTTTTCTTTTAAGAGTTGGAGTTCCGTCGACAGCATAGTGTATTAAAAGAATTTTTCGTAGTAGGTGGACAAGTTCATCATGGTAGGCCTGATATTTGAAACAATCATTAATGTCCTTCACTAGAGACTGTGAAAAGACAAGCTCAAAATGGGAATTATTGATAGAGTAGTCCATAAACCAGCAGATTGTGCGAATAATTTCTTTTTTAAGAGCATCACTTTTTGATTGAGAAATATTTGCAAATAAATTTTTTGATAGTATCCCCAACATGTCCATTCGTTCCACACCAAAGCTCTCCAAAACATTGAGTAAATGTGGTCTAAAGTTTTTTAAGATTTTGGCCAAAAGGTCGTCAAATTCCATGGTTCTGTACAAGGGGAAATTTGACTCAACATTAAATATCGTTACAAGTAGGTTGATAAGAAATTTGTGAATAGTAGGTTCAAAATTTTGTGATACGCAAAGAAGATAGATTAGCTCCAATGCCATTATTTTGATCTCATTGCTTGAAAATCGAACTTGTTGGCATGCAATAGTAAATATCTGCCTGTGCTGTGAGAATAATATTGGATGCTTTTCAAGAGATACTTTCAGTAAAGAGAGTATAAATTTTTGTAGGTCTGTACAAGTTTTCTCAAAAGGAATAGGAATCATACAAATCCTATCTATCTGTTTGTAAAATTTCTTAAATAGTGTTGGTAGAAATAATATTGATAGTCCCGAAGTGTCAACTAACTCAGCATTGTTGTGACAAAAAAACAAATTGATGTCATAGAGCTGAGAAATCATTTTACATAAATCCCCGATAAATTCTGAGTGGATAGAAGGAAAGTGTTGAAACAAAAATTCTTGAAGAACAACCAAAAGGTCTAACAGCTGTTTTGATATCTCGTTAATTTGATGAGTATGAGCAAGTAATCGGAACGAATCTGCAACTAAGAGTATCATCATCGGTTCTCTGAGCAACAGCTGAGACACTAAATCTTTTCCTTTAACGTCCAAAATATTACTAATGATCTCAATCACTACCGATATAGACTCCACATCCTCTTGTTGCAGCTGTTCAATCAGACACTCGGAGAATTTGATGCATGTGAGTATTTGATTAGCGGCTTTAATACTCTTAGTCTCGTCATCAGTAACATAATCCGAAAAATATTCTTGTAGCTGCTTCAAAAACGGAAATCTAATGCTCTTGAATAAGTCTACCTCCGATGATGATGGAGGAACATTATCCACCAGCATGTCGTTTTGTTGTCCATCGAGCATTTTTTTTGCAAATTTGGTTCCTATGAGATCTGGAAGTGCAGGAAACAACTTCAAAAAATTGTGCTTATCAGTTTTTTGTATTCATCTTATCATAACGTTGTTGTAAAGCCTCGTATTCTCGAATGCATAGAATTATTGCATGACTCACTTTTCCAATGTCGGTTCGAATTTCTGAATCAGAAGGTCGTAAAAAATTCATCCCCCAAATGAATGCCAGATTGGACTCGTTCATTCGTGATGATGCTAAACAAGGAGGTTGGGAAACCTTCCTCAATAGCCTTAAAATTCTTATAAATAACGTCCTATTAGGGTCTGGCAGTCTTGCGAATAAATTAAGGAGAGTCTCCTTTTCTTCGTGTGGATTTGGAATGGTGGCAAGAGCTGTCCACTCTCTGTACATATCGTAGGGAATTAAAGCATCTGGTAAATCTCGAACGTATCTCTTCAACACGCTTGCAACTGTATGAACTGAATACTGTTTAAGGTTTAATTGCTGATTGGAATCGGCTGCAGAGATTATCTGTTCAATTTCAAGAATATGACCAGGTATTCGGAAAATTCCCTCTTTCGAAGCATGTTCTTCCAACATGTTCAAGCATTCTTCTACAATTAAGGGTACACGATGAGTAAAATTATTATGATTCGATTTTTCATGCTCAACGGTATGTTGATAAGCCTCCCTTTCAAGCACAACATGTAAATATTCCTTAAATACTCGATGGGTCGATGTGCTATTATTATTAACTTTTCCCTCTTTGAACCCTTCGTTTTTAGAGGGTGATTGAAAGCATGAAATACTCTTTAATAACGACCACAACATGTCTCCGAATCTCGAGTGATGGCAATCACAAAACTTAAAAACAGTGCAGCATAAATTGCTCATAAATTGAAACAAGCTCTTCTCCTCCCAAATAGGATCCTCAATTGAATTCTCTGAATTCCTTCCTTGACGACCCCAACGAATTTGTTTTGGTTTTAAATTTTGATTGTTCGTTTTGATCTTTTTTTCGGCCTTTTCCTGATCCAAGTAAATTTCAATTTGATGTTCTGCTTTGGTATCATTGTTGAAAAACTCTGAATTATATTTTCGTACCTCATGTATATTGAGGTGATGGTTGTTATTGTGGCTGTTGTTTGAGTTAAAAAGAATGTTGGACATCTTTTTTGTTGATGACTCATGAGGGCATTTCGTAAATTTGAGGGGAAAGATCACTGGCACATTTGTATCATTCATCACCAGATCTCAAACACTTGCAACTAGTTGAACAATCAAATTCATTGACATGCGTCATAGTGCACTTTCAAGGTTGAATCATCATCATCACCCATGAATCTCCTCAAGTAGAAGTTGAAGCAAGTTGAAAAAACTCAAAAAAAAGCTCCTCTACCTCCATCGTCATGTCGTCATCTTCACAAGATTCCGAAATGAAACTTGATCAACAACAACAAGTCTCTTCCCATGAAGAAGCAGAACATTCAGAAGAAATCTCTGGACATTTGAAAAAGACAAGATTTCAACCTTCTTTTGAAGAGACGAAACATGCTTGCTACAAAATATTCCATTGCAAGAACATCAAGTACGATGTAAGATCGTTTAGCATCCTTGACAAATTGAACAAGAATAAGGGAGTGTTTGGTTTTATTTGCAAAAGAGATGGTCCTCTCGGAGGAAGCCTTTATGTTGTCAATGTTGGAGGAAAAAGCCTGTATGATGAAAACAGCGCTAACGCTCAAGATATGAGAGAATTAATATTTTGTACTCCAAAACTTCGATATGCTTACAATAAGGATTTTACTGATTTTGTGGACACCTTCGAACACGAAGAACGAATTTCTTCCTATTATCTAAGTGAGAAATGGAACGGAACCAATATTTTATTGTTCAAATACCACGATGCTGAAGGTAATGAATTCATTTCGGGAAAAACTAAAGGCATGCCAACTCTCACTGATTCAAACTTTGGAAATTTCTTGACTTGCACCTTAAATGCATTGCATTTACAAGATTTCATTGGCAAGTATGAAGATTTGTGCTTGAGAGATGAATTGATAAAAATGCACAGCGACCCGAAAAATCCCAATTATATGCCTCATATGGATGAGTTTTTGAATAACAAGGATATTCAAGCCATGTCCTTAGAAATCTGCGGTAACACTTTGCCTCACTTGGTCAAATATGATTTTGCTTTGGATTTGAAACCTCTGTTCTTTGTTCACAAAAGTGGCAAGATAAGACCATGTTTAAAAGTTCGTGGTATGGAAGAATTTGGACCTATGCCATACACTCCATTTGAATCTCATAAGTCTTGCATTAGACTGTGCAGAATGCTTCAAAAAGATAGCTTGGAAAGAAATGAAAATTATAGAAAAAAACACAATCTCAAGCACAAATATGAATATGAGCACTTTGAGGTCGAAGGTCACGTATTATATTTATTAGACGACCATGGATTTGTGGTAAGCAGAAATTCTATTTACAAGGTGAAACCTAGGGATGTTGAAGGTAAGTTGTGAATGCAATAATCATCATATCAGAGCTAACATTTCTCTTAAATTCCAACCATGATTACAGAAGTGCATTGGGAGCAGTTTGACGAAATGAAAAAAGGTCAAGTTCGTGACGCTGTCTTAAAGATGAAACAAAGAGGACTATCTTTGTCAAATGAAGAGGCTCTTAGAAAAGAACTAGACTGTGGGGACAAAGAATGGTCCAAGTTCTCAAGAGAAATATTAGCTTTTATCCAGAAAGAATTTGGAAATGAATCTACAGAAGATCATAACGCAAAAAAGACAACTAGGTCAAAAAAATCAAGAGATAAGAAACAAGCAGTAATTTTAGAGCAAGAAGCACCAGTCACAGCTGCAAGTAAAGAGGTTGTCATTGATGTTGCTACTGAAGTTATTGCATCCTCAACTAACGTGAACTCGCCAACTACTAATGAAAAACAAAAGAGAAATCATCAATCGAGAAACAAGAACAAGGTTCTCTATGTCAAAAAAGAATAAAACGTTCATTCGCGTTTGTGCTTTGCCTGAATGACATGCATTTGTGACAGGGCAAGCTGTCGAGTGTGATCAAAAACAAATCGTTGACTTTGATAACAACAGCATTGCTACTCACCTCTTACCAGAACACTAATTCACTGGTTCGCTTTTCGCGAAAAGAATCACATTCGTATCTGTTGCTATTTAGAAAATCGTAATCAAAAAACAAATGTCATAATGATGATGCAACCGAATAATCAAGCCTATCAGCCATCATCTCCCACACAACCATCTCAAATCCATCATCATCCACAGCAACAGCAGCAACAATTTTCACCACCCTTCTACTATCCTTCTTCAAGATCATCATTATCTTCTTCCATACCACGGAGTGATAACAACTCGACTCAACACAACACTTCGATGATGTACATGAATAGTCCAGCAATGGCCTCTCCCATGGGTTCCACTTCAACAGGGTCTTCTTCTTCCGATTCTGCTCCGAGCTCTCCTTCTCTGGCACAAGAAGGACGAAGCAACAGACCAAGAAGGCTAGCCATGACCAGTAGTACACATCACATGCAACCATTGATTCAGCAAGCACCATACCAACAACACGTAGGCACACCTTACGGAATGATGCAACAAGGTTCCAATCAGTCTCCGAATGCAATGACGCTGATTCATCCTCAACAACAACAACAACAACACTTTTCCAGTCCAAACCATCATGTGCCAATCCTATTACCAACAAATAATAATCATAACAATGGCAATCCCATCCATGCCAACACAACGAACACTACGACTAATGCATTAGTGAACCAACAAAATTCAAACCAAATGGTGGATTCCTTTGTCCTAACGGAAGATGATGAAAGTAGTCATGTAGCTCAACTGCAAAATATTCAACAACAACCACAACAACAACAACACTACAACCCATATTCAAGAAATAATTTAGCATCGAATAGAAGAGATATGGTATCATCGTTTGGAGTTTTGGAAAATGATGACGAAGAAAATTATGATATTGACCAAAACTTTTCTCCTCCTCTCAATCATAATAACGAGTTATTGAAAAACAACGTGAATATTACAACACAAATTGCAAATGATATGATCATGACCGATTCCGATATAGAATTAGATTTTGGGTCATCCTCTCTATTTCAACGGAGGCCTGTAATTCCAGCCCAAAATATGAATGCAAATGTAAAACGTTCAATTTTAGATCCTATTAATGAACGAGCTCCTCAGAAAATAGACTCAGGTCAACATGTGATTAATCATGTTGACTCTTTTGGTCAACTGAATTACTCAAACTCTGAAATTCAACACACGAAACAACCAACCCTCAATGATGACGAAGAGTACGATCTAATGGGACTTTCTGAAATAGGAAAGAAATCGTCTGCAAGTCCTGAAAATCATTATCTGCCCGTTATTTCTCCAAACAATTATTCGCATCACACCAATGTAATTATTAACGGCAATATTGGCCAATATTGTGATTACAATTGGAGTGTAGGTGATGTCATTACTGATATCAAAAATTCAAAATCTTTCAAACTTTTAGAACAATTAGGTGAAGGCTCATTTGGAGCTGTGTTTCGAGTGATTCACGTGGGATCCAATGTACAGTATGCTTTGAAGCGAATTACCATTAACGATTATCAAGAGAAAGAGGTTAAATTAATGATGATGTTGGACCATGAAAATATTGTAAAATATTATGACTCGTTTATGGACAGCAACAAGAGGTATTATTGTATACTAATGGAATATTGTAGTGGAAAGCATTTAGATCATTTCTTGGCAGAGTTGAAAGAAATTAACAATGAGAGCAAGGGCTTAAAAACGGTATCGATGGATGTCAGATTTTTATGGTTTGTCAAACTTCTTGAGGTATTGCATTATCTTCATCAAAATAAGGTCATTCACAGAGGTAAGTATCATTTGGTCATACACAACTCTCTTTTTAAAACTTGGTCTGTTTTAGATCTAAAACCTCAGAATATAATTATCCAATACAATTCTGAAAATCTTAGAAACAACTTTGAACAAGAAATCAGAAAAATCACTTTGAAAATTATTGACTTTGGTCTGGCGAAGCAGCTTGTGCACAAAAATTCTACATCTACCATTTGTGGAACGAGGTATGTATTCACATACATATTACAGGTTCAATACAAACAATTCTTTACAGAGCCTACGTTGCCCCTGAGATTAAACCAGGAGCAGAGTATGATTACAAAGTTGACGTGTACAGTCTGGGTATAATATTCATGCAGTTATCAGCTGGATTAAACGTCAAGGATTTTCAGCAATTAATTGATCAACGAGCACGACGACACAATACTGATTTCTGGTCATTCATGAGGTCAAGCTATTATTTTGACTTTATTCATGATCATGTTTTTGATATAGGAACCAAAAGGATTGTGCAAATGATGGTTTGCTCAAGAGAAGACAGAAAAAGCGCGGCAGAAATTTTAGATCATACTATTATCCAAACGTGGCGATTTATCTTTGAGAATGATTCATCCAAGTTGTTAAATATTTTGAGCAAACCAGAATCAATTTTGGGCTTTTTAAGTGGTCTCGACTCGAACAATGCCTACCTACCAAGGTCCATACTTGGCATGAAAGATTTAATTTCGAATGAAAAATTAAGGTCCAAGTGCTGTGAACTTATTTCCGAATATAAGGTTCTTCCTGTGTTGTTGTTCTATGTCTCGAGGAAATTATTTTCTGAGAACAAGAACCTCCCTGAGCAATCACACACTCCACAACAACAAAAGACATCCGAGATGTTTGATGAAATTTTCAAAAACACTCTCAACATCATTGCAAAAGTGATGATCTATTACGACGGACAGCCCAATAAGGAACGTATCAAACGAATAATACGAGAAATGAGAAATGAAACATCACTACTGCTCGTTGATGACTTGGGACGATACTCGACTACTTGTATACTAAGTTTTATTCATGCCAAAATCTCTACTAACCCTAACTTTTTCTACACACTACCTTGCTTGAGAGTAGTATTTATGCTATGTAAATATGACAAATCAGCCAGAGTTGGTTATTGTATTTGGTTGGAGCGACACAAATCAAAGATTGGGAAAATTGATGAACCTCTCCCCGAAAAGAAGACTGAGCTACTTCGAGGCATTTCAACATATATGTCTTTAATTGAGCCAGGATATTCAACATTATTGTCACTGAACAATTTTGTTGATCCAATATTTGTGGAGGCATTTAATGAAATACCATTTCACCATAGACGACACCATATCAAACAAATATGGAAAAAACTTGGACAATTGTTGACATTGTCATTGGATAAAGGCGATGAAAAGACTGCAGAAAAAGTACTTGGTGTTATGAACAATTTTCTCTATGATTATCACCAATTAGAAAGAATTACCACATATAGTGGTGTCAGCAACACCAAGTTTGCAACGATAACAGGCGACTCAAATATTTGTGGACTGCCCAATTCTACGTATTATTTAATTCCTAATGGAACCTCAACATTTGGACTTGTGAAAAATTATGCCCATGTTGATCGTCAAACATTAATTTATCAATTACTTTGCAATGATTTGAATCCACACGATATTAAGATTTGCAATTTCGATCAACCTCCTTCCAATATTCTCAGCAATGACAAGGAAATTGTGAATGACTTTCTTGGATGTTTCTCTCCTGTTTCTCTCAACCCTGTTGATTTTTCACATTTACTGAATTTACCAGGCTCACCTCTGACAATGGTTGACAACAATCGTACTTTTTATTTTCATTCAAATCGAGCTACCAAGATGGCCATATGCACCAAAGATCCTCTATTTTTCTTTCAACCACAAGGAACTGAACAAAAAATCAAATTTGGTCAATCTCCAAAGAACTTTAAAGACACGTCAAGAAGCTCTACATCCACTATTTTCTATTATGAAGTGCAAATTCATAGGTTGGTATCTTCCAAAATTGCTGTTGGTATTCTTGCAAGATCCTCGATCAATGAAAAGACATGTATTGAGAGAAAATATATTTTTCATGCTCAAGATGGTTTTGTTTTTATTGCTGCAGATCAGAAAGAAATACTGTACAAGGAATTGGAAATTGTAGCACATTGTGGAGACACGATTGGATGCGGATTTACAAATCAAGGAGAGATCTATTTCACATTGAACGGAGTTTTCTTGTTTTTCGCCTCTCTTCATCAACGCATTGCTCATGCCTCAATATTTCCCATGCTAGAGGTTCTCTCCACTCCCAATGATGAATGCTTGTTGCACTACAATTTTGGTGAAAATCTTGAGAGTGAACCTTTTGTTTTTCAACATCAACAGCCACTCGTCAGGGATGCAAGCAAAGAATTATTCTTCCGTGATTCGTTGAGTGTTGTGAAAAAGATTAATTTCCAACAAATCAGCTCGATGGCAAAAGCAAAAGAGTTGCGAAGATGTCTAGAAATGAATTACAGAAAGCTTTCTGAATCTGAATAAATGGGGTGACTTTTATACTCTAATGACTTGTTTGGGAAATTAATGACATTCGCACCTTACAGTTCGGAAAGCGTAAAAATTCCTCGTCAGTCATCAGGGATGTTCTGTGCTTCATAATTCGATTTTCCATTCAGCAACCATTGAACACTGGAGACTATCTTATTTGCCAAAGAGTTCTCCTTAACTGGATGCTACTCGTATGGAGAAGTTGGTGCCCAACCTTGATCCACAAGAATATTGGTATCATAAACAGCATACTCTTTTTCAGTTTCAGCGCTCTCGATACCAATTCCTCCGTTGAAATGCTTGTTCAACTTGTCAAGAAATTCCTTATGCTGTCTGTCGCATTCAGTTTTGGATATTGGAGTAAACCATCTAAATGTCAACAAGTGCCCACAAGGATCGTAGTGCTTTCCAAGAAGATTTTGACTTCTAGCAACCTTCTCATGAATCAACAATTCATCCAAATGTTTCAATTGTTGCACATAATCATCACCCCTTAGATAAATCTTGGTATGATATTCAAAATACTTGACATTATCTCCACTACTATGATCATCATCATTGGATGAAGTATCATTTTCAATATTCTTACAATTGGCCATTGCCTCTAATTTGACTCTCAGCAACTCAAATCCATGTTCTTTGATAATATCTGCCATTTTGAGAATTGTCGTTAAAACATCCGATTTCTTTCCTGAATGATAGCTCGAACTCATCAATTCTTGAGGTCTATTTCTAATAGACTCTATGGGATAATGCTCCTCGCTCGGATACAGGACCAGCACAGGCTTACACTTTAAAGTTTGTCTGCACAATTCTGAAAACTTTTGAACCTGTTCCGATGATGGTTCTTTTCCGTTCCCTTCGTTTTTGACCGTGATATGGCATCCGAATAATCCTGTTATTTCCATCGCTTGTTGTTGACTCAATGCACTTGTTCTATTTTTTTTATAATTTCCAAAGTTCATTGAGAGAGATTTAAAGATTTTCCAATTAAATTTGGAAATTGCACTCTACAGATGTCTATTAATTTATGAAACAAACACGAAAACAGCGGAAGTAAGGTTTCAACCTTAAAATTTGTAAACATGGTGAACTTTTGTTCCGTCATTCAGTATTAATACAATGTGTTTGGATATCATTTATAATGTCTTCGCTCTCGAAAATCTTGAAAACTTGTACAAATCCAATCCTCATGTCGCTAATCCTCAATATCATCATTTCATGTTTCACACAAAATTGCGCACATGCTCTCCAATTATCTGATTTTTACCTTTTTTCCCGAATTACCTCGTTCCACTTTCCATTTCTTGGACTTGACAGATGGCGTGCGTTAAATAAAATTAACATCCAAAAAAAATTTCACACACAGAGACCCCAAGATGACTCGATTGATCGTAGCCACAACCTTGTTACTGGCTCTTCTTGCTTTCGCCTCCTTCACTCAAGCCATTGACTACTCCAAAGTATTGAAGAACTATGTCCAATCTCCAGAGAGTATCTTCTCCTACTCCTTGCTCGCTACCATTCCCACTCCAGTCGCCACTGTCTATGTATTAAACATCACTTCTTTGAGTTGGTTAACCCCAGCAGAAGTTGGAATTAGAAATACCTATTTCCATTATGCCACTGTGGCTGTACCTGCCACTTTGGATCGAACCAAAACTCAAGCTGCTCTCTACATTACAGGTGGAAGTAATACTCAATCTCCTCCTGGACCTGATCCAGTCATTACTCCATTTGCTTTTGCCTCTCAGAGTGTGGGTGTTACTTTGTACGATATTCCTAATCAACCCATGACCTATGCTTCGGATCCAACTCAAGCCATACGAAGTGAGGATGCAATTATTGCATTTGGTTGGGCTCGTTTCTTGAATGATACTACTCAAACTCCATACGTGACTCAATTACCAATGGTTAAGGCTAGTAAGCTTGCTATGGATGCTGTGGTTGATTTTGTCAAGAAGACGATTAATTATGAGATTGAAACTTTTACTGTGATTGGAGGTTCAAAGAGAGGGTAAGTGTGTCAAGTTGTTATGTTGTTGTTGTTTTAACACAAGAGTATGATGATGATGATTCATGGTTGGATATTGTTTGTCATCTTTGAAATTCTCTCATGCATGTAACTGGATGGCCAACATACACGAATCATTATATGTTAAACATTTATGTGTGAACATGATAATCATCATCAACAACAACACTCTTCACACACACACACACAGATGGACCACCTTGTTGCTCGCTGGTGTGGATAATCGTGTCAAGTCCATCATCCCAGCAGTCATTCCAGTCTTTGAAATTAAGAAGGTTTTCGAGAGTGTGTACAACAACTTGTGTGCTTGGCCTGTCGTGATGAAGGATTACGTGTTGGCCAATGTTGTGGACATGTTGTACACTCCAGCTTTTAACAAGTTGTCCAAGATTATTGATCCATCGAATTATTCTCGATTGGGATCTATTCAAAAGTTCCAAGTGTTTGCTTTGGGTGATGAATTCTTTGCTCCGTAAGTAGATAGATAGATTGTAAAGTGTTTTATTCAGAGAGATAATATTTTGAAAAAATTCTATTTTACCTGATTTGGTATTTTTATGGATTTGCTTTTCAATAGAAATCTCAATTCGATTGGTTATGATGAAATTGAAGGTGAAAATTATGTTCGATACATTCCAAACACTGGTCATGCCTTGTCCAATTCCGATGTTTTCCAAGTCATCTTGTCCTATCAAGTTGCTCGTTTGAATAACATGGTCTTACCCAAATACAAATTCTCTCATGAACACGTTGAGGAAGGTGTCATTATCAAACTCAAGGTCACTAATGGTAAATTACCAACCCGTGTCAATGTATGGACTGCCACCAATCCAAATGCTCGTGATTTCAGAACTTATGTTATTGGTGCCAATGTTTGGAATTCCACAGTCATTCAAGAAACTAAACCATTCCATTGGCAAGTATTGATTAGAAATCCACCAAAGGGATATACTGCTGCCACTGTTGAATTGGTCTATGAAAATTATGTCACTTCCAGTGTTCCAGGTGTTGCCATGGCTCCATTGAAGTTCACAACCAATGCCTACGTGACACCAGATACTACTCCTTGCAATATTGGACCAGAGAATCCACCTACTCATAATATGAGTTAAACATTGAACTCGGCTCGATTCGAATCTTGTGAAAATAAAGGTTGTTGTTATTGCAAGTTCACAATTTGTAAAAACACTTTGCAGTCCGAAGGTTACATGAAAATTATTGCAATTTTATTAAAAAAATTCCACGCAAGCTTGATCATCAAAACGCTCGGTTCCGAATCCGAAACCTTTCAGAATTATTCATTGTTGAATTCAAAAAGTATTTAAAACATGACTCAACCACCATCATCTCCAACGGAGGATAATGAAAGCTCGAGTTCAAAATGGAGAAATCATCACTTGTTTGGAGATAAATATTATAGTCCAACGGATCCTCCATTGCTATTGGTTTATGTTTCCGAACCTTTGAAAGAAGGTAAGAGAAATTGTAATAATGATGGACATTCAAGTACTGAAATTTACACAAATATTATGATTGGAATGATCGTAACGAAAAATTAATATCGTCGTGTCAGGATCTGGACTATCGGCAAGAACCACGTATCTTGTAACGACAACCGTTGTTGTAAGTGTGTAAATTTAATTTCAGTACTCACTTTAATGGTTGATTGATTCGTGTGTGCATCCATATATATATATATTTGTGTGTCAATTTGAAAATCATTGAAAAGGCCACTAAAAAATCCTATTGTGTACGAAGGAGGTACAAGGAATTTAAAAAATTATTCGAGGAGGTTACAAAATTAAGAGGAGTTAATTTATCTTCTTTTCCAAAGAAAAAGTTAAAGAGTATGTGTTCAAAAGAAATATTATTGAACTGTTCTGATTGTTAATAATAATTTCCATATACATGATAGAGTTTCACGAGGATGTTATTGAAGAGAGACGTTTGAGTTTTGAGATAATTTTGAGAGAAATGGCTGAATATCACCAGGTGGTTATTAATCCATCTTTTAGAAAATTTGTGGAAGTTCCCCTTAACGTCAACATATTTCCCTCTAACTTTTGCATTAATTCTTATGTGTCACGAAGAAAGACCACTATTTCTCCAAGAGGAGCACCATCTATAACGACAAATACTGTAACTTCTAATAATGCTTCTTCAAGCCAATTGAGTGAAGAAACATCACCAACTGTGACCATCATTTCCAGTCAAATCATTGCTGACACACCAAATAATGACCAAGCTGTGGATCAAGTAATAGTTGAGGCAGATCAATCCATAACTCTAACTCAGCCTGAAGAGTCACAAATTACTGCACCAATTACCAACGAAAACGAATGCACACCAATTGAGGCAAATAATACTTGTGAGGAATCTTCAGGTGAGGCAAATAATTATCAAGAACACAACCAAATCATTTCTCAGCTCTCAGCCGTTCACCTACAGGCTTCTCACAATTCTACAAATACTAGAAAGAGTACCGATATGCCTTACTATCAGCTAAAGATGGAAGCAGGATCATCGAAATTGTTAGATATGAATCCTGAAGAACGAGTTCAAGAAATTTTAAGACAAATCAAATCAGAAACAATGAATTAAAGTCATCGTTTGAAAAAGCGTGGTTGTGTTTCAGGTTTTTTCATCGCCCTTACGATATTTTTCTTGATGAAGTGAGTGAATTGCTGGTCATTAGAGAATTTATAAAATCTAGTTTTCAGCGGAAAACAAAGTAAAATGAGCGCGATTTTTCCAGTTTTCCTCCTGAATTTTATAAGCAACATCTTTTTTTACTGCATATTCAGCAGAAAACAGTTTTCCGCGGAAAACAAAAGAAAACTCTGAATTTAAATTCTCTATTGAAATAAGGGGTAATTTATTAGAGCAATTCAGCAACAAAATCAATATTGGATTCTGACCATGAGGGAGCAGTATTAATAGCATTAATAACTTCGTCACCAGATGTCACTACTGAGAAAAGGTCCATATGCTTTGGATTCATGAACTGTTCTTGGACTGCATTTTTGAATAATTGAATAAGAGGATCGTAATATCCATCAACATTCACAATAACAATGGGTTTGCAATAAATACCAAGCTTCTTCCATGTAATGACTAAATAGAGAAAAAAGATAACGAAATTGCGTTTTCGTTCCAAATTAGCAAATTAGTTTTCATAAATTATCTAATAAACTCCTGCCAGAATACATACCTTCCAATAATTCTTCAAAGGTACCCACTCCACCTGGTAAGGCCACACAAGCATCGGTATCTTCCACCATTTTAGCCTTTCTTTCGTGCATACTTTCCGTAACAATCAATTCGGAAATAAAATTCTGTTCCATATTCCATTGTTTATCAATCATGAATTTTGGAATAACACCAACAACGTGTCCTCCATGCTTCATACATTCATGAGCCACAGTGCCCTAAATATTGTTTAATTCATTTCATCCAACGAATTTAATAACATTCAAATAAAATTAATTTTCAAAATTAATGATGATGTTATTACAGCAATTCTGCTATAATTAATTCAACACAAAACTCACCATCAAGCCCGAGTTTCCACCACCATAACGGACCGAAACCCCATTCTCAGCACAAGCCTTTCCAACTTGCTCTGCGGCAAGAAAATATTTTCTATCCAGCTTGGAACTACTGGCACAGTAGACCACCACGGAACGAGTGGCCTTCACTCTTGGTTGTTGCTCTGGGAAGGAAGATGCAATCACTTGGGAATCTTGTTGAGACATTTTTTCTTTCCGGATTATTGTGCGAAAGCCGAGACCTCCCCTTTACAATCAAAAAGCATCAGATTCATTAAGAAAATACTAAGCATAGGCTTTGATAGATTCTTTGCATTTCAACGCTATGCTGAGATTTATTCTCGACTTTCTATTTATGTTTCGAACGCCTATATGCCTTTAAAACTTTCATGCTACATGTTTCATAATATTTAGCAGCCTCATGGGAATAATTCTTATTTCTCCACTTTTCAAGTTCCTTCTCAGTCTCACTATCGGTGCTGTCATCATCAAAGATGCTGTCTCGGTCCTCTCTTTTCAATTGTTTCCTTTTTCTATCGACCAAAGGATTCAACCATTTACAGTAATCAAGAGAGTGATATATTGTGTTCCCGTTAAATATAAGTCAGTGCTTTCAAGTCAATACTCACTTTTTTACAACATGAGAAGGTCTTGCTTCACACCACTCCTCAAACTTATCCTTCCGGGCAATGGCTTTCAGATTCTTCTTTGATTGTTTCAAAGCGTCCACATAATCCAAATAATCTTTGCAATAGTCTGCACAGTCGACTTGATCTTCTCTTGGCTCTCCGTAAAATTGAAAATATTTGCTCTTGCGGACGTGTTTCATTCGTTGGAGTGTTAGATTTTCCATCACTTGTTCGTCAAAAGTTTTAGGTGTTTGTGAAATGGCATCCCTTAGCTTTTTTCGATGTGCTCGATTATGATGTACAATTTGATTAGGTAACGCATCTCGATCACAGCACCAACAAAAATAGTATTTGCATGATCCTGTTTGTTTGTAGCTTCGTGTCATCACTGCAAAACCACAACAGCTCTTTTTTTACTTTGTACCATTCCATAAGTGAAATATGAAATATCATTCCATAAATAATCGAATGGTGATGTTTCAAAGTCGACCAATAAGTTTCATTCTCTGTCCCACTTGCCTTGGTCTCTCAATTTCTTGACTTCTTCCAATGCCATTACCTTAAGTTGTATGTAATCAATCTTTGCTACACGATTCAATGGCATTGGTTCTTTAAGGAAGACAATATGTGAAGGTCTCTTGTAGGCAGCCATTTCATGACAGGCGCTCAAAATTTCTTTGGCAGTCAAATTAACCTCTGGTTTTAACTCAATAAAGGCGACAATTCCTTCTGAAAATACTTCATGCTCCACTCCAACAACTCCAACTCTTAGAATTTGATCCTTAAAGGAGGATTCAATAAATTCCTCAACCTCAGATGGGAACACTACAGTTGTGAGTGTGAATATGAACATCTATGATGACAATGCATGTACTTACCTTGATAACCCTTTGGCTTGATAATGAATTTTCTTCTCGATGCAAAATGAAGTCCTAACTCGTCATACGATCCTACATCTCCAGTGTACAATACAAAGTCGAATGGATCTTTGCTATCTTTCAATTCAATAGATTTTGGAAGCACTGTTTGCTTCATAATCTCCTCAATTTCCTTGTTAGAATCAGCGCCATGATATCCAACAAAGACTTGTGGTCCAGAAAAACAAACTTCACCAACTTGGGATGCTGGTTTTTCATCACCAGCCACCCAAATTCCATTCACTTGCTTTGGGGGTTCTCGAATGGAGATTGGGCAAAGAGGTGAATCGTATCCAATGCTGGCCATAATATCTTGTACGCTTGAGCCTTATCAAATATAAGCAATAATTGTTAAATGTCATTGCAGAACTTGGTATTCTACAAACCTATGCTTGTATAGGTACAGAACCCAGCAGTCTCTGTAAGGCCAAGTCCAGAAGAAATATAGGGAGCCATCGTTTGCATCTTTCCTAAAAATTGAGATGTTACGGCTTGGCCACCATAGATTGCAAGCTTTAAACTACTCAAATCATATTTTGAATAGTTTGGAAGTCTCCATTGCAATTGAAATAGAGCAGGAATTTGTCCTAAAGCGTTCACTCTGGTAAATTTCAATAAGAGAAAATAGTAATGTTGGAAGCCATGAATTTAAATACCAATCACACACTTACTTGTACTTTTCTATTGCTTGTAAACTCTTTTCTGCGTCGAAAATATGCAAAATGACACTAATACCTCCAAAGTAGATTGTTGTAAAGAATTGTTCAGTAAAACAACCCACGTGTGAAGGTGGAAGATTGCACAACATGATTAACTCTTCAGATGGATCAGCCCAACTATCGAAAAATGCACGCTTAATACCAATATTTTGAATGAGAATGTTCTCATGTGAGAGTTTTGCAGCCTTAAATACAATATACAATCGAACTACAAAATTCATCATTGCTTACAAACCTTTGGATTTCCTTTTGAAAGATATTGAAATTACTTTGGTGTTGAATTCAATAAATTGAGAACCTACCAGTACTTCCTGTTGTGAAAATAATAACACAAGGATCCTTAGGAGAAACATTTTGCTCATACCACGAAACGCCAAAGCCAAACATTGACTTCAATAAGTTCATAACATATAGCTTCTTAACATTGGCAACAAAATCTAAAATTCCAATAGCACCATCAATAATTTGATCACTTTCTTTTTGGAACTGAATCCAATGAGTAATACTTTTCTGTGAAGAGTTCGTGGTCTCATCCTCATCCTTTTTAAATTGTTTCATTAAGTTTTTAACCATAGGACGAAAGTCTGTAACAGGTGTGTTTCCCAAAAAGAAGTACATTTTTGGCTTTATAGCCTCAAAGCATTTTGCAATTTCATGTTCCTTCAACCGTAAGTCCAGTGGAGCAATAATAGCACCTAGTCTCATGCAAGCAAAGATTAAATAAATATGTTCTTTCAAAAAGGGCAATGAAGTGGCAATAATATCTCCTTTCTGTACTCCACATTCCAATAACTTGGCACTAAAGGCAACAGAAGACTGTTGTAATTGCTTCCAAGTTACATCTTCATTCGTATTGAACTCTCGGAGTGCAAATTTGGATCCTTTGCTCGAACCAGCGTGGTAGTCCACTAAATCAAATAATCTCATCAATTTAACTCGTTCATATTCACGTATCGTTGCTTGTCTAAAACTTTCATCCTTGAAAGAAGGAACCGAAGATGATGCTGGCAACGATGATGTTGAAGTTTGTTTGGACATTTTTTAAAAATCGCAAAGTTTGTCCAGGAGAAAACCTCTGATTGCAATGATGGAAAAAAAAGAACGCACAAAATGAGCGAAATAAGAAATCGTACATGGTTCATGAAATTAGAGGTTAAAACATTCTTACAATAACGATTAGGGAATTGAGGCTGAAACGTTCTCATAATAACCTACAGTACAAAAAAAATGTCTGCAACCAATTCATGGCCATCAGAAAATCATGTGTGGTACTGTTCCTATGGATCCAATTGTAATATGGAACGTTTTTCGGTCTATTTGAATGGTGGAAAACCCATCGGAAGTTCTTTGAACGCTCCGATCATGAGTGGATGTAGGATATCTTCTCCTCCTCTACAATCACAGCCTATTCTTTTAAAAGAATGTAAAATGATATTTTCAAGAGTTTCTCGGACATGGCACGGAGGAGGCGTTTGTTTTGTCAGGAAAAATCATAGAGATGCTCCTTTTATTTGTGGTGATGATATTTATAATAATTTCGAAAATTGTAAAAACAAATCTAGATTTGAGAATAGTTGTAATTGTATCATATCTTCCGAAAGTGATTTTAATGTACATGATGATCACGTGTTGGGTAGAATACACAAAATTATGTGGACTCAATTTGTGGATGTTGTTTCACAAGAGAATGGATGTTTGGATTGCAAACTCGAAGGTAGAAATCATATTCAACAGCAATTAGATGATCACTATGAAGATATAATTTCTAAACTACGAGCAACTGGAGAATTCAAATTATTTGACACGTGGTATGGCAATATTGTATTAATTGGTTTTCATCCTCAAGACGGGTGTCCCGTAATAACATTTACAACGAGCACTTTTGAGCAAGAAGTGATCAATAAGGCTCACGAATCTTATTTAAAGACAGTCGCAGTAGGAATTATGGAGGTATTTGGAATTTGTGAAAAGCAATGTGCCCTGTACTTTCTGTCCAAGAAGGGTGTGAAAGATTTTTATTCATTAAGCGAGTTGTCACTCAAACTGTGCTAACCCTTGCAACGTGCAAGTAAATGAATTGTCAAGTTACATGTTTTTTGAAGCAAATAATCAACACAAGTTTATTCCTTGTACGAGTCTTTTCTAACATAGAAAAGTACATAGTTGGAGTGAGACTTGATACTCTCAGGGTTACTAATCTCCGAAACTCTGCTATCGTCGAATTTATACCATTTTCCATTCAAGTGATGACGAGCACAACAAGTATAGTGACCACCACCCAAACCTCCGAAATGATCCGAAATTGCATACAAGTCATACTTGAGATTGTTATCCTTACAGTGTACATAACTGGACAAATCAAAATCTTGGATTGGGAAATCAATAAAACGGTCAATCTTATCTCTACTGTAAGTTGTGAAAGAGAAACGTTTCAAGTGCACAACCAATACATCTGGAACTTTCCAAATGTCAAACTTTTTAGTTGCTTGGACGTGATCTTTGCAAGTTGGACAATACCAGGTATCGTTAGCACTAAGTTTTTCCTTGCTCGTGAAGGCTTCTAAACATTGATAAATGGAACAACCTTCACCGCTGCTAACTTTTTGGCTTAAAGACGGATGTTCTTTGAACTGTGGTAGTGCAACGTAATCAAGTAACTGCCTCTTGTGTTTGGTAGGGATATGCATGAAAATGGTTTTTCTTGATGTTTTTCCATAAATATTTGGTCGTTCAACTGGTGGAATAAATACGGAATCGTCACATGGAATGACACCATCAAGAGTGTCCTCATTAAAACGAGTGAAGTTCTCTCCATCAGACAAATAAAACATGGAGTTCAATGATTCATCAACAGTCGCTGTTCGGTCATATGCATTTTTCTTGATTTCTTCAATCTTTTGCTTGGTTGGAAATAGGTCATAAATGTTCAAATTGTTCTGCTTGATATTTTCCATAGCAGTATTAAGAAAATCTTTTGAGAAATAGCGAAGCATGTAATAGAAGCAGTACTCATAAACGTCTGCATTGGTTGGATAATCTACTTCTTGGCCCTCTTGTGCCTTAGCCTCATATATATTTCCCAAAGGTATCACAAAAGGACAGCCAATTTGCTCAAATTGTCTTTCGTAAGAAGTAAGCTTAACTTGCAAGAATGGTAATTGCTGAGAGCTAGAGGATCCATAGGAATGTCTACTGGAATATAGAGCATGAACGTTAGGAGGTAGAGAGAGTAATCTTTCAAAAGATTTTCCTGTGAAAACCCATTCGTTATATTTCAAATCTGAAATCTTTGGCATAATTTGGCAATGCAATGTATCATTTTCCAAAATTCCATTGATAGGATCGTTATCTGAAAGGAACTTGTAGACCTTGTTGTTAAATATTTCGTAAATAAGACATCTATCATGATCTTCTTTTGGATTAAACCCTAATTGTTCCAAAACAGCGTCTCTAAGCTCTGACACAGCTCCATGCTTGTTAACAATGCAAGATACTTTGATTGGCATGTTGCTTATCTTGGTGTTATCATTTTCCACGGTTTGTTCGATTTCATATGGATAGGTGGAGTTTAGGAACACTAAAAATGAAATCTTTCTATTTTTCTCAACTGGAATGGGCAACGTTAAATACATGAATGGATCAAATATAATGGATACATTGTCACACTTTGGACAGTGGAGGGTTGACTTCAATTGACCTTGGAATTTGTCTACAATAATAGAATTGTTACGAAGTTTGTGAGTATCCCATGATTCTTTTGCAACAACGGCATCCTCTCTTCCTTTTGCTTCGACAGGAGTTGTAGCTGGTTTGTCTTTAACTCTGTTCAAGTCCTCATGAAGGCCATCCAGTAAGAAGGAAATCAATTCTTGAGAATCTTGTTGTTGGTAGCCTGCAAATTGAGGAGCATACTTTCCAATGACACGTTTAAAGTCAATAGGAGAAACGTAAGAATGCTCACCTGACCACATTTCCTTCATTAAATTACCAAAAGCAATGGCCATAGCTCCTCCCATACCCAAAACATTTGTTTTGTTAATTTCGCTCACATAGTGGTCATGAACAAAGTACTCGTAGAAAACTGGTGTATGTGTGAGGCACTGCAAGCCACTGTTCATGAAGCATGTATTACCAAGATTTGCCAGACCACAAGCTCCTGGAGTTTCGTAGCTCATTTTTCTTCTTTCTTGAGCAGTCTTTCCCGTAATTTGAATACGAGAGCTACTGGCTGTTCTCATAGCGTTGGTGTGTGATTCTTCGAGAGATGAAGTATCGATTGACCATTTTGGTCCGACTTCAATGATGAATCTTTGGCCAACTTTTCGTTCCAACAAATTTTCCAACGTTTCATCCCTGAGCATGGATACATTAACTTCTTCGGATGGAGAGTCCATAATTGCCTTCCATAATTTACACTCCTTGTTTTGCAAATTGAAGTCTCTTTTCACTTTGTCAAACACTTCATCAATGGTATCATTCTTTGAGAATTCATAGTCAACCCATTCCAGTTCATTGACATTTTCGTTAGCAACGACAGCAACCGATATTTCGAATGGATAAACTTCAACCATATATGATATTCTGATGGCATCCTTGTTGACAATTACTGTTTTTCTTGGAAAAGCTGGACCACCTCCAAAACTACACGGTTTCATTACATGTTCACAAAAAGATCAAACGGAAATGAACTTACTATCTTATAAATAAATTCCAAATTTCTTCTGGAACAATATCATAATCTTCTTGTTCTTGTAGTCCATCTTTGAGTCGAGGATTTTGAGGATCCGTACTCTCTGTAGAAATCAAGGGACTATTATCGATAGGTCCGGGAGAGCAATGAGTAGATTCAATTTTCATCAAAGCGGCAACCCACTTTGCTTCTACAATGTACCAAGTTTCACCTTCGCGAGTTGGCATGGAGTGTAGTTGTATTAATCTTTGGAATTCATTGTAAAAATTTGCAAAGGAGAAGGAAGTGGAAGGTGATGATGATTGTTGATCATCTTCGTCGGTATTCATGGCATCCGAGTGATCAGAGTTTCCCATCTTTCCAACAGTGTGTTCCAGTCCTTCATGGTTGTTGGTCTCTGCAGAGATTTGCACTTCATCATCCATCTTGTTGTTATCAACCCCAGATGGGTGAGGAGCAGACGTATCATCGTTATGTTCAGAGGCCATTTTTTTTTAGAACAAAAAGCCTTCGATAAAGACAACATGTTGGACCGAACTTGTCCTCGACAAGGTAGCAATCAAGACAGTCGGCCGCCATCAACCCATTTTGACGTCTGGGTAACTCTGATTCGAAGAATTTGCCACAATATCCAACTCGCAGCATTCGAATTAAATTTACTGAAATCCTAATAATCTTTGTAAGATGATTTCATTCTTTTTTTGAGTCTCGAGACTTCTTGGAAATATGTCTTTCAATTAGTTCAATACGGGACGAATGGATACTTCTTCTGCTACCAACTCTTTAACACCAGTTCCATCGTTGAGCTCGACTAATAAATTACCAAATTTTGAAATACCAACAGCTTTGGCCGAATAAGGTGCAGTCTTTGAATCTGATGGAATGACTGTCACCTCCTTTCCAAGAAGAATATCATTGGCCTTATACAAGACTAAAACTTCCTTTTGATTGAACCCTAACAAAGCTTCCAAAGTATTGCAGAAGTGAGCTAAAAACTTTTCTCGATCAACGGTCTTATTAGTCTCATCAAAGTAAGATGTTGCAATATTTGAAAGTTGAGTCTTCTCTTCCACTGCTTGACTTGTGCTGTTCGCAAACGACTGATTGAGGTTAATACCAACTCCTGCCAATCCAAATAAAGATTCTCCTGTTTGTACACTATCAATAAGCATTCCACTGATCTTTTTTGCGTTACTACTTGTTGATTGTTCAGGAATGACCCATACATCATTGGGCCATTTGATACCACATGTTTTTAGCCCTTCCTCTTTTAATGTGAGAGTAACAGCCAATGGAATTGCCAAGTTAAGCTTGATCAATTCCGAAGCCTTCTCCATATTTAAATGAAATACGATCGTGAAATATAAACTCTTTCCTTTTCCTTCACTGGTCCATGCTCTTCCTTTTCTTCCTCTTCCTTTTGTTTGTTCTTCTGCAAGAATGAGAGTACCAGTAGGACACTTCTCTTCAGCTTGTGATTTTGCGGTGTCCATGGTTGACTCGACTTGTTCCCGATACACTAAACTTCGACCAATGTTTTTTGTTTTGAGTAATTCTTGAAATCTAGAGATGGAGAAGGCAAGTTCTGAAGGACATTGTGTATAATATTGTTCCATTTTTTTGTAATAATTGTTGTAATATGATGATTATTAATTTTGTTCAAATCTCAATTGTTTCAAGAAAGAAAAATCACGAACCTTTAGGATCATCATGTGATGTAGAATAAGAGAAGAATCTTCTAGAAAAAGATCTCAAAGAGCTTTCGAATAAGTTGCCATTCAGGTACGAACCAACAAATAAAGAGTTTCTACATTTCGAGCTCGAAGAGTTAAAACAAGAAAAGGCAATTAATTTCCTCATGACCTGTTCAATGTTTCAAGATAATTTTTTGAATCAAACATGATAGTTAAAGACCAACAACAAATGTGTCTTGATTATTCTATAATTTATTGGCTGTTTCTGAGATTATTGAGGGCGTTAGCAAACTTGTTGGCATGTGACTTTTCAGCCTTAGCAAGAGTCTCAAACCATTCAGCAACATCATCGAAGCCTTCATTTCTAGCAGTCTTTGCAAATCCAGGATACTATTTGATTCCAATATTGAAAAGTTAGGAAATTGGATGACGTTGAAATGATTGGTCATAATATGGTTATCAATTTCTTCGAAGAATATTACTCACCATTGAAGTATATTCGTGGGTCTCTCCAGCAATAGCTGAGATCAAGTTGCTTTCAGTATCGCCGATTGGTTCTCCTGTGGCTGGATCTCCGACTTCTTCCAAAAATTCTGTTTTCGGTGTTATTAATTCAATAATACGAGAAATTAATCCGTTCAATATTCCGTATTGATGATAATTCGTAAATAATAACAATATTATTTGTCAAAATGAGCAAGTAAAAGTATCCATATTTTCCAAAGTACGAGTCGTCATCATCATATCCACATGTGAGTTTGAATTCAATAAAACATGATTAGCAATAATTATTGTTGTGTGATGAATATATATATATTTCACAAGTTTCTCACTCTCTTCAATACGTACCAAGATGTCCAAAAGCGTGAGCAGTTTCACCATCAGCAGTTGATCTGAACAAACTAGCAATATCACTATGTCCTTCAACATCAGCTCTATGAGATGATGATCCATCACATTCCGACCCTTTCCAAACAACACCACTTACCTATCAGCAAAGAAAAGATATCTTCTGTTTGCTTGGGACTCACCAGCAAAAGCTTCCTTCAAGTTATTATGAGTCTTGGTTCCCTTCAACTCACTGTACATTCTCATGGAAGATGCAGTGGTTGTGTTCTTGGAGAGTGCAGTCGTGGAGGTCTTGGAAACTTTGGAGATGGAGTGGCGCAACATTTTTTTTTAAGAAGCCGATGAAGGGCGTAAGAATCCATGCAAAATTGTTGCAGCAACGAGCCCGTGTTTTATTGTTGATGTTTTGAATCGCAGCGAAGAGAGGACTCACGTGATCACACTTCTTCTTCACTGCATGGCTGTGGTGTGTCTGATGAGGATTTGCAACATTAGTAATAGTTCTGAGAGAATAATTATTCTGAGCTCTGTGCTTTGGAAAGATGGATGGACATTCTATTGGTAGATGGAACAGAATTCGTTGGAAGAGCAGTGAGCTGACGGGAGGCTCTCTTATAATTTGCAACCATTTCTCTCACTTCCTTATTGCTTGCTTTCAATCTCTCAAAAACGTCAATCATGTTATTTAGACATAATATCTTAATATCTTCAAATAAATCTCGTGAAGGTACAGAGGAGTCAGAAATGATTTTCAACAAAATGTCATGTTTTTGTTCTAGACCAGAAATGTTCAATTCTAGAGGAGCTCCTGATTTTAAATACTTGTTCAATAGGGAGAGAGCAAATTTCTTTCTGTTTCTACTCGACATCTTTTTGTATTTTTCAAAATCTTGATAGGCCAATATATCTTCAGCACAGTAACTTCGTGTTGCTGTTATTATTCATTTACATCAATAATTCGTGTATTAAGGTCAAGTAATAATGATAAACAATTAGAAATATTAATACCTTGTATGTGTTGTACCTACCAAAATCTAGTAATAATCCAAAGGCCTTCTTATTTTTCAAAAGCAATTCCACTTCACTGTCGCCATACGTGCCTTTTTCTCTTCTGTCATGTGAAATTGCATAACACACTGGCAACACTACAGATATGAAAACTTCAACAAGTGAATAGGTCAGCAACGTGAAACCATAGGGGACAAAGTAATCTGTCAGGAATCGTATGACTTCAATTTGTCCACAGATTAAATATGCCAATGCAGTGCCAATTTGAATCAACAACAATACAAAGGTTTCTTTCTTGATTCCCCAAGTGTCTCGATCTGCAAAGAAGAACATGATGATAAAAACAATTTCTACGACAATATAGAAGAAAGCTTCTGCCGCCAATAAGAAAACAGTATTGGTATTTGTCACACATCCCGTGTCAAAAACAAACATTCCAACATTCCACAAGAAGACATGTTTTCCACTTTGTTGATATGCTGCCTCGTCAGCTCCTCCAAAAATCGCCCAAATTGCCAAATGGACAAAAAATATAATAGCATAAAGAGCAAGTATGAATTTGTAGCTCACTAATCCTCTGAATAGTTTCAATTTTTTCATTTCAATGTTATTCTGTGAAATTTCCGAGTCGAGTTCATTAGTAAACCATGAACGAGAGTCTTCATCAATGGAGTCAGATTCATCGGTTTTTGTTTCAATCGTATCTCTATCTTTAGATGTAGTGTCATTAGGATGATGTTCGATGGAAATATCTTTCATTTCCACAGCAGCAGTTAATGATCCTTGTTGATCCAGCACATTTCCAAACAAGTTTTGCTGATATTGTTGATTATTACTAGCAATCTCATTCTTTGAGGAACAACTTGCTTCAGAATTTAAATCTGTGACTCCATTTTCATTCGTGTGAGCCAAATGAATCATGTTTGTAGTGTCGTTCGTCGTATTCGAGTTGGTGTTCGAATTGGTTGTGACCTCGCTTACTGGTGCATGATGATTCTGACCAGAGACACCGGTGATTCAATTCATCACCACCACCCATGTGTGGCAATGGTGCATTCTCTGGATTGGTACTATTGGTCATGGATGGCAGCAATGATGTTGTTTTAATGGTCAATCGTGTCCGTGAATTGGTTTGACTTGTGGATGCATCGGCAGGTTTGGTCACAGATTTTCTTTTGGCTTCAAACATGGTCGTTTTTTGAGTACTCAACTAGTCGTATTATTTAGGGTTGTGTTCAGATGATTTTGGAATTTCAATGTGTTCACGTGAGTATTGGAGATGATTATGGAATTTCAATGTGAAATGTCATGACATACCTTATACATGAAGAAGATTCGAATGCATCTTACAATGGTTGGCAACCCAATCGCTGGCGGGATGATAAAGAATGATATCGTGTACAGAATACATGGATAGACTTTCCGACCTGCAAACGGTGTAATTTTGAGAATATTTTCGTATTTGATAAATAAATATATTGCGAATGGGTAGAGAGCAGAGATATTTCACAAAACGGATGATGTTCACATCAAAAGAAGATAGGTGTACACAATTAAAAAATCATTCCTCTCGCAAATATACCTACCGACAATAAATCGCAAACAATTCAACACCACAAAAAACAAACTAGCCAACACAGTTAAAATCATATACACTGGATTTCTCGCTTTCACATGTCCACTTTTTCGTTTCCACATCACTCCCAGAACACCCATCAACACGACACACAAATAGATCAATAAAAACACTCCCGACACAATGGGCGTGAATATCGAATCAGGACAAATGTTATTAATCACACTTGCATTGTAACCTTCTCGAGAGAGAGGTCCTAATTTGAACAATCGATAGTCACAAATTGGTGATGAATTGGTAGGAACGTTAGAAGAGGAATTATTTAAAATTTGAAGAAGGGTGGTCGGAATGGAATGGATGGATGATTCTGGTGGCATCAAGTTGTAATATGATTGTGAAGATTGGAAAGAATGAAGGAATACATTATTATTTGTATTCCATTCTTGGTTGAATGGAGATGATGAAGGGATGAAAGAAGCATTGGAAAGAAATTGATAAAGTGCATGAGGGATGTGTCGAATCGATGAGTGATGATTGTCGTCGACGAGATGCGAAAGTGGTGGATTCCAAAACGTGTTGAGTAGATTTAGAAAGGAGGAGAGAAATGAGTCGATGAGCATTGTAATGAGTCCAATAATGAATGAACTGTTGTGGATGGACAATGATGACTAAGACCTCTTGGTATTTCAGAGAGTGCAAGTAGTGTGCTGGTATTTTTTAGAGTGTGCGAGAGCGAACATCGGCAAGTAATGTCACTTGTCAGATACAATTACGCTCGAGATGCTGATTATTTGGGCAATGCTTTTTCTTTCTGAATAAGCAATCAACAAGTCATTATTGATTCCTGTTTTACTAATGGTATTTGAAGCTCAAACGTTGTATCTCGTCACTTGGTTTAATCAACCAAATTATAAACGTAAACTTCCATCACAATCCATCCAATGAAACAGCCTTATCATTGCATTTCTCGCTTCAGGAAAATAGTATTCAAAGAATGGATAAATATGAGGCATCATTGCATCTCGCATGACTTGAAGATTAAAATGTTGATTCTTCATCAATAATTGTACCAATAATTCATTTTCAAAAGTAACTTCCTCATCTTTTGAAAAAACCATCAACCATTTCGTAGAGAATAATCGAGTGGTTGTTAGGTCCATTATTTGTTGGCTATTATTCGTTGTATCAGAATTGAAATGTTCAAAATGCATTCGAAATGTAGAGAGAACCGATGAATCTCCTAATTCATTCTCATTCCTTAATAATGAAGAAGGAATCCATGCATTGGACGTATGACGATCATCATAACAGTGTTTCGTAATATTCATCACATAGCGAGAACACATGAGAGTATTTCTTTCATTCATCGTTTCAAATGCACTCTTCATACTAAAGTCATAACATCCTGAAATGAGAATGATGGAAGATGGTTGGATATTGTTTGGGATCTGAAGCCAATTTCAGTAAAAACCATGCAGCCAATGCAGCACCAAATGAATCTCCCATGACCACTATTTGTTCTGGTCTAAATACAGGGAGTGATCTTTCTTGTGAATTTACATGGAGATTCTCTGAAATTAACCATAAATACGCTTGCAGGACATCATGAATTTGATCTTCAAGATTGGAGGCATAGTGAGATGAATTTTTACGTTCGTGCTCTTCGAGACCCATTAATCGATAATTCACTGATAACATGTGCGTGAGAGGAGTGTGTCGATTGGAACAAGAGATTGCAACATTCTCATGTTTTGAAAATTCTTGAAATTGTTCCAAATATACATGTTCTGCAATAGAAGAGGCTTGCCATCCATCTTGTTGACCACCGTAACCTCCTCCACCATGAATGAGAAGCAGAATTTTCTCATCTTTGAAAGGTACACTTGCTTTCCATGTTGGTGGTCTTTTAAATTTCACATACAATGCATTTCGTATGGAAGGTAAATATTCCAGTCGTTCAATAATGCATCATTTCGTTTGGAGGTGATTGGAGGAGCCATCGATCGAATTGAATCTCTGACTTCGATGGCATTCTTGTAGTGATGATTGGCAATTCCGAATCGGAGAATGTTGAACATTGTTTTTGCTTCGAGTGACACTTCATTCCAATGTTTAGAGTAGATACCCATAAGAGAGCTCTCTGGATTCCCTTCTTTCATTCCCAACAGGAGTTTCGGAGGAGTATGACATGGAAAAAAAGTCTCAGAAAAAACACTTCGAATGTGTAATGGGTGTGAATGTAGGAGAGTGCAATGCTGAACAACAAGAAGAGAAGAGCTACAAGTATTACAAAAGAAAGGCGCATCTTGTTATTGTGGGATGAATTTTTTATGGTTGACCATTTTGATTGTGTTGAGAGCAATTCGTATTTTGATCTAATTGATTAGGTTGAAATCTTGCTTCACAACCCAAATGATTTGTCTGATTATGATGGTTCATGCTCCAATTTCCGCAATAAACTCCATATCGTCATGGTCAAGATATTGACTTGACAGTTATCACTTATTGGAGGTCAGAGCGTTACAACAAGAGCTCAAAAATAAAGAGAAGATTTTGTCGATTGATTCATGAACAGTCCGCAATTTTTCAATTCTTCTTCGGCTGCCTCAAATAACAGATGTGAAGTTAGCACTTTGTTTTCATCTTTGCTTTCCATAACAGCCCTGGAACAAGCTCTGAATATACAATTTTCAATGTTGCTTCCACTGAATTCTGAATATCGTTCAGATAGCTCGTCATAATCTGTTTCTGAAATGGATTTTGGGACTCGTTGAGGAATTAGATTTCTCCATAATTGTTTCCTTTCATTGGCAGAAGGATTCGAAAATTCCAAAACAAATTTAAATCTTCTAATCAGTGAGCTATCAAGAGATGACAATGACGAAGCAATCATGATTACTGTTCCATCAAAGTGTTCCAAATGATTTAAAATGATTCTTACAGACTTATCCAATTGAGAACCATGAGAGTCTGAATCTGAAGCACACTCCAAGACCAATAATGCTCCTGTATCTTTACATTCCTTAAATAGGGTTTCAATATTTTTAGTTGTGTTGAAACTGTACTTGGTCATTAATTCATTGATATCTATAACCTTCATTGGTTGACCAATTTCGTAGCTAATTACTTCTGAGGCCAACGACTTTCCCACACCTGATGGGCCTACAATGAGAACAGTGGTTCCCTGTTTTTTAACAATCGAGTTCTCGAAACCCCATTGATTGAATAAAATTTTTCTAGATTTTTCGAAGGTGATCACTTGCTTCACTCGATTCTTTAAACTCTCAGGAATTATTAAATCCGAGAGACCTCGTTTTGGAATAATTTTACGTTCAAAATCATTCAATTTTAAGTATCCTTTCAGTTGAAATTGGCATGCTTTGTGAAGATCAGCATGGCATATAACTGGTTTTGTGCATCTCTTGCAACTGCAAAAGATAAAGCAGTAAGAATTGCATTCTTGATAAGTCCTCCTGTAATTTCAAAATCCAGTGATAATTGATCAAAGTCTACATCTTCAGCAAGTTGAGCACGGGAAGGAATGTGTTTTCTCCAAATCTGTTTTCGCAATAATGAATCTGGTGATTTAAATTCTACAGCAAGAGTAATTCTACGGTACATTGCTTCATCAAGTTCGTATTGTCGGTTTGTTGCTAAAACAATAAGGCCATCGAATTTCTCAATTTCTGTTAATAGGGCAGTGACATCAGAATTTGATTTTTTACGAGATTCAAAGAACTGATCACATTCATCGAAAAATAGCAAAGCATCGTTGATTTTTGCTTCACGAAAGACGTACTTGAGAATATCTCCCTTTTGTTCTGACATGTTTGAAAAGTTAACAAGTAGCATCTTCTTTCCAATGTAGTTAGCAAGCGCATTCGATGTTAAGGTTTTACCAGTTCCTGAAGCTCCATAAAACAGCATGACAATTGAATTGCCGTAGGTGATGATATCTTCAAATCCTAATTGTTTTCTGACCTTTTTGAATTTTTCGAAATTGGATACTGTGTCAACAATTAATTGCTTTTGTGTGTCTGGTAAAATCACATTTTCCAGCTTGACTTTGGGATAGAATAAATGAGATCCTTCCACAACATGAGAAAATTCCAAATCAAGGCCACACAAGTAGTCCAACATTCTTCTATCAATATCAACCGAGCATTCCATCAAGTCGTCGCTCAGCTTGTCTGAAAGGCGTATCATGCAGTCTGAAATAAGCTTTGATTGTTTGTAAAAATAGGATCTATGAGAAATTCTGCTTTGTAAGTCGTCACACAACACCCATAAAATGTAACCAACATTAAAGCTCGTATTGTAATGAATACGATGTGATGAATTTGCAGCCATTATGACTTCCAAGCAGATGATAGAACTTGTGCACATGATGAGAACCCATTTTTCAAAATCATCAAGTCCTCTCATTTGTGCAAGCTTTTCTAACCTTGGAACGATTGTTGTTTGTTTCATTCTCTTCTCACATTTTCCCAATAATAGTCTACATTTGCTCTGAGCTCACGGATCACGCTTTCTTGGCTTCTGGTCCGAGAAACTTTGTACGTATCATCATTCTCTTCTGTGATTTTTTCAATCTCTGCATTTCTTAAGCGGATTTTAGCACATATATATTGAAACCTGTCATCCAAGTATTCAATGTCATCAGCGTAGGGTGCTAGAAAATCTTCTTCATTCTTGTTGGTTTGGATTTCCTTAGTGGGGTTGGTATTGTCACTTTTTTTGTCCTTTTGCATAAATTCATAAACATCAAACTCGCTGTCATCACCTATTTCTGCTTGTAATTTCTTGAGTTCATCGTCTACTTCATTGTCATCAATTTCAATCTCTTCACTTTCATTATCTACATCACTTGAGGGAGACTTTGGATGTGTGGTAATACCTGGCAACACAAAACTTTCTTCTTCCAACAAAATTTCAGATAATTTGGTTTTGTCAATTTTTAAAAACTCTTCAGCCGTTAATGTGATTCCAACAAGAGCGTTGATGCATTCTGTTGGCATCTTTACACAATAGGAAGAAATAGTGTCCTTATAACTTGAGTCTATAACAACAAGTCCTTGTTGAATGTGAAGACGATCTTGTCCCATAAATTTAAGAGCTTCTTTTGTGTTCATGTTGGCAGCACGTGTCATGGCTGATACAGTCATGGAAGCAGATGCTCCATGATCGATGATTGATTCTAAAAGACTACTTGACTGACAAACCATAACATACGCAAACGCCATGAATTCTTTGTTTGAAAGCTCTAATTGATCGCAAAGTCTAATAATTCTCGGAACGTTCTCCGAAGTAGTGGAGCCTAAATATTCTTTTGAATGATAAAGTTCATACTTGTGTTGAATCATGTCATATATGAAATGTTTTGCTCTGTCAAATTCCTTTAGAATTGAATGCATTCGAAGGGTTGAATCTTTATCCTCCTTCTCCACCATAGCAGTAAGTACTGTTGATTGCATACGAGAGCACACTGCTTCTGCTTGCAACAGGACTATAAAATAATATTCCAATAATTGAAACAGCTCTAAATTTAATGCTCGGAAATCTTTGTGTGTATTCTCATGATGATCATTATGTAATAATTTTTGATCACATTTGTCATTAAATCCGTGTTCAAATAAAAAATCTGAAATTTGCTTTGGAAAATACAAGCCAACGAACTGCAAGGACATTTTTTTGTTGAAATAAATTGGAATCTTTCTGTGCTTAACCTTGCAGGCAACAACAACAAAGTGCCTGGTTCATTGGATAAAGATCGTATGATTAAAACAAATTTTCAAACCGCCCCGGTCAAGAAATATTTCAAATGGATAAAACGTTAAAAACCAAACAGCAATCCTTAACCGCCATTTTTATTACAGGCTTTTACAAAAAAAATGAGCAGCTTTTCAACACCAAAGAAGCCTGGAATGCCATCTTCGACAGCTTCATTGTACAGCTCTTCTTCCGCATCAAGTGTAACAGGTGCTTCACCATCCACGCAAGGGGTACAACCTTCATCATCACCTGGAAGTGGAAATGTAAATACATTGCTCACCGGGATTGATTTCAAAGCTATTGAAGATATGGATCCATCTCTAGCTGAAGGACATCGAGTGATATTTGATAAGGAAATACCCATTGAATTACGTACACAAGATCAGAATGAATCTGAATCCGATCTTGGGACTCTTGAGGCCATCAGAGTTAAAATTTTAATTCTTGAGGGAGAGGTAGAAGACGATGCTTCTGTAAAGTTGGAATTGACCTCTGAGGCAGATCTGTTCTTCCATTTTACACATTCGATGGGAAGAAGAGACTTTTTAGCCTTACAACAATCTCAAAAATTAATGGTAGATTTTCCAAACTACCCAAAGATGCTCAGCAAAATGTTAAATGCTTGCATCAAAGAGCCAGAATCTTTTCTTTGTATTTTGATCATGGAAAGAGATGGAAAGGGGCACTTGAATTTTGTGCAAAACATGGAATATAAATTTGTAGAACTGTTGAGTTTGGAAATCCAAGAAAGTCCTGAACACATTATTCGACAACATATTTCATTTAGATACAATAGCATGAGGTCTAGAGTCGCAATATTGAATGCCAGATTACAAGAAGTCTCAACCATTATCAAAATGAAAAATCCATCTCTACTGCTTCACTTAACTCGCACAGTTGCAGGTACAACACAACCTAATACAACCTCACCAAGTGCCGGATCTCAGAAAAAGAAATAACTAGGAGCTGACAATAAAATATGGCCACTACTCAATATTTTCTACAAGAGCCAATAACTGTTCAGGTGTGGATGGCCTTGCTTGTGGATCCAATTGTAGAGTCATGCACACAAAATCTAACAGCTCTTCGCTGTAAATATCTTTAAGCTCATTGCATACATGGTTCACATAATTTGGATCCTTCTCTAATTCTTCTCTCACGTTAACCGTTCGTTGTGTAAGAATTTCCAATACAATGGCTCCCAAAGACCATATATCGGATGAAGCACTATAACCTTCTCCTTTGCATTGTTCTGGAGACATGTAATTGATGGTTCCAACAGAGGCATCTTTGGTCGATTTTACCAAACAACTCAATCCAAAATCTCCCAATCTGAGTTCTTCTCGTTCTAAATCGTTGAAAAAAATGTTTTCAGGCTGAATATAATGTTAATCATCATCATCATTCAAGCGTGTCATGATGTGTATGAACAAAAAACCTACCTTCAAATCCCTGTGAAGATATCCTTTGGAGTGAATGAAAACTAGAGCAATAGTTAACTTTTTCAACCATTTTACAATCTGTGTTTGACTCACATAGGTGGTTATGCCCTTCTTTTTAAATCGATCCAAATACATTCTCATGTCACCTCCTTTGCAAAATTCTAAAATGATACAAAGAACATATTCTTGCTTTCCTGATAAATTTTGTTTGTCGTCACCTTCAATATTATCTGCAACAATTGTTGATTCTTTTTGTTCCACGAAAAAGTCGTGAATTGAGTTGATATACTCATGGCGTAATGAATAGAGAGATTTGATTTCATTGAAATTCTGATTCAGCTCTTGAATGGTTTTCATTTTGATTCTCTTCATGACATAAAACTTTTTGTCAGATACAGCATCTTTTTCTGCCACAATATAGGTGAAAGCTTGACCACCTTTTCCAATTTGTTTCTTGATAGAATACTTTTCACTGTAGTCGTTTCCTTTTCCTTCTTCAATGTTATCTTGCAGAGCACTATTCACTCTTTCTTCTTCCTCTGGAGTTAATTTTGGATTTGAAATATTTTTATGATAGGGTTTTGGAGGTCCAATATCATATGCTTCTGAAACGCTGTTTAAAAATGGTGACGGAGGAGGTGGAGGTGGAACCAATTGTTTCAAAATTGAAAAGAATGAATTGAGTGGACGTCTTTTTGGTTGTTTCTTTGCAGGCATTGTATTTGCTCGATTACCTGCATGTTTGGATAGTGAGGCATTGCTTGCAAATTCTCCAATATTAATCGTTCGTTTTTCACTGGAAAGTAGTATATAAAATGTGTGTGTGTAAAAGAATTTTCACAAGATCATACCAAAAAAAAAAAACATACTCGACTAGAATTCTAATATTGTCATTCTTTGCAGATGGTCGATTCATGTCATTTGCTGGTCTCAATAATGGTTCCAACCCATCTTCAAAAATGTACTTGATGTCTTCCTTGTCTAGTGCACAAGTTTCGTACATGTGAATCGCTTTTTGTGAAGGAAGTTCACTTTTTACAATATTGTGCAACAATCGTCCAATGAATTTCAAACTCTTTTCATATTGTTTTGTGTCACTGTTATTATCATTCGTTGAAGAACTGTAATTGACAGTAGAGAGTGCTGTAAATGCTGATATTGTCATTCCTTGATTGGTTTTAAACTCTGGAAAGAGAGATGAAATGCATTTTCCTTTTTCTTCAATTTTTTCTTTAAAGGCGTCCGATTTGTTGAGCACTATTAAAAATTCTGTGTTCTTCAAACTTCGCATATTCATTTCTTGACATAGATTTTTCAGCTCGTCAATGGAATCTTGCATCTTGTTTTTGTCTTTTTGATCGGTAGAATACATGTCAAAATCGGAAAGAGAAACCACATAAATGATTGCATTGGGATTGGCATCGAGAAGAGCATTCCACTTTCTTCGCTCACATCTTTCTCCGCCAGTATCGTACAATTTGATCACGCTTGATTTGTTAATTTTAATATCTACAGAGGTGATGCCTGTGGTCACACATCTCATTTTCAAGTAATCATCTTCAGTCGCTTTTTTGAACATGAAAAGTGAACATCTTTTGCTCAACTTCAATACTTACGCTTGTAGTCCTCTCTAAAAATTCTATTAATATTCTTCATAAAGTAAATGATATTTTCATGAACATGAAATCCAAAATCATTGGCATTGTAAAATAGATTTCTCAGCGATTGATTTTTCCATAACACTTTGATGTCTTCTTTCAATACCTTTAATCCTCCTTCATAGTCTGTTTCCCAAGATCTTTCATTCATCGTCTTTGTGGAAATGTCATTAATTTTGTTTACAATTTTTTCTTCGGTTTTGCTCCATTCTGTGAAAAAAAGATTTGCTATAGAAGCTCTTTTCCGTGGTTGAGCTTGAATGACAGGCATTACAGAATCCAATGTCAACGAGGCATCACTATTTCTTCTTCGTTGCAAAGAACCTTTTCTCTCAAGTTCATTATTTTCTTTCACATTGAGATTCAATAATAATCCATGTCTCATGGCTGCAACAATTCCACTTCCTCCAATCAAATCATCATCAATGATATCAGGTAAACTTTCACTGGATGCCGAGTTGCTAGTCGTCGTCGTCGTCGTCGTATTCGTGGAATACTTTTTTTCACAAATTTCCATCAAATGATCGGAAAGTCTTCTACCATGTCTCGATTGTTGTTTTTTTTGGAGTATTTCATGATTTTCCATTTGTAAAGTTATTGTTGTTGTAACGTTGTGGATAAATTCAATGCTGATTGTGTTGGCAAACTTTGAGAAATATTTAATGCTGGGGTTGACATCATGATGAGTGTATTCGAATCTGTGCCATTGCTACTAGTACTCGAGAGTAGACTTTTGTCATCCATGGATCCATGATAGTTCATTCCATCTGATGAAAAGAGAGTTCCTCCTCCTTCCGACAATGGCGTTGATATTATGTTGTGTTGTTGCTGTTGCTGTTGCTGTTGTTGTTGTTGATGGATAAAATTCAATGCTCGTTTGACATGATTGATCACATCGTATCGAAGTGTTTTCTTGATCAATACTCGATTCTCTTGTGATAAATGAAAATTACTGAATTGAATATTTCCGTACATGGATCGACATGATTTAAATATTGTACTTTTTCCAGAGTCTGAACATCCTAACAAGACAATGACAGGTTGTTGATTTTCGGAATTTGCAGATGATGTGTTGTTGTTGAATTGAACACATGATTTACTTTTTCGGAAGGAATTGTGGTTGTGGTAGTGGTGATGGGTTTATGAGGAAGAAAACTTGTTGGGGAATTGGGTACAAGTCGTGTTGTTGAACCATGGTTGTCGGTAGAGGTACCACCTGGTGCACTGGGTCGGCGAGGTTGCTCGTTTGGCAGGGCAGAGGTGGCGTTGGCTCTCATTTTTTGAATGTTGAGCTGTCGCTTGTCAATTTATTTGCCAAAAGCTGTTTTAGTGAGAGAATGCGAAGATAACTTTGCATTGATAATGCAAGAAATTATTGGGAAATAGCACAAATTGTTGCCGGTCTTTGTGATGACAAGTGACAGCAATTCACTACAATAATTTTCAAATAAAATGTCCTCGTTCAATACAACAACACCCAAGACGAATTACCCGGGTGCTGTCACACCAAACTCAAAACAACATGACCTTGTACGCCTCTCTTACAGCGCTCAAACTCTTTCATCTCCTCATACCATTAATCTAAGCCATAGTTTCAATGACATTTACAACAACAAATTGGCATCTCAACAAATACCAGCGGAACACAATGAATCGGAACCATTACAACAACATCCTTCTTTTATTAGAACCCCAAAAATCATCAATAATTCCAACGTTGGTTCTAACCATGAGATCAATCTCAACAACAATTATTTATTTAATATTCCTCAATACCCATTCAACAACCATTGCAGCCCTAACACACAATTCCTCACGAGTCGGGGATTTCTTCATGATGAAGATGAGGACGAGCTTCCGAAAAATTATTCTTGGACGAAGAATTGTGTATCTCCTTCAGACTCGAGGTCAAGAGCCTCAAAAGAAAATATTTCAAAACCGTTGGAATTCTCGAGTCGTGAAGCGATCGTTGAACCGTATCAAGGCTTAACAAGCAGCAGTTTATCAGCGCCACAACAGCCTCCTCCCCCCTATTCAGAGTTACCCGATTACTCCTTCCATTACACATACATTCAACCCAACTCAATTACCAAGTCTTCAGAAATGCAAATCAATTGTAGGGCATTGAGACAAAGCAACTTGGATCAAGGTTCTTCCAGATTACTGAGCAACAATTCTCCACGCAATGAAGGAATTACTTTCGAATACGTTCCATTGAACGGAGTTGATGTTGAACAGGATCACTCATTCTCAACGCCCAAACAACAAATTGCCTTTCATGAAGAATTTGTTCAAAATTCTCAAGACAACCAAATACCAAAATTGGCCAAGGAAAAGAATTTAGATCCTCCTCCTCCTTACGAAGAGATCCATCAGCCCTTTACTCAAGCTTCCATTCATGTGTTCGATCCAATAACAAAATCAAGAAACGTGTCCTCTCCAAACACTCCTTCTTCGAAACTTGAACACAGCCAAACTCCTTCAATCATGAATTCTATACAATCAACGACAGATTTCGAAAAGACGGATCAACCTCGAATGCCTGTAATCGTAGACCCGGTCCAGGCCAACGTACAATCTCCTGGAGAGTTACAACAGCATAATGACTTCAAAGCTATTGATATTTCGAATCCTCTGAAAAGCGAACCTCAAATAGCCTCTTTCGTTGAGAATGTCGCTGAACTATCGGTGGAGCAACAAATTGAATATCACACACAAAAACTAAGAGAGCTACAACAAGTGGCTAAGAAAACGACATTAACAGAAAGGAACAGAATACTTCATTTGACCCATTATTTACTCTCTCTTTTTGAAATATTAATCACCATTACAATTATTAATTTTGCAGTTGCTTCATTTTGGAGAGGGTATGTAAAATTGATTCGTATCTGAATTTATAACGAAATGCATGTTAAAGAACATGGGTTTTAATAGAAACCTACGTAGTTTTCAACGAAACATCTCCCATAAGTAGTACTCAAATATCGTGGTTCTATCTAGCATGTGGAATAGCAATCTCGTTTTTTGTTCACATCAGTGGATTGATTACCAAACAATCAAACCTCACACATAAATTGGAAGAGGTATGGCTTAGATGTATTGGAAAAAATCAAGACTCCAAGAAATCCTCAACATGCTCCAAATTTATGAACCTTTTGCTTTTGGGCTTGCTGTGGATTATGGAAAAAGTCTTTGTTTATGTTGCAGGGCTTGGATGTGTGTTCTCTTGGGTTGGAGTTTTCAATATTTGGTAAGTAACTGATCTAATTTCATCAGCTCAATAACAGCGAAATCACAGGGACAAGTATGTTTCTCCGTTTGTAGACATCTCTTCACGAGCTCCATCAGGTTGGATCGCTCATGGCACCGGCTTAGGAATGCTGTTGTTGCTAACAAGCCTAAGATCCATTTTAACAGCTCCAGTGTTATCTCAGATGGATCGAAACATGTCATTTGTTGGGTTTCTTTCATCACGATGGGATTTAATAACTGCTAATCTCTTTCCTGATAAATCTCATAAGAAAAGGGTGGCTGTGTAATCAACAAGAAGGGATTAAACATTATAAAAATCGAGCACAAAAAATGTTTTCCATTTCGAGGTCGGACAAAACGTTACGAAGTCTGCTGATGGAGGCTGAAGAAGAGCAGTTGTTTGTTCCTAATAACACCAATAATGATCAATCATCATCTTCATCGCAGCATGAAGGAAGAAATCCAACCCGAAAATATGTAGAGTATAAAACCAGAGCTCGCAAAAATCTCAACCATGACAACAGCAATTCATCATCATCAACCAAACGAAATTGCGAAACAAATTCATCATCGATTAAAATTGCACAAAAGCATCGGCTGAGAAGCAATACCATGCTTCTTGCATCATCTCCATACGGAAGCAACACGCTTCAACAAAATTCAAACTCCGATATTCAGAATTCTGCTGCGAGCAACACGAATGAAAATCTCAATTTTGCAAGTGTCAGTACCAATGAAGATGGAAGAGGATTTTCGATCAATGCAATGTCTTCAGTTGTGAGCAGTATCCAAAAGCCTCAAGATCACAAAAATGTTAAAATACCACCATCGTCATCATCATTACAGCACCAACAGCAAGAAATTCACTCTATAGCCACAAGTGTTGTTTCTGGAATGTCAAGAAGCAACAGCGTGTACAGTAACAACAGCAGCAATACGTCAACAATAGCTACAAAACATGTAGAAAAACAAGAATCGGTTCCGCAAATTTCTAACGAAATTGAGGAGGAAGAAGATCAAAGTAATACTAATTTGATTCATCTCGAACGAATGGCCAATTTAGAAAATTTATTATCGCTTCAAAATGGACAGCCTCCTGAACGATTTCAAATGGGAATATTTGGTAGAAATGCAGCATTGATGACAATATTATTTGTGTTGCGCTTAAAAACAAAATGGGCTGAAGTGTGGAACAGTTTCAAGTCTACAAATTCTGTAAAAATTGATCCCACGATGGATAGCTTAATAACTACAAGACCAGTTTTACTTCATGAAGAAAACAATTCATTTCATTTAATCTCTGTGGAATGGATCGACATGTCCATATCACATAATCAGAATAGAATGCCAGATATTGAAGGGCTTGTATTTTTAATAGATATTTCTGACTGGATTGAAGCTGATGATCTTTTCTCTCCACAACTTGTAAAATCTCTCGAAGAACAATTTAAGATTGCATCGGATGCTATCAATGGAATTACCAAGGAACTGTTTAAAAAGCAAAAAGGGCTGCAACAATCATTCGAAGAGCCAGTCACTTTTTTGTGCTATTTCAACGAGTCATTGTATCATTTACGAGACAAGGAATTGTCAAACACTGAGTCAGAATCTTCACAAAATGATACCATTGAAAATATGGTAACCATGTCAGAAAACTATTTTGAAACAGACCGTGAAGAATCGGAAATGTCTGCATGTATAAGAGACACTATTGAACATTTAATTGATGAACACATAGCAATACCACTAGATAATTATCAAATCTTCATTCAGGATACAGACCTTGATACAGAAGCGGAAGATGATCTCTCCCTTCCCAGAATGATCGAGCATACTTTCACATTCTTGGCAACAAGAGCTCTTCACAACAAAGAGACAGCCAAAAATAGAAAACAAAAGAAATTCATCAATCTATCGAGCTCTTTGCCCTCCCTATTTGCGTCTAGTAGAGAAGAGGACGACAAACCTTCACGATATCTGTAGTTGGAGCAGCTTGCAAAAAGTGGTAATCTCCATTCAAAAAATTTTGAAAGAGCGCAGCATCAGATTTTGCAATTTCAGAATTCCCAACACACAGAAACAAGCCACAAAAAAAATGATCCCACAACAACCTTCAAGTAGTCAACAACAGAAGAAGAAGTCATTGTCCTCCTCGAGATCGTCTCAAGCATCAGTTAGAACCACCACTTCAGATCGGTTGAGTGCTCCTTCTTCTTCTTCATCAGCACAACTGTATACAGAAGCAGAAAGCAGCAGTAGCAACACCAATGTGTCCAAGAAGAGATCGTTCCAAGATTTCAATGATGAACCACCCACCAGAGGCCAGATTATTCGTCCATCAGCAGCCACACAACAATCTCGTACTAGATCACGTATTCAATTGACCCAAGAAGAACAACAAGAGGTTGAGAAGATTAAACATCTCATACAAAAGAATGATCATGCAGCGTTGGCCGAATACCACAAAAAGTTCTTACGTGGTGAGATCTCTGGTGTTGTCGTGTTGGAGAGCAAGCTTGCTTATTATATTAGACTTGTACGATATTTGAGCGCTCAACAAAGGGAGATCAAGGAAAGAAAGAAAAGAAAAGAAGAAGCATCTGAAGATGAGGTGGATATCATCTACAAGTTTAACACAGAAGGATCTCTCAAAATCCCTCCGTATGCCATGAAGCATCAATCTGCATGTGCCAGTTTTGGTGTGAAGATGTTGGAACAAGGGCAATCATTCTTGATTGGTAAGTTGATCACACACTTCTTGGACGTTTCAATGATACATGTTGCGAATTCTGTTATGTGAATAGCACATCAAATGGGCTTGGGCAAAACTTTGACAACCTTGATCACTCTTTACAACTATAACCGAACGGACAGTATCAAGAATAACGGCGTTACCTTATCGTATCTTGTGTTGGTTCCCAAATCAAATTTGATGCACTTTAAGGAGGAATATGATAATCATTTCTTCAATCAAGACGAACCATTTATTTCCAACATTTATGTGATTGCTAGCAAAGAGGATGAAGCAAAAATTGCAGAATACTCCACAACTGGAGGGATGATTATCATGACTCACAACAGATGTGCACGAGTGTTGGGCGATGAAGAAAAACAAGGCCATGCGAACATCCTTAAAAAACATACAAAAATTTTGATTATTGACGAGGCCCATGTCATCAAGAACCCTGATTCTGAAAAATTCAAACTCTTCTCCCAAATTGACACCAAGAGAAGAATATTAATGACAGGTATGTATGAATTGATGTACAATTGAACAATAGAATACTTACTATCCATATCGAACATGTATTATCCATCAATGAAACAATTCATGCAGGAACACCTTTTCAGAACAATATGAACGAAATATTTACCCTCGTCAAATTTATTGATCCCAACAATACAAATATTAGATGGATTCAATTATATTTCAAAGAACAATTTGTTGATAAAATCAAAAACGAACCACATAGCAAGTACTCACAAATGAGAATCAACCTTTTCAACCATTATTTCAATAAGTGTATTCATAGAAAAGTTGAGGCTCAGGAGCTCGACGATATTGAATCCAAAAAATCAGATATTATTATCGAGTACAAACTCTCTAAAACCGAGCAAAGAATTTACGATGAAATTAAGCGTCTTGCAAAACTTTATTCCAAATCCTTCTTCGCTTCTTACTTTTATGAGAGATTGTGCCTTGACTGCGTGGCATATATATGTGATAAGGAGGTGCGAACAATCGCACAAGCAAGAATTGAAGCAAGATTGGCAGACATTGACGAAGATGATGAAGATGATGCAAATAATAACGAGAACTTGTTCTGTAACGACGTCAAGAAATTTGTAACGAGCTTCAAAAAACCATTGGAACAAACACGTTTGAAAGTGTTGCGTGCTTTGGTTAACGAGATAATTAGAACCAAACAACAGGTTGTCATCTTTACTGGATTAATCTGTTATGAAAAGGATATTATGGCATACCTACGCAAGGACAACCCCATCGTTAATATTGATACATTTTCAGGAAAGCTGAAGATTGAAGAAAGAAAACAAGTATTGAGGCGTTTTAGGTCTGGTGAAATTAACACATTACTTGTTTCAAAGAATTCAGGAGGATTTGGAATTGATTTAACCAATGCCAACAATGTAATCCTCTATCAATTAGATTTCAACTATTATAAGGATGATCAATGTATCTGTAGATTGCTCAGAAAAGGGCAAAACAATGACGTTCGTGTTTTTAGAATGGTCTGCGAGAATTCCATTGACCAAAGACTTTTGGAATTGCAAACCAACAAGCAAATCATTTTCAACAACTTATTAGACAAGAAGTACACTGACCCTTCAACGTTGGGTAAGGGTGTCATTGACCCAACTCTTTGTACTCAAGTATTTAATAGAACGACACTCCCAACTAGCATTAAGAACTTGGTGACAAGATTCCAAAGTTTCAAGCCTGTTAAGTCATCAACCGCAAAGTTTTCCAGAGAAGAATTCCAAAGACACTTGAAAGAATTTGAAGACACCTACAAGCTCAGTGCAAACCAAAACTAACAATCGATAATAATATGTATTCCACTTCAATAGATGAGTAAATTTACTCAAAATATATTATTGTTTGTCAGTTCGATAAGCACATGTATTCTCGAATTGAATATATGATTATTTCACCGGTGTGAATTAAATCTCAGATCGTTGAAATGGCAAATTTTCCATCAAGATCCATGCACGTCTACTTCTCGTACAATTTTGCTTCCTCGCTAATAAGGAACGTTCTAATGAAACTTCAAAAAAAATCGAGCGAAGAACCTGGTTGAAGAAAAACAAAGGAGCCTCTCTCATTCTCATTGAGTACGTCATTTGTTGTAGTCGACTGGAGGAATATCATGGAGGATACACAACATTTAGTGCTAGAAGAACACTCGATGGATGGTGCAATGGAAGAGTTTTTTTCCTCATTGCTCATGAATGCAGCAAACGGTAATCATCATCCAATTCTCGGAATGAGTAATTTTCTAGAAAGAAATCTAACAAGTAGTAATAACGACAATTTCCATCATTCCGATGACCCAACGACAGAAACTCTGGTACAACATCAAATTAACCAGCCCTCGCAAGGCTTGTTCTCTGACTTTTTAAAGTTTTTTTATAATACCAAATCGAGTCAGGTGTTCGAAAGTGTAAAGTCTCAAGAGGACTCGAATGAAACATCAATTTTTAATACAGAACACCGAAGAATGAGAAGAAAAATTTATGAGAAAGTGAAAAAGGAGATGCTCAATTTGAGACAAGGAGGTGACAATCAACAATCGTCTAACACTTTGAAAGAAATAATCATTCCTAAAAAAAGAGAAATGTACAAAATCATGGATACCATGTTTGCAAGACCTCATCCCATTAGTCTTAAAATGGTCACTTATGGATTTAAGAAATTATGGGCTACACGATTTAGAGATATTGTGGAGTGTGGAATGGCTGCTACAATGAAAACTGTGAAAGAGAAGTATCCACATCATCCTGTGATTTATGTTCCAAATCATAGAAGCTACATGGACTTTTTACTATTAAGCTATTTTTGTGTTTGCTGTAAAATTTATCCTTTACCCAATATAATAGCAGGAGAGGACTTCTTACAAATGATGCTCGTTAGTGATGTCATGAGACAATGTGGAGCTCTTTTTATGAAGAGACAATTTAACGACCAACCAGTGTATAAGGCAATATTTAATGAGTATGTCACAACTTTACTTGAAGAAGGAAATTATTTAGAGTTTTTCGTAGAAGGTACAAGATCAAGGAATGGAAAAACTCATCATCCAAAATTTGGAATTCTCAACATCATTCTGGATGCTTTCTTAAAGAAGCGAGTAGACAACGTCATATTTGTTCCAGTTTATTTCAGCTATGAATATATGGTAGAATCGAATTCACATGTGAGAGAAATGTTAGGGGAAACAAAAGCCAAAGAAACAACTATTAACATGTTTTCAAGCATGATGCAATTAATGTCAGAGAATTTTGGAGATGTTGCAGGTAAAATAGGGGAGCCAATTAGTTTGAAAGATTTTTATAACAGTCCTGAAAATGCAAATGTGAAAAACAATAGGAGGGATCTCTCCTCTGCACTTGGATTTACCATAACCAAACAATTGAACAATAATTATATTGCAATTACTTCTCATATAGTATCAGCACTTGTCTTGCAAACTGTTGGAGATGTAAGGCTCTGTGATAGAAGATCAAGTATACCTTTAGAAGCTCTCATTGACAACGTTGATTGGCTCTTGAAGGAACTAAAAACTCGAAAAGTACCCATCTATCTCAACAGTAAGGAAACCACTCCTACAAATGTGGTTGAACGATGTTTAACGGTCTTTAAAGGACATGTGGATTTAAGAGGAGACACTGTTTTCATTGGGGAAAATCGTGATTGTTTACTGCTATCCATCTACAAGAACGCTCTTGCATCAGTATTCACAAGAGACTCTATTTTATTATGTGCTCTTCACTCATTCATTGTTGCTGACGTCAATTTTTGTGAACAAAAGGAATTAGAAATTACTGGAATTGATAAGGAAGAGTGGAAGGAGCGAAGCTCTGTTTTGGGTGAATTGATAAGTTTAGAAATTCATCCACAAGATATGCTCGATACAAGTGACAAGTTTGAGAATGCGCTCTCATATTTGAAGGAAAGAGGAATTTTATCAGTGGAAGAAACTTCTATTGCTAATGACAACACCATTTCGACAAGGGTGAATGTGATCATTAAGGATTTAAGATTTCACGAGTTTGTTTGTTCTCTCATTTGGCCATGGATTGATACGTACTCAATGGTCATTGGTTATTGTTGTATGGTGACGACCAGGACTAATACTCATACCTTTCCAACGAATGAATTCGTGAAAAAGGCTCAGCAGTTTTTGGAAGAGCTGCACAAAGAAACGGCAATTCCCTATTACGAAAGTGTTTCGGTATTGACCATAAGAAATGCAGTTTCACGATTTGTAACGTGGAACATTTTGCAAAGAGTGTTCATCAACAATATTCATACCATACAAATAAGATCTCACTATGCCAACCAACCAAACGAGCTTATTGATTGGTGGACCATGGTTTCGCTTTATGGAAAATACAAGCCAAAAGAAAACTTTTTAGATGTTTATGGAGCTGCAGTTCCAAATTACAGGATTTCCAAGCTGTAGGGATCTTTGTCGATCTTCTTGGTATTTAAAACAATAAACAACAATTTAATTTACATTATGTTCAAATCAATTTGTTACAAACAAACTGAGTTGGTGGAACAATTGTTGGGTGGGTTAGGACTACTAGTACTTGGACTTGTCCAAATCGTCAAAGAATGGGTGTTTGAGAGCTTCTTTTGCTGAAATTCTCTTACTTGGTTGATATTCGAGCATTCTGGTCAATAAATCCACACCAGCGTCGTCTAACCTGCTGCAAATAGCTTGCAAGTGATTGCCTTTCCACTTGGGGAACTTGTTATTGAAACTTGCAAAGTTCTTCAATTGGCTAACTCCAGGCCACATCTCTTCGTTTGGTGTTCCCAAAGTTTGGAAGATCTTGAACAACATGTCAATTTCTGAATCTGCAGGGAAGAGAGGAACACCATTCACCAATTCTGCAAAGATACAACCTATGGACCAAATATCAACTGGAGTGGAATATCTTTCGGTCCCAATAAGATTTCTGGAGCTCTGTACCACAAGGTCACAACTTCATGAGTGAGTTTACCACAAGGTAATTGGAATGCACGAGCCAATCCAAAGTCAGCAAGCTTGAGCATCAAATCATTGTCTCTCGTTTTTTGGACAAGGATGTTTTGTGGCTTCAAATCTCTGTGGATAATTCTAGCCGAATGGCAGAAAGCAATTCCTTTCAAAATTTGATAGAGACATGATTTGATCAAACTCATTGGAATTGGTATTCTCTTCTTCTTTTCTCCTTCCATTCTCTTGTATTCGTTCATATACTTCTTTAAATCTAATTCAATAAACTCAAAGACGAGATGTAAATTATCATCTCCGTGAATAACTTCAATAAGATTTACAACATTGGGATGGTGCATCTCTTTCAGTAAAGAAATTTCTCTGATGGAAGTACTTGGGACTCCTTCATCTTCGTGTTCGAGACGAATCTTCTTTAAAGCAACTACAGAGTTGTTGATCAAATCAATGGCTCTATACACAACACCATAGGTACCTTCTCCGAGTTTGTCTTGTCGGTCGTATCTGGCAAGTCCCTTGTAGAGATTTTGATTATTCATGGATTGAATTTGTTGTTGTTGTAATAAATGTGTTTGTGGGTGGAGTGTGAGTGTTGTGCTCATCGTGTGGTATGGGGATTTTATGATTCGAGTGGTTAGAAATTGGAGAGTAGGTGTACTCGGAGGAGATTACTGGTCGTAAATATTTGTCGATCAGTATGGGCGCTTGAAGGGTGATTCAAGTTGTAAATTTTTTTTAATGTTTTTTGATGTAATTTTAAATGTGTAACGGCCGAATTTTTAAATCCACGGCAGAAAAGTTTACAATTTTTAACGTTTTTTTTCAAGATCGATTCCTTTTCAAAGTGTTTGAAAAACTTGCAACATCAAGATGTATTTACTAACAAATGACAATCACCTGCATACTTTCATTCTATCAAAACACCAATAAAAGGACGCACAATTCCAATCATCTTGATCGCTTGAATGTCGCATCATTTCAACGCAGATTTATTACAAATAGCACCAACCGAGTTGACTTTCTCACAAACAAAAAATGTCTCAACAACAATCTCCCGCGGCCAATCTTGCAAATGACCAAAAGACAGTCCTGCGATTCGGACTGTCAAGCATGCTTGTGTTTGGTTTGATTTGGTATCTGTTGTGTTTTCATTCCAATTTTCTCTCCGATATCCTTTTAGTACCTTCATCATCTTCTCCAGATCAAATTGATCTCGCTACAAGATTAGCCTTTGCAAGCAAATGTTTATTTTGTTGCGTGTTAATCTTTCCTATTATTATTCACTCTATTTCTTCCAAAAGATTTGGTAATGAAACCATCAATCCACTTTTATTGGAACAATTATCTCAAAACAATTCTACCAAAATCAGTGATGATTTAAGAAAGAAATTTGAGCATATTCAAATTTGGCAAAGAATATTACAAAATAGCATGGAGCAATTCTTAATGTTTGCTGTGAATATTGTGGTATTGTCACTGTATTTGGAAAGAAGAAATATGAGAGTTTTAATATTTGCGAGTGCTACTTTTATTATTAGTAGAATATTGTTTGCAATTGGATATTTAAAACATTATGCATTGAGAGCTCTTGGTTTCTCTGTTGGAATGATGATGAATGTGATCTTGAGTGTTAGTGTCGGTTATTTACTGATCACACGTGATGTGTTACCATATTTTTCAAATTAAGTCTTATATTTCACAATTTAATTATCAATTTCACACACCACTGGTTGACATTTATAGAACTTGTTCAATATGTAAATGGTGTAATTCTTTCAATGCTAAGATATGCTGTTGCTCCTCTATCATCAATATCGTTGATGAACATTTCCAATTTCGTCATATTTGGCAAACAATCACTCGAAGCAATAAAGCTCCAGAGTTTTTCATATTACATCCATATAGACACAACTTTAAAAGTCCTTCATAACCAATACGATCCACATGAATATTCAGTTCGATGAAGTTGACTTGAATGAAGTCGTATATTTCAACAACAAAGATTTTCCTTTTTTAGGAGAAGTTATACTTTGTAGACCCTCAATCGAAGGGCATCCCATTGTGTCTTGAATTCTCTTGGTTCATGATGCTTTCTATAACTACTGAAAGAAGTAGATGCAAAAAGATCTCTTCGATCAAAAAGCAACGGCAGCTATAGGATTCGAACCTATGCGGGTAAACCCATCAATGGATTGCAGGGTGATTGCTTGGCAGAAATCACTGTTGGACGCCTTGACCACTCGGCCAAACTGCCGTTGCCAACGATTCACAGTTTCAATTTGAGCACTTGGTTGGACAGACGCAACATGGAACTTGCTGGACACGTGTTTTGAAGTTGCATTGTTTTCGTTGATTGGAATTTCATCCGGATCTTTGCTGCAATACTTTGACGATGACTTTGAGTTCAATATTCTGGCTCCATGAAATTTTCCGTTTTAGTGTGTTTCAATCATTTATTTAAAGCGAATGAACTTGTGCACACAATCACAGCATGAAATTATTAAAAAATGGGAGAACTCCTCGTTGTAACTCTCCTTCGATTTCTTAAGAGAGCGATCATCTTCGGATTTGATGCCATCTCCATACTCTTTTATCTTCCTGTCAGCATCTTATTATTCATTCAGAGTAAATTATCGGGATCATTTGGATATAAAGCTAGATATCCTGGTCATCATGGATCACTTCTCTCCTATTATTTGATATTTATTTTCTTTTATTTGGTGACTACTGTTGCCACTCCTTCCATTGTGTTGTATCCATTGTTGATCGTGTATCAAACCTTTGTATGGTACATTAGCAATGAATCAAATACTTTTTGGGTGGCTACTGCCTCAGTAGGAGTTGTATTCATTTGTGCAGTTTCATTGTCTGTTCGAGCGTGTATTTTATTAGACAAATTGGATCGAGTGTTTGATGGAAATCTATTTGAAGATTGGATACAAGTTCAAGTGCATGGTATCTTGTATGTCTTGTCCATTATTGCATTCTTGGTTAATCCAGTGAGATTTGTGGTATTTTTAAAAGATGCAAAAACCAAACTCTGCACCCAATATGTCGATGTGGTTGGAAAACAAGCCAAGAATGCAGTCTATGATTTGATTTGCATTCCTTTTGCTGTAAGTTGAGAGGTTGTTGTTGCTGATCAAACGACAAATAATGTTGTGAAAAGCTTTTAATTTTGGTGACCATGTGGAGAGTTCCAATCATATGGAGATCGAAATGGAATCACAAATTATTTATTGACAATGGTCTCTATGTACTCATGGAAATACCAGTATTCACAATTTGTATTCCCATCAGTCTGCTGGCCTTTTATAGAGTTAAATACTTTATTCAAGAGTTTGCCAAGTTGGACTCTGCAAACAGTGATCGAATGAAGTTCTGTATCAAGCAAGCATCGGAATCCTTAGTTGACATTCCTTTTATTTTGATGGGAAGTATACTCGCTTGTACCATTTATAGATTCATTCCAGTGGTCAAACATTATTTTTCAAAAGACACAGAAAATAAGAAGACACTAAGGCGAGTGATTTTTGAACATTTTTGTTGCTTCCTACTGGACCTTCCTGCAGTGTTGTCATATACTTTAATTTTCATGCTTAGATATCGATTACCGATTGCCATGAAAATTTCTAATAGTCAAAAGGAGTTGGGAAATTTCCTTCATTTCCATCATGCTGTGTTATGGATGGCATATGAAACCCTTCTGGATATTGTACATATTATTCTATGTACACCAGTATTTGTCACCCTTTGGAGAGCCTCACATTTATATTCAGCCATCTTTATTGATGTCTTTTATACACCAGAATTTTTTGAAAATCAAGAAGATGAAGACAATATGAAGAAGATGAATCTTGTCGAGTACGAAATATTCAAAAAGAGGAGAGCTATTGCCAGAGATATTCTCAAAAATTGGATCATTGATGTTGTCTTCATCATACTGGGATTATTATCTGTGTGGAGAATTCCAAGAATAATTCTTCACTTCATGACCATCATTACGAATGAAGAAAAAGCTGGCTCCATGAGAAATAAGGCCATGGAAGAATTTATTCAATCCATTCTCGATGTATTGGCCCTCACAGGTCTATGCATCGTTCTGATTCCCACTCTGTACAGACTTCCCACTCTAATTACAAGACTAAGATCCAAAGAGGGCAAACTTTATCAATTCATTATATTTTCAGAAATTGTGGAAACCTTTAAAGATCTTCCTTTCATTGTGATGGGTCTACTCTCGATGTGGAGAATTCCTATAATTTTGCTCAAGATTTGGCTACTCCATCCTCAAGAATATGACACTTCTGAGAAACGAAGAAATTTGGCAAAGGAACAATTCATTGATGCCATGTTAGACCTTCCATTTGTCATTTCGTTCATACTCATGGTACTTTCCATTATGCACATTTTCACACTTTACATGCTCACTCGAAAATACTTTAAATTCAAGAAAGAGGAAACCGACATCTCCAAGAAGAGAGAATTGTTCACCTTCTTCAGAGGCAAAATTTTAAAACAATTATACTTATTACCTTTACAGATCCCACTCATTCTTTGCACCTATTTAGTTACGTTCACATTCTACAGAATTCCAATCACAATCACAACCATGAAGAAAATTCCTGGACAGAAGGAACCAAAGAAACTTGCAGCCAAAGTTATTGTCTCTCAAGCTCTTAGTATTCCGTTGGATATCATCACATTACTCTTTTCGACCATCATCATGTGCACGTATTATAGAAGTGGTGAGTTGAGGAATGTATTCAAGACACATTCACTCTTTCCATCGACCTTTGAGATCAGAGAAGCCATTCAAGCTCACCGATTGATTGCTCTAATATTTTGGGATCTCATCAAAGATATCCTTTACTGGTATTGCTTGTAATATCATCCATTACGGTTTGGAGAATTAGACACATCCTTAGAGCATTACAAAATGAGAAAGACTACAAAAAGCGACTCGTGTTACTTGGAGCAAATGCTTTATTAACACTTGGAGATGTTCCATGTGCCATTTGTGCACTCTTGGTTTTGTTCAGTTGGAGAGCTAAGAGAATGGTTTCGATCATTCATGGAGCGTATGTGGCAGGAAAACTTGCTCAAGTTCACTTTTCCATATTTTTAGAATTTTATGAATATGTGTTGGATTTAATTCACATCATGTTAGTACCGTTATTGTTGTGGAGAATACCTCTATTAATTAGAAATGTCATGAAGGTATGTGTGTTTTCAATTGTTTGAAAATTGATGAATTTCATATATCTGAAAATTCCATCTAGATGGAATCCATTCCTGAAATGAGAAAAGAAGTTTTAGAGCATTTGAAACAAATTATTTTGGATGTTCCATTCATACTATGTACCATTATTGTGTCTCTCTCAATTTACAGAAATATTGAAATTTATCATTTTCTCACGAAAAAGAAGAACAAAAAACCATATCGAGAATTTATTGTCATACAACTCATTCAGCTCTTGTATGATATTCCATTAGTGGTCGTGGCAACAGCTACCTGCATTGTCATTCCATATCGAGTATATCACTTGGTGAAATATCTATTTTTCGTAAGTTGAATAATTTTCATATGTGTGTGTGTGTGTGTGTGTGTGAACTCAACAACCATTGGTTCAATCATTGTGAAACCATGTACAGTATCCTTTTAAGAAGGATCGCGACAATGAAAGAAGAAGAGAGCTTCGAGTGTTGATTGCCAAGACGCTCGTGGACTTGCTCACTCTTATTTTTGGTTTTGGTGTGTTGCTGTTGTGTTGGAGAATTCCCTTCTTTGTTCACAAATATCTCACTGGAACACCCATCAAGAGATCTCTTTGGGTTGAATTCAGAGCTGGAGTACTGGATGTGTGCTCCTTATTCATGCTTGCCATTAATTTGGTACTATTTTACCAATTTCCATACACTGTTCAAAGACTTTATTACTTTACCATCACGTGCTGTAAACATCTTTTCAAATATTTACCAGAATTATGGAAAAAGGTTAAAACTCCAAAGCCTGCACAAAACTCCACTCCTAAAGTTATTCCATCAGATAATGGTGAAATTCTACCACAAGACATGCTTTTTGAGATTCTGACATTCCTTCCTCCAGAAGATAATGCGCAAAGTTTTGATCGTGTTTGTAAACATTGGCATGAACAAGCAAGACAAGATTCAGTCTTGTGGAAATTGTATCTTGATGCAGATAGTTTAGGACAATTCATTGAGCAAGATATGTCCAAGAAATATGGTTCTAAGAATAGGAATGCGAACTATTACGGTTATCCTTACAACAGCTACCCAAGAAATTCAACTCTGAACGAAAAGTACTACAATGCTATCGGTACTTACAGGAATGAGGATTTTTCACACATTTTCGCAAAAGCATTTTCAAGCGAATCTGAGAACAGAAACCAATATGTGAAACGATATTTATCCATCAAAGAGAGATATTTGTCCAAACAATGTAAGTATTGCTTTCACTTTTATAACAAAGAAGTCATTTTGACTCTTCATAGATTCTCTGCAAGATGCCTTAGAAGATGACTATCGACTTGGATTTCATGAAATTGTTTTTAAAGAGTTTGCTCATACCATCACTCATCTCTACAAAATCTTCCTAGTCCGTTATAAGATTATTGGTACATTACTCTTCCCATTGCATTTCGTCATTAGAAAGGCGCATGGAAGGCAGTTCAATACGTATGACTGGGATCGTGCAGAGGAATATATTTTTGACGTGCTCGCAGAATGTTATATTTTTATACATGACGTTCTGGTCTTTGTAGTAATGACTATTCTTGATATTTTCCCATTCATGGGCTACAGGTGGTGGGGACAACAAAATGTTGAACTTTACAACTACCACAGTTACAAAGGATGGAATTATTTCAAATTAGTTTGCCTCTCTTTTGCTTCCATCATAGCAACCTTAATTTGTGTCATTATTGCATTTGCTATTACTTTCAGTCCATTCGTTTTCAATGTTAGAAGTTGGTTATTTTGGTCAATCATGTCCATTGGAAAGACATCAGAGCTGACGCAAGCGATACTGAGCTTTTTGAAATTCAATTCAATAGCCTCATGGCTATTATTACCTCAAACCATTGCTTTAGGCATACAAGACTACATTATTGGCTTTGTTTTCTACCTGTTGGGATTTATTCTAAATGCCGAATCTGGATTTTTATACTGGGTCAATGTGGTTCTGTTTGTATTGCTGTGGGCATTTATCATATTCTGGTTCTATGTCTTCACTGGCCCCATTTTGGAATGCCGACCATATTTCAGAGCAAATTATGCGATGCGTATCATTGTGGATTTATATGCAGAATTACTGAAAGTCCAAGCCTCTTTTTGTAAAAATCAGTTGGGATTCTTGGCCAATTAGTGATCATTCCAATTACTTTGGGTTGGATAGGATGGCCTCTCATTATTTGTTTCTATTTCAGATATATTTACATCATGATTCCTGGAGCGTTGTTGAGCGTGTTCTTTGTATTTTTAGCTTACTCGACCCTTAAGAACATCAGTTAATTTTCCAACCATGAAAGAAAACTCTTTTTCTGAGACTTGCTTGATTGAGGAAATTTCAAAAAATTTTAGGCAATAATAGAACTTGTTTGAGACAAGCTGGCAATACAAGCGCACTTCGATTCACATTCATAATATTTTCTCCATAATTTATTGTAAGTCTTATTTCATCCAACTTCCATCTTGAGGGACCTGCGGTTTGCTGGGTCACTATGCTTTTTTGATCGCAATTTTTTCATGAAAAAAATCTGCAGCAAAACAACTGTCTCTCGTGTATCTCCTTTCCTCATCATCATCATTGGAAATTGTCGTTGTTTTCAACGAACTGAATTGATACTAGAGTTATAACAACTTCTCAATTACTCAATTTTTAAATCATTCGTTTATTTTAGAAGGAGAACCTTTTTGCTGTTATTACTGATTGTATGAGGAATCAATTTGTTGAATTCATCAAAACGCTTCATCATTGAAGACTGAGCATATAATGCTACAACAACCTACACCCAACAACACTATTACACAGTCATCCAATTCCAATAACAACCCGACAAGAAACAATAATTCAACAGCATCAAAACCTCCTCCACTGATTAATTCAACAAGCACAGGAAACGTATTGAAAAACTCATCACAAGCATCCATTCCAAACGATCGTTCGTTTCAAACATTTTCAAACCGATCATCAAGTTTACCTGAACTCATCTCTCCCCTTTCCACCAACACAATGAGCCAGACCTCAAACAACACTTCAGCCTCTCATCCTCTCACTGGATCTCTACTCTTCGATAACATTCCCATAAATGATTTGGTTTCATCAACACCCATGTTTCAAGGTAGCAGTGTAGTGAACAGCAAACATCAATCTCATCCATCAAGTGCAAACAGTACTCCAGTTATTCCTGGCAGTGCTTCTACCACCTCGAATTCAAGCTACTCTACCACAAACACTCCATCCCTTTCTTCTCCACCCTCTATTGTAACATCATCAACAAACAGTAATGGAGTGAAGGTAACTTCAACCCCAACTCCGACAGTTAATAGTATGCAAATATCATCATCATTACCAGGTTCTGCAAGCGTGAATACAAACAACATCAATAGCCATGTTTCACAAAACTCAACAAATGGCACAGGAGGAACACAAGACAAACCAACACTAACAAGAGCTTCTTCTTCGTTGTCTATATCTCGAGACTCAATAGGAGCTGGTTTTTCAGTAGGTGCAGCTGCGGCACTTTCTCCAAGTGTTAGAAGAGTTTATCCAACAACAGCCGACCAATACAAACTGCTAGATCCAATTGGTTATGGAATTAGTGGCCCAGTGTATGAAGCAATTTGCATACCATTCAACGAACACGTGGCCATTAAAAAGCTTGACCTTGAAAAACTGGAGGATAACATCCTACATACAATAACAAAGGAAATTCATACTATGGTCACAAGTTTTCATGAGCATATTGTAAATTATTTGACCTCCTTCACACAAGAAACTGAATTATATTTAGTAATGGAATTGATGGAAGGTGGATCTATATATGACATTATGCGGTATAAATATCAAGATGGTCTTCCATCTGAAGAGTTAATTTCTGTGGTTTTGTACCAAGTATTAGAGGGGCTTGCATACTTTCATGAGAATGGTCAAATTCACAGAGATATCAAAGCTTCAAATATTCTAATTAATGAAGATGGGCTTGTAAGAATAGGAGACTTTGGAGTTAGTGCGAATATTATTGAAATGTCGGGAGATAGAAGAAGCAAACGTCAGACATTTGTTGGCTCACCGTGCTGGATGGCTCCTGAAGGTATGTTTCAATCGTTTGTCATTAATTTAAATATGACCTTTTTATAAGTCATGGAACAATTTCATGGATATGATTATAAGGCTGATATTTGGTCGTTAGGTATTACTGCATTAGAATTGGCATATGGAAAAGCTCCATTTGAAGGATTACCTCCTGTTAAAGTGATGTATATGGTCATGGAGCAGGATCCTCCACAACTTTTTGACACTGAGGCTAGAAAATTTTCTAAAATTTTTAAAGATTTTGTTTCGCTGTGTTTGCAAAAGGATCCAACAAAGCGGCCATCCGCAGTACAGTTACTCAAACACAAACTGTTCGCTAAATCTGCGAAACAAAAGGATTTGATCAAGAAAATAATTTTGGCTGGACTTCCACCACTTGCTGAAAGAGCTAGGCTGCTAATGGGTTTTAAAAGATCCAATAGTCAGACTAAAATTACGTTTACAATGAGTCAAACAGAGGAAGAAGCTTCTCCATTTATATCCATGTCAGATACTACTATTTCATCATCGCTCATGTCAACCACAGTTAGCACACAGAATTTTGATACAGAATCAGCGCCTGGTACACAAAATATAGATGAGCAGATTTTAACTCCAAAAATATCATCTGACGATTCTTTATCAGCAGAAAGTGCATCAAAGAAAGGAGTGAGTCGCTGGAATTTTGCTGAAGAACTTAAAAAAGAAGAGGAAGTTGGAAATGAACAAAATAACCAAAGTTTGAATCAAACAAAGAAGGTTGAAAAGAAAGGACGTTTCGAGGTTTCAGAAACTGACGAAGACTCAGTTGAAAAGATGACATCTGAATCTCCTGTTAACTACGAGGATGAGAAATCTGCCTCCAAAAAGGGACAAACAAAGAAAAGAAACTTTGAAGTTAAGGAAGTTGACGAAATTCCAGAGGAAGCCGTTATTACTACAACTCCAACAATACCAAAAAAGAAGAACTCTGTTTCTAACCTGAGCGTCAAGGAGGTATCACTTGCTTCGCTCTCCAATCAATTGCTGACGTTACAAAATCAGCAACAGTTAATAGTCAATATGCTAAACGAACAATCAAAAGTTAAGACTCCACAATCGGAAACAATTCCAATTCTTGACTTGGTGACCAAACTTGAACAAAGAATACAAGAGTTGCTTGAAGAAAACCAGAGGCTGAAAAAAGAAAATGAAATTTTGAAGAGCAAGAGCAAGATTCAAGCAGAAAATAAATAATATGGTTCATTCCTCGAAATATTGGAAATAATTATCATTAAAAAAATGTCCAGCATTCGATTGGCGGATCTCTCCATCTTCTCGGAGAAGGAATTGAACGCTCTTGCTCAAAATGGTATCATCACAACACAGCATTTGTTGTGTGTTTCTGGCTCCAGATTGAGATATATTCTAGATACCGAAACTGTAGCTTCCGCCTTGGAACTTGTTCGTAAAGTGATTTTTAAAACCAATATTGTGTCGGAAGATGATATCAAGAATCCAAAAACTGCTCTCTCTTTATTACAACAACACAACGCAGAGAAATTATTTTTGCCTTTACAATATATTCCAACGTTTAACGAATTGTTTCATGGAGGTTTGTCTTTAAATTCTATCACTGAAATTGTCGGACAAAGCTCCTCGGGAAAAACAGAATTTTGTTTGACTGTAGCTTGTGACTTATTGCTTGGCAACTATGATTTTGGTTGTGTAATTTTTGACACTGAACAAAAACACACATATATTTTGAGTAGAATTTTAGAGATTTTGAAAAAAAGAAATCCAGAAATGACAGACACAGAAATTGACGACAGAGTCACCAACCGTTGTACAATACTCGATATCACAAGCTCGAAAGAATTAATTGAAAATTTAGATGATATGGAAGAGTTTATATTTGAAAAGAATATCAAGTTACTTATCATTGACTCTCTTGGAACATTGGCCTCCAAAGAGTTTATGGGAAAGGAAGGAGGAATATTCGAGAGAGCAAGCGCTTTACAAACTGAAGCCACGTTGTTAAAACAATTGAATGAGAAATTCAAAGTTGGTGTTATAGTAACAAATACTCTGTCTCAAGAAAGTGAACATGCTCACCTAGGCGTGAATTGGTTTCATTTCGTTAATCATAGATTGAAAATATCAAAAATTGAAGAAACAAAGCTAATCCTTAGTGTTCAAAAGTCCGCAGTTGTGAGCAATAGCAGTATCAGTTTATGCACAGATCGAGTTGGTCTTCGTGAAATATCTCAACCATTAGAACAAGAGTGATTTTTGTGACACAACTAGATAAAATTGAGCAATGCTTCATTTATTTCTAGCTTCGAACATTAAGGATAAAAATACTTTCAACCAAAAGTCTCGTGTAGAAGGTTGGGTTTCCTTAATCTCAATGTTAATACAGTCGGTTTCAGTTAGGATCGAGAATGTGAGCATTTCTTTCTTTACATCTCCTTTTTCAATCATCATCCTAGTTTGGAAACCAGGTAAAATATCAATTATTTCTCTTACGTTGATTTCGATTCCTCTTCTTGGGTGATCAATGAAAAGAATATTTCTATCACTCTTGATACTGACTTCTGTTCTTGATAGAGGTAACCCTGATTGTTGAGGTTCTTCAATCATATAAAATGGTTGAGGTTCATCAAGCTTGTCTAAGTACTGAGCTCTTTCGCTGTCTTTCTTTTGAATTATATAATGGAATGGTGAAGAATAAACTGTCTGATACCCAATAGTTAGACTCTCTGGATTTGATTGTACTTCTTCGAACTTTCTTAGGTTGGGAATCACGTTTTTGGTATACGCATCCAATAATTTCCTCTTAGTTTCTAGCCACTTTATCTCAATATCTTTTTCTTTGATCAAGGTTCCAAAATTGAGAAGTTTATCAATGTCAACAATCCTTGAAAGTTCTGATGCTGGCTTATCGTTTGGAAGGACATTCTCCAATCTAGACTTTGATAATAAATCGTCATTAAATGGTCTGGATCCATTTGATGTAGATTCCTCTTTCAGTTCGAGAGGATAATCATCGAACGGATTTTCATCAATCATTTGGACAATATCTGAAACATTTTCACCAATCATGGCCGAGACTTTGTCAATTGCCTTCTTTAACACTTCTTCTTTTCTCTTATTCACTTTCAAAAGTCTCATCATCTCCACATAGTCATATAATTGCTCATCTTGTTTTAGCTTATGTTGCTCTCCCTCAACAATCTCCATTACCTTTGCGTTGATACAATCTCTTCTAACAATTTCGGTTGGAACAGAGAACGTTGGAACAGCATTTTTAGACAATTCAATCCATTGATTCATCAAATCAATTTCTGCCTTAATCTTTCGTAACATGAAGTGTTCCGCTGTTCCGTATCTACTAGTCTTCTTTCTTTGTAGCAGCTTTTTCTTTTCTTCCTCTGATGTATTTCTTTTCTCAGACACCTCTTGCAGATCGATTTCGTGCTCTTTTACCAATCTAGTCTCATGAGCTTTCAGTAACTCTTCCGATTGTTTAATGAAGAACTCTTCTGCCAATCTTTGCATTTCCAACAGACCCTCTAACCGGTAAATTTCTTCGATCAGATGATCATGCTCCTTGTATTTGTCGTCATTGAGAGCTGGTCCACCAATTTCTATGTCTCGGGCCTTTCTTATTTCATCAAATTCATTTTTGGCTTTGAGATAATGCTCTCTTGCCTCCACTGCTTTACTCTCGGTGTTCTTAATTTGTTTTTCTAGTGCTTCTTCTTCCTTTCTAAACTGTTCTCTGAATATTCCGAGATCGGCCTCCCATTTTTCAATTTCCTTCTTTAAGATTGCTTCTTTCTCTAGATATTCCTTCTCTGTAGTTATCAATTGCTTGGATTTGTGATTGAACTCCTTCTTCTTTTCTCTTTGTATTTCAAGCGCCTTCTCTTTCCTTTGTTTGAGGCTATCTATTTCAGTCTTAAGCATATCAATGTTGGTGAGGGCATCCTTCTTTTTTGAGAGCACATCTTCGTACTCCTGTTGGGCTATTGCTAATTCCTTACAACTGTTCTTGTAGTGATCTTTGATTTCCTGAGAGTTTTTGGATAATTCCTTCTCCTTTCTTTTCCTATCGGCAATATTTTCTTTTGCAATCTCAATCTCGGCAGTTAATTCCTTCTCGATTTTATCATTCTCAAGCAGCTCTTTCTGTAAAATCGTTTGATGCCTCTTCATTTCAAAAATCTCTTTTTCTTGCATTTCAAACTCGTTCTTCACTTGAATTTTCTTCATCTCCAATTCTTTTTTTAATTCCTCAAGCGTTGTTGCTTGAGAACCAAAGCCTTGCAGAAGGTCAGACATTTTTTTCCTTAAATGTGTACACCAACCGATGACCTGAAGAAACTCTAGGCAAAAAATATGTGAGACATTTAATTATGTCTTTTTGAAGCATCACATTGTGCCATGTTCCAACCAAATTCTGTGGGTGGAATGATGTTAATCGTCTTGACAAATAAAATCTTCAAATCTAGAGAAGCAAATGCTCTAAAGCAATCCTTATTGACATCAAATTTGATTCCACTAATGTCGAGGCATAATGAAATGAGCTTATCTAAGATAGCAGGCGTGACACATATTGGAACTGTAAGATCCGCAATTGTCATGTTCTTTTTATAAATTTCCATACCATCATAATCAATTTCAACAAGAGCCCATTCTTCTTTCAAATCAACTGTAATCGAAAAGGTGGCATTAAAATTCAATTTTTCTCCGGCAATGGTTTGATTGACTGAAGCATCACATTCAAATTTCTTTTCGGATTGTGTGGGTGATGAGTAGTGGCATGAGAAAGAGTCTTGTTTTACAGTTAAAGTGCGACCATTATTTGATGGTGGCCGAGCTGCTTGTTCAAATCTTGCTAGTTCTGGATCTCTTCCGATGGTCATGTATTGTTCGAGTTGGGCCATTCTAGCTTCTTCTTTTTTCTTTGTGTTGGTCAAAATATCTAGAGCAAGAGAAGAAGTCGTCAATATTGCCAAACAGCCCAACAAAAAGACAACCGAATAAACAAGAGTGGTGGGACCGTGTCGAGAGAAGGCTTTGTTTCGGAGCATTTTTTAAATATGAGATTCACAAAAAAATGAGCTCTCCTTCACGACACAAAGAAGACCATCATGATGAAAACTTCTCGTCATCACGATTTGATGAAAATACTCTTCAATCAGCTTTTGAAAATAGAGACAATTCAAATATTATAATCAACAGACCACATCACCATTTTAAACAAGAAGAAGAAATTATTTTAGAAGAAGAACAGGTAACCCGATCGGGAATGACAACACCACCCGAAGATAATTCTGAAGAAAATGACGACCAAAAACAACATACAAAACGATATGGATTCACATCATCCCCCAAACAAAAAACAACAATTACTTTCATATTTATGGAAAATATGGGAAATTACATATACAATGATTCCTCTCGGAATTCTCAGCTTTGGCGGTCCAATGGCTCATATTGCTCTATTGCAAGACAATTTTGTCACCAAACGACAATGGCTCACAGCAGAAAAATTTACAGAATTATTTGCAGTTTGTCAGTCATTACCTGGTCCAACCAGCACTCAACTTGTACTCACCATTGGAACCATGCACGCTGGTTATTTAGGAGGTTTACTTGCTTTTCTTTTATTTTCAATTCCAACAGCAATAATCATGGCTGTGGCTGGCATTTTGTTAAAAGATGAAAAAGTTACAGAAAAGTTTCCATATTATCTTACGGTAGCATTGAATGGATTTTCATGTGCTGCAGTTGCAATTGTTGCTCATGCTGCATATACACTGTCTAGCAGACTTACAAAAGATATTTCTTCAAAAACTCTATTAATTGGAGCTTTTGCCACATTCATGATTTGGCAAAAGTGGTGGGTGGTACTTATTGTCATGATATGTGGTGGAACTATTAATTTAAGCATTGATTATTCTTTTATTTATTACCAAACAGCTGTAAAGGAACATGGGTTGACAAAACCAAAGGGAATCTTTGATTCAGTTAAATTCTATTGGACTGTTTTCAAAATCAATCTCAAGAAATTCAAAACGTTTATGAGGGATCTTTTTAACAAGATTAGAAGAAACAGACAAAATATTCCAACACGAATTAACTCTGGAAATTTGGATGACACTGAAGCTCCACAGCTCTTAGAAGAAAATGCAGTTGAAGATTTGGAATCAAACTCTCCTATTGATGATGAGAAACCAAAAAACAACGACAATGAACTCATTACTACCACCAACGTCACCTCATTACCCCCAAGCATTAATCAAGACGTTCCTCTTCACATGAGACCGTTTATGAGCTTTATTTTTATTGGATTGTTTATAATCATACTTTTGGGATTGATGATTGCTCGGCTCATTGTGAAATGGCCTCCGTTAGAATGGGCAGAAGGTTTTTATAGAATTGGATGCTTGATTTTTGGTGGAGGACACGTTGTTTTGCCAATGATATTGAACGAGTTTTCAGAATTAGGTTATCTTACTGAAGACGCTTTTGTTAACGGCTTCGCCTTGCAAAGCGCGCTACCGGGTATGTATTGATGATTTTAAAACATGGTTCTTAACAATAATTTATTTATTTTGAAATTGTTAGGACCCATGTTCAATTTTTCTGCCTACGTAGGAGGAATTATGGGTGGCGTTCTTGGCGCAATAATATGCTGGGTGGCACTTTTTCTGCCAGCTGTTTTGGTTGTTTTGGGAGCTCTTCCTGTATGGAACAGGTATAGAGAAAAGCAGTTTGTACAGAGCTTGTTGAAAGGTGTCAATGCTACCTCAGTTGGATTTGTTTTCACAGCAGTTTATATCCTTTGGTTAGCTAGCGTACCCAATCTTCATGTGGCTAGTGCTTGTACTGTTGTGTTCAGCATTCTGTTCCTTAGTGTTTGGGATCTGCCAGCTCCTCTGGTAATTTTGATGGGAGGAGCGGTGAGAATTGCCCTTGATGGTTTTGTACCAAGAAATGCGTAATATCGTCACACTAAAAAGAATTACATTTAGAAATATTTTGTTTTAATTGCTTATTCAAAGATTTAGAACAATTCGAAAGCCTTCTTTCCGGACTTTTGATCAACCTTGACAACGTTGAAACGGACAGTCTTTGACAATGGTCTGCATTCTCCGAGAACGACAACATCACCTTCATGGGCTTCAAAAGCAGGAGAAATGTGAGCAGCCAAGTTCTTGTGTCTCTTTTCATATCTGTTATACTTCTTTTCATACTTCAAATAGTCTCTTCTGACAATGAGGGTTCTACCCATCTTGTGGGACTTGACAACTCCTCTCAAAATACGTCCTCTAATTGAGACGTTACCAGTGAATGGACACTTCTTATCAATATATTGACCGTGGATGGCAGACTTTGGTGTAGCAAAACCAAGACCAATATTCTTGAAGAATCTGATCTTCTTTCTTTCTTGTTCGGTAATCTTTCCTTCCTTGAGCTTCTTCAACAATGCTCTCTTATTTCCCAAGAATACTGATTCTTGCTTTTGGAAAGCTCTTTGGTTTTGCACGTTCAATTCAACTGTGGCCATGATGAGAAAGAGTGAATTTTTGGCGTATTTTTTTTCAACAAAATTTTTTAATTTGTCGTACTCAACCAACGTTGGAATTTTACAATGACCTGATAAAAAATGGAAACCTGTGTGATCACATGAGCAGTGGCTCCACAATCACAGCTTCGTCATGTAAATCTCTTTCTGCAATGTACACTACGCTCTGTATTAGATTGGTTCCAGAAATCAATACTTTTTTGTTATCGAACATCTTGTTCGGAATGTAGGGGATCAGTGTTGGATGAAGACAAGAAGGAACAACAAATGGGAAAGCAATCACATTCGACAACTTCCCGTGATAGGCCTTATGTACCAACGAGAAGGGATGAATGAATCGTGTTCCGATATAATGTCCATATTGATCCATATTATTTTCATCTTCACTAAGAATTCGGTGTATTTTGTTTTGAAAGCCTTCTTTTCTGAAACCTTGTTGCGATTCGTTGTTAAATGACAAGGACATGTTCTCAAACACATCATCGTGATTATACATGGTATTGAAAAAGAGTTCGCTTTCTAAATTGCCATTAATTAATACTTGATTGTTTGCAGTTTTGGGTAAATAGGGTTGCATATTCTCCTCCAAAAATCTATTGACAATGTTCAATGACTCGACTTGATGTGATATTGTTTGATTGAACTTCTCCTTAGCCTTTTTTAAGCTGTTGTCAGAGTATACCATTCCTGGAAAAATACCAATAACTTGACCTCGTTTGCAATGTCCTTTGATATAGACATGATGTTGGTGTGAATCTTTCCAAAGTATTGGGCACCATCCCAATTTATCATGTACTTGTTTTGAAAGTTTTTCCAATCTGTACATTTCAATACGTTGCAAAGTTTCGAGTTGAGAGCGAGCTTCAGAACTCACTTCATTGTCTATGGATGCAATTTTGGATGAGTGAAAAAGAGGGTGATGCAGCTTCTTTGTTGCTTCATTACTGAATTCAAAATTTTCCTCTGAATTTTGACGGGCTTCCTTAAAGTAAAATGCATCCACTTCTAATTGTGAATAGACTCGTTCCTGCTGACCAGCCTTTTTTAACATTTCATACAATCTCTCTGAACTTGTTTCAAGAGAAATATCTAATTGTTTCCACTCAGTCAATAATGTATTCACTTGCGAGAAGATGAGATTTTGAGAATGAGAAAATAGAGTCGATTGGGATGTCGGAAAGTCATTGCACAGTACATAGGAAGACATTTTAGAATTTTTCTCCATCTCGTATAATTTTAACAGTTTAAATGCTCGAACAAAATGAAGACGTTGCAGCAATCCCGAAGGTGTGTAAAGAAGTCTGAGCAAGAGTGGGAAATTGGATGAAGCTTCGCGGAAAGCCATTTTTTATTGATTCACACCGTTGAAAGCCAATTCGATGAGTGCAAGAGTCTTCCTTGAACACAACGATACAGGCATTGCCTATTATTTATTCAAACGAATGTTCTTTCTCATTGATACCATGTTAAGGTAACATCGATACATAGAACTTCACTCATTTGGCTCTGTAAGTGTTTCATTTTCGACCTCTCGATCGGATGCTGAGGATGGAGAGAGGTGCTGTTGGGATGATGCTTTGGAATCATCTAGAGAAACACAAGTGGAGGCCGTTCCAGTCATATTGGTTGATACAGATGGTGATTGAGAAGATGGCTTTACCACATAACCAATACTGCCGTTAGTGCTTTCGGAGACGTCTTTTGTTTCTGATAAGACCAAATGCAACTTCTTATTTCCTTTGGACCATGAATCTGCATTAGGGTGAATTACTGGTTCCTTAATATCTGCTCTGTTTTTGATCACAGCTTGCCTGTCCAAGGAATATTTAACATCTCGATCTTTAATAGCTTTTTGAAAGCTTGGGTCTTCATATGTGAAAGCCATCATGACATTGGGTAGACCTATAGGAATGTCATGTCCTTGATCTACTTGCCAAGTATGAATGGTTTTGCCATAGCTCTGAGGAAGAAGAAAAGTATTGAATGATGGTAAAACACAATGGTTCATTCAATTTGACACGTACCTTAATCAGAAATTTCATAACTTCATGCTCTGCCATAGTAGGAATGTGAGGACACGTAATTAATCCTCCCTTTACCTCATAGACATGAGAATGCCAGAGTTTTTGTTCTTCAGGATCCAATTTGTTATATAATTCTTCCGAAATGATGTATTCAATACCAATCAATCGAGCATCTTTGGTATCATTGTCGTAAATCACGCATTGGCAAATTTGCTCATTGGGATGTGAACAATAGTGATGTGCAGTGACCACTCGGTTCATATCTGTTTGCCCATAGAATTACAATTTCCAAAGAAACCAATTGTTAACATACCATATCCATAGCCATGAAGACCGCAAATATGCTTATGAATGTGTTGGATAGGCTCAAAGCCAGTCACTACTGTCTAAAACATGCATTAAAAAAA